GGGGGGGGGGTAACTATTTATTATTGACTTGAACCCATTTGAGAGGCCGTGCATGCGTGCGTGGCGTGATGATGGATGGGTCATTTTTCTACCGGATTTTCTCCCGTGCTCATTCTAAACTCGCCCCCCGTTCCCCCTCCAAGTAAAGTGAAAAGGACGTGGTAAAACAAAGTCTTTGAGAGACAGCCCTCCCCCACTTCCGGGGGGATAGAGGGCGGTTAGCGGAGACATGCATGACATGTGTCGTCTACGGTTTTTACAGAAAACTTCCGGGTGGGAGACTCCTTCATGCTAGATGCTGGGGCCTCATCACAGGAAGTAAGTAGCGAGGTAGTCTGGGGCCCCAGTCCTCTCCTGGTCCGACACTCGACTCACCACCCCGAAAGCGAAGAGAGAAAGAGAGTTTTCGCTCATGAGAGTGTCTTCGCCCAGCATTGTGTCAGGAGCTAGAAACTGGGCGGAGCGGCGGCGGCGTCGCCCGTGTCTATGGGACGGTGATGACTTAGTGCTGGAGGAGTGGCTGCTTCGTCGGCTTGCACAGGTGCAGGTGCAGGCGCAGGCGCAGGCGCGCTTGTTGAGGCTCTGCTGGTCGCAAAGCCAAAGCCGCCTTGGCCGCTGCCATCGGGCCCTCTCGGTGCCCGGATTGGTTCCTGGACGTGCTGCTGTTGAGGCAGAGGCTGCCCGGCAGCGGAGTTGTGGACCACCGCTCCCAACACCCCGTTCTCCCGCTGCTCTCGTCGCTGGAGATATGTCGATTCTGGCTTGGAAGCGTATGAGGGATCGAATAATTCCCGGTGTTGAGATCCACCTCTCGACTGGTTTCGAGAAGAGTTGATGCTGTGGTTTCCCCCCGCCACACCCGCTCCTCCTCCTGGTGGTAGTACCCCGCGACGCCCTCCTCCTCTGCCACCTCGACTTCGATTCGGCGTCGCAGATCGCGAACCTGGTGGAGTTAGGCTCCCTGCAGGACTGGAGGTTCCCGACTTGTTGTTATGGCCACCAACACCTTGCTGGTGAGAGGAGGACGACAGTGTTGTACTGGCACCGGCACTGGCACCACTGGAGCTCGTCCCGAAGAGCTCTTGTCTCCGTTCCTCGTATTTGCGCTGTTTCTCCTCGCGGTCCCGGGCCGCTTGGGCCTGTCGTTCGGCGAGGGAGAGTTCGCGGGCTTTCACCTCCTCTTCGTCTTCGGAAGACTCGCCGCCGCGATCAGCAGAGCTATTATTTTTATCCCTGTTGTTCAAGCTTAGATCCTGGAGACCGGCAGTGGGCGGTCGAGGAGATTGTGATTTTTGTACTATGGGTCCCTTTCTCGAGAGGAGGATCGGAGGCGGTTTGAACTCGGACCGTAGCGGCACGACGTTGCGCGATTCTAAAAAGTAGTTGGTTTCTCTAGGTCCTTCACTGTAGCAGGCAGGCCGCGACCCAGAAGTTAGCACAGGGAGACAAGATGCGGAAAGAGAGTTTCTTTTGGGCATACGCTTCGGCCCACAGCTGGCGGTTGAATTCGGCCTGCTGAGCCCTTCGCTGGGCTTTTGTCACTTTCGACGAGACTCTCCTGGATTCCGTTTCTGTGGGAGGGGTTGGCAGTTTCTGGAGGAAATGGGGCTTTAGCATATTGGGAGAATGGAGGCCTTGGACAAAGAAACCGCTTCACATACATCATCCGCGGTGGTGGACCACTCGTCCTCCCAAGCATCGGGAACCTTGCTCATCGCCGGGCGCTATAAGGGTTTGGTGGGATGTGGAGTGAAGAGAGGAGGAGGCTGAGCGGACTGGATGTTGAACATGTGCTGAAATGTCTGATGGCCTTGTTCAAATCAGTAATTGTATACCACAACACGATTCTAGTCGAGATATGTCTTCGAAGAAGGTGGGGGTGCGATCAAGGGATCAAGAGATCAAGAGATTTAGTTTCCTGTAGTTGGAACAAGGGCCGGACGCAGCCACTACTGCTCGGTGCATCTGAGTAGTGCCGGGAACAAGCGCATATGGTGTGGAGAAGAGAGGCCAGGGGGAGACGACGTAAAGACAGCCTTTTCTTTTCTGCTTGTATACTGTTTGCTTTATTCATTTCCAGAGGCCGGACGAGGCCAGATTAGATTAATCTTAAGGTAGTGTAGCTGCTCTGCTACCCGCAATCCGTATATCCAAGGTCGCTATCATTGCCTGTTTCCCGTTGCCACTTCCTCTTCCATAAGGTGAATTCCTAGCCGTGGTTGTCTAGGTTCTATTGCGTCGAGTGGTCACACAGACTTCTAACTCCAGTCCCGCCTGAGGCTCTGTCAGGAGTCGCGCGATGCGGCTTCTCGGTACGAGGCATCCACAAATCTACTGTGGAAGGACCTTCCCCTCGAGAATGTAGACGCTGCGTCGCTTCTTTTCCTCTTTTCCTTGTTCTGCGCGATCTTTTCCCACTCTTCCCATTCCCTGGCAATCTCGCCGAGAACCGTGGCCATGGCTGATGCGCTCGCCATGAGGCCATGCCCCTCGCCGTCCAGGATTCGTAATTCACATCGCTTCATCACGCTGTGCAGCCAACGTACGTTGTCCAGCGGAACCCTTGTGTCCTTGGCCCCATGATGAATTACAACTGACCGTGTCACTTCGGGATATCGGAACCCGATAGGTTTTCGCCGCTCTAGACAAACCAGCAGATCAATGGCGGGATTTGCGTTTTGAGTGGCCAGCGTCCAGATGCGATGTGTAAGTGTTTGGTTGTAGAGCGCTTGCCGTGCCTCGGGGCTCAAGCGTGGGGACATGGGTCGGGAATTCGTAGCTGAAGCCTTTGTGGACGAATACGTCTGCCTTCCAGAATCGGACTTTGGGCTAGACAGAGGTGGTGCTGGTATTCCCAATGTTTCATTATTAGCTTGATAGCACGATATGGCCCGGGCTCGGTTCGGTGTGCCTGTTCGCGGTCGCTCGGGCTCAAAGTCAGGAAGAGCGGCTCTGAATGCGCTGTCGTCGTTGAGATCTGGGAAAGCATAACCGAACGTTGCGTCCAGATTCTCCAGTTGCTGCTTGGCCTTTTTGGACTTTATCGGTTTCGGGTCCACAGAAGCACTTGTCGCAGTCAAAAACCTTGAGTTTGCGACCTTCAGGAGTTGTGCCGGCAAAACGCTCAGGATTTTGTGACTAAAGGGTAAATTGGCAATTGGCTGCGAGTCGGGCCCCAAGGTCGCTCCTTTGGGCATCTGTGAAGGCGGGATCCAGGGCGCCAGGAGATGAATGCGCCCTCGGACATATTGTGGCATTTTCAAGGCTGTAGCAAGAGCGTAGATTGCGCCTGCAGAATGTGCCAGGAGAGAAAATCTCGTGATCTCCAGCTGGCTGCATATGACAGCTACATCATCAACCCAGTTCAAAGGCGTACACTGAGATTCAGGTAACGGCGAACTTGCGCCTACTCCAGGCCGATCGGGTGTGATCAGCCTCAGGCGCAAAGTCCTGGCAAGCTCGTCGTAGAACGCTGTGAGGTATCGGGTCAACCCCATGCCCACACAACACAAAACTACGAACCCGTTGGGATCTCCCACTTCTGAAAAGGCGATTGTCCGGCCGGAACGAGGATGTCGTATCTTTTGTGTAAAACGGGGCGCACCAACGAAAGTTTCAACTTCTTCCGTTATTGACTTCATCTCGCTGAAGGCAGGCTCTTGCTTAGTCGCATGAGTAATGGAACTTCGTTTTCCCTGAGCCATGGAGTTCCGGTAAGCACTGTTGTGTCGGGACGGTGCTGCACTAGATGGATTCGATGTGACGCCGCCCATGGAGGGCGGTGGCGGTGGTGGTGGTGGTGGTGGTTCTTCTTTAGGGGGTTCTGGGATGAAGGCAGGCATGTCCGCCAGCTCAGATCCGTTGACCGTTGCAGACAGATCGAGCGGGCTTTCGACTTCAGGCGATTCTACCACCACCTCGGTAACAGAGAGCCTTGAAGTCTGGTACGGGCTTGACCCCTGTCTCGACATTTTGGGTGTTGCGATGGTATGCCTCTTCGCAGCTCGCTCCGATTTGCGAGCCTCATTTCTCCACTCCTTCTGGCGCTTTTCTCGTGCTTCTTGCAGTTCCCGAATCCGTCTGACAGTCGAGTTATCGCCTTCGATGAGTTCGGAATCGATGTTGAGCTCTTTCAGGTCACGACCAGAGAATGAGTGTCTATTCTGCTGGTCCTGAGAGACGTCTGAAATGCCTGTGACGCTGCGTCTGAGCGATGACCGACGAGAGGGTATCATGTGGCTCCCCAAGTCACCCCTGCTCAATCGCAGAGCAGTAATCGTAGGACTCTCAGCTGGCGCTGGGTCAGCTTGAGCCCCCATGCTCGAACGCCCGTCTATTGACGACGCGCGAGTAGGCCACCTGTTCTCCTTCTCGTGATCCATGCTGTAGAGGGACTCGGTTTTCCGTCGCCTGTCCGACGAGACTCGCCTGGGAGGAATGGGCCTCGTTGCAGCCATCTCGCGCATCGACTCGGTGGTTGGTTTGCGATGAGTGGCACTCAAACCACTGACGAACGAGAACGTTGAGCTGGCGCTAGAACGGTCTCGTCTCTCAATGCTAGGCACTCCGACGCTGTCAGACTCGGCACGCGACTTGAGGCTCTGTATAGACTCCCTTGTGGCTAGACCAGTCTGAGAATTCATATTTATGGAGTGGATGAACGATCTGCTTGACCGTTTGGACAACAATGGTGGCCTTCTGGCGTACTTGATCACCGGCGCAGCGGCGGCCTCTCCCTCGCTACTGTCATCGGCGGTAGGTGGATCGTTCTGTTCCCTGTCCAAGTCATCCGCATTGGGTGGCTCCGTCGAATTGGAACGGACGGACAGATCTCCGGGTATATGTATGCCGGCGTTCACGCCAAGGTCTTGTCTAGCATACGATGAGGCGGATATTTTGCTCAGAGAGTCGATGAGTGAGGAAATGACTTGTACTGATTCTGGGGGGGTTTGAGGGCGGTAGGACAACGGTGGTATTTGCGCGGCGTCCGAAGGGGGAGGATCAATATTGGGCCGATGGGACAAGGGATGGTCGTATGGATGGTCGACAGATGCAATATCGTCGCGATAGTCCATGCCTTACATTGCAGGTGGAAGAGGTCGAAGAGCCGCAGTCAGGACTCGGTACTGTTTTCGAGGTGATGGTGCAGGTGCGCATGCACAATGCAGTTGAGGAACGGCCCAGGAGGCGGACAGGGGAAAGGCGTCTTGCTACAGCCAATCGGGGTCAGCTCGTGGGATAGGCGAAATTTGAAATTTGGTATGGGATTTGGCAAGAAAGCCGTGTCTGTGGGCTAGAGCTCGTATCTCGGGCGTGTCAAAGGGAGTATCTGGCATTGCATTGTAGGCTCATCGACTGTGCGCAACAGAAGTATGGGGAGAGGTTTGGAGTAAGAAGCAGCCGACGAGGCAAGTGATTGAGCTGCCCTGTGCCAGCGTTGAGCCCTGCGCCGGGGATGTTTGAAAAGGACTGGCACCCACTGACACCCACCGGCGCTGGGGGAGTGGATTCTCAATTAGGTTGCATGTAAAAGGGCGACCCAGTTCGGAAAATTAACCTGCAGTCTGACCTTACCGTACCCGTTAGGTAGAAAAACGTGTTGTTTCACCCAACATAAGAAGGTTCCCTCAACGGCGGAATCGCGAGATGCCACGCCAGATCGATACCTTGTACCTCCAAGTCCGGACACTTTGAGCAATCGAGAATAGCCAGCTCTAAAGATAAATCCAGTATCTCTACCTCAATTGAATCTGACCTTTATTCTCATAGAGAATGATCCACAGGTTCGAAGAGGAAGGCCCCGTGTCAGACCATGCGACTTTTGCCTTTACCTCATGGCTAGCTCGAGGGGCTTCGAGACGAACCAGAACGCCTGGAGATCATCCGTCCATCGACCGGCGGGCACGATTATGCACGAAACACGAGCCACGTTCAACCGTGATTGATCAGCAGCAGAGGAGCTTGTTCCCTTAGCTGCAGTCTGCGGAGCTTCCAGCAAGGCACCGGAAGCCCCCCTGGCCATTGATTGAAGAGCTGCCCTCGCCGGTACAAGTGCGACTTTGCGGTCGCTACTCGTAGGCTAGGGGTACATTTTCCGCACATTCTCATTCGGATTGGTGGCATCCTAACGGAACAAGTTCTTATCGCAGTTGCACATTGCGGTGCTACGTTGATTTCACGACGCATGTGGAGCGCGGACATTGAACGTCCCTGCTTGTACGAGTATCCACGGAGATATTGGACAATCATACTGGAAACAAATGGAACCAGTCACTCCAATGGTCCCATATCACGTGTGCAACCTCAGAGCTGCCGGCAGGCTTGTAGTGGACTCTAATTGAGCAGATTTGACCTCTATGTCTAGGATATGGACTAAAGCCGACCTGTATATAAGATACAATGCTCTCATGTGGCGCCCAAAGTGATGCCGAGCGATCCCTCAGCCACATCCAATGACTCTGCAGGAAACAGAGCAGCATGTGCTGGTCCTGAAGCGGAAAGTCTTCCCTGAAGAACAATCCCTAAAAAGCGATGTATCGTGGTATCTTCCAAAACCCAAGAAGTGGTCCTTCAGAACCTTCTAGCGGGCCTCCGCTGCAGATTCCTCGAGAAGTCAATATTCTTTCCTGAACGCCATGCTCAAAGACAACATATAATCTTTCACTTTTGCAGAGACCAGTGTATCCCATTGAGAACCAAAAACCAATTTTAGACACGCAGCACCCAATCGGTGCCGTTTATCAAGTCGTGAGTCGTGGTGGCGTGCGTGAGCCTGTCATCGTTGACGATGCGAGCAGGGAGGGTGACAGGGGAAAAAAAATCGGCCACGTGGTGTATCATACAGTAACCGGCAAGCCAGCTCGTAATTTCTCTCGTTCTTCACCAAAGGCCCTGCGAGACATTTCCAAGACCATTTCGAACCCTTCCCGACCTCGAGCGGCATTTTCTCGAAACCGCTCAATGCTGGCTTCTTCGATTTTGGTGCGGATCTTTTGCCACCCACCGCACAACGCTACAATCTTGGCTTGTTGTTGGAATTCTGTCTTTTGTTTCGCATCGCTGGAGGAAGGCTGATAGACCACAGTCTCCCGACATTCCAGAAGATTTGACCAGGTCATGTTTGTGCTGCACATTGTGACTTTCTTGGAAGCTGGGTCCACGTACGAGACCTCATAGACATAGCTCGTAGTTTCACCTCCAATGATGCTCAGAATCCATTTCGGCGCGTTCTGCTGGCATGTGATAAGACGTTCGGTGCGGAGGATGCCTGTCTGAGGGTCGATGTGGCGCGAGAGCGTGTCGACCGCCAAAACATGAGAAGCTTTGTCGTTCCAGGGGCAGTATTTGCGCCAATTGTTGGTGCTCACCTCCTCCCAGGAATAGTCGAAGGTGTAGGAAGACGAGAAAATCTTCATGGTGCTAGGCTGGGATGGATGGAACCGGTCACGGAGGGATTGAGAACGGTCGGCGAGCGACAAGTCTGGCGGTTTCTATTCAGGGGATGGTATATCGTTCTATTGACTGCAGACTTGGTCTAAGGTGAGGTTGACTGAGTGATGAGGTCTACCCTGAGCTTCTGCAGAGCTAGAGATTTTAAAAAAGAGTGTGGGAGGGATGGCTATCGACGTGAATATGGCTCGTCGAACATTCGCATGCGGAGGAAGAAAATGGAAAAAGTGAAAAATAGCCAAACCGATAACCGGAGTTTGTCCCTCGGGTTTTCTTTTTCTGCGCACCGGAGAGGATCGGAAGATTGTCCAGATCACGTGAATCATTCGCCTCAACGATTATGCTGAGAAAGCATTTCGTCTGACAGAGGAGTCGGAGCTCATTACGCTGTGAAGTGGCCAGCGGGCTGCGTAGAATGTTGGTTGTCATGCAGAACCATTATACATCATCGATCTTGCCTTCTCTATCCGGAATCTGGTCCTTTCTTTCATTCTCGAGCCATTTTCGGGCCAGCATCGCCGAGGGGTGCGCCCAAAGATTTGTGCCCATTCGCCCGCAGTTCCCCAAATCTGTCACCTATGACATAGCATAGTCCGCCATCACTCAGAACTCATTCACCATGTCGGAATACTGGAAATCAACAGTACGTCAACGCCTCTTCGTCACTGCAAGGTCTGTATGGCGCATTGCTGACTGGTCTACAGCCGAAATATTGGTGCAAGCATTGCAGCACCTTTGTCAAAGACACCCCATTTGAGCGCAAACAACATGAGGGCACCGCTAAGCATCAAAATAACCTGAAACGATTTCTTCGCGACATACAGAACAGCCATGAGCGAGGCGAACGGGAAAAGGAGCGGGCCAAGTCAGAAGTCGAGAGATTGAAGGGTGTCGCTGGGGGTGATACAAACAGATCCTCGAGCCCTTCACCTTCCTCTCGGACGCAGACAGCCCATTCCGCATTGAAACCTTCCTCAGGCCCTCAATCCACTGCAGATCGGAAGAGACAATGGGCGCAGCTGGCCGAGATGGGGATCAAAGTCCCCGAAGACTTCCGTTCTGAGATGGCCATGGCGGGTGACTGGCAGGTGGTGTCACAACAAACGATTGATGAGACGCCATCAGAAGCCCCCCTGAGTAAAGGTGTCAAAAAGCGCAAATACGAGGGTCAGGATGAAGAAGAAGAGGAGAAGAAAGAAGCTGGGGAGGCTGTTGTGCGACGCGGATGGGGTGCTGCCACCAAAAGATATCCTGGCCATGACAAAGCCGATCTTGACGACCTCTTGTCGAGTTCGATCTCGGTGAAGAAGGAAAATTCCGGATCATCGGGTGCGCAATTTGAAAAACAAGAGAAGGACTCTTTACAACAGGGCAACAACCTTGTGCTCAATCAAGATGGGCGCCAAGGTGGAGATTGTACCTCAGTCAAGGTGGAATCCGCTCCCGGCAACCGCTCACACGAAGATGATCCGGTCTTGAAAGAGGAGCCAGGCTCATCACAACCACCCATGTCTATGGACCAGATTCCTGAGGACATTCCAATTCCTGTGTTCAAGAAACGTAAGGCTAAAATATCCTGAAACGCCATGACTGATGGCTCTTCGATGGCATGGTGGAATCTAGGCCGGCAAGAAGCGAACCGAAGTCCAGATAAGCGAGATGATGAGCAAGCCAACCTTTGATTGTCGACTGATTACGTTCAGTTTTGGCCCAAACTCTGATGCAAATTTTGCAGAACCATTGGCCCTTTGCAATTAATTGCCCAAGTCGTGGCACGAACGTCTCAAGTGGCGTGACCACGTGGACTCCCTGTGGTACAAATGCGACGACACTGATAATATGACAGCAGTGACAGGATCATCCTCGTCTGCAAGGTGTTACGCCCCCAAGTTCCGCCAAGCGAAGATACCTAGGTACCCAGGTACAGTTGTTTCCCGCAGTTGGATCGTGCAAGGAGCCCGAACGAAAACAAGTGTTAGTCGGGGTTAGCACCAGTCGGCATCTTCTCGTTGTTCGAGAGTGGCCAGCAAAGAGAACCACGGCAACTCATGCAATGACTAGTACAACATCAGCAAAACGCCAAACATTAGACGTCTGCTTCCAAGGAGTCCATCGGGCATGCCGGATGGCACTCATAGGCAACTTGACCTAACACACTGTTTCGGCCACTGGACATCCCAGGAGCCCTGCTCTCTAGGCGAGGTTTACGTAGACTCTGTTGAATCAACGTCGTCATCACTGACCGCCTCCAGGTGTTTTTAGAAAGGTGTCATGCATGATTTCCATGTCACCAGCCACCAATTGCACGTCGAGACAGCTTCAATCATTCCAGTTGTCATCCTCGTTTATTGCTGATTATGCCGAGGAGTGCCCAATGCGCCCGGCCGTGAAGGAGGCACGAGCGGTGCATTGCCTGCAGCAGTCGTCTCCAGGAGCCTAAGGCAAGGGCCTCTCGATCGCCTCTGCACAACCTGCATGCTGCTCGCCTTTTAGTCCCGTAAGGGATCTGGCTCGTTCGGAGAATATTGTGCTGCACGGTTGCATGATTCGCGACTCCAATGCACCTCTGTCAATCATCCTCATGATCCCGATGGTCGGCCACTTGGTGGAAGACCTTGACTAGCAGCTTGGATCAAAATTTGGCAATTTTCGTCTCCCTGCAGGACGCCCTTGGATAGATAGGCTATTATCAGGAGGGACACTATCTAATAATGGCCGAGTCGAGGCTCACAGGGGTCAAGTCCTCTGGTCAAGTACCGTCTCAGGGTATGATTTCATGCACCATTCTCGTGTTAAGCAGACGGGCTCATGTGACACCAAAGCCTCCCTCGAGACGACGGTTGACAAATGGTACCTGGGCGGTACCGGGACCAATGCGGGCCACCATGCATTGTGGCTGGGCGATCATGACGGCTGGAGGAGCGTTCCTGGTATGGTCAACGTAGAAAGTCCAGTGCCCGGGGGGGAGAGGCCTGCAAAAGGCAGAGGCAAGGCACATCTCGGAGCGAGGTCCAACTTGTCTCGCTAAGAAGCACATACAAACTTAAAAAAGGCTAAAGAGTGCCCTGTGCGCCAGAGACGTGTGGATGAGGGACGCTCTGGGTGCTCGTGGTGGAGTATCTCGAGTCTTTAGGCCGTCGTGGACTTGTCGAGGACGAGTCTTCCTGGGCTATTGTCCCAACTAGCTTGTCTGGAGATTTTCGAACACTTGTTTCAGTCGATAGCGTGACGGGGGTTATGGTGATCAAACAGCAAGGTCCCAGGGATATCACACGCCAATCCGTGGATACCTCTTCAGAGTTTTGCTATCTCTTTGCTCCCCCCTCACCCCAACCTCTCCAATAGTCGGCTGGGGTGGTAGCTGAATGGGTCACCGGTGGCGCACCGCGTGGAGCGAAGCCAGACAGGAACAGAAGGAGACACAGAATCAGGAAGCGGAGCGCGAAGGTCGACGAGGTAGGAAACGCACCAGTCTTTTTTTTCTCGCTGGAGCCCGGCAGGTCCCAGAACTTGGATTGATTTCCTAAGGTTGGTGGGTTTGGATGCTGACATGGTCACATTGAGAGACAGCCTCAAAGGAAGGATACGGAGTACCCTGTCGGTGTGCTATGCTCAAGTGGGCAGAGTCAGGGAGGGAGGTGCATGCAAGCGCAAGTGCAGCGAGTCGACTACTGGGCTCGGTTACAGAAGTGGGCGCCGGCGGGCTTCACTTTGCCCAAATTGTTCAAATCTGTTGGTGCCTCGACTGATACGACTCCATTTCTCGAAATCCCGCTAGCAGGGTTCTAGAGTCCCTTGGCAACGGTCAAGCAGCAGCGTCGTGAGGTCGTTCTCTTTCGGGACATTGCATTCAGACAAGAGAAGGACACCAAGGAGAGAGGCCGGGCAGCGTCAACAATACCAGAACAACATTGGTCCGTGGCCCATGATTCAAAGCTGAACAGTGGGACGACAAAGAAGTCTGCTCTCCACGGTGCGTTATCTGTCCTGTTGTATGGTTCAGCTCCTGGTGCCCGATTCCTGATTTGCTGCCTGTGGTGCTCCAAGTTGCTTTGACACTTTTTTTTCTCCCGCCTCCATTTGGACCACCACGACCACATCCCTGTTCATGATTTGAGCAATCTTCATCCTTCACCGTATCCACCGAGACCAACATACGGTGTACTGGTACCCTTGTTGTATTTCTCCAGCCTTGAGTCCTTGACAGCTCGGGCACTATTCCTTACAAAGGGGAAAGAGGGGGCCGGAACTATGCCCTGTTGGACATTTGTCTTTTGTCTTTCTCAGCTTGATCAATAATTGTTACCGTGTATAGCTGGCCGCCCCGATGCACATTAATGCAACCGACCTGGAGCGGGAAGCGCTAGGAGTGGGCAAAGCCGGCAGCAAGAGACGCCCCCAGATGGTCCCCCCCCCGTCCTGGATGAAGCACAGTCTAAAGGTGCTTAGACTCAGGCCTAACGTCGTCTGGCGTCGGGAGATGCCCTAAGCGAGAAGCCTCTTGACTGGGTACCAGGGAGTTTGGCAAACTCTTTTGCTCAGCAGAGGCCACCGAGGCCACAGACGAGTCGACCCAGCAGCCACTTCTGAGGAGTCGTTTGGGTCACCACTCCTGGTGACCGTTGATTGACACCTTACCGATACCTGGTTCCGGGCCGTTCGGGGGCACTTGGATGGAGTGGTGCTTTGTCCGTTGTTTCCATCCATTGTCCACCTCGTCGCCCACTAGTGCCTCGCGGCCTGGTATGGCATTTGGAGCACGGTTGCTTTTCGAGTTTATTGCACCTTGCCTTTGCCCCCCCCCAGAGAATGCTTGTCGTCTAAGGCGGCTGATCGAGTCGAAGCGATCCCAAGCGAGGTTCGTGCCAATTTCGCCATCGATATCTGATTCATGCTCACCTGCGCTTCGGCACTTGTGACGTCCGCGACGCCTGGAGCATAGAGCGAGCACTCTTATGGTCAAGGCGTTGAGCCACCACCATCCACTGGCGACTGGTGGGCGTTTCACGGGGCCTGAATGGGGTGACCAAGCACTCCAGCAGCCAGCAGCTCCCCCCTGCCCCGTCAAGCCCTGTCAGTGGACTCGCATGCCTGTCAACCGCCGCTCCTCCTTCCGTCCAGTGCCATGCCACTTCGCTCCTCCATCCTCAGGTCATATGTTATGTTACTATGGTGCAGGCACACCATACCACAAACTCCACACGCTTTCCTAGTATCTTGACTTTCTTCACACCTTTGCTTTGCGCTCGATCCCCCTTCATTCCTAGGCTGTGTGTTTCCCTTGTCGATTCGCTGGGCTGCTTTCTTGTCTGTGATTTTGTGTCGCTTGCTGACTTGCGTTACCTTGCTTGTCCGGTGCAGAGGCGCTCTTCCAACTAGCCCGTCTGCAAGGAAGACAGAAAAAGCCGGTTGGGAAGAGAAGCAAATCTTCACGGGACCGGAACAAAAAGGACCAAAGGATTGGGCCTGGATACCGATCAGCTGGAAACTTCGTTGAGGATCGTCCGACTGGTTGTCTGAGACCCAATTCCACGGTTACCGCTTGGGAAGAAAGCATACGACGACGAGAAATTTGCACTCTGCCAACCTTTGTCATTGACGTCGCTTTGCATCGCAACTTTGCTGCTTTGATCGGCTCTGCTCGCGCGAAGCAACACAAGGGCGAAAAGCCACGGACCTAATGAACTATTCAAATATGACCACGGCGGCTCTACAAGCTTCGACGGCACCGATCAGCCTGCCGCCGATCAGCAGCATCGACTTCCACACTCAAGTCGCACACAGGCCGGAACCAGAAGTTGTGCAACCTCTACCGCCCCCACCGCCAGCACCGCAACGTGTGCTGCCACCGCTGCCGTATCCTTACGCTGTTCGACCAGCCCCAGCACAAGTACCCCCGCCGCCTGTGCCTTCCGAGTATGTCCATTCACGACCAATCTACCCGGGAATCCCTTCGCCATACCAGCAAATGCCAGGACGGATGCCTCTGCCCTCGACGACGGACCCGAATTTGATCGTTGCACCTCCTCGACACAAAGCGAAGGAGGTGAAGAGACGGACGAAGACAGGATGTCTAACATGCCGAAAGAGGCGCATCAAGGTGAGTTTCTGATCTTTTTGCGCTCCTGTCTACCCTCTTCAGCCCTGCCCGCACTCTCCATTGTGTTCATGTCACCAGCACGTCTTTTGCCCACGTTCCCGACACACATGGGTTGAGCGGGTTTTGGCAGCGAGCGCATGGCAAGGCAAGGCCAGGCCACAGGCAAGAACCCTTTTGGGGGGGCTCGCCGGGCGCGGGCAACTTTACACGGGGGGCTCCACTCGGGCTAGTGAAGTGATAGCCGTGGGTGGCGCCTAAGTGCAAATCCAGTGGGTGCCCAGGGAGCTCCTGCGTGGCTCCTGCCCCCCCAAAGGATGCCCGGCCCTTTTTTGGTCTTGGACTCTTGGGGCCTGGTGATCGACCATGCCATCTCCGCCCGTGTCACAAACCTTCCCTACTCCATCCCTAACTCAACGGCGCTACACACTTTTTTCCTGTGTCTAAGCGACTCCATCGCTCAACGCCTCTCTTCGTTTCGAGATTGCTCTCCCGTTCTTCAGTCCCCTTTGGGTCACGGCAGCACTTTCCCTCGCGTCCACCTGCACTATTGCTGCTCTTCCGCAACCGCGACCGTTGATTTCCCTTGTCTCTCCCCTCGCACGGCGCTAACGACTCGATTCTATTGACAGTGCGACGAAGGCCGACCAGAGTGCAGAAATTGCATGAAGAGCAAGCGCACTTGTCAAGGCTACGACCCGGTCTTTCAGACGCAAGGACCGCATTCCCTGCACCCTGCGCCATCCGCCGTGGCCAACAACATCAGCAACAACCCTCCACCGACCACCTCAATCAGCAACCAACCCCGGAGGTTTACCACAACTCCCATCAGTCCTCCCGTGGCCAATCACCACTCCTCCATTGTCTCCAGCTCGCCTCGAGATCACTCTGAATATCCTTTCCCGCGGCCGCCTGAACAGATCCTGCCTCACATTAATCAGCCGTATCATATGGATGGGCCGCATCAACCTGGTTTAGCTCCATATCCACCGCCTGGACGAAGTGAGTGGCGTTGAGCCTGCGATTCTTCTCTCTTGAGACTGACCTGGAACAAGTGCAATAATGACCGACATGGGTTCTCGTCCGACCCCAAGGACCATTGAGTCCATTTGTACAATTGCTGGCACAAAGATTCCTAGTGTACCACCTATTCCACCCGATTCCGTCCCTAATCTCGAGTCTATTCGGAAAGTGTACGACATTGCCTTTGCTCCTGGTCTTGACAAGCTTCTGGAGGCGGGCCAGTCGAAATGGTTTGCAAGGGAAGGATTCCCTCTTCTCTGCGCAGACCGGACCCAGTTGGGCAACATGTTGGCGTATTTGACATTGGTTAGTAACCACGCCGATACGCCTACTGAAAATGCGACCCTGGCGAGTCAGGAGGCCCGAGTGACCTGGGCGCTGCTTGAGCTTTGTATCAGACCGGTGCATGACAGTGGCGAAGAAGCAGACAGACTCGCCCGCCGATGCCGAGCCCTGGGTGCGATCCTGACCGGCGAACCATTTAGCATCCCCACCGCAACAATGGCCGATTTTGTCCACCAAGAGGAGGTCGAACCAGAGCCGAAAACAAGTGCGCTTGAAAAGCAACTTGCCAGGAGATCCGAAGAATTTTGGAAGTTTGTGGAAAGGGCTGCTGCGAGTCAGAGGGCCGATGGGTCCGGCTTGTCCGCTGCCGCCGTGAGACAATGCCGACCATATCTTGACGGGATGGAGAATAGAGATGTCATCTACAGTATGATGTTGCTGGCATCTGGGGGCAATGGCGACCTTACTTCGGAACGAGAACTTGCAAAGAGATACCTGGAAACTCAGGCGAATGGACGTGCCACGAATCAAGTTTTTGCGACTCTTTCTGGCATGGCGTTGAGGGCGTTTGAGGGATAATTGTGTCGTTGGTGTTGGATCCAAAGCCCTGGCTCTTGGTCACCAGACTTATGTCTTTCTCTACGAACATTTCCTTTGTGCCGGTTTGTTATGGTGGTGGTCGGGATACCGAGAATGGCACACACATACCCTTTTGTTCATTTGGAAATGGGAGCACCTGCATACTCGAACTCTACTATTCATTGGTCACATACGGTCTGCTATTGTAACTATTACTCGTTGAGTTACATCAGGTTTGCGCTACCTATTAGGGGGACAGGAACTGTGGACGAGGATCACTTTGTGGCATGCCTGGCGGGTGAATGGAAAGTACTGAAAGTGGATGGTGAACATTATCCCATGCACAAGCCGAGCACAAGCCGAGCATGTGTTGAAACAAGATTTTGGCAAAGCACAATGAACAGGATCAACCTTTGGCGGACATTGTCGCAGTCCCTGCAGGCGTTCTTCGCCGCCTTTAGCACACCCCTGACTGCATAGGTAGAAGCCTTTACACAGACGATGCTGTTATTGCTCACAAGATGTCTGGGTGTCTTCGGGGTCTACGGGGAGCTGATACCGATAGTGATGATATCAATCGCTATCACATGCAGATTGAGAGACTCATAGTCCGTACATGAGGCTAACCCAACCAATGTCTTTGGGGTCTGCCGAGCTGGGCACCAGCATAAGCGAGTATGCAGGGATCACCGTCGCGGGCCGGTAGCGAGTTCTAGGCTCGGAAGCGAGGTTTCTCCCTTCCAATAGCCTGTAAGAGGAGGGCCAGAATGTCTCTGCCTTGATCCATTTATTTTCCAGCTACTCGTATAATTACGAACTAAGGTCTGTGTGGAGAGAAGGAGGAGAGAGAAGAGGAGGGCAAAAATAAGGGCAATCGGCGACGACAACCAAGCAAACATGATGGATTGCGGTCTAGATTTTGCCTGAGGCACCCACTCGTGCCGCTCCACACACAGCCCCGCTACGCCTTGACATTGGGCAGTGATGTATTGAGGCCGGGGTTTGGGGAGGCGACAGTCCTAATAATACGAGAAGCTCAACGACTATGGCCTCGGTACCGAGTGTTTTGTACCTTAGCTACATATGTAAGAAACACACACGAGCAAAGTTTAGCAGCGAATCAAGAGGGCGAGACAGGGAGAAGAGAGAAAGAGAGAAAAAACTAAAAACCTCGCGAAAAAAAAACAAGATACTTCCCGTCCCGCAGGGTACCTGGTAGTCACTAGGTATATATATGCATACGACGTGCATACACCTCGCCCTCACTACTAGATCCGTCGCACTAGTAACTCGGTAGGCAGGGAGGCGAGCGAGATACATAAACGAAGGTACCCTACCATACCTGGAATACCGTACAAACGCGCACCTGCCTACTTGGTACATACATGGAGACAAAGTCGTCCATGCATAACGGAGTAAGGCTGAGTGCATGCATGAACCGACCGACGGCCCCTCCTCGCCTTTACAACCATCGCATCGGATGGGACTGGGGGCTAGAACTCAACCTGAGGGGTTCATGTATGTATGTATGTACCCCCTGCCTGATCGTCTGAAACGGATCGGTATCCGTGATAATACTCGTAACGCTTACCTGAGTAGGTAGGTATGTCGGGGAACCTCTGGGTGACAAAGTACGCTTTCAGCCGAAACGAGGTTTTTTCAAAAGGGTCCAAGATGATCAGCAATGCCGCGGTCTTCTTTCTTATTTTCAAGAGAGGCAGAGAGGGAGAAAAAGTGACTCCACCCTATGTGTCTTACCCCATCCACTCGCCCCAGCCAAGTACCTAAGGTAGGTACCTAGGTATGTATGTATGTACGCATGAATCATAGATACAGACTTATACACGTCTTGCACAACCCTACCTATGAACACTATAGGTATAACCTATTCGGACCGAACAAAACTAGTCTCAGGTAGATGGTCAGTCCCTGCATCCGCGAAGTAGAAAGGAGGGGGGGGGGGGGGGGGGGGGGGGGAGAATCGGTTGGGCTACCGGTAGTGTTAGGAGGGCCCAGAAGGGAACGACGGCCGGGGCGGGCCTGGAGAGCACCCATGGGGAGGCGAGAAATCAATCCAAAAAAAAGAAACAGGCCTTAGGTATACGAGGAAAACTCGCGTCCATACCTTGCAACCCCTCCCCTTTCGTACGCCATACCACAATCGCGCACACTTTTTTTTTTTCTCGTCTATATCCCGTTGCATTAGCGCTTTCGGGTTCGGCTCAGTTGGGGTTACCCGACGGGCGCCCCCATATTGGATATTCAATCAATCAATCAATCAATCACGTTTGGGAAAAAGGACACCCCTGGCCCTGGGGGGTGGTGTTATGGTGTGGTAGGTAGATACCTACCTATCCTGGTAGGTGGTGACCTTGGCCAGGGCGAGCTTCTGTACAAGTACCTATAATGGGATGATGCGAGTGGGGGGGAGGTCCACTTGAGACACAGACACACCCACATATAGGAAAAGAGGGACGAGAGAAGAGAGGGAGAGGGGAGAGGGAGAGAGGAGGTAAGATGGGCCAGAATATTCCAAGCACATCACAGCCCTCGAACTTGGTCGGTCTCGAAGCTTGGTATTCCAAAAGAGGTCGGGAATTGATTTGGTCTGGAGGGAACACACTCGTCAAGAGACCCTATGTACCTATGTTGTTCCGTCTAATCGGTACCAGAGACCAGTATGCCATGACAATCGCGCGGATCCTCTCCCTCGCATAGGAACAGTGACTCAGCCACCATGCGAATATGCTAGACACTCCCCGTCTCATTCCTTCATCGACGAGGTACAGAACTGCGGATATTCGGCAACCTCGTAGGCACGCCAACAGACATCACCTTGTTGGGCTTCCTCAAACGAAAAGGAATACAACAGAAGCGGTGGCTTGGTAGTTTGGGTATTTTCATCGACTCCTCATAAGTAATCATGCCGTATCACAACAGCACCCCCAATGCTCATGTCAGTGGCACTCTTTGCAGCCGGCGTCATGTTCCATTCTTGTCCTCGGTGACCCACCAGTCTCAAGCAGGGCAGAATGTGGTTCGACCTTCGTCGCCCTTGATTCTTCACTGAGACAGCCGGTTGGCTTCTTTGAGAGGCACACTATGGTTCGACCGAAGAGGTCGGCGTCTCCTGTCTGCGCAGCTGACTTGTTCAAGAGATGTGGCTCCAAAAGCCCATCCGTTCCACATCCGCAGCCTTTTCTTCGTGCTTCCTTGCCAGGTTGCTGCCTAGCTCAACTCACAGGACCTCTTACACTCGTAAAGCTCGTCCACTTCGCAGATCACTGATTTCCGTCTCCTTGCCACCTCGTCTGCGTTGCGTCGTTACATCATGCGGCAGTCGGAGGACCCTGGGCTCCGGGCCTTGCAATTCTGGCGGGCTGGGAACAGTGTACGCATATGGCACGGTATCTGTGCGCAAAATCTGGAGAAGTCGCTGGCGACGCTGCTTCATCTTCTCAAATACCGTCAGGACATGAGTTGACCGACCGTCACAACCCATCGACAGATGTAACACGAAATGGTCACACGGGTTAGTGGTGGCTCCAAGAGCCTCGCAAGAAACGGCCAGTTCATGTCTCTTCGGTACGCAAAATCGTTTCTGGGATTCGTCAAGACGTCACAGCTCCTCGTTCAATCATGCTTCTTTTCGACGCTGACGATCCTCTTTCCGCCCATCTTTCTGATCTCTTCCTCCAGTGTCCCCTCCATGTGCATTTTAGCAATATCGTCGCTCCCGCCTAGACTCTGCGCATTGATCATGATATTTGGCACGGTCCGTCGGCCGGTCAGGGTGGCCAGGAGGTCTTGTAGCTTGCGGCCTAGTGTGGGAGCTGGCGCATCGTCGTCTTCCTCAGCAACGTGAGGTTTGGGAACGGGAGTGGTCATCAGATCGAGTTCCACCACGTAAGGAGCTGGCGAGATACTGTAAGTTTCTAAAAGAAGGGCTTTGGCCCGCTTTGAATAGGGACAGTAGGATTTGGAGAAGATGATAACTTTGGGGGATCTCGTTAGTACTGCACCCATTGTAGCCAAATGAAGGTGGGTTTGGACCTACTCGGGCTTTTCTTCAGAATGCTTTGCAGCTCTTCGCGCGCCATATCCTCTCCGTCGTCCTTTGCTTTCTCGACTTTGTTGCCGTTGTATGCGGTTTCCTCACCCTTTCCATCAGCCGCGACATCCGTGGCATCGGCAGCTTTGGCGGTGTCGACGGGGTATTTCGGCTTCTCCTTCGGCATGGTCTTCCTGCCACCGATACTGACATCGTCGTCGTCGTCGAAACTGATGGTCGAAGTATACGGGTGATTGCCTTGGACGGGCGACGCGTCAAAGATCCTTTGGTCCTCCTCGCGTTGTTCCTTCTGCCTGTCCAGAATCATCTGCAACTCGCGATTCGTTTGCGCAGTCAACTCTTTGTCGGAAAGGGCGCCTCTCAAGATGCCACGACGACGCGATAATGAGGATTCGGTGGTTTTGCGGAAGTCTGTGGTCGTACTAGAGCCTGAGAAGAAGAGGAAGTAGATCAAGAAAAGGCCAACAGTAAGGGCCACGGCCTGGCGGCCGCGCATGCCCGACATCTTGGGTATTTGTTTTCCAAGACTTGTTTCGACGCTGATAGTTCTCGCGCGCAGGGTGGTACAGGGGCAAGCGTTGAATTGGTGAAAGAGGTCTTGATATCCCACTCGATCACCACTTAGTAATATGCGCAAGCTGCTATGGTACACGGCTGCCGTAGAGCGTCGCTTCTGCCGGGTTTCTTAATAGAGGCAAGGGATAAAAACAAAGAGGTAAGAAGTAGAGGCAAGCAGAAGAAAAGAAGATATTGCGCGACAAGGAGAGTTTGTAATATTATTGTATGTGTCTACCTAGGTGAGAAATAATATTATGGCAAGGTGGATGAACCGCTCGGAGAATTGATAGGGAAATGAGGTCAATCCAAGTGCCACTCGGCACCCGGCGCGAGGGGGCGATGGGGGATCAGCTAAACACCACAGGGATTAGCCAGGCACCCCAGGCACCCCAGGCACAACCATTCAGCGCAGCCAAACGATCAGACAAGGGCGCAGGCAAGGAGAAGAAGCGGCTGCTCAGGGCTTCTGCGACTCACAGAACCACTCGCTGGGAGAGAAAGCCTGCGCTTGGACCTAGTGAGCCGCTCTAGGAGAGACTCCTCGGGAAGTGAAAGTGCTGGGAGCAGGCTCGCAGAGTTGCAGGCGACAGGCCAGAGAAAGTGACAGGGCACTGACCAGGCTTGCTAGGGCACTGACCATGGGTGACCAGGGCCTCTCCGAATCATCATCGGGGGTGATGGGGGCGACGGGGGCGGGCTCGGCAGGGCAATTTCAAGGATCTCTACCCCACAGAATCAGGCAATCAGGGGCGCATAGGCACATCTGGCCTGGAAGCCACCGCGTCGTAGCCTGACAATCGATCAACCACCATTGCCAAAAAGCAATCTGCCATTAGCGAAAAGCCTGTGAAGAACTCATTTCCGGAGGCGTCATGTGCCCGCGCTGTCGAGTTTCTATGACACATCCCTTTTCGATGATAACGGCCAACTAATTAGGTACCTACCTATAGCTGTATTCGGTCGTGATCGAGGGATGGGAAACGAGGAAAAAGGGGTCAGATCGACTTGGAGACGGCAGTTGGCAGTTTGTACATTGTCGTGGGTCGCGTGTCAGTTTTGTGGTCGCGTCAGCGATATCACACATCACAGCCTTGTCACATCCTCTTTTGGCAACGTGTAACGGTTGTACATATTACATGGGTATGGAGGGATCTACGGAAGATCCATTCTGCAACACCGTGGTTCTCCTTCACTCAGCCAGTTGTTACATATTCGCACATCGCACCTGTCTTGCAAAGTTCTTTCCAAACGCCGCGCTTTGATGTGGTATCCAAGAATATCATCATACAGGTCAGGTAACATAAGAAAGAGGCCAACTTCTCCCGTCCATTTCGTCTCATTTCGCATTTCATCTTCATGCCATCAACCCCCCCAACACCACTCTCTGCACCCCGATCATCTCTCTCTTGGCCGACTCTCGAGAAGCTTGTTCAAACTCGCGGACGATGGCTGAAACAATCACTTTTCGGATTCGCCCGTCGACTTTGGCGAAGAGATCACTGATCGCGCTCGTGCATGCCGATGGACCTGTCAGGATCTGCAGCAACCGCTGATAGGTATCGATCAGCGCGTCGCACAAGGTTGCAAACACTGTGAAAAAGTCTGGCGTGAACGGGAGAGGCGGGGTCTGAAGGTGGGTGTATGGTCCTTCGTTAGGTAGCAGCGTTGAATTCGGTGCATCAAATGGTGCCGGAGGAGGAAACGCCGACGCGCTAGGAAAGTTGACCGCCGGCATAGGAGCCAATGGCGAAGAATTCACCAGCGTAGTTGCCGACGAGGCAAAGGTGATCCCGCTAGCCGTAGTGTCGATTGAGGGTTGTGAACTATGATGTCCACCTTCCGGCACTGTGGAGGGCGGCGAAGTAGTCGGAAGCATGGGAAGGCCGATATCAGTCACAGCACCACTCGACTTCCGAGGTCTGGACGTCGTGGCGGCCCTCTTGAACATTTGAGGGATTCGTGCCCGACTCAGCGAACTTGCCGAACTGCCATCAGGCGGATGTAGTTGCTGAAAGGATTCAAATTCCGTAAACAGGGTATTCAGATTTTTCAGATAATCATATGCGACCGCAGTGCTATTTGCAGCGTTGGCAGCGGTTTGCGGCTGAGGAGGGTGAAGGTCCAGAATCGTCGGGAGTGACATCCCCAAGAGCATGAAGTTGACTGCGCGACGGGAAAGTCGGTTGGGCGTATAAGACGGCAGTCTTGTGATGTCGGTTTCGTGGAATAATACTGTATTGAACCAGAAAGACCGGCCCTCGTGCGCCCTTCGCAGGTATTCCAGTGTGGCTACCCTCTTGTGTGTCATCTCTTGTATCTGTGCGTAGGATGCGAGATTGTTGGATTGGTTTGCGACTGCCGCCGCCGAGTTGTTGAGGAGCAGGCCATTGAGCGCCAATGCTGAGGGCACGTCCACCTCTCGTGGAGGGTTCTCCTTGCCTTTCGTGGTGTGTGTGCTTGTATTATCTTCTGCAACGCTAACGTTGCTCGAGACCTTGTGTAGCGGCGCGCGATTCACGCCCGAGGGGTTGTAGACCGGAGCAATACTGCCAGCTGGAAGAGGTAGCATGTTGTTGTCAGCGGTAGCGTTGGCAGTCACATCACTGTTGGTTCGGCTGAGGAGATCGGGTCTGATGGGATTCAGGGTGACGGGCGCAGGAGGGGCCGTAGCCGTTCGAGTGTAGGCTGGTCGGGGACGAGGGCGAGGTGGTGTTGAGCCGGCGGCGGAGAGAGTAGCGTCGAGGGATGTGTTGGATCCCAGAGGTTTGTGTCTGCGCGAAGGAGATCTCGTGATCTTGGATAGGAAGCCAGCCGCACCTCCTGCTGACGTTGCTGCTGCTCCTCCTCCTGCAGAATTGGTTGAACTGATGGAGCCATCGCGCGAGGATTGAGACCGAGGCTGACTCTGGCTCTGGGTGATACTAGGCTCTGTCATACTACTGCCTCCTAGTTGTTTCTTCTTGGTACCACCTGATCAGGGCGATCGAGATTGCCGAATCAGAGCGGCAGCCCAGGTCAATAGTGTGCGCCGGACGAAATCTGCTACCACGCAGAAAAGGGAGCGGAGTTTTTTTCTCAAAGGGTACCTGCAGATAATAGTGTGTAAGGGGGACGTTACGAACAGACAGGGGGCCAGAGGGTTAGCAGAGGATTAGCAGAGGGGCCAAAGGTCATGGCTTGTGGGGAGAGGCGTTGAAGTTTGTGCCATTCACGTTGCGCCATCTGTTCAGGGGCCCATCGTCCACCCATTTCCGTCATGTGTGCATGCATGTGTGTCTTCCCACGCCTCTTCGTCCCACTCCCACGCAGATCAAGGGTCTATGAATACCTCGTAATGATATTCGGACGATTCCATCCTGAACAACTGCATGCACAATCCTCAAAGGCTGACTCCCGCTGCACTTGAGCAGTCCACACAGGAAATATGGATGTGGAGGTGCCCAAGCCTGGTCAATGGCCGGTCGATCCCCAGGACGACCAAGAGATCCGAAAAGATCGCATTTGGGTCGATGGCTGCTTCGACTTCACGCATCACGGTAGGTCTCCGCCATGACACCCAAAGGTAAGCCCAGTCTAATCCATCCATCCAGGTCATGCTGGCGCACTGAGACAGGCCCGTCAACTAGGTGCAGAGCTCTACATTGGCCTCCACTCGGACGAGGAAATCTTGGAGAACAAAGGCCCAACGGTCATGACTTTGGATGAGCGGTGTGTACCTTTCTTTCTCTTGGTAAAAATTTCCACGGGCATACAAAACTAAGCCTTCAGCAAAGAATCGCCGCCTGCGACGCCTGTCGATGGACAACCAAAGTCATTCCCCATGCTCCCTATGTGACGGCCCTGCCTTGGATCTCTCACTACGGGTGCTGGTATGTCGCCCACGGCGATGACATCACCTCTGATGCCGGCGGCGAGGACTGTTATCGTTTCGTCAAGGCAGCAGGCCGCTTTCTCGTCTTCAAACGGACACCCGGCATATCCACCACCGACCTGGTCGGTAGGATGCTACTGTGCACCAAGACGCATTTCATAAAATCCTTGACAGACGAACTGCAGGGCAAGGTTGACGGTGTCCTTGACCCAACAAAGGCCGCCGCTGGGGCTGAGATGCTTGAGAGAATCAAAGACTATGCCCTGGACGAGACAGCCTCGAAGCCCGGCGCCGAAGTCTGGACTTGGGCCAGCACTCGATCGAACAAGCTAGGAGAGCAGGAAGAAGCTGCCGACGCTGGTACATTCAAGAAGATCGTGCCTGGGAAAGGTCCCAAGCCTGGTCAACGAATAGTGTATGTCGACGGCGGCTTTGATCTCTTCTCCTCGGGCCAAATCGAGTTTCTCAAGCGGGTCAATCAAGCAGAGAACGACGAGGCTTATGTCGTCGCCGGAGTTCACAACGACGACGTGATAAACCATTGGAAAGGCCTCAACTATCCCATCATGAACATTTTCGAGCGGGGTCTCTGTGTTTTGCAGTGCCGCTACATCCACGCAGTGGTCTTTGGAGCTCCATTCTCCCCTTCAAGGGCATACCTGGAAGCCATACCTGTGGGGAAGGTTACTGCGGTATATCACGGTCCGACCACGTTCATGCCTTCGACGTTTGATCCATATGTCGATGCAAAGGAAATGGGAATATTCCGGCAGATCGAAAATCACCCATACTCTCACGTCAACGCCGCCGAGATCGTCGGGCGAATCATGAAAGGCAGGCAGGCCTTTGAGGAGCGCCAGAGAAGGAAGGGAGAAAAAGCTGTGGGAGAAGAAGCCGTTCGACAACGAGAGATCCTCGAGCAGAAGCAGGCTGCTTTGGAAGCAGAAAGGCGAGCTGCGATGGAATGAAACCAATGGATCGTTTCTTGAGTTCTTGATCATGCGGCACTCGAGGGCAGAGAAAGACTATATACATGTCGGCCCCTTTTAAAACTGCAATAGAATCTAGACAAAGCTTCGGCACGGATAACTGCAAGCAGTGTTAGCAAGATATAATGTCTTTCGGAAAAAGGGGAAAAGCACATACGCATCTCCATAGCTCGTTGGCCCGATCGCATACTTGACGTCCTTCTTGTATCCGTGAGCCACCGGTCGAGGGGGCAGACCATTCTCCCCCAGCACCGCCGTGGCCTTTTCGTGATCGAAATATGTCGCAAGGCCCTTCTCCCCTTCCTGCTTCACGGTCACCAACTGCTTGCTACCCTCCTCACCAGCCAACAACTTGGGGCTCGGGTTCGCCGCACTCCCCACCGTCAAGAGCCCCACCACATCGCCTTGTGTGACCGTGCTCAGTTTTGGATAAGCCCTTCGAACATCTCTCTTCCAATACGGGTTGTCCGCGATGTCGGCGGCCGGAGTGGTAACGGCGTCATCGTATGACTTCGGGTCGAGACCACCGGGGGTCGGGTTGCGGAAATGTTTTACGGGAACACCGTTGCTGCGGTTGGGGTCGACGGAAAACAATTTGCGGATGGTCTCCCAGATGCCGACGCTCTGTTGGGTATATTTCTGAAGAAGAGGGGGGAGAGTCAGTAACAGAGGTAAGGGCAATTGGGGGGGACTATGTTGTGGTTACCTTTGCAACGCCGACGACATCAGTAATGGGTTTTCCGGCCATTCTGGCCGTGGTCAAAGTAGACGACCTATCTCCTCCTGATCCACCTGAAGGTTCACACAGCGGCCACGGGAGAACTCGAAGTGAGAAGAGTAGGAAGCTTGAAGTCAATCTAGGGCTGCGAGGATGGTGGGTTGCTGGAAGGACTTCCTGCAACATCGAGCTGTCGGCTGAAGTGCAAATATCAAGGTCCGCCGTAGTGCTTGGCAACTGTGGATCACAAACCCTCTAAATGCACATATCATGAAACATCTGAACAGGGCGGCCACGGCGGCCTCTCCCTCACATGTTGTAGTTCTTTGGTCTTCTTAAGTTGGGAGCGCATACATAGATACAGAGAGACGGAGGTGATTGAGAGAGGAGTGCAAAGCACCCCAGAGTTTGATGACTAAAGAACATTTGCTATTGATAGAAAGCGAGAATGCAGAATGCCATCGTCGCTCTAGAAGAACCCCCCGTGTTGTGGACCAGTCGCCTAACCTGTGCCGCTGTAGCATGCCACCCATCCAGGGGTATCTATTCGTAGACAGTCAAATTCCCAACTCCCAGGGCGCCATCGCTATGCCGTCGATCCCGATTATCCTAAAAAGAAGCTCCTAACCGTCGACTCCAACGTCCTCAAAGACATCGTCGTCGTCGTCGTCGTCCACACCGGACTTGGTGTCCATATCCGAATCCTCCACTTTTGGCGCAACGTCCACACCCGTTGGGTTCAGCAAAGTGGTGTCCTGCTGCTTAAATTCCTGCTTCAACTCCCACTTGCCGTTGAAGTCGCCGGATTTCCACATGAATGCGATCTCCGAGAGTGTTTCGCGAAGATACGCTTCCGGTTGGTTGACTTTGGCTTTGAGGTCGCGCAGACCCCAGATGCGATGTTGACGGAAGAGATCCAAGAGCTTGTCGATAAGGAAATGCTTTTCCACACGCGCCGCACGATTATCCTTTATCGTGTTTTTCTTACTTATAGCGGTCTATAGTCCAAGAAGTTAGTTGTGTCCAGGCGGCACGTAGCAAGACAGTGTGGGTTTGGTCTGCTTACCTTGATCGCAGCTTGTCGTTCTCTCGCAGTCGTGATCAATCGGTTGGTCTTTTCCGGGTCGTAGTCACCGGTAGCAAAGATGGCTTGTTCTCGCTCAGGCACCTTGAGGAGCTCGGCCGCCTGCTTGTTCTCGAGCACAAAGTATTCATCGTTCTTGACTGGCACTGCTTCGAACTCCTTCGCAATCGTACCCGTGATAGCGGTCTGTTTCGGTATAGGCCGTCGAGTGTATGGCACGAATCGGCCCTTGTTTTCTTTCTTCTTTTGTTCGCGCTTGTGTCTTTCGTGGAGAAATGAGCGGCCTTGTCCTGGGTTGCCTTCTTCGTCAACGTCGTCCCATGCGAATGTGCGGGGCTTGTATCCAGGGAGGTCTTTCTCCGAAAAGACTAATGCCTGGCCGGGTCTTCGTGACCGCAGCTTTTCACGCGGCGCGGTGAAGAGGTTGTACTCTTTGGGCTCGTTCTCGAAAGCTGGCAGCGGGTATAACAGTAAGCTGACCTGTTGGTCATCTCATTAGCCATTTTCCGCGGAGAGATCATACGCTGAAAGGCTATTACAGAGGGAAGCGTACCCTTGAGGGATTAGACTCTGCGCCTTCTACCCTGATTTTGCCAATTTCAATCTCGTCGTCATCTTGCAGCTTTGAGAGTGTCTCCCATAAGGTTTTTGGAATGTGACTGAGCCATAGTTGTTGCTGTGCCTGTGAAAAATCGAGGTCCCCCGCATCCTCATACATGTCATCATCTTCGTCTACGAAAGGTGACGGCGTGTCGTCCGTGGGTTCTAGCTTGATATTCTGGTCGGGCGCGGGTTCTAGCTTGACCCTAGGAATTCCTGTCCCTTGCAGAGTTGCCATCTTGAGAATAATGGGTGGTGAAAAGAAGAAGAAATGGCTCAGGATGGAACGGTAAATAAACCCTTGGAGGTCAAATGCTGCGGAGGGAGGTTTAGGTTCAAGCGTCGCTTCGGGAATAATGACATCGGGCGAGCCGGGGTCCACGCGTTCCAGCCAATCAGAGCTTTAAAAGCGCAGCCTTGACAATGAGAGCCTCGTGGGCCGTGGCTATGGTTGGTGCGACTAGTGGGTTGAGGAATAATAGAGCAAAAGAATCCATTCATTTCGGGCTGTGCCTGACGAGGTCGTCACCAATACACAATACTTTGGTCCAGCCCTACTTTCATCAAACGTAGATTCAGCGTTCCTTTTGCTTCTTTTGCCCATTTACCACGGGAGTTCTACAAATGTCATCGGCCAGCTTCAGTTCGCATCTCGATGGTCAATTCGCCATCCATGTTGGGCCTCCACCCACTGCAAGAGGTTTTAGACATTACGCTGAGCAAAACCCTCCAATGTTTGAACGACATCGTTTACGGAGGCAAATCTGAACACAGTCCCTGAGCCCCATGCGAGGATGTGCCCATACATCGGCTGATGATCTTTTGCGGAGCAATGATGAAGGTCGCAAAGGATACTCGTCAACTCTCTATGGCTCAATCCGCGACTTATAGGTGGCCAGAAGGCGGCAACAGTGTGGATAACAAGAGTTGTCTCACAGGCTAGTGATGGTGTCAGTTGTGAGCGGCGCGGAGAGTTGGAGGTCCCACATCTTACACGAAATATTCCTTTCTTCGTTTGCGGACGCTGAAGCTTGGTTGAGTTGCTCAAGCAGGATTTCAACCATAGTATCCTCCAAGACCACGACACGCGATAAATCAGCATCTCAGCTAGTATGACAAAACCAATCCTGATGAGAAGCAACAACAGCCTGTTACCCTGTACCGTAGCAAGCAGAAGAGGGAAATGATAAAGGTTTCCGAGGATGGCCAGACTTGTGACCCTCCAGTTGTGGATGCTTTTCAAGGTCAAAATAGAACCAGAGGCTGCCGCCGGAAGCCGTCGCCAATGTGAGAGATAGCAAGGTCAACTGCTCCTTTTTGGGTGGCAGTGAGATGTTCTGATCGCTGCAACATCTTGAGGGGAAGCACCAGCTGCATCGCCGCAACAACGTTGATTTCCTGGAAACCTTGTCTTGGATGGTGGCCCGATATGGATGAATGGAAGTCCCCAGTAGGAGTCACATCACCCAAGGCGTATGCTGTCAGACCAATGAGCTCCGATGCAGTCATCTGGATGATCGTACGATATCTGGAAACCTTCTGAAGATTGCTGCTTGCGGAGGGGGTTTGGTGATCGCTTGGTAAGGGCTTAGTGCGAAGCTTCAGGAGTTCGATCAGAGCCTCATACAGCTTATACCGGGCAGCCAGGAATCTGAGCCAATATAGAAAAACCCAGAAGCTGTAGAAATAGTAGACCGCGTGGGATGGGTAGAGCGCCCACATAGTGCCGGCTGTCACGGCACGTACCCTCATCATATCCCATCCTGGTTCGTCTTTGCTCCAGTCTGCCATATCTTCATCCAAGCTTTCGCCGTATTTCAAAAACACATCGGCTGTGGCATGGGAAAAAGCTTGCTGAGCAGGGCTTTGACCCAGGAAATGCTTAATTTTCTCCAGAAGTCGAGCAACGCGGTGGAAGTACGCAGTAGCTTTGTTTGCGGTCTGAGAGGGCACGAACTCATGCTCGTCTTGGTAGACGTCGATTTCCAGATTGTCGAAGTCCTTGGAGGTAACGGTGTTCAATATGAAGAGTCTCATTTGCTGGCACATGTCAGTGGAAAGAAGGGGACCAGGACGAAAGCGACCTACAATGGCGGCTTTGAAAAGACGAAAGATTTTCTCTCCACGTGCCGTTGTGAATTGCGACATTCCTCGCAGACGCAACAAGTTCATGGCACCCCTGACATGCAATAGGTGAGACTGCCACTCTTCCTCCAGCGTTCGTGACTCGGGAGTTGTTCTCCCGTGCATCAGCACGACACTGACCATCTAGGTAGACTTTAGCACGGTGATCAGGATAACATCCCCTAGATTTACCTCGTAGAGTCCAAGGAGCCAAACAGCAAGCACCGTCTCATCTTGAATACTCGCAGCTGTGTCGCGGATAGTCGCGTTCGTCAAACTTAGCGCCACGCCATACTCTCGGCCAGTTTGTAGCCTCACGTCCTTCCCACTGTATCTATCAGCCAAGGTCATTCGGGACACTGCCATTGCAGCTTTGTGAATGCACGAGCGGGGATCAGCATTTTGAAGCAGTCCTGGCAAGAAGTCGAGGACCGGAAACGAATAAAGTCGGCCTGCCTGGAAGCAGAACAAATTGAGGAAAAAGCACAACGACTGATGTTGAATGTCGTAGCGTAAGGGAGGAGAGATGGAGCGTTGGGTTGGCGGCAGTTTCTGCAAGGCTAATTTGCTTGTATCATCCTCGACCTTGACTTTATTGCGTGCCAATTTGTCTGTAGCAGGAGTGCTTGTAGAAAATGGGATCCGTCCAGCGACGGCAGGGAGGATTGGGAATGTGGATGGGCCGGGTGGCTGATCTCCTGGGCTTGAATCTGAAGGTTCGCCTTTTGGCGGTGATCGAATCTGTAGCTGGACTTGATATGGGTATCCGGGGCACGGCTTGCGCGATTGGGCGCATCTCCTGCACCCTGGTTTTCCTTCGTCACACTTGTTCTTGGTCAGTCTGGATTTACCAATTTGAGGCGGAAATCCTTGCCTTGATCTTCCGCTTTTTGCAGCGAGCACAACCTGTACTTGATCTACCAGAATTTCCCATAGCATCCAATATGCATGAGGAGCAGTAAGGTGAGGGAAGCCTGTGGAGCAAATGTGAGACCAGAAAAGGAGTGGCAGCCTCCAGTTGGAAGGGCAGAAAGCGTTTGGATGCGTCTCACGACCGAGCGAATTGCTTATGGAGGAGCATCGACGGACGGCCGTTCTCCTCCAAGGGTCATAATTCTACTCCTTGATGGTCTCCTGGGAGTTGCCAGCGGCCCCAAAACCTTGTGCAGGGCCAACGATGTAACCGAGTGCTCAACGCTGTGTGGACCAGGGTTTGCTCAGCTCTGCCGTCAAGTCGGCGGTCGGCGGTCGGCGGAATAAAAAACAAGGCCACAGGTGAGTTAGATGCAGAGCCTCCATGAAGAACGGACGCAAGGACACGCGAACAGAGATTACTCAAAGGTCCCAGATCAGACAAAAAGGCGTCAGTTCTAGCTAGTGGAGGTCAGGATATCGGGCAACCAGCAGTCAGAGAATCCCCTCTTTGGGTGACCAAGCCTCTTCTGGCCAAACGCGCTGACCATGGCGGAGAGTTTGTCCCGAAGCTTGGCAATGATTAGAGCCTCTCTGACCTCCATGTCGACAGACTCGCAGGATTTGCACAGAGATACCTACCTAGGCAACTAGCTGAGAAGAGGAAAGGCTGATGAACTGGGGTCTGGGGTGGAAGCGCAATCACCCTCAAGGAGTTTCTCGGGAGCGAGTCAGCCTTGCGTCGGGGTCATGAGACAATCCAACGGCTTTTACACCACGACCAATATGAACTAGAAATGGGTGCTCTGATAGAGGACATGAAAGCATTTGGTCGACGAACAGGTCCCGAGTCTGCCTCTTGTTCCAAGAATAGCTGGAGGCGTCAATAGACGAGGTGTGCGAGCAGAGAACCGTCGTCTCTTAGAGTTGCTTGTTTTCCATCTTAAGGTGCCTCAGCCTCAACCGGACCACGGCCACCTGAGAACTCTGATTGGCCCTCGCTTGACATTCCTTATTCAGCGGCCGTTGACCTCGCATACACCTTCTGTCATGCGAATCACCCACTCGAGCCACCCTGCAAGCACAACACCACCTGCCTGCGCCTCGCCGTCATTCAGCTTTGTTTCATCCTTGGGCGATGTGTGGTCTGAAACTAGGCTGATCTTGTGGGAATGCGCTGTTTCTGTTAGGAGGCATAAGTCCGCGGAGAGAGGCATGGCCTCCAGGTTGGTGTTGGTCATTGGCGACCTCTTCATCCCGGATCGAGCGCCGGTAAGCATTCGTCTTGTATGGTCTTTGCACCCCGCAGGAAGCTAATGTTGAAGCACAGGAGATTCCGCAAAAGGTTGGGGCCCCCTCCTCTCTAGATTGCAGGCTGCAGCACTCCTTCTAACGCTCGGGGTCGCAGTTCCGCAAACTCCTTGCTCCGGGAAAGATTGGACAGGTGATATGTCTGGGCAACATCACAGATAAAGAGACGTACGATTTCCTGCGGCAGACGGCCCCAGATTTGCACATCGTGAAAGGTGACTTCGACACCGAAGCATCCAACTTAGCTTTGTCGAAAGTAGTCCAACATGGAGGACTTCGCATCGGCTTCACACACGGGCACACCATCATTCCCCAGGGAGATGCGGATGCCTTGCTGATAGCCGCCCGCCAAATGGATGTTGACATCTTGTTGTGGGGTGGTACACACAAGTTCGAGGCATACGAGCTGGAGGGCAAATTCTTCGTCAATCCGGGTAGCGCTACCGGCGCATTCAGCACAAGTTGGTTGGCCATCGACGAAGATCCGACTCCCAGTTTCTGCTTGATGGACGTACGTCCTCGAATGACAACGTTCCTCATGGACCCCCTGCTGACCGTCGTTAGATCCAGGGAGATGTCCTCGTATTATACGTCTATCAACTGCGAAAGGATGAGAGTGGAAATGAAAATGTGGCTGTGGAGAAGGTTTCTTTCAGAAAGCCATCTCCTGTCGAGGCATGACCGCCATCACACTCTATCGAAGGTGCATCGGTCGACTGACGGAGAGGTTCCGACATTATCGAGTACTGCTCTGGCATAAAGTCTCGACTCCACGCCGATTCAGTTCCGGAGCTACAGAACCCTGTTTAAGTCTTCAGGCGCGTGAGGCCATTAGGCCCCAGTGCGTCTACAAGCTACAATACCCATCACTTTTAGAATCCGTCTCCTGGCCGTCACTACCAGAAGAAAGGAAACCTTGGTCAGGCTGAATAAAAGGCGATATAGGATTTGAGGGTTACGGCGACAGACAACGGTCGGTTTGGTGGCCATAATTTTTGACTCTCAAAGGTGGTCTGATTCTAGGTCATGTTCTGCATGCCTCTAACCATGAATAACATCAGCCGTGCCCCGGTTCTTGTCAACCGATGTCCTCAAGTCTGTAGAGATATCGCAACTTCAACAGTCTTGATCCACCTGATGCGTGCTTCGGGAAGATCTTCTGCCGCGTACATTGGTCTCTTTCGTTTCGTCCTCTTCCGTCGGCTTTGCTTTGGCAGAGAGATGCCCACCCCGATATCATTTGTACTCTGTTCTGCCGACGTCCCTGTTCCAGGTTGTGCTTCATCTATTGATGACTGGCTCTTCTTCTCACCTGAACTCATTGTAGCCACATCAACGCCTCCCAACAACTCCAAGGTTGTGTCGCCGCATTGCAGTTTTGAAGATTCTGCGTCTTCTTCCTCTTGGTCGTTGACATTCTCCCTTTCTTCACCAAGTGCCGCTTCGTCACCATCCTTCTCTTCATGATGATGATTATTCCCCTCCAAGTCGACCTCCACGATGTCGTCCACGGTGCTGACACTTCCGGTCCTGACCTCCACATGGCAAAGCACGTCCTTCTCCTTGTTCCGAAACCATTCAGCGACACGCAGCGCCTGCGCCATTGCCCGCCCGCTGGCCTTGACCAGCACCTCCTCTTTGTCCTCGGCCAACGCCTCGTTCGCCTGCTCGATTGCTGCCTTGGCCGGTCCGCGCCCATGCCCTTTTGTGACATTTCCCCCGGCATCCTGAAGTGCGCGCCTCTCAATGTGCACCAGGTACTTCTTGACCCGCTTGATCGCGGCGACCACGGGTGTGCGACGCGAAACGTAGACTACTTTCGCCGCCTTTGTGCCCGAGGTGCGTAGGTCGGCGACGGGCGCGTGGTTCAACGGCCGACGTTGGATGGTGGCGTTCGGGGGCAAGCGGGCCATGTTTTGATTTCGTTTCTCGTGTTTGAGGGCCTTGAGTTCCGACGCCATCGAGAACGGCAGCGAGGATGCCGCGGAGGACATTGCGATTTGCAAGTGCAGAAAACTTTGGGCGTTGCTTTGTTGGACAGTGGAAGCCCGCGTGGTCGGCACACCAGAGGGCGGAGGGAAGGGGGAGTGGGAATGATTGAAAACTTATGCAAAGACAATGGGATGGGTAATGGTCTGCTCACATCGTGGGTATTGGCACGGTCATCCAGCCTTCCTTTTCCCATGAAGAGGAAGGTAAACAAAAATGTTTGGTGTAAAATGCAACGTGACGGAAGCCCGCATGTGGGCGCCGTGCGGGGGACATAAAGTCGGTGCCCGCGGTTCCATATACGAGGTACAGTACCTACCTAGGTACCTACCTAGTTGACTACCTCGTAACAACATGTACAGGGCGGGACGCAGATCATCAGTGGTTTTCAAAGACGCCGTGGCCTTGTCACAACGAATGGTCACCTCTGAGGTAAGCATATCACTTTGTAACACCTGCTGCTATCACTATAGCCGTGCTCGTGCTCCATACATTGCAAGAGGGCTCGTTCCCTGTTTATTAGACCAATAACCAATGACTCGCTCTTGGTATCTGTAGACATGAACTATTATACATAGCACACGCGCCCAAGTAGAGGGGTTCCGAGCCTTGCACTGTGAATCCCACCCACATCTCGGCGCATGTCACTCCTCTCCCTTGTCAGAAAGTATTGAGAACTCAACGCCGGTTGACCTGGCGAACTGCAACTTCGAGAGAAGAAAGAGAGTCGCGCTGGTGATCCACTGCCCCTCGGTCGTCTAATCGGCATCATATTTGGCTCAACGACTTCATCAACTTGGATGTTGAATTCTCCTGCTGCGCCAGACGCAGCCTGTTTTCGCAGCTCTACCAAGGCGACACTTTCTCAACTTGTCTCGGCAGAATTCATCCTGCACCGACGGAGCTCTTGACCCCGTCTATGCGCGATTCTGAGAACGGTAATGACCAATTATCAGCGCAGCCGTCAAATGCAAGCCAATCATCAGTTCCAAGTGATGGCAGGAACGTCGCATCCAGTGTGGATGTCGCATCCGCGGCTGTGTACGATACCGTCTGGGTCGCGCCAGACTGGTATTCGGTGTGAAGTGGTGAGTCGAAATAAGACGGAGATGTTCCAAAGTTGCGAGACACCAACGTCGATAAACAGCTGTGCTTTTGGATATCTGTGTTTTCCGAAGTCCAATCATCCAGAAGCGCCTGTATCTCGGCTGCATTCTCATATATGTCGGCGTCGTCTAAATTCGTCGTAGGATCATCGACAACACCCTCCCGAGGCGCTCTCTTGAGATCTTGAACGCTAATGCCCAATTCCTGCAGCATTTTCGCCATCGCTGCCGGATCGTTTGACAATCCTCCTTCGACTATCTTACTGACGGCCCGCAGAAGACAGTCTCTCTGAGACTCGACAAGTTGGACATATGCCGCATTCGGTGGTTTGGGTTCTCTTTTCGATTCTCGGTTGGTCGTGCAAATGACTCCATCCCGTTTGCATTTGTCACATATCTTCCCAGCGTTCCATTGACAGCGGGCTTTTTTGAGCCTGCATCGATCGCATGCCTTTGGCGTACGCTTGGGATAGTAGCCCGATATCTCTTCTGGTTCGGGAGACAAACGCTGGCGCTTTCTCTGTGGCGGAGATGCCGCCGGGTTGTCCGAAGCCGGACTAGCAGGTGGGTTTGAACCCTTGCGTTCAGGGACGATGAAGAACATGGCAAGGTCTTTCGATGACTTCTAGCCTCTGGGATGGATAGTAAAACTTAGGGTTTGGAAGTCTCGTCAATCCTACAAGTCCTCGACTTGATGTGAGATATATTTTTCATTCTAGTACAACGGCGCGCACGGGAGCCTCCGGTTCAGGTTCATGATCATGTTCCTCCTCGACGACGTTGGCTGACACCCGGAAGTCGGTTTGCATCCCGATTAGCGTAGCGTGACCTTCGATGCGGTTCCTGAAGAAAATGACGTCGCTCGCGCCAATTAGCGGCAAGCGGGAAAAACGAAAGGCCGCACTCCAGTTTCGGGCATCGGCATCTCGACGACGTCCAAGACATGGCCCAGTAAAGAGGGCAAAGAGGGCAAAGAGGAGTACCAACGTTCTGTGATCATCACGGCTTCGCTTTCTCTTTTCGCAGTGACGCTGACCAGCTCGCAACAATCTTTTTGCGGTCGAGCTTGAACGGCGGTTTCCTGCATGACATCAACTCCAGCACTTCCACACCCAAACCCCCAAGCCCCTCGACGTCCAGCCTCCTCAACGACTCGACGAATTCGGCCAGTTCTCCTCCCATGCGGTTCCCAATCTAACCATCTAGCGAGCTAGGTACCTCTCCACCCCTGTTCTCCCGACATCAGACGCTGCATTCGGTATCTCTTATCCGACTGAGCCCTGGGCCCGATCACAACTCACATGGATGATTCTGTGTATTATCAGCTCCGATCCAACCTCATTAACAGCCTCAGTGACGGGTACCATTCTCAATGATTTGAATTTCCAGTTCCAACTATTCAATCGCAGGCATTGAGATTTCTTCACGATGCCATTTGTTGCTTGGGAGAATCGGGCAGCCGCCAAAAAGGCGGCCGTGATGAAAGCGATTCCGTCCGAATGGCACGTGCCTCCTGATCAAATCCCCCTGGAAGATGATAACTCAGCGGCCATTGATCTGCCAGCCCAATACCTATCGGCGGATGAAACTGCCATCACTGAAACTCCCCCAATGGACATTTTGGCCCACATTCACGCCGGCATCTGGAGCTGCGAGGATGTTGTCCGTGCTTACTGTCACAGGGCTGCTCTTTGTCATCAATTTACAAACTGCCTTACAGAAGTGCTATTCGAGGCCGCTGTCAATGGTGCACGCGAGCTGGACCAGTATCGTCGTGAGACAGGCGGTCTGAAAGGCCCACTACATGGCTTGCCGGTCAGCTTCATGGACCGTTTCCGTGTTGCTGGCACAGAGACAGCCGCCGGCTTTATTTCCTGGCTCGGGCCTAAGGAGACGGACATGACTGAATCACTGATTGTCCGGCATATGCGGGCGCTGGGCGCAATTCCCTTTTGTAAGACGAATATGCCTCAGAGCATGATGCTAGCAGAAACAGTGAACAATATACACGGCCATACCAGTAGCCCCTATTCACCACTTTTGTCCAGTGGTGGTGCGGCAGGAGGTATGCTTGACGAAAGTGAACACGGGCGGAGACTTTGACTCTAACTACTAACAGGTGAGGGAGCGTTGCTGGCCATGAAAGGCTCCCCCCTCGGCTGGGCCACTGAATTTGCAGGCTCAGCACGTATTCCCGCTGCGTTTAACAATCTGTTTAGCCTCAAGGTTTCTTCTGGTCGCCTTCCAACCCTTGGAGTCGCCTCCAGCGAGACGAGCCTGCCTTCTAGGAATTCAACCATCGCCATGATGGCCTGGGACTTCAACTTGCTGCAATACGTCGCAAAGCTATCACTTGGGTCTACCGCGTTTGAAGAAGACCCTACCTGGATTGACATGCCTTGGAGAGAAGCAAAAGTCAGAGAGGTAACGCAGAGGCGCCCAACTTTTGCGGTGCTAGTGTGCGATGGCCACATCCAGCCTCAGCCGCCGGTTCGGCGAGCTCTAGTATCAACTGTTCAGTCCTTGAGGCGAGCCAACTATCAGGTTATTGAATGGAAACCTCCATCTCATGCAGCACCAGTAGAGACATACTTCAAGATAATCGGCGCTGATGGCGCACAGGCAACCAGGCAACACATCAAAGCAAGCGGGGAGCCTCCCGTTCCTCTTCTAAGGGATTGGTATTTCCACCAACCCACTGAACCATTAACCCTGTCGGAGTATCTCGCCCTTCTGAAATCGCTAGAATCGTATCAGACAGAATATCAGAGGTATTGGAAGTCCACTGGCCAAAGTACCTCGAGCAGGCTCCCAGTGGACGGAGTGATCATGCCCGTTTGTGCGGATGCTGCTTGCTGCAAGAACAAAATGACATATTACGGTGAGCCAGGAAGGCATAACAATATCAAACGCTAATTACAATTACAGGATACAGTGCCATAGTAAACGTACTCGACTTCACCGCCGTCTCGTTTCCGGCCGGATTCATTGACAGTCGTCTGGACCCAAAGCCCAGTGTCTTTGTCCCACTCAGCAGAGAAGATGAATCTGTGAATGATTCATGCATGTCTCCTTCGGTTCCAGGTCCAACTTCGCACGCTAACATCTGTGTCAGATGATAACTTCGCATTTCATGGAGCTCCCGTGGGCCTTCAATTGATGGCTCGCAGGACTGAGGAAGAGAAAGCCCTGAAGCTTGTTGAGATCATACTTCAAACGCAAGCGCAGTCGCCGGGTTGAATCGGATGGTGTCCGCAGAGCCATGACCAGGAGACCCTTTGCCCTCGGATCTCAGTCCAAATCACCGAATTGATGCTGGCCGTCTGGGTCCGGCGAGTTTCGCAGATAATGGACAAACTCCAGTTTTATCTCGAGGGCCCATCGCTGTTACGGGGGTATTCAACCTTGTGCCATGCGGTAGTGAGATTACCGCGAAAGTTGAACTGAGCCTCGTATGATTCTGGTTGAGAATTATAGGTCTCGTCGACGGCTTTGACAGCGAATTGCTTTCCAGCGAGGCGTTTGGGCACCACAAACTCCCACTGCTTCCATGACCATGATTTGTGGCCTTTGGATTCATCCGGGAGGAGAAGCGCCTGTTGCCAGGTTTTCCCGCCATCCGCGCTGATGTCAACTCGAACAATCTCTCTCCCTCCACCACTGAATGCGTATCCCTTGACCTGAACGGCATCTTCATCCAAGCCGTATCTCTGCAATGACTTTCGACCATGAGGAGAGCTTCCGGATACGTCCGTTATCGAAGTGATGGCGCTTTGCACAGGCGTTTCCTGGATAGCGGGCGCAGACGACCAGTCCACATCCTTGGCGGTCTGATTGGGACCAAAACACTTGTAGTCTCGCCGTTGCCACTGCGAGTGACTCTCTTCTTCTGCAAGGACGATCTTCTCGATCCATTTGACACTTCTCGCAGCGGTGTTACCTGGCACTAGCACTCGCAGTGGGTAGCCGTGGTCAGGCGGCAGGGGCTTGCCATTCATTTCATATGCGAGCATGACATCCCCTCTGGGATCGAGAGCCTTTTCAATGGGGATTGAAGCGCCGTATGCTTCAGCGGCGACAAATTGGACGTGCTTAGCCTCCTCCGACTCGCAGTCATCGACAGGAAATCCTACGTCACGGAGAATGTCTCTCAAACGAACACCGGTCCATTGTGCGTTGGAGATGGCGCCTACGTCCCACTGAAGGCCGAGGGCAGGTCTTGCTCCAGCAGTCATGTGCTTCCGACGGTTTCCCGAACATTGCAAGGTCGCGGTTATGGTGAAAGGTACAAACTTGCTTTTGAGGTCGCCAAGGGTGTATTCCTTTTCGGTACCATCGAGGAGCTCAACAGTTAAGGTGTGGGTCCTTTCGTCCAATTCCGGAACCCACAAATGATTGCGCACGTAGAAGGTGTCATTCGGGGTGATGTAAGATTCGAGAGAGTCGGTTGGTGCCTCGGCGTTGCAAGGCTTTTGAGTATGCTGCAGCAGCCGGGGGTTTCGGGTGGGATCATTCACAAAGGGATCTTCGACGTCAAGCTCAGCGACTTTACCATCGACAAGGTCTCGCGGATCGATGTCGCCAATGAAGTATTCTTCGAGCACATCATACACGTCTTGCTTTTGATGGATGGTGAAAATGTTCCAATATGGATCGATTGAGGAGCCCACGGCATGCAGAATGACGGGACCACCAGGATGAGCTGCTATCCAATCCGTAATGTCAAAGACGCGAGTGCCCTTCATGACCCACTTCCGCTCCGAGTTTCTGCCATGTTGTTTCACCTCGTCCAGGCGAATATACCTCTTGGGCTGTGCAGGGGGCGCCTCAGCGTATACTACTGGTGACCAAGTTACGACTGAAGCTGCGAAGATGGTACAGCCAACAGCGGTCCACGCAGTTAACAGCGCAGGAGATATTGGTGTCGTCCTACGCGATACCCGATTGGTCCAGCTGATTGACCCATTTTGGCCTGATGAGGAGAATAGTCTCGCATCGTCTCTCGGCCCGGGGTGGGAGCCGCACTGAGGACGCGTCACTCTGGCTGATATTCGCTGGACAAGGTCGCGAAAACGAGACAATTGGGGCATCTTGGAACCGCAAAATCGACGATGGCCTGCAAGCCTACATCCGGTTTGGGGAGAGGAGTGCAGCAGTGTTGGTCTACTTCTGGGTCTGCGAGGCCCCCATGGCCAACATTTCTCAACCCAGAACGTGTGCAAAATGGTAGGAAAAGGAAAATCGGGTCTGGAAAAACAAAGAGGGTTATTTGTTGAAGCGACCCAAGAGATGAGGAATGTCTGAAGAGGTGTTGGCCGAACCGGTGAGACCTCCTTTTCCCTCCTCCACCGAAGCGGAAGTGCGGACTGCGGGGCAGTGGCGCCCAGCCTCGTACAGCCTCGTCGATCTGGCGGTACATAACCCCGAGACCAAGATTCCATATCCCATCTGCCCATCACCGGTCCAACTCGGTTGATGGAATAGTTCCTTATGAGAATGAGGGAAATGGAACATCCTGGGCTACTCATTTTGTCATTATTGAGGCCGAGGGTGGCAGCGCAGCCAGCCCGGCAGTCGGTCACGTGTTGGCCAGATCCGGCCTCAGCCTCGACCGGGGTCCGGGAGAGCGGCAGAACTATTCAAGCCACCCAACACCTCCAGCGCTTTTCATTTGTTCGCAGACCTCAGTGAGCGCCGGGGGAAAAACTTCAAGTAGCCTGCCATTCGCCTGTCTGCCACTCACATCTCCAACCATTGGTTCAGCTCTCCCTTACTCATCCTCGTACGTCCATACGTCAACCAAGCATTTCCACGAACTTTTTGCCGCTTTGGGCCCCGTTTTCGCTCCCTTTGCAAAGCTGTTCCGACCTCATATACCTTTCCCAGGAAGCCAATTTGTCGACCTTCGCAAAGCATCCAGCACCTCTCCTACAGTTAAACAAACATGGATCCCGCCGGTACATACGCCAACTGCCAGGTCGCTCGGGATAGCTCACAAGAGTTCCCTCACGAATGCCAGAATGGCGAGCACCAGACGGCCAAGGACGAGCTGATGGAGAAGTTCGCAGCCAAAAACCAGCGTGGATGGAGGAAAGTGGTGCTCAACTTCACCCCGTCGTGGTTCGCAGCCACCATGGGCACCGGCATTGCCTCTATCCTCTTGCACAACCTTCCTTACAACGGTGACTGGCTGTACTGGCTTTCGGTCATCATCTTCTGTCTCAACATCGGCCTCTTCTGCGTCTTCCTGTTCATATCGATTCTGCGGTACACCATGTTCCCCGGCCTGTTCATGGCCATGATCCGACACCCCGTCCAGTCCCTCTTTGTCGGCACATTCCCCATGGGTCTCGCGACGATTGTCAATATGGTGGTGTTTGTGTGCGTCGAACACTGGGGGGTGTGGGCAACAACCCTGGCCTGGACATTGTGGTGGATTGACGTGGTCATTGCCGTCATGACCTGCATGTGGCTGCCCTTCGTCATCATGCACCTCCACCAAAGTGAGCTCTCCAAGATGACGGCCGTCTGGCTCTTGCCGATTGTGGCAACCATTGTCGCCGCGGCTTCGGGCGGCATCGTGGCAGAGTACCTTCCGAATCCGCAGCACGCCGTTTGGACGGTGGTGGTCTCGTATGTGCTCTGGGGCACCGGCTTTCCTCTCGCCATGGTCGTGCTCGTCATGTATTTCCACCGCCTGACGATCCACCGACTGCCGCCGCGTGAGGTCATTGTCTCGGTCTTCCTTCCACTGGGTCCCCTGGGCCAGGGCAGCTTCGGGCTCATGCAACTTGGCAAAGTCTGCGCCAAGGTCTTCCCGCAGACGGAAAACTTCGGTCCCGACGCCGGCAGGACCATCTACAGCTTCTCCATCGTCATCGCCCTCGCCATCTGGGGTTACGGGCTCGTCTGGCTCTTCTTCGCCGTGGCCAGCATCACCCGCAGCAGATTCCCCTTCAACATGGGATGGTGGGGGTTCACTTTCCCGCTCGGGGTGTTTGCCGTCTCGACCACGACCCTGGCCAAAGAAATCCCCAGCAAGTTCTTCAAAATCCTCGGCACCATCTTTTCCGTCGCCGTCGTTCTGCTTTGGCTGATTGTCGCTCTGGGGACCCTGAAGGGCGCGGTCTCAGGAACCTTGTTCTATGCGCCCTGCGTCGAGCAGTACGAGAAGGCATTGACCAACGGGCAGCGGAAAAAGGAGAAGCAGTTGAAGAACCGGCTGCCATTGAAACACTGGAGGAAGAAGGACGACGACGCCGACGCCGACGCAGAGAAGCAGCAGGTATAAAGGGTTCTCGGGATAGGAACTTCAGCGGTGGAGTACTGCGCACAGAATGTTGCATAGTAATACTTGAGCTGGTTGACTGGGGGTTATTTACGGGACTGATGGGATCTTTCCCCCTATATGGCTTGCGATTTTTGTTAACGATCCACATGTGACATGATGATTGCCAGCGGCTAGGAAGTCAAAACGTATCGATCATAGTTTATTATCATCTAATCTTCCATTGCCCATGAAGCTAAGACTTGTATATGTAGATGCCTCGGTGGTGAGGGGCCCCCAAAGCATCTCCGCCTTCGGTAAATCATGTCCGATCTTGGGGGGGTTTCCGCGCGCGCAAAAAAGTCAATGAGCATGTTTTCTTCAATCGTGGATTAAAGTGCCCAAGAAAAGGGGGGGGAATCTTGAAGAGCAAGTTTGCCTTTGCTGCTGGACAAGGCACTAGTTGATTCATCTTTCCCGCTATTCTCATTTTTCTTGGTATCTTTTTCTTCTTTTTGCTATTTGCTCTACTGAGAAAGCTGGGTTTCCGGACCGCGAAAGAGAAAACAAGGGTTGATCGACGGACCACGCCCTGGAAACCCCCAAAAAACGTCACTGCCGGGAATCTGCATAGTTGGTACATAACCGAGTACATCGACAACAGCAAGATCAAACTTACAACCGAAGCGCAAGACTATTCCCAAGCCTTCCTTCCCCCCTCCCCGGGCGAGCTCCTTAAAAAGGCAGAGATGGCACCGACGATGCTCAAATACATCCTGGGCATGCTTTTCCCGCCGTTCTTCATGGGCGTGAGCATTTTCTGTAAGTTGATTCCCTTTTCTTGGTCCCCTGTGCTTCATCCCTTCCCTGTGCGACGTTGTTGCACCCGTGCATGTCAATATGTATGTATCCGTGGATGAGATAGTCCTGGCCAAGGTCAGGAAACGGGTCTGGAGACAGGACACGACAGGAAAGGCACACAGGGTCAACGGACAGGCCCCAAGGGGTTGGAGGGAAAAAAAGGAAGGAACTTGTCAAAAAAGTGCTTTACACTTGATAAATTTGCTCACCACCGTCTCCCCCCCCTTTTTTGGGAGGGGCGCGCATTTTTTTGTCTAGATTTCGCAACTACTCTCCTGAGCAACCCACTGCTCACGCTGCGCGACTTTTCCGCCTTCAAGGAAAAGGCGTTTGCCCGGCTCTGGCTCAAATACGGACCCATGTTCGCCGACGATATCCCCCAAGACATTTCAGTCCTGCTCGCGCAGTGCCGCGGGCTCGTGCTCGACGTCGGCCCGGGCTCCGGCGAGCAGCTCAAGCGCTTCACCCACCCGGAGAACATCACGGCCATATACGGCGTCGAGCCGGGCGTCAGTCTGCACGCGCAGTTGAGGGACAAGGCCGGCAAGGCCGGCTTGGGCGGCAAGTACCACGTCCTCGCCGCGACGGCGGATCTGGACGCCATGATCCCGCAGCTGATCAAGGCCGGTCTTCTGGTCCAGCCGGGCAAGACCGGCGCGGTGGATCTGCAGCTCTTTGACGAGATCGTCTGCGTGCGCGTCCTCTGCGGCGTGCCCGACCAGGCCGCCTCCGTCGCCGACCTGTACAGCCTGCTGAAGCCCGGCGGCCGCTTCGTCGTCTGCGAGCACGTCCTCAACTCCCACCACTGGCCCGCCCGCCTGGCCCAGCGCCTGTACATGCTCATGGGTTGGCGCCAGCTGATGGGCGGCTGCTGTCTAACCCGCTCCACGGTCGACACGCTCTTGCAGGTCGCACAGGCCCGCGACGGCGGCTGGGCCGAGGTCAAGATCTCTGTGGACGACGAGTACTCGCCCTCGATGCACGTCACGGGCGTTTTAACCAAGAAGAAGAAGTAGAAGAAGAAAGTGGTAGAGGTTGTATAGTAGTGTTTGGTTTTGGACGGGCTTGGCTGAAAACGAGGGGGCGCCGCATTTCAACACATGCGTCGGAGGGAAGGGGCAATGAAGGCAGGTGAAGGCACCTTAAAGAAAGTCTGCTCCCCAAAACATGGGATTCAAAGCGGGAACAGTTTCCTTCCTTAGAGGTTGGCCAAGACTCAGCATTGCGTCGTCATCATGCTTGATCCATAGTGCTATTCCCTATTGTATCTGCGGATGACAATCCCCTTCACGAAGATCTTGGATATTGTCCTGTTCCGGTTTCGCTGCGCTCCGCGATCAGACTAACCCTCGTCTAGCTACTATTACAAGTATACTTGGTATGTATTGGAAGGTATCTGACAGAGGAAGTAGCAGTGTGCTAATTGGGCCTAAACCACAAAGAAGTACGAGTACAAGTATTTATAAGTATGTATGTGCACGTCTCCGAGTATCATGATGCGTAATTTCCCGGTTACCCTTGCAAGGCCCGTTCATTGCCTTAATTGCATTGCCGAGTGCGGGTTAATACAATAAGCCCTTCTCATATAGTAGGTGGTCACGCCACTATCTCTCCACTCCCTTGGCTGTGCGTGTACCCAGTCCTTGTACAGAGTACGTTTCCTCCTTCCGGCTCTATGGATGACGCCGGAAAACAAGCTCCGCAAATCCCAGACTTTTCTGAGCCGACTCTGCTCGTTAGATCTCATAGACATTCCCAAACCATGTGTCCCGAAAACCAAAATATCCTCGCCCGAGTCGTCATCATCATAAAGTAGTAATACCAAGAGAAAGGAGATTATACAGAGATTGATCTGTTTCCCGTCTGTCATGTGCCTAGTTCGAACTCGGACGGCGTCTCGAATCCTGTGGTCTCGAATGTCGCCGGCGACATACTCCTCCGCAGGCAGTCAACTTCCGCTTCGAGTGAAACTAGCCTTCCTCGCAGGTGACTATTTTCCTGCTTGACGAGTTTCTGCTGTTCGAGGGCTGTGGCGAGGGCAGCCTGTAGCTCGACGACCTTGCCCTGTGTGAGGCAGTAATTCAATTGTCGTCGTTCGCGATGTCGTCGTTGTCTGTTTCGCCCGGTCAGCATTCCATAAGCTGCCTGACAGGAAAATCAGGGTGCCTCTAGGCAAACTTACGCTTGTCGGTTTTGTTCTCTCCTGCGTTCTCTCCTGCGGTCGAGCCTCGCGTCAACTTGGTCCTTGCTAGGTTCGCTGCCACCTAGAGCGCCCAATGGAGATTCTAGTTGCGATGACTCTCCGGATCCAAGGTACAAGTCTGCATCGGGTGGGGGATCGTGGACGTCTCCGAAAGGCTCGAACCACCAGGCCGCGTCCTGAAGGCAAGGCATCTGTAGACTGCTGGACGATTGCCAGTTGTTGTCTGAGACGTACTCGGAATCCAATGAAGGCACGCTCGAAATCGACGTTTGGGATGCATGGCGGTCAATTAGCGTGGGGTTCGGATTCCCATCTTTAACCGAGAGGTGGGAGAATCCTTCCATCACTTGGCACGGTGAAGGCATATAGTGCTGAGAAACTTGGTTGTCAGAGTGACGTGTTTGATTCATTGAAGTAGCAGCTATCCAGGTAGGTTGTTGGTCTTGCGGCATCTTCGAGAAGGAGACGGCGGCTTCACACCAAGGTATATCAGGTCTCTCGAGCCGGTAAATTGGTCCCCGGGAACTGGCTCTTTTGCAGCGGCGCTGTACGAGCAGGCGTGTCGGACAACGTCAACCAAGATCCTATTCCAAGAGTGGGGTTGCTGCGGTACAACGTTATGCTAAGGATCGGCTGACCCTGCAGGTGTATCTGGGTTAAATTTTGCGATTCCTTTGGTCGGAGGATCGTGATTCCCTGGCTAGACGGGACGTCGTTGGTACTGAAGGATCGGCAGGACTATATACCAGTTCATTGTGGTATTGTTGGCGAACGCCAAAGGGCTGTACCGTAGCTGGTTGCGCCCTGCATGGAAGCATTTTCACATTCTAGACTCTGGCTTCACTCCATAGATATTAGTCATTTTGCCATAGTCCTACCTGGCTAGTATATCTGATGCTGCATTGAAATAAGCTCTCAGGGTGTCTCTTACTTCGTATTCGAGCCGAATGGCGATTTTTGCTGCGGCTCAAACCAAATCATCTGCATCCCAAGTCATATAGACCTCCATTGACTTGGCAAATGCCTTGCACCAGTGAGTACTAGTCGTCGACGAGCCTTTTTCGCCGTAGCTCAATCCAAGGTGGCAAAAGGAGAGATCAGATAATGAGAGGAACTGGAGACCACTCTACAATTCCGAGTGTCTAGGCCGCGCAATCACCTGGCAAGACAGGTTGGCGGGCGGCTCCTCCCCCCCTCTCCCGCCCCTGCAAGAAGGCAGCCGCAGATCGGAACAGGACTTGGGAAAAGAAACAATTTGGGTGCGACATTCCAAAATGCTGCTAACATTGTCGTAGAGTGACCAAAGTGTAGCATGTTGCGAGAGACGAGCAGGAATGCGGTCAAGGATCAACGTTCTACCTTAATCATCAGCCATGCGTCAGAAAAGAGAAGCGCCCGTGGTATATGGATTTCAAATAAGGCAAGAGTGCTTCCTTTGGAATAGTACAGAATCTGTGAGATGATGGGGGTGGACAGGGGCCCATCAACCACTTGACTCTCAGAGAGTAGGTATATCCGCCGGACTGCGGATTTTGATTTGATGAGGATCACTGGAAGTGGGAAGAGGTTGTAGATATCAGGGGATGTGTGTTGCGGGAATCCACACGATTACGTAGAGAGGCTAAATTCTTGGCCTGCGCTACAGTCCCAATGAACCGGCCAGTGGAGAATAGCGGATACTAAAGATACTGGGCCTGGCTGACAGTCCCGACTCGCCGAGTCCCTAGAATTGTATAGCGGCGGTGCCTTCCGGACTAGCGGAGTTACTAAGCAACTGCCATGGCTGCTCTGCTGCCGTACGTAATACTGAGTACTTCGACTCCCTGCTGCTCAGGACGGCAACGCTGACCTCCCGATACAAGGATGCCTGGGATATTGCCAAGCGAGCTCCGTATCCAGGCCCTGCTTCCGCCTGGGTGGGTGTTTACCGGAGCGCTATCAACCTGGATGTTCCCGCTGGACGCGGCCAGCTACCGCTACAGCCCGCCTTGAACGACCTGATGGTCCCGGCTACGAGCACATCAGACACCAAGAATTGGAGTACTGGAATATACCATTTTGGCCAAGCCAAAGCAGACCATCGACGATGATAATCAACTCATACAGGTATTGAATAAGATGGCCAAGCCCTCGTATTCTACATCGCCATGTCTCACGTGTGTTGAGCTATTGGTCAAAGCTGAAGGTAGAGGTAGCACGCTCTTGTCCTCCCCGATTGCTCCATTTCGCCATTTATTGGCTCGTATTCATGATGTGGCTTCAATCTCAAATCCTCCCCACCTGCGGTCACCTTGCAGCCCATTTGGCAACAGACAAGCATTCCACAAAACTGTGAAGCCCCGGCGCGTATGCTATAGATTTCTGCGGCAGAAGCGCTTAAGAGAGTCAACAATCATAGCGGGATTGATTAGCCGAACCGGTACGGCATCTCCCCCATCCTCAGGTCAGTCATTCAATCAGCCGTGCTCCTACGAGTGGCATGATATGGAGTTAGTGAAGGTTAGATACCATGTCTCCCTTCTTGACAAATGGTACCTTCTTCCTCAAGCGGAGACTGCATCCCGACTCTGTCAACGAGATTGCGAGACTGAGGTAGGATGAGGCTCTGCCAGGGCACTGAAACAAAGGCAGCTTGGGGACGTATTGCTGTAATGGGTTAAGATCCATCTTGGTAAGCTAGTTGAACAAAGCCTCTAGGGATGTACCAGCGACTTCTTCTGAGATGTATTGAATTCCGAGTTAGTAGCTGGGAGTCTTTCACTCAGCTTAGGGTACATTTTGGTGTCACTCTGTCACATTGCCGTTTCCTGCAGCGACGATAGTACGGGTCACAAGCTTAAGGCAACAGGTTGCTTTTCTAGCAGGTGCGTCTGCTGACTACTTGATGGTGAGTCAATCCCTCATTTTTCTCTACTCTTCTCTCATGCACCCATTCAGCCCAAAGCTTTAAGACGGGATTGCTAGACCTCACGACCTTCGCCAGGGCTATTTGAAGGACCGGAGACCCGGAGCACCAAAGCTGACGCCCAAGGCTGCAGACGACAGTTACCGATCCGACTGGATGATTGGCTCACAGTGCTGAAAGCCTTGGTTCGCTCTACCAAATGAGGTGCCAATATGTTGAACATGAGTACCAAGCTAGTTGTACGAATGTACGAACGGAGTCGACTGTACAATAACCTCCAGATGCGGATGTTGTGGTAAGGCGCATCAAAATGACCGAAAGTCCCCTCGCTCGGGAGTTGAAAGTGGGACACATGCCTCTCTGTCCGATGTCGGTGTCTGCACATTCTCTCTCCAAGTGCTGAACTCCATCAAGGTGACATACATTCTGTGATTTCCCTCGCTGCGTCCCTCGCTGCGGGTGAGGCTTTGCAGCAGCATTTCTCGGGGCAAGTTTGACTTGGCGCGCTATTCGTCGCTCCGAGAGCACTTCCTGTCCTTCTGAACATCACTTGGCCCTGTGGCTAGATACACCCGAAAAGGAGGCTCAGCCTTAATCCCCTTCCCCAGCAGAGAACAAATGGTTGTCAGCTTATACCCCTCGCCCTGAACAGCCCCGAGCGGAGAGCGAACGTGGGCCTGATTGGTCTAGGAGTTTGCCCGCGGCTATGTCATGCCGGTAAGACCTTGACCATTCTCCTTCACGGTAAGATATGAACGATTAGCCAACGTCACCAGCCTTTCTCAAATACTCTGGTTCTAGAAGGATACAAGAGGAATTTGTCACAATTCGAGACCGTTGATACTGTTGATACCATTGACATCGAGCATCAACCTCTACAGAAACCATTCTACTCGGCGCTTCGTCGGACAAAACCAAGGAACACGAGCCATGAAAGATCTACGCGTTATTGTTGTCGGCGCCGGCATAGGCGGCCTTTCTTCGGCGTTGGCTCTCTCCACGGACGGCCACGAAGTCATTGTGCTGGAAGGAGTCAAGGAATTTCTCGAGGTATGGGTTGAGACGCCTCATCTTGCACATTGCCTGGCTCATGTATTGACTAGGTTGGTGCCGGGATCCGAGTCCCTCCAAACTCGTCACGCTTGAGCCGGAGCTGGGGCGTCGATTTTGGCAAAATCAAGAAGGAGACGGCTGGTGGTATTCGCTTCTTGGACTGGACCGGCAAAGTGATCAAGGATGTACCGTACGACGACGTCGAGGCCAAGTATGGCGCGCCATACTATTTCATCCATCGAGCCGACCTGATCAACCTGCTCGTCGATACGGCGTCTCAGCGGAAGAACATCACCTTGAGAATGGACAGCCGAGTCAAAGACTACGACTTTGAGGCTCCTGCGGTGATATTGGCCTCGGGCGAGAGGCTCACAGCAGATCTGATTATCTGTGCCGACGGCATCAAGTCTGCCGTCAGGAATACCATCAATGGAGCGCCCATCGAGCCTCAAGACACCGGCGATGTCGCATACCGAGTGTTGGTACCGGCCGAACCGCTGAAAAACGATCCGGAAACGCGCCATCTGTTCGATGACGCTTGGGCCATGCATTGGCTAGGGCCCGAAGCGCATGCAGTTGGCTACCCCTTGCGGGGCGGAGAGCTCTACAACATCATCATCGACATCACCCACGCGACGGATGTGGGCAAGCCCATCGGCGACGAGGAATGGCGGTCCCAGGCCGACAATTCCGAGCTGGTGAAACGCTTCGCCGACTGGTGCGCTCCTGTACGCAAGCTCTGCGGCCTCACGGGGTCGTACCTCAAATGGAAACTCGCCGACTTTGACCACTTGCAACGATGGGTGCACCCGAGCGGCAAAGTCGCCATCCTCGGCGACGCCTGCCACCCAATGATGCCTTACATGGCACAGGGCGCGGCGCAAGCGACGGAAGACGCGGCGACGTTGCAAGCTGCTCTTCGCGAGTACGACGACCTCCATGAAGCGTTGAAGGCGTACGAAAAGCAACGCTTGCCCCGGGCCACGCACGTCGCCAAGAACACACGCATCCTCCAGTCGTGGTGGCACCTTTACGACGGGCCCGAAAGGGACAGGCGGGACGAACTGCTGCAACACGACAACCTCGACAATCCCATGTTCTGGGCCAACTCGGCGAGGAAGGACTGGCTGTTCGGACACGACGCCATGAAACTCCAGACCGAAGACGAACTGAAGCCGCCGCCGTTGGCTTCGCCGCCTGCCAAGGGCGCCAGCGTGTACAATGGCCAGTTCGCCGACACGGAGCTTCGAAGGAAATTTCGAGCCATGCGCGAGCGCAGTTAGCCATATGTCAATGAGCATCGTCTGAAACAATGGAAAATCTGCCCGCCGGGTTCCACCTGTTGAACCTGTGAATTCGATGTCCTATCTAAAAGCCGGCAGTGTAGTATTTCCTGGAAAAAGATCAGCGGCGTTGGCCTCCGATTCCATAACCTGCTATTCTGTTCCACATTCTCATCATTTTTTCCCTTCTTCTTCTGGGATTCTCTTATCGTGACATCTAAATGCCGCCGGTGGAGGCGTCCATGACGCATGTTAAAGGCTTGCATGCGGGTGGTGCAATACTCCCCTACTGACTCTTGCTTGTTTGATGGTGACACAGAATATCGTCGATTGGCTCCAAATCCGGCTGTTTGCCCGCCGGAAGGATGCTTCTGAAAGCCGAATTCTGGTTGTGAGACTGTACCTAGGTAGGCATACAGTGTATGGGACCGAAGCCGGATCGCGGACCTCCTCCGACTGCTCAGACACCTGTGATGCTAACAGAAGAGGAGGTGTTACCGGCAGACACTCCAGAGCAAACGGACAGGATGTTTTCGAAAACCGGATTCCATCAATCAACATGCCCACTGTGTCACTCTGAAGGTGTAACACCCGCTCCCTCTCCTCCACGACGTAATGCTGTCCGCATTCCCCATTGCACAAGGGCAAATTTGCGGCGGCGGCGGCAGCAGCAGCAGCAGCAGCAAGCACACCCTTGCCAAAACAGCTCTCCTCATGAACAGGGCGCACGTTTTCAAAGAGAGAGCAGATTGGCATAAGAACCATGGGCAACGCTCCGTCAAGGGCCAAACACGAGACGAGAATTTGCGAAAGGCGGACTCAGCGCCGGTCCAGCCAGCAGCGAGGGCACCGTCGTTCTCGAGGAGAATCCCGTTGCTGGAGCACTGATGGTCATCCATCAAGCCGTTCCCAGCGCTCGACAACAACTTCCGCATCCTCAAAACCGGACACGTCGGAGAGATCGCAAATGCAACCTCTAACGCCAACGCTCTATGGGCATTGTCTGCCGGGAGCAAATGCACACTACTCTCCACCTCCACACCCGCTCTGCCGGCGTTGTAACCAGCAACGTGATTTCCGCGGCCGACGGTTCGAAACCTCACCGCGCCATGACGGAGAGCCAGAGATCAATGACTCGGACGCGGAGACCTGGCTGGGACTCGCGGTTCCTCACGCTCCGCTCCCTCCGAATTGGGACCCTCGCTTCTACGCGGGCGTGCCCAGCAGGCACCGTGAAGATGCGCAGCAACTACCGCGCCGCAGACGCTTCGACCGACGACGACAGAGATCCACGGAGCACTATCGGTCTCCTCCTCCTGCGAGAGACAGGCTCCGGGGGGAGAAGATATATGTCGAGCCGCGCGACCGGTACTCGCTCGGCATGCGGGTGGCGCTTGTCGACGATCCGTATCTTCACCTTCGTCAACGACTGGAGGAAGGGGGAGAGCCTGGTTTCCGTCCACCACTGCGCGGGCTCCGCGCAGCAGCAGCGGGCGGTCGAACAGGCCTTCACGTCCGACATTCGCCGGCAGCATCCTTTCTTGTAAGGAGAGGCGTTCCATGGGCACAAGACTGCTGAAGCTGTCGTGGCGGTTCTCGCTCACTCGACACATCCCATAACACACAATAGCTGGCGGCACCTTTTGTCGAGTGCAGATGGTCCCTCCCTCGAGCCCGACGTGAATTCAAACACGTCAATTGTGTGATTCTTTGTGTGCCCCGCTCGAGTGATATTGTTCGCTTCACTCCAATCGTCGGTCTTCGTTTTGCAGGGTGAAGGTGCTTCCCCTGAAGAGTGACGGCGATGGCCCAACGACTCTGTGACTTCCACGCTGACCACAAAGGCAGTGGCAGTGATACTGCGCGTTTTCTTTCTTTCACCCAGTCAACGCAGTGAACCCTGGCTCGCCGCAGTTCTGCTACCATATAAATATCTCCATGTTCACTTTTCCCCTGACCATTCCGCAAGGCATGATCCATCAAGTCGCAAGGCTTTTCCCCAAAGGGCGCCACGATCAAACATCCCTGTTTTCAGATTCCCCATCGGAAGAAAACCCTCAACGACCCTGATCGGGTCAAAAAGTGCTTTTCACAGAAGATGACAGAAAAAAAAGTCGTCATCATGGGCAACAATTATTCCGTTGAAGGCATCACGTCCCGAGATCTCGAGCGTTGGGAACGCGACGGTCGCCCCGTCATGGTCGACCGGCAGCGTCGCCGCCGGAGTCCAGGCGGGCAATCCCACACCAGGCGTTCAGTTCGAATCGTCCGTGATGACGGGTATGGCGGCAGCGGAGGTGGATTCCAGCGAGATCACAGCTACCCGCGACGGCCGAGGGGGGAGAGCTGGTCGGGATGGCGTCGAGACGCGTTCCCCCCATCTCTGTCCACGCGCAGTGCTGCAGGGAGGCACCAAGCCGATACGGTCTTTGTGCCGGCGTCCGGAGCACGACCTGGCGGCGGCATGTACCGTCATGACACATTCCGTGGCACCGACACAGTATTTCACGGTCCCCGGGTGTTCGACTGCGGTTCGCGGTTTGCGAGAGGTCCAGGTCCAGTGATGGTGCAACAAGACTGGGTCGACCCGCCGCCTCGTCGCCCTCGCCCTCGCCATCACTCCACGCCACCACCGTCATACCGTGGTCCGCGGGACGACTTTCGAGGACACAATCCCCATTTCTCTGACGGCCATCGCATGCCACACACGCCGCCGTTCGATGGTGGCCACCGAGGACCTTACATGTCAGGCGGCCTGGGGAGAGGGGGCCCCGTGGGAGGAGGCGCGCGAGGAGCACCACCACCACCAGAAAGAGGACCTGAGAGACGGCGCATTGGGTTCAGGGACGAGTTGCTGTTGGAGGATGGGAGGGCTGAATGACCCGATGATTTGAGTCACAGGAACAAACAGATTGAAAAATCCATCTTCCCTCTTCATGATACGTCCGGCCCGTTCTGGATGCGAGGGGCCAAGAGCTGCTCTTTTGTTTTTGACGAGGGCATTGGGTATGCTGGCGAATTCGACAGAGATTTCCGCTCATGGTTCTTCTGCAAGTGTTGTGCGATGTCATATGGAACCCGTGGGGAACTCTTCTCGGCCCTAGAAAAGGGGCGTCGTTTGACTCGGCTGGGCGAGTGGAGCAGGACATGGACATCTAGGACTGATCCAAAGGGGACGGAGGAGAGTCGACCGGTGCTGAGATTTTCAGGACTTGGTATTGCTTGTCGCAGTCCTGGTGTGGACCCTATCCTTGATGCATGACTGTATGTCAACGAGGCATGCACCTAGATCGAGTCCGAACTACGGAGACGTACATACGAAGTCTCACTTGAGACCGAATAGAACTGAGACGATGGACGTATCATTTTGTATTCTCTTCTCATCAAGCAGTATGGTAATCATTGTCATGTCGAGGTCGTAGAATCGTAGCCAAACCGACAGGTTTGGACATATGCAATCATCTCAAGAGAAGGCATGCCAAATGATCGAAATGTATGAATGTCAGTGGAACGTCTTGTCCGCATCCATGGCTGGAGACCCAGTATCTTGTCCGTAATTCATTATCTCGCTGCGTTTGTAGTGAGGAGAAGCGTGGACTGTGGACTGTGGACCATTTGTCGCCGCGCGGACCCAAGCTTCGGTATCTCCCTAGCCTGTCTCAGCCCTAGGAACACCCATATGAGGGGGTGGAGGAGTCGGGACGTAGGCCGGCGGGTTGGTGACCGCTCCATAAGGATTGTCGTCTGCGTAGTGGACAGCTGTTCCATTGCCATATGTCGCCGCAGCAGGAGGAACACCAAACGATGCCCCGGGTGGAGGAGGGAACGCCTGATACTGCTGCTGAGGGTATGTTGCCAAATTCGGCATGCTTCCTGTGAAACCGCTGTCGGCATAGTTGTGCGCTGCAATCATGCTCGTCTTTCTTCTCCTTGCTTCCCGCTTCATTTTGTGTCGCTCACGTTTCTCCTTCTCCTCCTTGGCCTCCTGCTTCGCCTCACGCATTTCTTGCCACTCGCTGTAGGCTCCCTTAAGACCAAGAGCAGCTATTCCAATACTCGCCGCATCCTGCAACCTGTTCTTGTTCTTTGCTCTCTTCGCCTGTTCTTCAGTAATATCGCCCTCCTTCAATAACTTCCTCCTTGCTTCTCGTTTCTCCATGCTTTGGTAGACACTATGCGCGGCATGGATGGTCGCGACTGTCGCAAGACCCCCAGTAACCCACATCTTCTTGCGACCTTTCTTTATCTCTTTCTCATCTTCGGAACTGGAGCCGAGGTCAGAATCGGAGTCTGTGTCTGGATCACCCGTATGACGTGGGCCGTAGTCGAGCTCATAGCCAGGAGGCGGCCCCCTGGGAACGCTCATGGCACGGGGACCGCCATTAGGATAACCAAAGTGGGGTTGAATGGTACCTACATCTCGGGAATCATTGTACCCATATCCTCCATTTCGACTTGATCGACCATCATCATAGTAGTCGTCATAATTTCGGCGGCGATCACGCTCGCGGTCCGGGTCGACCTTGTTCGCCGCATCCTTCAGCCCTAAGGCTGCAAGACCTTTGGCCGCAAAGGCAGACACGCTTCGACTCCGCTTGCGCCGAGGGCTTCGGCTGTCGCGGCTGTCGTAAGACGATGCGCTTCGAGAACGAGCACGACCACGCGATCGAGAGCGGACAGAATCATAGACTTTCTTGGCGGTGGCTGCCACCACTCCGCCGGCGGCGAGATCTCCCAATCCGCCTCGAGACTGACTCCGGCCTCGACGACTGTCCGGGCTTCCATTTCTGCCGCGGGATTTCGATCGAGGTCCGTTGATGATGCGGTTGGTGGCCATGCCAGCCAAAGCAGAGCCCAGAATGTCACGCTTCGAATGGTGATGAGGATCGTTCTTGTCTGAAATCAAGCCATCGACACCTCCAGCCGCCAAGGCCGCGGTGATGATTCGTTTGCCTTTCTCGCCGCCCCAGCCGCCCTCAACTTTCCGGGCGCGGAATGCCTCACCCGCTCCGGCCAGGACGGCAGCTTTGATGGCTTGGGAGATTTGTTCACCCCGGACTTTGCTCTTGCTTCGATGTCGGGAGCGGTCGGACGACGAGCGGCGACCAGCTCGGCTGCGGCTTCGATGACGGCCATCGCGCGAACTGGATCTCGACCTGTCACGACTCTTACTCTTTCCGAGCAGGGCACCGGCAACACCCCCCAGACCAATGGATCCCAACAGCTCTTCAGTGGTGGACTTCCTGCGTTCTTTCTTTGGAGGTGAGCGGCTGCGGCTGCGGGATGAATAGTCTGATGAGTAGCGTCGGGAGCGGCCTGCAATAGATCAGTCACTGAAGCGACAATGCACCAGGAAGGGGGGAATTGCTCACGTCTGTCGTCATAGTCACGGCTTCTGCGTTTGGGGTTGTCGACGACCACGTAGTCATCATCGTACTTTCTGCTTCGTGAGACGTATGAGCGGTCATCGTAACGATCATCGTAATAGCGATCATCGGTGGATCTTGCACGAATGGGCCGATGGCCACTCTTGCGCACAGTGGTTTCACGATAGATAGCGCCGCGGTCCCCTGGGGCAAAGTCGCGGGACACTTCTTCAACAGAATCGACACTGTCGTCGCGCCGCTTGACTATGCGAGTATCTCTCGTATTTGTGTCGTAGACTGTGTCATCATAGTCATCTCTTCGAGATCGCTCACGAGTGCTCTTCTGTCGGCGAGGCCGGTCATCGTCGTAGTAGGACATGGTCGCTGCGGGTGGGGTTCAAGGTGAAATGAAGACAGGAGAAACTGAATTGACAACGTGATATGTAGCCCAGAAGAAAGACTGGAACTACGGAAGGATCGGGTCGTGGCGAACACGGTCGCGGGTGGTCCCAATTCGGGTTGTACTGGGAGCGGTCAGAGTTGGGATGATGAAAATGGGCGATTGCGAGGAGTTGGACGAAGGCTGCTTTTGAGGCAAGTTGGAGGAGAACTTGAAGGCAAGATACTGACCAGCTTGGCGGGTTGCAAGGCTCCCTGATGAACGTTGGGAATTGCAAGAGTGGTGCTGGTGTCTAAGTGGTGGCTGGTGTGGTATAACTGGAGCAGAACAAAAGGGCCGGTAGTAGGCGAGGTTCAAATTGCCAAAGGCCCGCGAGCAGAGGGCAGGTGACCCTTTGGGGAGGCAGAGCGTAGCTACGTAATAGTGGTTGGGCTTGAAACAGGAATCCCGGGCGTTGGCAAAGGTGAGGCTTAGGCAGCAAACGACGCCCAATTAGAGTGGCAGAGGCCTCTGTTGAGCCTGGGCAGTCGGGCAACTGGGCGCTGGAGTTTGCATTGCAACTTGGCAGCGAACCTGGAAGTCTTGTGAAAGGACAGAGAGTTGGTGAGAGGGAAACTGAGGCAGAAGTGAGAATTGCCCCTCCCCAGATGCGGCGGTGGCTGGATTGTCTGTCACTACCGCTACCTCGTACGAGTAGCTCAACGGGGCACCTTTGAAGGAGCGTCTGGCTAATGAGGCTATGCTCCTAGACTCCAAGGTAGACCAATCGACTCGCATCGTGTCTATTCCTTCAGTTGATCGACTGCCACGTCAGCATCCATGAGTCCTGAGGACCAAGGGTATGCCTAGCAGTCGAACGGGATTTGGAGTTTGGAGTTGGGGTCAGTATGCCTTCTGTCCTTTGTCCTCTACCTATTCCTGTCGAGGACGGTGCCGGCTGGGTCACCGCCTTTTCCTACTAGGACACAAGGAATGGGAGGGGTGGTACGAGTCAGCCTTGGGGATTTTCCTAGAGGCGAGAGGGGTTCGTGTGAGCCTTGGTCGAGGTGCACAGCCTTGCGAGCAAAGTGAATACGGTACAGGTGCGCGCAGAAAGATGAGGCGGACAGACGCAGGCTTCGATTCAGCTTCGAGAAAAAGCCTTGCAGCTTGGCAAGGTCGCCTTCAGCCCAGTTTTGCGCGTACCATTCATTCGGGGTTGCAGCAAAACAGGGTCTGCGCCAGACTACAGCCTCATACCCCTAAGAAGCAATTACCCCTGCAGCAGTCATCGCCCTGAGAGATTGACAAATGGTGGTTCTTTTGGTGCCTTTGGTGATCTCTGAAGAACCTGGTATAGAGGCTCCCGCCACGTGCAGAACAAAGACCGGACCTGAGTTCCTCCATTATTAGATTGAACTTTAATGAATAATACCTATTCTTACTGACTTGTTCGACGATCGATCTTTGAGGCTGACTGATATTAACCCGGTATTCCCAAAGCAGACTCTCGAACCAGCCATATTCCCCACGCTTCAAAATGACCTCGACCCCTCCCTACCAAGGTATCTCTGGGACTGTTCGGATTGCCCTCGAATAGCCGATTTTCCAAGAAGCGCCGCAGTTGACAAATGTCACTTCACTCACTGGGTACCTAGGTACCTAGGGGTGCAAGAAGGCCCAAGCAGATACTCGATATACTCGGTGTACTACTCGATAGGAGATGTGTACTCCGGGAACCCTGTCTCGGTCAACGAGAGTCTCCCCCTTTGCACTTACGGAGGTTTGCGGATGCAGAGACGGGACGCAGATAGCATGAGGGTTGTCGGGTACCTTGCTGTCTTCTGGCTGTCATCGGGTTGGTTGAGTACGACCGAGTAGTTGACACTTGCTGATTGCAGTAGCATTTGTCGGAGGTGTTTCATCAACTGGGAAATCGAGGAAAATAGAGTTGGTGGAGCTGGCCGTTGATGCTTGGCCCCGCAGCTGCAGGACAAGACCCTGACTTCCAATCGAGATTTTTGGCCTGGATCGGATTTGCCATGATCGCCCATGATGTCACGGGCTGGTTTTTTTCTGGCTTCGGCTGTCAGCTGAGGTGGAAGGGTAGAAGCCTTGGAAAAGAAAGGGCTGCTCCTCTGCTGCTGCCAGTGCGTATTCCATGCTTCTGCTGCTGCTACTTGACTGGGTAGTCCGCCAAGTACCCTCGTAGTGCTTTTTCCCACTCGACTCGTGGTGCCTTTCTGCAGTACCTCATACTCCGTTCCTCGTTCATTCTCATTTCTAGCGCTAGCTCCCATCTCCTTGTCGATCGGTCCATGCGCTTTTCCTTTATTCCACCGCATCAGCTACTCCGAAAGCAGTACTATGCTCAACAGCCCGTAGAATCTATCAGTCCACCGCCCTGCAATTCATTCTCCCTCATGCCCTACAGGCTAGCCATCCAATAATTGCCTGAACCCGCGTTGTTACCCACTTCGGCATTCTTGGTCAAACCCTAAAATCCACGAGCCTGCCGCCTCTTCCAACGCTCTGACTGGTCCAAATGGGGCTCATTCACCCGTGTCTGACATTCTCCCCTTGGCTGGGGATAGGGCGGCGGTTGGCTCCTCTGACGCACAGTGTGGAAGAAGTCTCCAGAGGGGAGTTTTCTAACTTAGAGTCTCCGGGACCCACCAATAACTTTTGGGGATCGTGATCTGTTCGTGTATCGGTCGATCGAGAGACATGGAACTGGTAGAGGATTCTCCCTGACTCCTCAACAGAACAAGCGAAGCCCCTTCACCCCTTCACCGTCGCCAGGTCAGCGGTCCTGACTGATAAACACTGCGCCGATCACCCTTCCTCCAGGCAAAGCTTCATCCTCACCTCGTCACCCGCCTGTGGGTTGTCTGCGACATGTTGGTGGAATGACGGCATTGCTAATTACAAAGTGCCAGGGGCGCATCATCCACCGCGGCTGGAGGTATACACAGTACCTAGGTAGTGACAAGCACGTTCCAAACTCCTGCTCCAGAGACATGTCTACCTGTCTACCTACATTCGACAACAGGATGGGGAAGTGGTTGACATAATCGCACTGCTTCCATCTCTCGTGCTGCAGGGTCTGTTAGCTACCTATATACAAAGCAGACCAGGAAAATGCTCCCATCAATGAAGCCAACGAACACTGCGCGTTCCGGTCCCTGTGGCTTTTAGAAGCATCGGCCGATGCAGGCTGCATGATGGCTCCCTCTTGCCCGGGAATAGCATGCAGCTCTCGTTAGCCTCGAGTCCTAATCTACCAATACGGGGCCTAAGCTCTGAGCTTAGGGGCTTGTCGGCCACTGATTCCTCGTTAACCTTGCAAGCCTTTGGTAACCTTACAGGGTGGGCACCCAGGTGGTGTCGCCTTCCCGCCGCCGCTGACATTGTTCCCACGACTCCACGAGAGCACCCAAGCCAGCGCGTGGAGAAGATCCAATTATTGCCTTTGGGTTACTAGCTTGACTAGCCTCAACCCTGGTCCGCCTCCCGCTCATATGCCATTCTGAACATTTCCCATCTGCTCTCTGCTCGATCCTCGATCGCGTCCCGCACTGAACGCCAGCAATCGCAAAAACCTGCAAACCCACCGAGACGACCCTCGCGCAACCTCCGGCTCAAGAAAAACCCCCATCGTGTCCTCATAGACCCTTTCTTCCCGTGCTCCTTCATTATCGATCCCTCTTTCCTCCTGCGTGGTGTAAAAGGGTTATACAGAAAATACATACCCTTGGTTGTCCCTGTCCATCAAGGGTCCTTTCTCTTCCTAGCATCTCTCACCAGCTACAGCATCTCTATACCAACCAGCCGCAGATCCTCTAGTCAAGCCCACCTATACCGTCGTGCTAGAGGTCAATACACTCCCCATCCATACGTGGTTCAGCTCTTGGCTACCGGGGACTCTCATTCAGACCGCCTCCTTTGGCAAAGCGCTTCTGTCTGTCTGTGATTTCTATCGTTCCTCTGTGAAGAGTGCAACGTCCCAAGAAATCACCGTCCTCAGTCCACCGGGTGACCTTCTTCCCTCTGAACCTTGAATCATCTCAAGCTGTTCGACATTTTCACCGGCCTCTCTCAGGCGTAGGTACCTGTCCAAGTCCTCTAGCTCCAATGCTTAGTAGCCTTTTCGTATCCTGACTTGACTTGACAGTTGCTTTCTCTAGCTCATTTCGGACCAGCGGCCTGTCCGCTGGGCGCGTGGTGAGTGCGTCCAACAATGGATGTACAGACGCAATCTCGAGGAGCACGTATCTTCTCGATCTTGAACGACAACGACTGTCCATCTTTCGTCATCCGCCCGAGACAAATTAGGCAGCCTTCTCCAGAGCCAGAGTCGGAGTCTGAATCCCGCCATTCATCAGACTCTTCATCCTACTCTCCGCCGCAGAGGGAAGGGCGGCCGGTTCTTCTGCGTCAACCAAAGTACGCGAGAGAATCGTCCATCTCCTCGGTCGGCTCGCCTCCTCTCTTGAGACTTTCGTCTTCTTCATCCAAGGGTTCCAGTTGCAGTATGGACTCCTCTCCGTCGCCTGCAACTCCGTTTAATTATGTGGACAACACCTTACTTCACTATGACCCGCTCATGCGCCAAGACCTGGTGGGCTACTTGCCTTCTCCCACCACCGTCACCCCATTTCTAGAACAACAATTGATGATCACCCCAACCATGCCGGATCAATTCTCTAGCAAGCTGATGCATCCCCTCACCCCTGCTCAGTATCCCATCGTGCCCGCACCGCTTCATCCCAGTCTCCAAAACCTCCCCCACCCCTCAAGGTCCAACATTGCGACCGCGCCTATCCCACCTCCCGTCGTCACCTCGGCTCCTGCGAGCGAACAAGCAAGGACCTCTCCTTCGGCGAGCTCAGGCGCCACTCCTGGGAAGAAGAACAAATACCCCTGCCCCTATGCGCAGTCACACAACTGCCAGGCCACCTTCACTACATCAGGACATGCCGCGCGTCACGGAAAGAAACACACGGGAGAGAAGGGGGTGCACTGCCCTATCTGCAATAAAGCCTTTACACGAAAAGACAACATGAAGCAACATGAGCGCACCCACAAGGGCGCTTCCGCGTCAGGGAGCACTAGCGATGAATCGACGCGTAAAAGCAAGGCTGCTATCACCAAAGACGCGCAGAGGGCCAAACAACACAAGAAGCTGGACAAGATCAACACCGAAGCCAGCCGTCGGTCCAGTCTGATCCATTCGCCTTTGTCCGAGGTGACGTCCATTGCACCTACAGCCATCGATACCCCTCTCAATGTCGATGAGTCTGCTTTCTATCACGACCCACCTCAAGTGCTTATGCCCATCCACACTATCCCAGAGAGTGTCTCTCCCAGCTCTCTCTATCCTCCTCTAGGCGACGATCCTCTACTGAACAGCACTTCAATCGGGCAAGTGCCTACCTTGGGCAAATCCAACGAGCACAACTTGGTGGGGAGTGGGCTGTTGCAGCCCATGCCACCCACTCTGACCCGTGGGTTTTCGGATCTGGACACCCTTGCGCAGGCAGCCGAAAGCTTCGACACTTCTTTCTACCACCAAAACTTGTAATTCTAGGACGCAACAATCTTGTTTCTCAATTTTTCTCTCTCTCCAACACTGATGATGCAGCCTCGTGAATGAGGGTGTGCATTGCTTGTCTTCATCGATACCTTTGCACAGCGCTGGCGTTTAGGGTATGCATGACTGCAAGCAAACGACGGATTCTGCTAAAATGAGCGGTTCTTCTGTGGCGCGATTACGGGCGAGGCGCGTTATGAAGAATTGGTCTGGGTTGAACTGGACATGGGTCCATTGACTCTGCAGGACAAAATAATACCGTCTTGCTTTATTGTTGAATTTGGAATCAAAGTATACGGATGAGGCTACTGGGCAACAAAAAGCACCCGGGCACACGAAAGGGTGGGCAGGGATTTTGTTTTTGGCAGCTCACTGTTCAGAATTGGCTGTCCATCCTATCACAGCCTCGCAATCGAACAACGCATTATGATACCCGCGGGTTGTTTTTGTGGGATGTCCTTCCGGCTTGTATTTTGACTACCAGGCTAGAGAAGGCAGTCGAAGTGGGAGGGTGCTAATATAAGGGGGTCACCGAGCACAACGAGCACATGTACGAGTACTACTATACGAAGATATCCTTCATTTTCATGTCCCTTATGGCATCAGGCATATCATGATGTGACCCCTTAAAAAAAACCTTGTCTCCATTAACGTTTGCTTCTTTCTCTCATGTTCCGGACACTGCGAGGATGATCGACAATGGGCTTTTTGACGATCGGAACCTCCATCCCCGGAAGGGCTGTACATATGATTCCGGGCCACATCCCTGATCCGCTCTTTCCCACACAAATCTATTTCCCTCTTCACTAGCGAGCGCCGCCGTTCACCCCATTGTCTTGACATGCTTACGTGCGAGGAAACGTAGAGATGTTTGCTACAGGCGGTATCTTCCCCCCCCCCCAAAAACGTCTCTCTCTCTCTCTCTCTCTCGCATATACAGAAAAACCAAGCTGGAAAAGGTACTCTAGGTACTTCTAGTAGCTGTCGCGGGCAAAATCCACTGGGGTTTTTTGGTCCTCGAAAAGTATCGGGGATTTCTTCGGACCTGAAAATCGACAAAGTGGAAGATATCGTATATGTACATGTACATGTACTTGTATGTGATGCTGGAGGAGACGAGAACACGAGGCGCACGCGGCGATATAATACAGAGGGTTCAATGCATGCATACGTACATAATTACCTAGATGTCACCTGCCTAGGTAGCTGCTGAGAGATAATGGGCACCTCTCCCTCGGATGTAACGACAATGAAGAGGCGGTTATGGCATGCTAGCGTCGAAACTATTATATATGGGCTTGTTGGAAACTCTCGCCTTGTCCTCCTCCTGCTCCTCCTTCCTCCCTCCCTCCTCTCCTTCTTCTTGTCATCGGTAGGTACTACTGCAAGGCACATTTTCTTCCTCACCACCCCTCCCCCTTAGACCTTGTCGACAGCGACGACGGTGTTGTCCTCCGTGATGGCCAGGGTGTGGGATTCGAGCGAATACTTGACCGGGTTCTTTGCTTCAAAGATCTTGTCCAGTTCCTCGAGCTACAATAGAGATTGAGTAATTAGCAATTTATCCTTTTTTTGGGTTGGAGGTAAATAGACAGACCACATCGAGGGCCCAAAAAAAAAGGGAGGGGTGGGGAAGAAAGGGGATGAGAAAGTTGACGACTTACAGTCCGCTTCCTGGTCTCCGGGAAGAAGAAATAAGCGAGCACACCCTGGACAAAAGTCCAGACCACGAAGATTATGTACGTCTTCCACTGGATCTCCTTGATGGCCACGGGCCAGGCGAATTGGTTGATCAGGCCGGCGGCGTTGACGAAGAAGGACTGGAAGGCCATGCCCTTTGCGCGAATCTCGTAGCTGTAGACCTCGACCGGGTACAGGGCCTGCAGGGGCGTGAGGTTGAACGAGTACCACGCGCCGAAGATGAAGATGAAGGCCAACACGGCGTTGCCCGCGGCGTGGTTGCTGAACTTGGCGTCGCCGGCGTCCACGGAGCCGGACGTGAGCGAGTTTGCCAGCGTGCCCGCCGACGCCGTCATGCACACCCAGATCACCGACACGCCAAAGAAACCGGCCAACATCATCTTGCGGCGACCGATGCGCTCGACGAAATGCGCGCCCAGCACCGCGAAGCAAAATTGCTCCACGCTGTAGCCGAGCTGGACGTTGGCCTTTCCGATCGAGGTGTTGACGCCGGCGGTGTCGAGGACCGCCGACATGAAGTAGGAAAGAGGGCCGTTACCGCACCCTGTGTTGAGGGAGATGAGTTAGTGGCCAGCGGGGGGGAACAAAAGAGGGGGAGAGGAGCCACGAGTGCTAGAGAAAACTTACATTGCGTAAAGGCAGAGAACCAGCAAGCGACGGCGGTTCGGTAGATGCTCGACTTCCTGTTGAACAGAGCACGGTAATCCCAGAAACGTTTGTCCTGTCAAAAAGTCAATCAGTCAGCTTTCCGTAGGAACATCTGCTGGCCAACACAAGGAAGCAATAACTTACAGAGCCGTCCAGCTCAAGGTACTCCTCATACTCATGGAGTTGGAGTTTGACCCAGGGAGACTCAGCATTGCCATAGCCGTGCCACTTGGTGAGGATGTCGTGGGCCTTTTGGCGCTTCCCACTGGCATACACCCACCTGGGCGACTCGGGCAGGAAGAAGGCGAACACAGCGATAAATCCCGGGAAGACCATTTGCAACCAGATGGGGATGAGCCACGAGTTGTTGCCCTGGATATCGAGACCGCCTCGGGTTGCGCCTGAGGACAAGATCGAGCCGGCCAACCAGGTGGTGTTGCAGAGACCCGTGATGATACCGCGATACTTGGGATGAGCCGTCTCCACGATCCAGATGGGGCCGGCCGCTGCGGCAATGGTGACGCCGAACCCAAGGACGAACCGACCCCCCATCATCTGTCCCTCGGAGGCATTGGCAGAGGTCAAGCCCTGAATGACCGTGCCGACAATGATGAGAACGCTGCCAATGAACATGCCCACCCGGCGTCCCCATTGGTCAATGCAGGGTCCGACGAAAGGCAGGGCAGAGACACCGCCAATCTGGTACATGGAGGTGATGAGGCCGGCCCAGATACCCTTGTTCTGCCCGTGGAAGTGCTTGAGGAAGTATTCCTTGTTGTTGAGCAGACCGCCGAACAACATGGTGTCATATCCGTTCATGGTCTGGCAGAAGAAGCCGATGAGCAGGCACGCGAACAGCTGCAGGGTGCGTGGGTGCAAGAGTGGCACATCTTCCTGGATCAAAGCCTCGTTGAAGGCCTCGCTGCCTCTGACTTCCTTGACTTCGATGACCTACAACACAGGAAGGTTGCGTTAGTCTTTTCAATTCTGGTAAGGACGGATACTAAGCGCCGTGTCAAGACATTTGGGGAGCTCACATCTTTGCTCTTGTCGATCGAGTCAAGACGCTCAAGGGTCTGCGCCGTTGGGTCAGCAATCTTCTCTGAAGCCATCCCGCACTCCAGCTGTTTCTGGATGGATAACGGTTCGAGGTGGAAGGAAGGAACTGTCTGTCCAAAGAGTGAGAGCTGGCGTCGGGGGAGGAACTGGAAGGGGTCATGAACGGGCTATATAATCTCTATATCCAAGGCATCTCTGTCATATGGCAGCGGAGCTTCATAGACCACCGTTTCTAGCCTGGTGTGGGCCATGGGGTATGCGGGATGGTCAGACCATCTGCCATCTGGCCGTAGCTAGCCTTGGGTAGAAGAAAAGCCTCCCGACATGAAGCCGATGGAGGAGGGGGAGGTCTGAGAGGCTCGGTGGTGGATCGCCACAGAGATGCTAGTATGGAGCACTGGCGAGCCCAAAGACTCCTAGCCACCTTGAATCTGGGGGCATGAGATTTCCTCCAACTGCTTGCGGAGTATCCGTACGGGGTTCCCAGGATATGGTGGATGTCTGGAGCTGGGATGCAGGTCACTGGGTCAACGATGCGGGTAGCTCTTCGGTTAGAGCCTCCAATCCCATTCTCCGGACACCGATGGCCTGACAGCAAAAGGGGAGCTTTGGGTAGACAGGAACGACGGGTTCCAGTCGGCCGAAGACGAACCTTCAGAGCCTCGCGTTCGCCAGATTGCAATTCCTCGTCCGAGCAATTGGTCTTGCCTCCGAGGTTCAAGCGGGCATTTAGTTCACGAGAAATCCATACTAGGTACTTTCCTGCACAAGCAGCCAAGGTCGAGCTGGGGGACAGGCGCCGTTAAACTCTCCTGGTCTGGTGTTGGCGACCTTGGCTATCCATGGTCATTCGCCGGGTCCGCGTCGAGGTGAGACGAACACCAGTCTAGAAGCCACACGCTTTGTTCCTTCAGGCTCTAGTGCCGCCTTGGTCGTAGGGAATATCCCTTCGAGTCTTGGCTACCCTCGGTCCAAATACTGTCGCGTGGTCATTGGCGGGAAATTGAGAGAAACGAACAAGAAGCGAGCAAGTGTCACTTCTTGTTGTCCTGCCGAACATTAAGCGGTAGAGCAGTGCATGTCCGGCACCGACCTTCAGTTTCCTGGAAATCATCGGGTAAACACGAACGATGTCAGGCCCCAAGTTCTTGTCAGTGGCGTCTGGTGCGGTGCCTGTCGTTGTCATTGATTATAGCATTGAAGCGCTTGTGGCTTCCTCGTGTTTTCCACATTTGTCCATGTCATGTCAACACCAGAGCTCCTGCAAGCTCTTCCTGTCCTTGCGCCACTGCTAGGTTGAACTTCGGGCCACGTCTTTGCTGGTCTTGTAGCACGGAAGGAGGACGGAACATTCCTTCGACCGGCTGCCCCTTATAGACTTCCTGCTTGGTATGGTGACTACGAGAGTACGGCTCCTAATTCACAGAGCACTGTTGTCAGTAGATTCTAAAAGCCTTTCAACCACGACTCGGCACTGGCTGGCTGATCCTCGGATGTAGACTTGGAGTCTTTGTCAAACCATCCAAGAGGAGGCATGGCACAACAAGATTGGTGTCTTCCATCTCAGCCTTGCGTGGTATTGATGGTATGTGATCGCTCTTCTTTTGGCTCTCTCGCATCCGTCTCAAGAGGGTGAATCTGACCCTGAACGGTGGCGTGAAAAAGCCCAACGCACAGACTCGTTTGGAAACCCTCAGCGGTCATCACGCTTCGATGTGCTTCTTAGACACGATACCGGAGGAGGAAAAGCAAAGGCTGCGGCTGCCCTTGACCTGGCAATCGCGGTCCCAGGATCGAACGTCTGTTGGCTATGTTCTGGGCCACTGCCTGTGGTGATCTCGAGCTAGGAAGCTCCGACTCCTCGGTCTCATGTTGTTCTGGAAATCATGCCAGTTCCCTCTTCACCCCGGTGTGACAATGCAGGAAATCCCTCAAGTCAAAGTTCAACCGCCTCCTGTTGTCTAAGTGGTCGACTGAGGGCCTTGACCAGGTCATCGTAATGGGGGCTCCACAAGAGCCGTGAGCATTTGGACGGTCTGGAATGGTGTTTCGCCACTCGTCTTCGCCGTCGATAACAGCTCCAACACCGTCATCCTGATGCTGGTCTTCACACATCGGGGGAAATTTCGGTATTGCTTTCACGCTCACAGTCACGTTTGTTGTTCAATATTCCCGCTGATCAATTTTTCAGAGCAGCATTCGCATCGGAACCCCTGTCTTGCCAACCAGATAGAGAGGCTGTGCGAGCGGCACACAAGCACCCCCAGTTGGCTCCAGCCGCCTAGAGCTTCTGGCCATCGAGGTGGCTCTCCTCGTCTGCAAACCTGGCTTTTAATTTCTTGGAAGATCGAACTTCCCAAGTGGTGCTCGGACTCTGGTCGATTGGACTCGGGTATCGCCTGAACGCACTCCACGAACCGAGGGACTCGAATGTCTCGGCCCCGTTTCTCGGTAGCTTGGCTTAGATCCTGCAACAGCTCTTACTTCTTGCCCGCAAAAGGGATCTGCGCTGGGTCTGAGCGCATGTGGGAGAGAGAGTTGTGTACAACATCAGGAGATCGAGCCCAGACTCTAATGCTGGTTGGCGTCCAGGCCCAGACCGAGTGTGTCAACTCCTAGCCAGCTACTGGATATGGATTGCCACTTCCTTCGTCAGCATAGCTGCAGCTGTGTCTCAGCCCCTGAATTTGCACTGGTCAACGTTTGCATGGATTATCAGCGGGACAAGAATGCTGGAGGGTGTAGCTGCCATCCGAGGGATGCTACTGTCAATCGGCCTCTCCTGCTCCTATCGGTCTAGAATCCCAAAGGCTATCTGGGTCTGTGGTGTCCGCCACCCTTCCTTTGCACCGCTGTTCCCTCCAGGGCCACTTTGTGATGCAAGGAGGTCTTCGGTCCAGTTGGCTAGACTCGCAGACAGTTCCAGTAGGGTTCCCAACGCATTGTTTGAGCGAGAATCCAGGTTGCGAAGCACCTCTACCTTCGTTTCAACCAGAGTCTTCGACACCGTCGACATATGCAGCCCAGAGAGCACCTCGCCCGAGACAAGTGCCGGCCAGGCAAGATGTTTCCGCAGGTGAGTAGGTGTAATGATCTCGATGGCGCAGAGCCATTCGGTCATTTTGATCATCTTTGCAGGGCCATCGGAATGATCGAGCCCTGCTACGCGGTCCCCTTTCATCCCACACCCAGTCATTTTCACCACTAGCATTGTGATGAATAGCTGGACACCGATGAAGAAGGCCCAAAGCAGGAACGCCGCCTCGTTGACTGCGTCCGGGGAGAAGATGTCCTTGGGTTCTGCAAGCTTGAACCAAACGGCGTAACAGCTGAAAAACCGGTCATACCCTTCACTGGGAGATACTTGGAACCCGGACAATGTCGTTTCAAGGGCTCTAAACAAATTTTGCCCAGTTCCTGTGTGTGCAATACACTCGTGAGCTGCAAGAAGCGATGCCAGGCCCTTGGAAAGCAGCACCTGTGAGCGAGTGCCGGGAGTCAGACATTCGGCATTGAGTTTCGACGAGGATGTCCGTTGCATTGGGGAGAAACTTGAATTAGACGGGATATCAAAGACCGACTCTTTTCCCTCATCTCCGATTTGTCTCGTAATAAGGGCACAACCTCGGACAAAGGTTGCAAAGTCGACGGCTGAGCCAGGCAGAAGAGTGGACTGAAAAGCCAAGGCGTAGCAAGTTGCCAGCATCACATCGTACTCGATTGACGAGTGATGGGATTTGGCGAACGCATTCTTCAGACCTGATATTGCACGGCCCTTGTATAATAACGCAGTGCACTTGTCATCGTCCACGCTGGTCAACGTGTTCAAGTGTGAAGCTGCTAGAGCCAACAAAGCATTCATCAGGTGCTCCGAATGATGACCGAGTTGAGGTACGTCTTGCGTCCAAGCTAACTTATTGGCCAGTGGCAGTGGAGGGTAGGCGAAGCAGAGGAAGTGGTGGAACAGCCGTAGATCGTGCAGCGTGAAAGATGCAGAGGCCATTGACATCTCGACGGTTGTCCCTAGCGAAGATTGCTTGACCTCCGTGGCCTTCCCTTGCTTCTTGATCCGTCGTTTGTTTGATGCTGAATACTGACAGTCCTTTCCCTTCGACACGCAGTTGTCACATTGAGGCTTCTCCTCTCCGCACTTGACATGACGGACCTTGCATGTATAGCAGCCCGCCCGGGATTTCTTGTGGGCTCGACGAACAGTCGCCCCGTAAGGGATTATTGTCAAGTAGAGGGCATCCGGGTGACTCGCCATCTAGTCTCCATGCGTCTCTTTCTCGCCCAAGAATGAGATCCTATCAGTACGACGGCGAGACAGTAAATCTTGCAGGGAAATTGATAATTGAAAGAGCAACGTTCACATTTCAAGGGCCAAACAAGAAGCAGCTTGTCTGCCTCGTCAGCTTGGCGAAGACTGCGCTATCACCAATCAGGAATAGTTTGCGATACAAATACGGTTTCCCTTTTGGGTTGGACGGCGCCCCACCGCCTTTCGTCATTGGACAGTGACGTCTTCATTCAACTTCGCGGTCTTTCTCTTGTCTCTGGTGGTCACAGCGAATTCTACCTTCAGTTGTCCCTTAGAATGTTGCTGGTGGTACTTCTTGCCCGAACAGTCATATGCTTTGCAAGAGTCCCCCTTCACTTACATTCGTCACCTGCTTCGAAAATGAGTTGGATGGACTCCTGGTCAAGACCAGGCAAACATGCTGCAGTGCCACCTCCCTTCTATCTCACCCAGGGAGAAGATGTCCCCTACTGCAGAACTTGCGGTAGAGTGATAAGTCAGTTACTGGTCCCCAATGGCTACGGAGCTTGGAATCACTGATAGTACCAAGGTAACCGCAAGCAGCAACAGAAGGGATCAGACACCATCAAATATTGCTCCGATCGATGTCGAAATCGAAAGCCAGGCCCAGCAGACAAAAAATTGGAGAGAATGATTGTGGCTCTTTTGAATGCAGAGGCAGGATCCGGGATTGAGAAAACCGCCGCTCAGTCCAAGCTGACCAAGGGCGACCGACGAATCATCCTGACATGTGAAGAAATCGAAGAAGTCATCTTCGGCAGGAGACACGATCCCACGAAAACATTTGGGCGCAAGAAGAATCGTGCGAGCCGTGCGCTGCAGGAAGATGGCGAATGGAAAAGCGTGGATATGGATGGGAATCACGATCTCTCTTCCGATCAGGACGTATCGCCAATAGAGGAAAGTCATCAACGAATCCGTCCAAGGGTCCGGCCGCCTCAGCTAGAATCCGATGTCAATGGAAGCATTGGTGGAGAGAAAGGTTGGGCCGAGCGTCACTCTGAAACCCCCGAAGAGTACGAAAAGAGACTTGAGGGACAGCAGCGCGCCGAAGAGCGTGAGATGGTCCGCAGGGCCGCGAGGCGAGGTGTTGTGTTTGGCTTTGATGTGGATTCCTCACAATCGGATGCCCAGACACAACAAATCAAGGGGAACTCAGGGCCAGGTCGGATTGCAATCAAAACGGGACATCAACCATCTCCACCGCCGCGACGAAAGTGTGAGGCGCTGATGAACGGTTCGGTAGTGGAGCCCAGTTTTGCCAAAGGTAATTGGGCTATTCGATGGAGGGAGTAAAGCTTCCGCGGCCTGCAATATCAACCTTGATGCATTTCGTCCTTGTATTATTAGAAGCATTTACGAAGCACTGGATCTTCACCTCACGGCCAGGAAACAAGAGGGCGATTTGTGGAGGCGGCTTGGGATTTTTTATTTCGATGCTTTGCATTTGAATGTGCTTGATTCGGGGATCTTTTGCTCAGATGATAAAGCAACCTGTAGACTCAGAAAGAGCCTGCAGGCAAAGATCTGGCTACCTATCATCAGCACAATCACCTCATCGGAGTAGAGAGAGGCTCGAAGTGCACGCGTACGCTTTCACCAGTCCAAAGTTCGTTGTAGTTCTCGCACTTGGGCGCCTCGCAAACCTGAGATTGGATACAAGATAGCCATTCTCGTCGAATTTTTGTCGACATTTCTTACATGTTGACGTGAGCCATGCCGCGGGCGTGATAACGATCTCCCTTGACGGGATTCCTCTTTAGGATGTCTGCAATCTCCTTCATCTCGGCGTCGTCGAGGTCGACCATCTTTGTGTTCTCGAGGACACGCTCGGGCGTGGTGGCGCCGGGGATGGGGATGATGGTGCCCAGCGTGACCTGCTCGCCACTGTCGACCGTGACGGTGCGGCCGCTCAGGCTGCGGACCCAGGCTATGGCGATCTGGGCCTTTGTCACACCCTTGCGCTCCGCGAGTTTCGACACCTCGTCGACGATCTGGTTGTTGTACTCGAGCACGTCGTCCTGGAAGCGCGGCATGTGCTTGCGGATGTCGCCCTCTGGGATGTCGGCGTTTTTGCGGACCGTCTCGCCCGCCAAAGCGCCCCGGCTGAGTGGGGAGTAGGCGACGATGGGGATGTTGAGGCGCGCGCACGTCGCGGCCACGCCGTTGCGCAAGATGTCCGTCGTCCACAGGGACACTTCGACCTCGACGGCGGCGATCGGGTGGATGGCGTGCGCCCGCTCGATGGTGCTCGCTTTGACCTCGGACAGGCCGATGCCGCCGATCTTGCCCTCCTCGACGAGCTGCGCCAGAGCGCCGATGGTCTCTTCAAGCGGGGTGTCGGGATCGAGCCGCGCACATTCGAAGATGTCGATGCCCTTGGTGCCGTCGAGAACCTTCAGGCAGTCTTCCACGCTCCGGCGCACGTTGGCGGCAGAGCCGTCGGGCTTCAGCTGGCCGGGGACCAGGCCGCCTTTGATGCTGAGCACGATCTTGTCGGCGTCTTCCGGGTGTAGTTTGAAGTACTCGTGGAGTAAGTGACAGGAGTGCCGCTCGGGCGTCCCGTAGAGTTCCCCGCCGTTCCAGAAGTTGGCCCCTTGCGACAGCGCCGTCTCCATGGCCTTGAAGCTGTCGCTGGCTGGTTGTGGATTCGGTCTCCAAGTCAGGCCCATCAGACCATAGCCTATGGGGCCGATGGGCTTCTCAAGGATCTTGACGTTGGCAGGCATGGTTCGATGTCCCTAACGGCGTTTTGAGATTGCTGGGAATGTTCTCTTGACGCAAAACAAGCGGCGCGCAATCTTTATCCCTGAAGGGGCCAGACGCGTGCTGTGTGGATGTGGTCCAAAAAAGCTTTACAGGACAGTCGTAGACCCAAGGGCAAAGAACGTCGTCGATATTTGGAACTTGGATCTTCGAGACCGATGTTGGGATTTAGAAAAGAGATGGCGTCAAGGATCGTTGCCTGAAGAAGCAGGTCATGATGTTGGTAGTGACGTTGGTGGAGCAGCGCGACAAGTCGATACCTACCTAGGTATGCAAGGTTCAAGGCGACGGAGCGGAGAAGAGCAGCTGCTTCACCTAAGTCCGTCGGTTCATATATACACGCCCAGGCACGCCAGGTCAGTAAAAGATCAATGTCATTGTACTATGCTATGGAATACATCTGGGTTCTGTAAGGTGTAAGGTAACTATTTGCAGGAACAGAAAGGTGTCGCCGACTTGTTGTTGGGCAGAAGACAGAAGGAGTTCATGCGTGTCATCCCACTGTAAAGACCTGAGGCTCCGAGACAGTAAGCCTGGGTTTTGTGTAATCCAAAAAGACCCCTGGTGCCCTTCCTTCGACAGCCACGTCCTCGCCCATGCCACTCCAATCCATGTACAGGTCAGCGTGTTTTGTAGAGCTTGGTTATATTCCCGTGCCAAAGAAAAAAAGTCAAGAGATGGTGGCCTCCCTTCCCCCCCAAAACAGGTAGAAACGCGCTGGCACAAACCACTTTTTTCCCTCCTCGCAATTCCATCCATCGCAGCCATCAGGTCCCCTGACCTCAACCGAGGAGTTCCTGGCTCTTGGTACAATCTTCGGGCATCAAGCCACGCCTTTGTGCATTGATCATGTCTTCGTTCAATTAATGGAAAACAGTGCGCCTGTCATGTCTTCCTCGCCGAGGCCATTGGGTATATGTTCTATGCTTGGTGATGTTGATGCCTGTGTTGCCAACAACTAAAAGGAAAGACTCCAAACCTTTCCTGCTTCATGCTTGTCCCAGCTTGTCGCCAGCGCAGCGGTCGCAATGCTGGGTAAATTCTTGAGAAACTCGTCACTCTGATGAAGGGTATCGTCGACCACCGGTTATCTTCGCACAGCAAATCCGATGCAGAGCCCGCGTTTGACGCCAAAGGTTCGAAAATTATTCAAATTGCTCATTTTGCGTATCGGTAACAGTGTCGCTCAGGTTGATGAGGAGCTGGGCCAGACATCGCTTGGTGGCAGCATCATCCCGGAGGACGTTGGAAAACGTCGCGTCTCGAAGTGGCTCGGGCAGGCACTGTCGCAGCGCTTGACGCGCTCGGTTGTTGTCACTGAGCCTTGCATAGGGTTTAGTTTGAAGCGCCGCATTTGGCAATATGGACCAGAAACTCACCTCAAGAAGCATCTAACTACGTGTTTCAAGAGCCGGACAGTCTGCGTCTCGACCAAGCCAATGACCATGTTGCTCAGCACGGTGCCGACCGCGTAGAATCTTTCATAGGTGGCACAGATGTATCCCAGCCCTGTGTCGTCAAGTAAGATCTTCTGGACAATGAAGATGGCCACAGTTTTGGACAATTCACTGCCCGTTTCCATAATGCGCAGGCAGAGCGGAATGATCTCCGTGGTCAACAGAAACGTGATCGTCGGCGAAGAGTTGTTGGTGCTACCGTGTGCTCCTGGCGTGCCTGCTGGGTTCATTGAGACACCAGACGAGGGTTCATTCTTGACAAGCGCACCAATAACACCGAGTGACGTGAGCCGCAAGTATTCGAAAGGTCTTGACTTGGAGGTGGTATTCAGGAACGGATAGAGAAAGAGTGGGATATGCGCTGGCAACAACAATTAGCATCGCATCCGCATTCCGATCCCATGAGGATGCGTACCATTGAGAAACAGGCCCCTGGTTTCATTGTGGCTTGCCACACACTGAAGCAAGGCCAAGGCGTTGCACACGCGGTTGCTGGCTGCCGCGGTGAGCTGACTTGGGTTCAACAGCGGATAGACCGAGATAATCTCCTGGAGCAGACTGGTCATGACGCCAAAACTGTGCCATAGGACCAACGCGAGCTCCGGCACTTGTTCCCTTTTTTTGCTCAGTTCCATCAGAGCTCCCTCCCTTCTGTTCGGATCCATCAACTCCGCCACCCATTGTAAGACCTTGCGATTCTCTTCCGAGAGTTGTTGATCCATGCCCGCCGACGCCTGTTCGTTCATCGAGGTCAAAGATGGGCCGAGGGCATTCTGCGCGGTGTCGGCCGTAGCCTGCCGGGTTGTATTCTGCGCATGGGAAGAGTTGTGGTTCGGATTGATGGCGAGTCGGGAGTAGTGTTGCTGCTGAGCGGCGGCGGCGGCAGCAGCAACAGCGGCAGCTTGGGCTTGCGCCTGTTGCTGTCCGTGGTTCAGGTTCTGGTGACTCTGCTGCGGACCGTTGTGCTGCCAGGAGGATTGATCATGCTGGTTGTATTGTTGCTGATGTGAGTAAAGATGCTGTGTCTGAAGCATGGTGGTTCGAGGGTCGAGTTCAGGTCAGGCCAAAGTCATTCTCAGATCGAAAGGGCGAGGCACTAAAAATGTCAGACACTCGAAGGATGGTGACGGTGACCGCAGTCCAAGTCACCAGGCAAATTCGAGGACAATGTGAGTGACTAAGATCGGAAGTATAGAGGCTGGACTCGACAATGGAAAGGAACAAAAGGGATTCGATGCAGGAAGTGCAGAGCGGGGAGCGGGAATGAAATCGGCCCCCTACTACTTTGCAGTCTGCAGAAAACTCGAAGGGGATCACGAGCTTAATTGTGGGTTCAGTTGACTGTGGCTCACTGTACATGCCTAACGAGGCGACCTGCCTAGGCGTCGTAGGCATGCACGAGAGGTGATCGTAGGCTCGGATGCTTGGCAGCTTAGTTAAGAAAGGCGCTCTGGAGCGAAACGGCGAGGTCTCCGAGGGCTCCTTCGTCACCTATTTGTCCCGAACTGGGGCCACCTAAACAGCCTTGTAGGCTTGTTTCAGTTATGCGATGATCCAACCACTAACTACATGCCGAGGCTGCCCACGCCCCGTACATCCATAGGTACGAGGTACACATTTCTTTAGAACGACAAGCTATCACTTTCCGTCTTCTTGCTGTGTCGCGGCTGTGTCTTCAAGATGGTCTCATTTGTGCATTCTCTGTCCATCATTGTATATATTCGTACTCGGTACCGTGCTCATCTCCATATACAGGTCTCATCCGTCCACTGTACCACGGCATTCATTCAATTACACCCCGTGTCCAACTTTCAGATCCAGACATCCGAAATTCCTCATGCCCAATGCAATATGCTCCGCTAGAAAAACAACATTGAATTTGGAATCATCATCTACGTTTCATCGTCTCGAGCGTGACCTGCTGCTTCGCCTCGTTCTCCGATCCGAGGAGCTTTCACTACCTGTTGGCAAAGTTAGCAAAATGTGTGAGGAAGACAATCCGCGCCTCAGTTGTACTTACTTGATCCCGTGTAATCGGAAAAGTAGGAACTGCCATAGCCCTCGCTGCTCTTATCGTCACGTCGATTTCTCCTCTTCAAACCAAGCCACAGGGCTAGAGCCCCTAATGCTGCAGCCATCCAGCCTGCTGTTCCCCATCCGCTTCTCCTCTTCTCCTCCACGACCTCAGATCTCCCGGGTCTGGTGCCAAACCACGTTCTTCGTCCTCTGCCATCCCTGTGCGAGTGTCTTTCCACGTACACTTCTTCTTCGGTACGTCTTCGCCGTTTTCCAAGGCCGAAAATGGCCAAAAGCCCGTCGATCAGTCCCTTGAAGATGCAGCAGGCGCAGAACAAGATGAGGAGGAAGATGCCTGCAATGACACCAATCACGATGCCCGCAATTGCACCTCCACTCAGCCCTCCACCAGAACTCGATGATGACGGTCCAACAATGATGCTGCCGTCCGTTCCGACAGGCGTTTGGAAAGGTGCTGTAGTAGTGGCCCCGGTGATACTCGTGACGGTGACGAGGGTGTTGCTGGTTGGTCGGAGCGGGGCGCTGGCGCTGGCGGTGTTGGTGATAACGGTAGTGACGGTATAGAGGCTGCTATAGTATCCAGAACTTCCCCCACCCACGGCTGCGCAGATTCCAGCGGATTGGCAGAACTGTCCTGACAGACAGCAGACATTGCCGCAGGGTGTTTCGCCAAGAGAGTATGAGCAGCTGATGGTGCTCGCCGGCACATAGGAGCTGTAGGTGGAGGTGACAGTCTTTAGATCTGTCTGCACAAACGTTACAGTGGTGTATTCCCATTGTCCGGCGACTGTTGTCGCTGCTGTTGCCGTGGCTCCAGCTCCGCACTGGGCTTCGTCGTTGGAATCAGTGTAGCAGACCTCACCAGCTTCGCAGCATAACTGTCCATAGTATCCGCAAGGGTTTTCACATCTCTTCTCGATATCTTGAAGGTCGTCAAAGCTCTGCAGGAAATCGGGCAAGAGTCCTGCAATCACAGATCGCGAGAGTAGGGCGGCGAGGAAGATCGAGGTCAGCGACAAAGGCGCCTCGGGGAGTCGCATGGCTGCAGCACAGAGCCGAGCGTTCGTTCGCAGTCACAAGTAGGTGTAAATGGGTGTCTGAGTGTTATGTTCGCATTGGGTGTATGTTCACCTTTGTTGGAAGGGTCGAGGTTGGGTTGTAAAGCAATACTTCCGTAGTCCAGCCGCGCAACTGTCTCGTGAATACCTTTGACTTTCTAAAGAACGGCAATAAACAAGAATTAGAGTATGAGAGAGTTGGAAACAATTGAAGATGAAAGCTAGCGTTGGGCAGAAGCGGGAGGGTTTTTTGGGCGCTCGAAGGTAAGGTACCAGCCTCCCACCGCCCTGCCACCGGGATATTTGACACACGAACAAGTTGAGACCGAGAGCGAAATTAGATAGCTTGCCAGGTGGCTGGGAGACAACAATGTGACTGACTAGGAAGATATGGCTCGGACCCTGCCGTCAAGAAAAAGATGAACAAGACATATTCGAGACAAGCACTGTTGTTTGGGTTGCTGCGCTGTATGGCGGCACGGTGCGGGACTGGCAGCTGCGGACTCTGGGAGTTGTCGGCACCCAACTGGCAGCGGGCAATCCGATTCCTCGGTTACATGTGTTGTCCAGCTAAGGGTCATTTTGCTTTCAAGTATTACTGGTGCGGCGAGGGCAAACACCCATATGCGATAATAAGTGTTTGTTCTGGTCAAGGAACCGTGTGATATTTTGTTAATTTTTAATTCCCCTAGAGCTTATCACAACGCCCACCTTTGCTGTATTGCCTGGTTGCCCTTTGGCCTGGAAGGCCCGAAGATCGTGATCTGCACCCGCCACAACTTAATATCACTAGCCACTTCTTGGCACAGCGCCACAGCATCACCTGATCCTCGGCAGACTTGCCTGTTCGGGACTCTCTGCTGTCGGAAGTCGATATGGGTGTTGTCGACCTTCACCGCATCTCGATCTTCCCTCCTTCGTTTTGTCACGATTCCGAATCTGTCAACTACGGAGTGAAGGTGCGGCAGTTTTGCTCGCCAAATCTACCAATGATCATTCAGCACATCTTGGCGTGAGGCAGGCACACAAAGACGAAGCTTGATGACGTCAATGGATTGGAATCCGTTTCCGAGCATCTCCGGCGAGGCTGGCACCTGGACAAGATGGGAAGGCGTAACGCGAACACCAAGGAAGGTAAATGGCGCTCGCCATGATACCTAGGTAGGTAGGCACGCCGCCCCAATCGTCGATCAATATGGAATTCTTCTGGAATCAAAGAACAACACGTAAACACGTGGGGCCGCCCACTATCACGGCGGGCGCATGACCACCTTGTGCTGGCAACCCAAGACCTTACTCCTGTACGTAGAGCCCAGCACTCTTTGCCGAAATATGCCTGTCCCCATTCAAACTTCCTGACCCAATCCTGTGTGGTACTCTCCCCCTGTCTTGTAATTGAGCTAATCCACGACTACAGGGGAGCGACATACCGGTTCGAGTGACGTTCATCCTAGTGGTGTGACCGATCCACAGAGCGAGTCCGGGCGGAGCGAGGCTTGACGACATTGAAGATCCATTCTTTTCAGCATTTCAATCCACTCCAGAAATCAGTACCGAGAACTGGCCCTCCATTGTCCTGAGCCTATACAGCTGTATTGCAGTTACATTACCTATTGTTCGAGACACCGCAAGTTGAAAACCTGCTTACAATGTGTGGACATTGGTAACGTCAGCTACTAAACCGGCCTCGATCACTTATGGCCAGTCCGGGTGTGTGCAAAGCAACCAATCAACCGGGTTGTCTCTGACTCTGTGCTCCTGGCACTGTCTCCAGTGTCCTTGCGGAGACTTTTGCCAGATGGTTTGGCCCTCCCATGACGTCGAGCTTCCCATTTTCAATACTAGAGCAATTTTCTACACCTTTGCCAGAAGTATGGATGTGGAAAGTCTGGAAGACGCGTGTGACCACGCCACAACGTGTGCCCCTTGCAAGGTATGCAAGGCAGGCTACGGAGAGGAACCGAATGGGCACATGTTGGGGCCAGGTCGGTGACAGAGACGGCCTGCTATGATATCTTCTGTCTTGGCGGTTGAATCCCAGCCGTTGGCCTTCTGCCGGTATCCGGACTGTGTGGGTTCCAATCTGCTGAACGGACAAGCCTTATCGAAAAGAGGCTTAATGAACGCGACGTTGAACCAACCTCAGATTAGTCACTCCGTCGGATGATCTGCCAGAAGCAGTACTGCCTAATGTTCCAGGAGCACGTCTAGGTGCATGTTGCAGATTCTCGGGTCCAATAAGCCAAACCCTTCCAAGTCCACTATTGTCCCTGGACACTAGCGGAGGATCCACGTGCCTGAAGGCCTAGCCACCAGTGTTTGCCTGGATGTCGCAGCTGTGGCAACCAGATCTTGAAAGTAAGTGTAGATCTTTGCGTGTTGTGCCTGCTCAGCTAACCTCAATGGCGCCCGGCTGGGCAGCAAACTCTTCTATAATGCTATCAAGCCTCTGAATGCCATTGTGCCTCAGATACAATTCAATGGGCATCTTCGCTCTATAGGACCTGACATGCTGCTCAGTGTCTCGGTGTCTGGCAGCGCTTCGTTTTGCGCCAGACTAGCTCGGCAACAATCGCCAAGGCTGCATGAGATCAACTTCTTTCCAGAACGCAGATCACGTTCTGGATGATTTCCTGACTCAGGGTCACGCGGCTATCTGGGGTCCATGATGAAGCGGTGCGACCCGAGAAGCTCAGATGGAGTGAGATACTGGTGGGCATATCGATACGTATGGAGAAGACCCTGCTTTTTCCATATTTCCCCCTCCAGTAATGATCGCTATCTATATGCAGAGACAGGAATGTTGCCAGCCATACCACTTCACTGTGGTACTTGAGGGTCAAATCTGCCTTGGTTCATCGAAAGGCCTGGGTTCAGCCCGAGTCCTCTGGCCTCCTTGAGAGCGAGGCCGGCTGACCGGATTGGCATTGTCCGGTACTGATCGTACTAGCCATGCTGCTCCTTCGCAGAGGTCATGCAAGGAGCCGTTGGTCCACCTCCGCGCCAACGTGCCAATTGAAGCATCGAGCTTAAGCTTATATTCCCTGGTCAGTCTTTACGTACACTACGAAGAGGCGTTCTCTATGGAGAGCATTCGCTCCTATGTGGCAGTGCATTCAGGATTATTGGCAGCAAGTGTCACTATTAGTGTGATATGCATGAGAATGAGATCCGAATCCTTTGTGATGAGCGCCGAGTGGCCAGAGCCGGTGAGTTGGGACGCAGCTGGCCAAGTCCAGTCACAGCCTTACTTCCCAACCCTTGACCATGGTATAGAAGAAATGCCTAGAATTCGCCATGTGCTTGTTTAGCGACCGCTCAAAAAAACAAAATCATGGTGTGATGCTGGCTAGATAAAGATGGATGCTGGGTACACTGTACGCTTTGAAGCTCCTGATGGCTGCTGTTTGTTGGTGCTTGCGACCTGCCTAACTACTGTCCTACCTTGGGGACCGGGTACTAGGCGTACCTCCATGCTTTCGTTGCCAGTTGTCCCTTCTCATTGAAGGCCATGCAGGGCTTGTAGCAGGCACTGGCGACATGGTACTCCCTCTACAGGAGCGTTTCAGCCTCATTCGCTTTATTGACAAGGCCAGTGAGGCCTAAGGCTGCGGGGGACCGATTTTCTCTGCCTTTGGTGGATCAGTACCTGGCGAGCTGGGTACCTAGTCATGGGAAACTCCGGCATCACTATGTCATTGAACAGGGCTGCCAGGGCCGCCTGAGCCTTCTGCTCGTAGGTCCTACTACCTTGCTCATACCAGCTAATACCATTGTTACTGCTGCCATCAATCCCACTCGCCAACTGTCTGCCATGCCCATCATTCCCACCATGCCCACAATTTGGAGCTTACGAGTCCCTGTAGTTAAGGATTCCCCTACTTCGTCACAGTGCCTGGGCTCGCGGGCACCCACGCACCCCAGGTGCCACGGCCCTACGGGCATGCCTGGGGATTACAGCATCTCCCAACCCTAGGTACGGACCCTACCAACACGCCAACCCTTGCGCAGAACGGAGCTCCTTCTATGATGATTAGCGTGTAATTAGCGCAAGCCACTTTCTGCCTCTCTGGGAAAGGTCCAGAGTAAGGTTGCATAAAGGTTCTGGCTGACTGATGAAGGCACAACCGGGTCTTGCTGCACAGTGAGATAGCGAGCTAGCAGGGGGTTGCATGATTAATGCGCCTTCTGAGAAAGGAATAGCCCGGTCTTCTCCATCTCGCGCCCAGGACCAGCCCAGGACCAGCCCAGGACCAGGGTTATTGCTGGGCCCTTCCAAGGTGACCGAGACGCCAGGACGAAATCGAAAAGTCTGCTCCGAGTGGACAGTGGTGGGCGTGTTGAAACCACAACAAGCATTCGTGCAGACCACCCTTTTACTACCTGCGCCAGCCTTGTGCTCGGACAGGCCTTGTATAAGAAATGCACTTGCCCCCCCACCATTTGCCTTCACAGCCCCTCCTCTCTCCAACCCACCCTGTTCACTGAACTACAAAGCAACTACAAAGACCAAAAATCAGAACTCATATCTCCTAACATCCCTTGCACTATCAAAACCACATCTCACATTACCATGACCGACTACCGTTCTGCCAACGGCTGGCCTCAGCAATCCGCCAACTACTCCCCCATTGACACCTCATTTCAATGGGACTACGCCGGCGTCCAATCGCCGAAGAACATGGTCAGCCACTATAATGATCTTCTGCAACGAGCCGCCGATTTCTACGCCACACTCGACAACTCCTTCGACAGCATGTCATCGTCCGGGTCCGACAGCTCTTACCGATCAACGCCAGAGCGCCGAGTGTCCCCGACGAGCAGTAGTGTCGTCGCTCAAGTCAAGAGCTCCATTCCAGACAAGATCGAGGTAAGTTCGAAGAGCCTACTGTTCCAGCGAAATCGTGGGGGCTGACAAATGCACAGAGAAGACGAGAACAAAACCGCTCCTCGCAGCGAGCATACAGGGAACGCAAGGAGCGCCACCAGAAGGAGCTCGAAGAGCAGATCACCCAGTGGCAGCAGAAGCATCAGCTGCTCTCCCGATCGTATTCACAGCAAACCGAGGAAGTCGCTCGTCTAAAGGCTCAAATTGAGCAACTCAACGGCGAAATTACCCAGCTCCAGTCTGGCCTGCCCAGCCTGTGCGGCTCATTATGCCAGTCGCCCCAAGAGTTCGACTTGGTGCCGTTCTTCAACTCAGAGGCGCTGAGCCCGCAGAGCACTCCTCGGCTATCGCACTCGTTTCCTAGCAGGCGCAACTCGTAAAGAGCTCAGCCGCCCGCCGCTGATGATGACGAATGAGTGATTTTTACTGGACAGCATAGCGCGAGGCTGGAACGACAAAGGGGCGTTGGGATGGACCGGGAACGCGGAGTTTGGGCGTTTGATGTTCAACGGATGATCAAATGTGCATTTGAGCGAGAGGCAAATTGTGCATTACATGTTGTGTGACCCTGAAATCTACGGGCGTGAGTGGTGTGCGTGTGTGGAATGTTTGCATCTGCGGACGAGCAGAGTTTCGGAAAATTGTCCTGGAAGGGGCCTACATGAGATGTCTTCCTCAGTCAGAAAGGCACTATAATGCTGAGTTACGATGACCAGGCGCTAATGGCTTGGAGCAGCCTCCATGGAGCGAGCTTTTGAGATAGAGAAATGATTTCGCCTCGACTTGGCTCGCGCCAAATGGAATACTACTGAAGGAATGGGCGGAGATCTCGAGCGGACATTGCCCACTTTGTTCCTGCCTGCCGAAGATTACAAGCTGCTATCACTTCTAAAATTAATGATCCTGTACCAGTTCAAATCCTCAATCACCACGGGGCAGTCACCGTCTTTGCCATGCTGTTCTCTGATGGTGTGTTTGTCCCATGGAATTCGGCACAGGTCCGGTCTCAAATTCCAACAGCCAAACCCTTCCAGGAAGTGGGTCTCTAGCAAATCGCCTGGGAAAATAATGGGATCGACCCCTCGCGGCGGCTGGGTACAACATGAAGTAATGAGCTCAGCAGGATCCTCTGAGTAAGAAGGTCCGGCTCTTACATAAGTTACATGACCACTGCCAGCAAGGGCCAGCACCCACAGCAAGGGCTCTGGTAGGAGCTCTCCCTTGACTGGCTCTTTCTTGGCAACTTCCACTCTGGGAGAGGTCCACGTGGGAGGGTGCGTTGAAGGATGGCCGGGTGCTGGTTGGTAGGTGGATGGTCACTGGTCGACGAATGTTCTGTTGGAAGCCCGACGTGGGCGGCACAGGCAAATCACCAACCCTGCGCTGCGACAATGGCCTTTCGAGCAGCCACAGAGTCGTATCAAACGAACTTCCTAGTGCTTCGCATTATCTTCTCGTGCTCGTGCCATCAATGGAAACATCCTAAGAGCTATTGACATCTGATGATGACCACCGCTCTGCCTCGTACACTTTTCCCGTTGCTCTTGGCACACACCAGAACCGGGAAGTACTCGTATCCCTTGGCCGCGAGCCATGACCCAATCATAGGCCTTTCGCGAACTACCCAGAAGGGGAAAAGCTCGACCGCGGGCGGGAAGTCACAGGGCGGGAATAGTTACTTTCTGATGAGGAGGTGCAGTGAGGAGGAAGGAATACAGCGAAACCCAGGATTTTCGGGTGCCCGGCTTGGCCCTCGAGCAAATGTTCCCATAAAGCTTGGGAAATTCTTGGGGGAATTTGCAGCTGGGAAAGATGCTGAAACAAAAACCGGCTGAATCATCGCATTTGCCAGTGACGTGGGCTGAGTCCTCTAGCGAGGGTCGCCCTGCTGCACGACGAAAGTCAACAAGTACCGGGTGCATGGGGCGTGATGGGGGGTACTGGGGGAGCATTATCAAAGCACCCCATGTCCTTGGCTTTTTACTCGTTAGGGACTCCGTATTTCTACCGGATGTCCAAACGCTACGAGAAGGCCCAGCGAACGTTACCTAAGCTCTCGCTTCCTTGAACGACCTTTACTGTCCCTGGTTAAGGGTCCTTGTCCGTAGAGCCCTGGACGGACATCCTGTTGGCACTCGTTTTTGAGGGTATCATTCTTCCATGGGGCTACAGGGGTGTCGCTTCTCCTTGGGAAACCCGAATTAGGGGGACACGGGTCGCCCGCTTCCTGTAATTTTCCTTTCAGCAGGTGCTTGTCGAACCACGCAATATGGAAAATCCCACTCGTCCAGTCGTTTGTAACTGCCAATGCACCCGAGGGAAAATTGCGAGGGTTGGAGAGCACAGAAGCCTAACGTGGTATAGTAAGCGAGCATTCGTCTCGCAGACCGACTAAGGCTCTTTTAGGAAGTCGTACTCCACATCATTCCCAGCTCTCCCCTGGTCCATGAGGGTCCCCGTCTCCGGCCCTGGCGAGGTCTATCGAGCGTTCGAGACTTCTGCAGCCCCTGGTTTACCTTGTCGGCTATGCCAATCGTAGGCAAGATACCGTCAGACTAAGCCTCTTCTGACAGGTGCACTAGTAAGCTGCCCGGGGGCCCTTGCCAAGGTAGACATAGTACATCCTTGTGGACTACCTGCCCCTTCCAAGGCCGGTGGGAAAGGCTCCAGAAGAGGTGTTTTGCCTTGGCTCATAACGTATCCTTAGATATTCACGATTCATGCAGGGCGTATAGCCAATTGGTGCTTCTGCTCCGACAGATCTACATCAATTTCACACCCTCACGTCTACATTTTTACTTCGTTGGGTGGTACCTCCGGACACAGCGCCCAGAGAGGAAATGTGGTCTGACCAAAGGCGTCCCATGTCCAATCATTCCTCTGGTGAAAAAGAGCCTTGCAAGGCGGGTCTTGCGAATCGGTTTCCTTCTCGCAGTGACAGACACTTGGTGGATATGTGGGTCCTATATCCACACCTTCCGAGACCCGCGACATCGGGCTTCCTCACAACCCCAAACGCTGCAAAGGGAGGAGCCACTACTCGTAGGCATCAGCTTCGCAGTAAAGATCGTCGATCATGACTCGAATCGAATGCTCCATTCGATCCCCCAGCATGCAGCATGATGTCTGGCTGTATCATTTCATTCCTTAACGGTCGCATCAAGCGCCAAAGAAGATCGGATCCCTTCCGACTTCGCCGGCACTACGAAGTTTCCAGAATTCTACTGAATATGATCACGATCGTCCCTCTGCAGCGGATGCTCGACAGATTTTCAGACCCTGAATTCTACAGCTCACAGGTGGGCAGGCGTCGCAACCCACGGACTCCCGGCGCTTCGCTCCCTCAAGGACCCTTACCACTGTAACACTCCCACGCATCTCAAGAAGCGGTGTCGTTTGGCCGCCATCGTTACATTTTCCTCCGCGCTGCAATGCCTGTGCACGCCCCATTTTTGGTTAGGAGGCTGTGTCTACACCGGAGATATTCTCACGTCGGCCCTCTCCCCCTCAGCAATTTCCTCTTGACCCCTCGCGGTCAAAGCGAATCTATCTCGTAATAAATCCAGGAACAGAACTATTGACCGACCACTAAGCCAGAGCGGCCATCTTCGCTTCCGGCTTCGCTTCCGGTAAAACACCGGGGCTTTGGAGAGATTTCTGTTTGGCATGGAGAACTTGGATGTTCTTCGCTGTCCACATCATCAGTTGTAGATACGCTTGCGTCATTGAAAGTACTACTGCATATGATCCCGCAACACCGAGAATTGATGCAGGTTGCAGAGAGTAGATGAGTAGTTGGCACCGCTGCCCATTCCATCGTGGTTGTGGGTTGATACACGCCCGGATCTGCTCTCAAGCTCGCGCGCTCTTCGGGATGCAGCCGTGGGCACTGTTGATCCGGGGACCAACTTGAGAATCATCGGAAGGATGCCGATTATAAAGATGAAACGAAGAGCTGCTCTCCTGCGACCTACTCAGTTGGGAATTGGGGTTGGGAGTTACGAAATCAAGGTTACAAGGTCTGAAAAAATTTTGGTCGAACCATCATAACCATGGCACCACGAACATGATAGCAGGCTATACCATTGTCCCTTCGCAGATATCCGTCCTGTTCTCTACCGTCCCTATTCGAAGCGCAAGCAATCCTTCCATGTGAATTCGAGGTTCGGACTTACCAAGCAGGCTCTGTCGTCGGACCTAATCGGCGAGTAGAGGCTGGCTCCGCGAAGCCATGGCCTTGGTTGAATTGACGCCTACGCGGGTACTCGACGGTATAGGCGAATAAGATCTGGGGCAGCGAGGGTGGCCTGCAGTCTCAAGAAGGCACCATATCATAAAGACATACCTTGGAGGTTTCGACCTTGTTCGCGAACAGAACCTACCCGTGCGTTGCTTGCGTTCCTCGAGAGAGCCATCGAGTTGTCTGGAATCGACGCTATGTGATTATCGCACAGGGTGAACCGTCTGGCATTCACGACACAGGCAGCCATTCGTCACATACCGGGTCCCACTGCGAGGCAGATCTATATACCGCAGATATCATCACAAAACGCAAGATAATGATAAAAATGTTCCATGCTCGTCGCATTTGAGACAGACACTATACCGAGACCGGGGCAGCAGAGCGAGCATATTCACAGGTTTTTAGTGTTTTGATTCGATTCAAGATTTGCTCAATACTGGTACTTTGAAGGCCAACATGGAAGGCATGCGGTGCCAACCGTGTGATACTCTCACCGAGTTGCGTATTATGACTTACTTTCTCTCTATCTTGCCTTTCCGCGGTGGCCGCAGACTCCAGGCAACACGCTAGAGAAATGAAATGTTCGGCACAGCAAGCGTGTCATATGAGAGAAAGTCGGCCGCAACTTGACACGCCCAATGGGTAGATCAAGAAAGAACCACATGCAGACGTTGAAGTGACAAACACGATGCCTCTACGTCGTCTCTGACCGCCATCACACCTGACAGCACCCAATCGCAGGATTGACTCCTTCTGCTCCAAGAGCCTGAAAGGGCGAGGCGGCAGCTGCTTCATGAACAAGGAAACTAACAGCGAGCGAAGGTCAGAACCCTCAACCCTCCCGCTTCTTAGTCATGAATTATGCTTTACATGAGGACAGGGTGCCCCCGGCCACAAGGTTGTCATTATCCCAAGAGGGTAATAGTGCTAGCCATCTAGGGCATTGACATGGGGGCAGGAGGAGGGGTTGGCAGGGTCGAGAAGTGATTGGGTTCAACGAGGGGATTGTGTTGTTTTTCCTTCCCTCTGCTAAGTACTCGTAGACCACTGGTACTCATTCCGTGCATTTTATCTTGATTCGCTGTTAGTCACCACCTTGCACCAAGTTAGTAGGGTTGCCCGCTGGCCGTTGGACTTCGACACCCCTCGGCGGCAGCCGAATATTGGTTTCCAGGAGTTATTTCGTCCCTTATTGGTGTCGTCCGGGAGCCGTGATAGCTACGCCCATGGCTCTCCAAATATTCTTCCAGACAGCGCATCCTCGTCGCCCTCAGCTGAGGAAGTGGTGTGAGGAGTTCAAATACTCAAATACCTGTGCCAGGGTTCAGCTGTTAAAAATTGGAGCGCTAAGGATGGGCTCGTCCCCAAACAGTCCGATTGACCTCCGGTTGACCTCCGGTTGACCGCCGGAGCCTAGGAGGCCAGCCTCACATACTTGCACGTCATGTAACGGTCACTCTTCTTTCCACCCAAAGGGCCAGCACAGATTTCTCTCTACTACAAATCGGTCCGAGAAAGCATCAGGAGAGGGTTCACCCTTTTGCGTAAAGAGCACGCGCACCATCAAGTGTATACTGTGCAGGAAAAATGCCGAGGGCGCACTCCGCTGGTCCACTACCTTGGACAGGGAACACATATGTGAAACGACAGTAAAAGGGTTCAGATCCCTTCGAATACCCAGTTACCAGTACAGGAATTTGGAAAGAGAAAACTGACCGCAATCGAGAACACCCATCTGTCCGGCTTTTTTTCCCTGTTTGATCCTGATCGCGAACTGTGGTGCCGTTGATTCTGATATACTCGCGTAAGTGGCGGACCATGAAATATCAGAGTCTCCAATGACGTTTGATGAACCAGAAAATATCAAGTCACCTCGCGCATCACAGATCTCGATCAAAAGTCTGCCTTTCGATCCCGTCACCATTTGAGCCAGGCACGCGCTGGCGCACGGACTTGAATGTGGAGACCACCTTCCCCAAGCAGGCACCCTTCTTACTCCTTTCTCCGCAGGTCTTCAGATGCCTCTAGGATTTAGGCCGCCGATGCTTTGCGTGGAGTTATACGGAGTAGTTCCCGAGACTTCCCTCAGATCATTGGGCCCTTCTGAACTGAGATCATTGCACAGCCCAGCGCCGACTCTGTCATCCGCGGGATAATGCAGATGCGCTTGTTCTGCAGTAGCGTTGGACCGGGAAAAATAATGGGCTCCTATACGGGGCTTTCATGATATGGCTAGGCCCCCGTCGGCGTGAATATTGCGTTATCCTGCCCAAGCCTTGATGCCTTGACACTCTGCTGTCGCCGTCTGAGTCACATATCTTTCATGTTCACTCCGATGCAGTGCTCCCACCTCCAAGAATGTGCTGGAAAGTCCTCCAGAATTTATCCTCTGTACACGTGGCTTGAGGGTCTCTAAAGAGGCTTCAGTGGCAGCAGGAATGGAAGGATGACATTCCAAATCGACTGAAGACGCTACGGCCGAGCGCTCGTGGTGGTGTTCTGGTAATCAGAGGTGACCTGCAGCCCATGGGGCCTGTCCAAGTAGTTTCTGGCAGATCGGCCTGCTCGCTTCACTCGAAGGGTTAGTCACCACATTTCAAGTCGCTCCTCATACATACACGAATCCTCATATTACACATGCATCCATGCAGGCTCTGGTTAAAATGGAGGTTCATGTACGTCGGGGTTACAAAGCCCATCAGTACCAACAGATGAGATACACGGTCCTGAGAATCGTCATGGGATAGCGGGGATGAGACGTCACCATTTCCTGCCTCGCTCGCTGGCTGCTGTTTCTCTCTGTGTCCGCATCTCAGCCCGCTGTCCATCCACCGCAAAGACTGCAAAGTATTCCATAACACCTGAAATGGTTTGCGTGCCTACAGTAGATACTCAAGACATATCTGTTCTGGCATGGTGCGTGTCGGAACGCATGATGGATGGAGAGACACAGACATCTGCTGCAAACAAGGCGTGCACGCGTGCAAATCTTGCCCTGGCCAATGTCCTTATATTCCATATTCAGGGACCTCCTAGAGGAGCTCAGCCTTGTCTCGTGGAAAGCCCATTGCACGTGCCATGCTTCCATTCGGGAAGTTGCGGAGCGTAACTTTGTGGGGGAGTTTAGTCATCACACACCCAGCCTCAACGTCTTCGATCCAACCGCGCCAACAAAGCCGAGTCTCTTCTTCATCACAAACAAATACAGTCGCATCATTTCTGATCTAACTTTCTTGTTGAATTTGGACAAAGCTTCTCGCGTCAACGAAGTGAGACCTTTTGTTATTGTGGTGCACGCATGGGCTAGTCTGGAAGGGGCCGGTTACGCGTTCTCCTGGAGCTTGCGCGATCGGATTTTCCAGCTCGAATTTTCCTCCGCGAATCGCGGTTATGTCCCACCATAAGGCATGAGTTCTAGTTCTTCGGCAAGCCACGATGTCACGTCTGGGTTGGCACAGGCAAAGCAGGCCGCATGTCTCGAATGCCGGCGGAGCAAGGTAAAATGTACCCGCGACGCCAACGCCCCAGTGTGTCGGAAATGCCAACAGGCCGGCCTGCAATGTGTCACGCCGGAGTACCATGTTGGAAGGTATAAAGGCGTCAAAAAGTGAGTTTTTTTTTGAACTTCGCAATAGCTACAAAAAGGCTGAAACCGAACCTGTTCAGCAAGAGGACCGGGTTGGAAAAGGCAATTTATCAGGTCGAACAAGCGCTGAAGCGAACCAAGGATGGCTCTATTGGGCTTCCTTCCGAGGTTGAAGCCGACCTTCGACAGTTAATCGGGGCTCCTCAGACAAGCACGGTCCTTCAGCGGAGGGCCAGCTCAACCACCCCGGCAGCAAGCCATCCACAACCTTTCCTTCAGCCACGCCCAAGTCTGGTTCCCAGTGAGGACAATGGCGCAGCGGACGATAGTAATGAGGTCATTGCTGCGGATCATGGCGAGAAGCCCGACGAACTCGCACTAAACAATGCTGACAACCCTTTGCAACTGCTTGCCATGGCTTCGGTGCTCCCGGGCCAGTCGCCGTCGACGGTAATGTCGACGTCGCCCGCCGGCGTTGCTTCGCAACCAGGGACGAATACGAATGACGCGAACCCTGGCGACGCCGAGTTACAGCAGTTTTTTGGCTCCTTGATGCCGAGGCTGGACAATTATCCCGATCTTGACCCAATTGACCTAGGACTCGTGACGCAGGACGAAGCCGATTCGCTGTTTGCGTACTTCTACGAACGACTATCTCATACAAGGTGGGGTCTTGATCCTACCCTCCACACAGCTTCCTTTGTGCGGTCGAGGTCAGCTTTCCTTTTCACCTCCATCCTCGCCGCCTCTGCCTTATTCCTCCCGAAAGCCGAGGCATTGTCGAAGCGACTCTCCAATCACCGAAATCACCTAGCACAAACCGTCATCTTCAAAAGAATGAGATCAGTGGAGATCGTGTTAGCTTTCATGGTCAATATTCCTTGGATGACCCCGGCGAAACACTGGGCAGACGATGAGACGTGCGCTTATCTCTCGATGGCCCTGAGCCTGGCATTGGACCTCTCATTAAACAAGATTGTGGTTCCCTCCCCCACGATTCGTCCCGCGGGTTTCCTCGATCGGGTAGCCAAAGCCGAGTGTATCGACTCCGCAAAGGCTCTGCAACTGGATGGCTTTCCGCAAGTTGATCCATCTTCAACCCTGGGCCGACGTTTACTGAGAACTCGTGAGCGCGTCTGGTTGGCATTATTCGTCCTTGACCGAGGGTGAGCATATCATATCAACTACGCGGTGCTACCAGCTGACGGACGAATGTAGCATCTGCCTCGCAAGGGGAAGGCCATATGCGGTTCCCATTGGGCCCTTGGTAGACAGCTGCGATACGTGGCACATCTCCGACATTGCCGACCGATGGGATGGTAGTGTCATCTCTGCAGCCGTGTTGAGGCGAGATTTGGTATGCTACTCTCCGAACTCTATTCTGATTCCCGCTGACCTCATCAAGGTTGGCCTTCTCTCAAGTGTTCGCGAAATTTGCGACGGAAGTCAAGGTATCAATGGTGGCTCGGCGGCCGTGCGATTGTAAGTCCACTTTGTCAGCTGGCAGTGTTGGAAGCTGCGAACCCACTATAGACATATTGCTTGGACTGACAGCCTGACAGCCTGAAAGACAAGATCGACCGCTTCTTCGAGCAGTGGTATGCAGTTTGGTCACGTCAAATCACCCAAGGTGATGGTAAGAAACAGAGAATATTTCGAAATTGTCTGGTTCTAACAATGTTTCTCAGGTCAACTACCTCCCTACGTTGAAATTCTAGTTTCTCACACCAAGCTCTCCACATACTGTAACGTCGTTAACCACCCAACGGCATCGAATGATGTGAAACAATTCTTTCGTGCTGCAGGGCTTGCGTCGGCCATGAATGTCATGCGTGCAGCAGTCCAGGGAGAGAATCGACTCAAATCGATGCCGAATAATACCGTCATCATGGTCTCTTTTGCCGCAACTTTTGCTCTGGCCCTGGGTACCACCAGTCTGGGCAATCGAGCCATGCTAGCCCCAAACGTGAAAGCGCTGATTGAGGAGACTTGCCATGTATTGGAGAGGATCGGAAGCTCTCCAAGACACCGCAAGGGCCTATCCGTTCTTTTCGCAAGGCACATTCGGCGAATCATGCAGAGCTCGGTTCTCAGTCCTCCAGAAGACAACCAAGGCTTTGCCCCAGGACCTTCAGAGCAACCTCATCAGCAGGATCAAAACGCCGGGCACGAATCCTCAGGTACAGCATCAATGGCGGCGCCCAACATCCCCTTAGAGCCGTATGTCTTTGACATGACAGACGACCAGATCCTTGAAGCCATCAACAACGCCAGCACCTCACAGGATTTGTTTCAACTTGACGAGACCATGTTCTTCGATTGGTTGGACTGGCCCAATGTCACTTGACTGGTTGCTGTTGTACAGCTTTGCTGTAACTTGGAGCCTTTCTCTGCATTAATATAACATTAAATCTTCTGCCGGGACGCAGGTGCCGGCACCATATCAGAGACTGGTTCGACCGCCTTCATATCTCTTGAGAGATTTACCAATTTCTGCAGCTGCTCAATGAAGACGAAAGTGAGAACTGTGTTTGGCCTGTCGATCGTTAGAAATTGGTCCGTACAAGATTTGTCAAGACTTACGCCAGCCTCAGCCAAGCAGGAGTCCAGCCTCTCATCAAAAACCCAGGTCCCTCGTTGCGCAAAGATTCTACGATGATCTTGCTTACACTCTATTTGAAGTTCATTAGCTCTGTCAAGCCTTTGAGAGTATGCCTTACTGGTTTCACCCCGTCAACAGCCACTGCATTTTGGACCCGGCTCTTCAAAACATCGGCAGGTGCGCAGGCAGTTGTTGCGACTGTCCCCGCAAGCAAAGAGGCCAGAAAGTGAGTGAAGATTCCATCACTGAGGCCTAATGTAGGGTCCGAAAGGAGCTGCCGCTTGGCTGCGGAATATCTGCACGAGGATGAGCACGAAGATCATAAGGGAAGCGAGTGGCATACGTCGCTATCTGAGAAACATCTGCACCTTGTTTAGCGACATAATCGAATAGAGCATATCCGAGACTTACTCATTATCACACTGCGGACGACATTGGGACCGAGACCTCTGCTGAAGGTCCGCACTCCTTCTTCACGGCCAATCCTGATAATGGCGGCAACGGCATGATTATATCCGAATCGCTGACTTGGCGATCTTGCTCCATCAGCACACATCCTTACCAAGGCAACCTAAACCACAAATCAGCGACCTCTTGAAACACGTCAACAACATCTGCAGACCTCTGTGGGGTTTCCGATGAGTCCGGCCAGACCGCCCGCGGTACCTGCGCAGACGACCTCCCACGAGCTGGGTAATCGTGTTTGCCCTGTTCGCTCTCTGACGATCCCGGCAAAATAATTATAAAGGCCGAATCTCGCGGTCGAATATGTGGATTGACGAAGCATCGAGGCCGATATCCCCCACCACAGCGATGAAATGCCTGCCACCTGAATGAGTTGATTGTCATCGAAGTGCGTGCACTGGATCACGCACCATCTCTGCTTGCGAATTGGATCATCGTCCGCAGCATATTCTGCTTTGTGGACATAACTTGCATCCTACTATGGTTTTTGTCAATCAGCCACATTCTTCCAAATGGCCACGAGACCTACTATTTCGTCTGGTCCAGCGGGTGCGCTGAAAAGAGACGTCAGTCGCGCTGTTTTCTCCCCTGGAGCGAGACGGAACTGGATATGCATACTGAAACATGCAGCCATTGATGCTGCAGCACCTCTATGTCCAATGTGTCAGCAGCCGGCTTTGACCGAAAAGGGGCTTCGACACCTACCCAAGCCAGAACGGCTGCCCTTGCTTCTTCGACTTGGCCATGATCGGTCGCTCGGCTCAGAAGAAGTAATGATAGTACTGGCTGGTACGTCACAGTCTGAAACGATGGCTGGGTTTGAGGGTTGCTTGAAGGTCGCTTCCTCCGGCTTGACGACTATCTATAAAGAGGCTGGTCTCTCTCTTTGAGCAGATATAATATCGTGAGGTTCTGCACAGCAATATACACTCAGGACTTCGAAAACCCAGCCTCACTGCGCTGGTTTGTATATGACCGCATCGCTTTTCCTGGGGAAGTCCCACCTCTGCGCGCTGTTGATCCACAGAACCGCGATCAGCCGCGACCATACCTAGTCATCGGCCATTTTCTCCATCCGTCCCCTCAACCAAGCGCATACGTCTGACTTGTGCACGCAACGGTCGGCATCAAAAATATCACCGCGCTCACGTCTCTCTCACGTGGGTTTTCCTGAGACGGAGTTCTTACGCCACCAGACGCATTAAGCAAATTCCCCGCCGACAATTCCCGTGGTTATTGGCCGATGTCGCTAGAGTGCACAGGGTGCTCCGAACCATAATCTCGAATAATTATTTTTCCATTCCTTGCAGCGTTCATGACGACAGGCATATATTGTCGTTGAGGTCTCATCTATTTCATCAACCACGAAAAGTGAGAAAAGAAAGCCAACGGCTAATGGTCACGATGGCAGCAACGGCAAGGCGCACTCTGCTCCTATGTGTCAACGATATCAGAGCCACTGGTTCCTCCAGTACAGCAACTAACCTCAGTAAAACGGTCCCCCACAAACACCTGGTCTTCCGCCAATCACGGGTCAGACCATGGATTGTTTCGGGCCGGCAAGACATTCGACACTTTACATCTTCGCGGGCAGGATGGCGTGAAGCAATCTCATCGTCATCAGCAGGTAACGACGACCAACCCGTTATTGACCGGACGAGGTCGAAACTGTTCAAGGATGCCGACGAGGCTGTGGCGGACCTTAGATCCGGCTCGATGATCTTCAGTGCTGGATTTGGTCTTTGTGGGACGGCTGAAACCATTATAACAGCAATGCACAAGCGCGGCGTCGAGTCGCTCAACAACCTCACGGCGGTGTCGAACAACGCTGGTGCGGCAGGCGCCGGCGGACTTTCGCCCCTAACGCAGTCGGGCCAAATCACTCGATGTATCCTCTCTTATTTGGGAAACAACAAGAAGCTCGAACAGAAGTACCTGAACGGCAACATCGCCATTGAATTGTGTCCACAAGGAACACTGGCGGAGCGGATCCGTGCCGGTGGAAGTGGCATTCCCGCATTCTACACGCCAACCGGTGTCCGTAAGTAGTACCATGGTTAGGGATCCGGTTACATGGGAATGTCTGTTAACACCTTTCTAGACACGTTCATCCAGACTGGCGAAATCCCAACAAGGTTAGGGCCAGCTGATCCAGAGACGAAAAAGGCGAGCGTGCTGGAAGCGGGAAAGCCACGGGAGACAAGGATCTTCAATGGCAGAACGTATGTCATGGAAACAGCGTTGACCGCCGACGTTGCCATCATCCGCGCCTGGAAGGTCGACGAGGCCGGCAATTGTCAGTTCAGGTATGTTCTCGTCTCACACTGTCGTCACACCTGGATAACCCGAAGCTAACCCTGTGGGAAGATACACAACCAAGGCTTTCGGCACCATTATGGCTAAAGCTGCTAGACTTACAATTGTGGAAGCCGAGAATATCGTGCCTACGGGTTCCATAGATCCTAATGACGTCCACCTCCCTGGCATTTACGTGGACCGCATCGTGCCCGCCACCGTGGACAAAAAGCTCGAAATTAAAAAGACTCGGTCTGCCAGCGACGAAGAAGGGTACTCGTCCGACTCGTCAATGGCCAGTGACAAATCCGAAGCCCTTGCCCGGAGAGACCGCATCGCCCGTCGCGCCGCAAAGGAACTCAAGCACGGCATGTACGTCAACTTGGGTGTAGGAATGCCTACGTTGGCACCTTCGTTCCTACCGAGTGATGTCAAAGTATGGATTCAATCCGAGAACGGCATTCTAGGAATGGGGCCTTACCCGACCGAGGACGAAGTCGACCCGGACATCATCAACGCTGGCAAGGAGACGGTCACGCTCGTGCCGGGGGCATCGACGTTCGACAGCTCCGAGAGCTTCGGCATGATCCGCGGCGGCCACGTCGACGTGTCTATCCTGGGCGCCCTGCAGGTCTCGGCAGCGGGTGACCTGGCCAACTACATGATCCCGGGTAAAGTGTTCAAGGGTATGGGCGGCGCCATGGACCTCGTCTCGAACCCCAACCAGACCAAGATCGTTGTCACTACGGATCATGTGGACAAGTACGGCAAATCCAAGATCGTCGAGACTTGCTCTTTGCCCCTCACCGGCGCCCGCGTTGTCAGCACCATCATCACTGATCTCTGCGTCTTCCAGGTCGACCGCGTCAAGGGCGCCTTGACCCTCACGGAGCTAGCGCCCGGTGTGTCTGTCGAAGACATCAAGGCCAAGACCGATGCCAAGTTCGCGGTTGCCGATGACATCAAGTCGATAGAATGATTTTCCTTTGCTGTTGTGTGAGAGCAACTCGGTGCTCCTCGTTGTGTAGCGGCGGAGTATCATATAAAATGTACCATGGGGATATAGATTTGGTGGGGGGAAAGGAACTCGTCGTCTATATGATGGGAATATTATCCGAAGTCCCTTTTTCCATTCTTCATTCCCATCCTCTCTCGTCAAAAATAGGAGGAATATATTGGAACTACTAGCTCCAGTAGAACCTCCATCTGGGGGTTTGAAGCTGGATCTTGCGTACATATATATAGGCCTCTCTGGATTTTGTCTTTGACGGGTATTATTCTCGCTCAACGTACTCCGTAGTATTCCCTGCTGCTGCTGCTGCTGCTGCTGCTGCTGTTGCTACTACGACAGCCGGTGCTGGTGAATGAACTTTTTAATTACTATCGAGGATGCTTCTCTCCCTTACATAGTTTTAGGATTTTGCGGGTCTATTCCCTGTATGCTCGAGAGCAGCTCCCAGTTTCGAATAGAGATGAAAAATCTACAACTTGGCCTTTAGCTTTTCCTCATTGCCCCCCATGCCCGGCGCAAATGTCGTGCCTCTGCCCTGATTCAGATCGCGGACAATCTCGTCGATGCAGTTCAATATCCACTGGTTCCCTTCGTCCGAGGCGAGCCACTCGCCGCCCTCGATGTCCTTCTCGGCACTGCCGTCCTGGTACGCCTTGCGCAGACCGAAGACGTGGCTCACCACCTGGGGACCCACGCCCGTCTGGGCGCGGAGGCACGCGATGGCGGCCAGGGAGGTCAAGACCCTGCCGACCTGCAGGGGCGCGTCGGAGGGCGGGTCCGCGAGCAGATTCGAATAGTGGCCGTTGAGGATGTGGACGGGCAGGTTTGGGTGCGACTGGGCCAGCTTGTCGAGCAGCTTCTCCTCGAAGGGGCGGTACACCGAGTCCCAGAGCCGGCGGCCGCGGGCCAGCGACTCGTCGATGTTCTGGGCCGTCAGTCGCCGCGACACCGGAGGCGGGATCTTGTCAAACACGTCCTTGGGCATGCCTTCGCGGAAGGCCCCCAGGCAGTTGATCGAGCGCGGGATGCCGTTGAACGAGATGCACTTGAGCCCGACCTCGCGCATCAGCCCGGCCGTGTCCGCGGGCGAGGGCGCCGACGGCAGCGTCTGGGTCAGGTGGAACAGTTCCACCATGGACGAAGGCGAGTTCATCGTCATGGTCGCCGCCGTGGAGAACGTGACCCAGGCGGGGATGCCGACGCCTTTATCTCGCGCGCTGGCTGCTATCCGGGAATACGTCGACCGGATCGACGGCGGGGCTTGGAGCGTGCCGGGCAGGGCATGGGCGGCGTTGATGAGCGCTTTCAACGGCTCCGAGAGCTTCGACATGTTGTCCTCTGACCGAGACTGCAGGTGGCTTTTCTTCTTGCTTCTGGTCTGTACACGCTGGGCTGCAGTGGCGGTTTGATTGTAAGTGTCAACTGGCACAGAAGAGGAAAGTCCATTTGTTGTAATAAGGGGGCCTGTAAGAAATAAGGAGTGGGCGGGGAAGACAGAGATGGTGCCCTTACAGTTCTGATGCCGTCGTGCTTTTTGCCACGAAGCTCCCTCTGGCTTATTACCAGCGTAGTTATCACTCATGTATTTTTCCCCCGACTAGTACTGTTTGGGTCGAGTCCCGGCGTGCAAGGCTAGGTAGGTCTAGGTCACTGCATATAGAGGCAAACGCGGGTCGGCGATATTGATGGTTCCCCCCCAAGAGCCTCTTTGAGGAAAGAATAATATTTGTTGAGCTTGGAGGTGAGGGACACGGCCTTCCACACGACACCTTTGGATCATGATGTTGTTGAGATGGAGATTTATCGGCAAAAAGAAGCACCGAACCGGCTCCTCACGCCGAAGGAAAATGGCCCGAAGAGCAACGACTGGGCGACAAGGGGCTTGGCATTCGACCTCGGCAACATCCTCCGGCACCTTCCCGCCTGCGCTTCCTGCGCTTCCTGCGCTTCGGCCATTCTTCTACCTCCTCCCCTTATCACCTCCCTATCAATCGACCTCCGCATGACAGATCCTGGGTGATCACTGTCGCTGTCTTTCGCCGTGTGTGTGCGGCCATTGACCGGCATCCCGCCCTTCTTCCTCGCCCAATGGTCCCTCAACGTTCATTGGTCCTTCGTCGACACAGTGTAACATTCTCCAGTGCTTCTCCGCCGCTTTTGGTGTCGCGCGACCGTCTGCCCAGAGCGCCCAACAATCCTTACTAAGTGTTGCGGATCACTAATTTTGGTGACAGGACCAACATCCTTCAATCATGGCGGCGGGATAGTGTCCATCAACGGGCATTTCCAACCCACGGGGTAAGAATCAACAGCCAGGGGCCCCAGCATTTTGACTTTCGTGATATAAAAATGGCACACAGCCCATGGGGATGCAACCTGGTCGTCTCCTTGTTTTCAGTTTCCTTGAGAGTGGGAGAATATCTTCTGGCCTTAACATAGAAAATTGATTGTCCCAGTGATTCAATCTGGACTTGCTCTCCGTTCCCGTACCTGGACACAATCCTCCATCAAGGCTCTACTCAAAGCACGATAGCCCTCCGCTGAGATGGCCGAAGAGAAGGTCGCAAAAGACCCAGTGGTCGAGAAGCCGGAAGATACTCAGAATGAGTTCGAGACATCCAGCCAAGTGCTTCCGGGCGAAAAGACGGGCTCAGTCTCCGTCCTGGATGATGACGCTCATACCAAGGCGTTGACTCGGAAGCTTCTCTGGAAGCTTGATACAAGGTAAGCGGTCTTCAGAAAAAAATCGTCCAGTCCGAGGGCCCGACATGTTGTGCTTAACACCTCGCTCTACGCAGAATTCTTCCTGTTCTCGCCCTACTTTTCCTCTGCTCTTTCCTCGACCGTACCAATGTCGGAAACGCGAAGATCCTTGGTCTTGAAAAGGATGCCCATCTGAGCAACAGTCAATATGCAAATGGCCTTGCCATCTTCTTCGCCTTTTACATCGCTGCCGAACTGCCCAGTAATCTCGTTCTTAAGAAATTCAGCCCGAGACTGTGGCTGGCCTTTCTCACGGCCGCCTGGGGGATCATCGGAATGTGTCTGGGTTTCATTCGAAACTATGGTGGATTCTTGGCCGTCCGGGCATTTCTAGGCCTTGCAGAAGGAGGATTGTTGCCAGGTATGGGCTCGGCCTTTTCGAGATTTTCGCAGATCGAGGAAAGCCCCAAGCACGCCGAGAAGTGATTCTAATCTCGTTTGCAGGCATGGTGCTCTACTTATCGGGCATGTATACCAGAGGCGAGTTGGCCCTTCGCATAGGACTGTTCTACACCAGCGCATCTCTTGCTGGAGCCTTTGGAGGTCTTTTGGCACGTGGTCTTTCAAGCATTGGGGCTACTGGAAGCGTTGTTGATGCCGGGTAAATAGCTTCCTCTCCAGCCTCTCAGGAGGGTATGTGATGCTAACATGGACTTTCTACAGATGGCGGTGGATTATGATTATCGAAGGTCTTTTGACCTTTGCTGCTGGAGTGGCTTCATATTTCCTACTCCCAAACAGCGTATCAACAGCCTGGTTTCTGAATCCCGAGGAGCGAGAGTTCGGTAAGACGAGGCTACGGAACGATACCTCCGCGCATCTGCCGGACGGCCAGCATTCTGAGGGAGTTGAGAAGTTCCGATGGTCGGAAGTCCGGCGAGGAATACTCAATGTCCAGCTGTGGCTGACCGCGACAGCGTATTTCTCAATCCTTTCTGGCTTGTACTCCTTTGGCTTGTTCCTGCCAACCATCATCAAAGGGCTGGGTTACACGGCGAATGAAGCCCAGCTGTGGTCTGTCATTCCTTATGCCGTTGCGGCTGTCATCACAGTGGTCGTGGCCGTCGCTTCGGATCGACTGAAACTTCGAGGTGTCGCGATGCTCTTCAGCTTGCCGCTGGCTATCATCGGATACGCTGTGATAGCCAATGTCAGCGAGCACGACAACCACACAAAGTACGGCATGACATTTTTGATGGCTACAGGATTGTACGCGAGCGTTCCACCTGTCCTGGTATGGAACTCGAACAATTCTGCTGGACACTACAAGCGTGCCACAACAAGCGGTATGCAGCTGGCTATAGCCAATGCAGGTGGATTCGTCAGTGGTGAGTACTGACCTTCGCCCGTTGAGAGACAGGATGTTTGTCGCTAATGGTTGACAATAGCTTTCATTTATCCATCCACTGAAGCTCCTCAGTACCACAAGTCGCACACCATCATCTTGGGATTGCTGGTCTATGCATGGTTCGCGTAAGTCATCCGAGAGGCTCTCTGGTTTCGGTCAAACGAGTTCCCTTTCTGACAGTTGCATGCAGGATATTGTGCAACGTCCTATATTGCGCGAAGATTAATCGCGACAAGGCGAACGGCAAATACGACAAATACATCGGATACGGCGATGACCGAGATCCGGAGTTCAAGATGGTATTGTAATGCCTTGGGCAATGACATGATGTGTCTACGAGTCTAGGTCAGCGTACCTGGGTAGAAAGGGTCAATGTTGAGTTGTATGGCCAAAAGCCGGTCAATGTGATCTTTCCTTTGCGGGGTGCACAGTGCATTGAACGTCCTCTAGCCCGCAGACGCGGGGTATGGTAATTGATGAAACTGTATAGACGACTCTATCACTTTGTTCCCGGTCAATGTTGACTGTTGGACAACGGTGGATAAGAAAGTCCCAAGTGACAAAGTTCATTCTCATCCTTTGATAATTTGCTCCTGTTATCCACCTGTCACGACGTACGAGGGGGTCGCGGCAGCTCTTTCTCATAAATCTCGCTCACCGACGCAAGAAGATTCATTCCATCTTTCCATTCAACCCAACCTCCTTCATACAATATCACGACCATCTGCAAGCACACTTCTAGTCATCTGTCTCAAAGATATGGCTTCTTCTCGTCCACCCAACCCGACTCAAATCCCAAACAATCTGCCTGGCCTCACCACCCACATCACCGGTCACGACGAAAACACCGGCAAAGCCATCGTCAAAGACAGCAGACCGGGCAACTGGACCGTCTTTGACGACAAGCTCATGGGCTTCAACGTGGTTTACACGACCTCTGAATTCCCACCAGACCTCAACAACGACCGTGATCTCAAGACCCACGACGAACTCCTCTCCAGTGGGAAGCTCGGTCTTGTCAACTCCAATGGCACCGTTTGCCGGGTCGTCGACATGGCGCCGGGATACGAGTGCATCATGCACAGAACTCAGAGTCTGGACTACGGCATTGTCCTCGAGGGTACGATTGAGATGGTTCTAGACAGCGGCGAGAGGAAGTTGATGCAAAGGGGCGACGTGGCGGTGCAGCGAGCCACCATGCACGCGTGGAAGAACACCAGCCAAACGGAATGGAGCAGGATGATCTTTGTGTTGCAGGACTCTAAGAGCTTGGAGATTGGAGGCAAGGCCATGAAGGAGGACTTGGGCAAGGGTGTCGAGGGGTTGCCGCCGAGTGGGAATGACTCCTAGGGAGACAGACAACCATCTGGCTGATGCGCTGGATCAAGAAGAGGGAAGACGAGACAGTAACATGGAAGACACATTTCACCACAGTCGAGGCACAAGACAAAGCAAGACACTCCGTCGCCGATCAAGACAATGAGCTCAGATGTTCTTATGTGGTAGCCTCCCCAATGTCTTCGAGAGCGAATAATACCTGTGACTGAGACTGCTCCTTTCCTCTGTTTTCCTTTCACTTTGCAATGCTATGTACCGAGAACCAAGAACCCTATTCCAGTGAGCTAGGTATATGGTATGTCCTGCGTGCCCCCTTATTTTTTGTTCGCCTACTCCGCAAGTTCGCCTCTCGTGTTTGTGGTGCCGCTTTCCCGGATTTGGGGGCGACTTTGTGGGCCTTGGAAGCGACTGTCACTGACTGATAATATTGATGGGCGATAAAAACCGGGACAACGATAAGCGTCTTTTTGCCCAACTAACCCTGGGCACCTGGGCACCACTGGCAGGTCCAAGTTTGGCCCTTTACAACACCCCAGACTCTTCCCGTTCCCTCTTTGTGTACATACGAGTAATCCTGTATATCTATATCTGCTTGCCCATGCGTGTACTTTATTGACGAGCTCGGACAGTACCGCATCTGGATACAAACCCTGAAGACGCGCGACGCTTGTACGATTAGACTCTGCGCCCGAGACGTCAATTTGCATCCTACGACCCGACCTTGAATCTTTCTACCGTGCGCCACCAGGATTGTACACATATCTGCTTCCTCGTTCAGAGCTGTTCCGCCGGCCCTGCGACAGAGTCTGTTAAAGACAACAATGCGCCGAGGCTGCGGCCTTCACCAACAAGTTTGCGACAACAATGGGATGGCCACGGAGTTCATCGCTGGGCATAGACAATGCGACCTCCATGGCACGGATACGGAGCCGAGGAGATGCAGATCTCGAGAAGGAAGGATTTCTCAACCGTCACCCACACAGCAGCGAAGACGATAGCAACGACACCTTCGAGGACGACGAAGGGAACCCCTCGGTCGCGTCCTCCCGCGCCACCTCTGCCTCTTACAGACCCATGCTCGTCAACAAAGCCTACAGTTCCAATCGATCCTCTTCCCCGTCCTACCTCGGCAGAATGCCTCGATCAATCATGCGTTATCTCTGCCTAGGCGTCGCCCTCACCCTCGTCATTTTCATCTTCTCGCTGGTGCGAATGAGTTACGTCGCGGAGCAGGAGGTGCAAAAAGCTATTGAGGAAGAAAAGATCAAGCCTAGGCCTCCTCCATGGGAAGACTTCCCATTTCTCCAAAGATATTATGGTGGAATACGATCATTGGTGCCGGTGGTGAATAACGTGCCTGAATACCCCAGGAAGGAGGACGAGGTGGAATGGGAGAAGTTGAATATCACGGAAGAGGTGGTCGAGAATTTGACGCCAGAGGACGCTAAGGAAAGGAGAAAGAGAGCGATCCAATCCAGCAAGAGATTCGACCCGTATCCCAGCTACACTTCCCCAGAATACGTTGCCAAATATGGTGAAAAGGTGGACTGTTACCTGGACGCCGAGGATACCATCGAGATCCCGCGCGTACGGATGTACGAGGGCATTCCACGAGGGTTTCCAGACATGGTCATGGGTTCTGCCAAACTCCTGGGCCTCAGAGACGACATCTGCTATGATCGTTTTGGTCGCTTGGGACCGTATGGCCTCGGATACAGCATCAACCGAGGCGGAAGCGGTGCTCAGCAGGAAGGCGAAAGAGAAGGAGCTGATTTAGTGTGGCAGGAAGCGCCCGAGGTGGACTGGAGGGCTGTTCATTGGGCCGATGCTCAGCAACGATGTGTTTTGGCAAACAACCACCGCTTCAAGGCACTGCCTGAGAAGCCACGGATCGACACGTTTCGAGCGATGCCGATTGGCACCGTCTACAACAAGAGAGATGACATGGCTGATATCGAGGCTATGCCGGCAAAGCCCCCCGAAGCGCCGAAGAGACCAAAAACTGGGTCAGAAAAGCTTCCTCGCACAGCAGTGGTGATTCGCACCTGGTGGGATTACCCATACACGCCTGAAGACAAGATCTACCTTCGTTCCCTCATTTCGGAACTGACCATGTTGAGCGGCGGAGAGTATGTGGTGCATTTCCTGGTCCAAGTCAAATCCAACGACGTGCCCATATTTTCCGACGACGAAACCTACGAGCGTGTTCTTCGAGACTCTTTGCCCGAAGAATTCCGCGGCATGGGCACTCTCTGGACCGAGAAGCAAATGGAGCTCATGTACGGTGGGCTGGAAGAGACAAACATGCGCGGATTACCCGTCCACGGAGTGTATCGCAGCACCTTTATGCCCATGCAATACTTCGCCTATCAACATCCCGAGTACGATTTCTTCTGGAACTGGGAAATGGACATTCGAACCACGCATCACTGGTACCATTTCTTCGACAGTGTCACCAAATGGGCCAAGCAACAACCCCGCAAACTCCTCTGGGAGAGAAACAGCCGGTTCTATGTTCCATCTGAACACGGTGAATGGGAAGATTTTAGTCAAATGGTTCGCATTCAGACGGAACATGGCACAAACAGCATCGCCAATTTGTGGAGCAGCCTGAACCGCGCAAACAAGGATCTCAATGACCCGAGTTCCAAGAAGACGCCAACTGGAGCGATGAAACAACAAGGCGACAAGCCAATCTGGGGTCCTGAACGACCGCTTGATGACGATGTCGCCATGGATACCGATCCAACTCCACCCACCTCGTTTGAAAAGGACAAATACACGTGGGGTGTCGGCGAAGACGCGGACCTGATCGTGTTTAACCCGCTGTTCGACCCCGATGGCACGACGTGGCTTCTCACGGACGACACCACAGGCTACAACATCACGCAGGGCCGCCCTCCACGCCGCACTGCGATAATAACCGCCTCTCGTCTCTCTCGCAAATTGTTGGTGACGATGCACAAGGAAACCGCCCTGAAGAAACACACCATGTTCTCTGAAATGTGGCCCGCTTCCTGCGCGCTACAGCACGGTCTGAAGGCCGTCTACGTGCCCCATCCAGAATACATTGATCGCAAATGGCCCACCAATTACTTGGCGTCGGTCTTCAATGGAGGCCGCAACGGCGCCACGGGCGGCGCCCGCACCTCCGTCTTTGGCGAGCGCGAGCACAACTTCAGAGGCACGACGTGGTACTACAATGCGGGCTTTCCCGAGGTGCTCTGGCACAGATGGCTGGGGATGAAGTTCAACAACGACGGTGGAGAACAGTTCGAGGTTGCGGGCGAGGGGAGGATGTGTTTACCGGGAATGCTCCTGCACCCGATCAAGAGGGTCGAGCTGGTTCAGGAAGGCAGGAGAGCCGATCAAGCTGGATAAAGGTATAGGAGACACTCGCGGGCGTGCTTGCAATGAAGTCGACGATGAAAATCTTGTTTTGGAAAAGAAAACACCCAGAACTCGCCCGAGGGGGGGAGTGAGTCTTGGACATTCGCCGAGTCGATTGAAAATACAAATCGACACAATCAAATATATATATACACATATTCGCTGCCGTTACATGCAGTGTTTTGCTTTGCGCTTGGGGCCGTCTTGGAGCCTCATGTGTGTACCTATGTAGGTATGTACCTACCTACCTCATATATACCTACCGACCTACCTAGGTCCCTGGATAATGTACCAAGGTCTGCAATGTCGATACGTTACCACTTCTCCCGAGAGGTATAATGATTAATGAGAGGTTGGAACGTATGTAGGGAACTACTCTGCCAATTGTGGCAAGATCGGGATTTGGCTTCATTTTCCAACACTCACTCCTTTCTTTTCTACATTAGAGTAGTAGTAAAGTAGTAGAGTTGGGAGAGCACCACACACACACATTGTGCACGCGGCGCATACACAGCACACACTCCAGATTTTCACCCTGAGCGGAAGCAAGATTGGACTTTTTTGTTTTGTTCTGGCTCAGATTACCCAAATCAGAAAAGATTCAACCCGCTTTTTTCCTAAACGCCATACGAAAAAGCCGGGTATCAAAAGGTGGAGTCGATGGCCAGGATGGCCTCTCTAGCAGTGCATGTCGAACTTGGGCTGTCGGTCAGACGTGAAGGAACCCCAATGCTGCTCGCTTGCCTCTTGCCCGTTGTCGCCGATTGCGTCTGGCTTGTCGGGCTCGTCAAAGGCCTCGAACCAGAACAAGTCAATGCCCCAGTCGAGAATGCCGCAGACAGCGGATTGCCAATATGTCTTCATGTTGTCGTCACCTGCTTTTGCGGCGCCAGCGTCGGTGCCTCCGGTGCCGGGCCAGCCGGTTTCTGGTCATAGTGGTTAGAAATGGTCGGTTTGGAAATGGTTTCAAGGAGGCTTCGTTCTTACCGCCGTTCATGAAATGGATCTTGTCCAGGCTGCCGCTGACTTCTTGGACGTGACCCAGCGCTTGAGCCATGTCGTCAAAGTAGGTCTTTGTTGCATTCGAGATATCTTGGTACTGCCAGTAGGGAAAGCCATTGGCAAGTCTATGGTCCTGGTAAGCACCACTGCGACGACTGGGGGCTTTGGGTAGCTTACACTAGCTGGATGCCGCTCTTGATAATAGAGTCCATGGTCCCATTGTTCCAACAGTTCCAGCTGTCTGCACTTCCAAGTTGTGTATTGGGGTAGGACTGTTGCATGTCCGAAATCCAGCCTAGAAGATCATCGGCGTTGTAGGTGCCCCGGTACATGCCTTCCGAGCCGATCGTGATGCCGTACAGTGTGTCACCATAAGAGGTAGGATCTGCCTCGTCAATCGCTGCCTTCTCTTTGGTATAAGCACCGCCATCAGGCCTGATGTGGAATATATCTATTAGTCCAAGCCAGATTCGGACTGCGCCCCGGAGCGGGGACTCACCACATGCCCAACAACACCTTGATACCTGCAGACTTTGCAGCCGGGAGGACTTGTGAGGGCGTATGGCACGGGTTGCCATACTGGTCGGAGGAAGAATAGGTGCGAACTATCTGAGCATCGGTGTTGCTGAGGATGGCCTGGAAGTCGGCTTCAAAGTCGGACTGCGTTTTGCAAGTGCCATTTGGGTTGGTATTTCCCACGGCGAAGCCAAGTGTTCCAGCTGCCGACACGGCCAGCGGTGCCGTAGCCAGAGTCACGGAGAGAACGTCGCGGAGTTGCATGTCGTTTTTGTGTCGCTTAAAGCAGTCGTCTGGAAGGAATGATGGGCAGGAATATTCAGCGCTCAGAAACGGTGGAAAAGAAGGACTCTGAGGAGAGGTAAAATGACCGAAAAGAGTGACTGGGAGAAGTCAAGAATACTGCTAGACGAAGGGCTGCGAATGGCGAGAATGAAGAAGTTGGTGGACGACTGAAGGGCAAACACGGTCTTTCCCCAGAACCCCAGACTCGACGCGCCCGAACGGCGGTACCTGACCTATTCCCTTCTAGGAAAGCCTGCGTTGCCGCCTTACGCTTAACTGCGCCTCGCCCGTGGCTGGTCCGGGAGGGCTCGGCGCGAAACCTACTTAGGTAGGTACTTAGCACCAAGATGGGAAGGACAAGGCTGTCTAATAGTTTGGTAGATGCATTTCTTATTGGGACCGCTGGATGGTTTAAAAGTATCAGTAAAACAAGTCTATGGAAGAAATACATGTCGATGCCTCATGCTGAGCAGAGCCCCAGCACGTCGGATGGTAAAGTCCATGTCTTCATAATGTCGTTCCGGGTCTGGAATTGCATGAGGAGACCCGCCTCCATGTGCCAAGTTATATGGCAGTGCAAGGCCCACAATCCCGGGTTGTCTGCAACAAACCGGATGAGTGCCCAGCCGTATGCATCAATCAAGAGTGTGTCTCGACGCATGACATTGGACAGTGTCTTGTTCAGGCCGTTGTAGGTCGACCAATCGAAGTATTGATCCGGAGAGGAGGCAAGAACCCAGAAAGTATGCCCGTGGAAATGGAACGGGTGTGCTCCTTCGTCGTAGTTTGTGATCAACAGGTCTACCACTTGCCAGTCAGGAATGTCAATGACATATTGGTTGGCACTGAAGGCCGAGCTGACTCCAGAAGTCGTGAACGAGGTGTTGCCTGCCTGGAGGCCCGCGACAGCTTGGTTCAGCGTAGGCACATCGGCCATGACCCAGGAAGTCCCGTTGAAGTAGGCGCGATCCAGAGCATAGTCTCCGATCTGGAAGTTCGCCGCGACGGCATACATTTTCGTGGCGGGTGGAGCTTCTGATTCAAAGAATGGTGTCATCAATGATGAGTTCAGGCCAACACACTGTACATCCACGGCGTCCTTCCAGTCCGTTGAGTTTGTTGGATTATCTGTGCTGTTGGTATAGGTTATCAAAGCCATCACGTCAGGATCGAGGATCGGATTGGGTCCTCCGAAGCAGAATGTGTTCATCTGTGCTCGCATCCAGTAATTGGATCCTGCCGACTGATTGGCGTTGATCACAATTGAGTATCTCTGCGCCACAGCAATATCAAGTCTGTGCACAGAGAGGGGTTCTGTCGCGGTCCCATCCGCCTCGATGACGGAAAGGGGATGATTGTCTATGGAAAATTCAAATGTCGCGAAAGCCCCGGTGTTGATCAACCGATATCGATAACGTTTGCCGTGCTCAACCGTAAACACTGCACGTGTCGAGTTTTGCTCGCAGACATAGCCACTGTCGGAGTCGAGTACTGAGCAGTTGAAATAGTTGGTCCCCTGGATCAAGCCGTTGTCAGGAACAGGTTCGCTATTTTCATCACCGCTGGCGAGGTAGGCGGGCAGCAGGGCCTGGCTATAGTCGTGGTACCAGTCTTGTATAAGCACCACCTGGTCGACATCGTAGTACTGCTGCATCTTGACCTCGTCCGGCGAGTGGATAACCAGGGGTCCCACGGGACCATCGCCATTCGTGGTCGAGTAGTGGGTGTGGTACCAGTAAGTTCCAAACTGGTTTGCCACGGTGAAATTGTAGGTGAAACTTGCGCCCGGGGGAATCGCGCATTGAGTTATTCCAGCCGTCCCGTCCATCCAGTTTGTACCATTCTGATACAGCCCGTGCCAGTGAAAGGCAGTCCCGTTCGGGAGGTTGTTCTGCACATGGACGATGATCCGGTCGCCCATGTTGGCACGGATGAGGGGCCCAGGGAAACGACCATTGATGGCGATGATCTGGCGGAAGACGCCATCCGGCGACAGCTCAATTTCGTCGATGGTGAAATTGTATTCGCGTGTCGTCGGTGGTGCATTGAAGTCCCATCCTGCGATGTCGAGGGTGTAGTCTTCCACGTTTGATCGCCACGGGGGGACTTGCAGCGATGCCTGTGAATCCTCGGCGGGCAACGAACTGTTCGAAGGCGAGGGAGGTACTGCGGCGCTGTTCGAGTGATTCTTGTGGGAGTGTCTTAGTCCCAACCCAAGCCCCAGCCCTAGCGCCAGTGCCAGGACAACCACTATGGTAACCACAGAAAGGGAGAGGTACGTTTTTCTCCGCGAGCCTCTCGAAGGCACGCCAGCATCTTTGGTATCTGGGGACCCTCCAGCACCCAAAGAGGGTGAGACGTGCTGCTCTCGGGCGCCCTTTTGCTCTGCAGACATGTCTTGGGTTGTTTTCCCTTGATAATGCAATCAATCTCCAACACGCGGTCGACTAGGGGATGGTGTTGAATGACTTGTAAAAGTATACACGAGGGACATCATCTCATCTCACCAGTGGGGCGTCTGTTCAAGTTTGCCACTCTCTCTCTCACTCGCTGATTCCTGCCGTGGCATGAGAGATAGAGTCCACGAATGATAGGTACACCTGCTTGCCATGGTCAGGGCAGTGCGCCGGTCTAGCCGTGCGAGCCGCTCGCAAATTCCTCGCTCTGGGTCGTACAACTGCCCAGATCGGCGTAGACGGGGTGTTGCAGCTCGGATGGCCACCGTCGCAAATGGCAAGGCTGCTGTTGGGTGGCTCTCGGTTAAATTCACATACCTTCCTCCATAGTGCTCGTACCTCGTAGCAGTACCCTACCTAGGCTGCGAACGCCGAGAACCGAGAGGCGGCCATACTCCAGGAAGCTTCCAAGGCCAACCATCCCGTAGCCTCCAGCCTACCAGACGGAACACGTTTCTAAGCAGCCTGTGCCTGTCCCTGCTTGGAGTTGCTAGAGATGCATGAGGTTCAGATCAACAGGTTGTAGTTGGAAGAAGGAAGGGAGTCAGTCCGCACGTGCTCGAACCTCACAAGTGGTTGGCCTGCTACCTTGGCGCCCGGTGCTTAGCGGCACTAGCGCAGGTTGGCAGCGTCGTATAGACTCCATAGAGACTCCATAGAAACTCCGCTAGAGACTCCACTATAGACTCCGCTAGCGCACCCATCCTTCTTTACACCTGCTCCACCAAGGCTCTCTGAGTCTCTGGGCCTTCCCACAAGCCTGCTTAAGCTTCGACAGGGCATTCTAGAGATCGTGCCACCAAAAGCTTCGTCTGCAGCTTTGTTTGGTGGCCCCAGTGGGGGCACTGGGGAGCTTGCCAGCCCCTCACGACATTTCTTTTTTGCAAGCTCCTCGCGCTACGAAGGAAGGCAACGCTGAGCATGCCATGGCCCAAGGGGATTGCTCCAAAGATTCGCTCGAGAGAGCGCATGCTCACAGCTGTGGTCCAGCTGCAACGAGAGCTCTCGGGACCCTGGGAACGTGGCCCTTGCAATGACACAGAAGCTCTGCTTCCTTCTACGTATTACCTCCACAGCTAAGGCATAAAAGAGCTCGCCGCCCGTGATGCTGTCCGGTCGCTTCTGGAGATCCTGCATCCTTCAGAGCTGTATTGGACACGCACTCGAGAAATCATTTCCATCATGATGAAGTCTATCGCTTTGCTCGTTGCTGCGGGCTCTCTAGCAGCTGCCACTCCTTATGGAACACCTCCTCCTGTCTCGACCGTCGAGCCCTCGCTCAGCCAGATCCAGCAGTCGGCTGCCACCGCAAAGAGCCTGTCTCCCAAGAGCAATGTCAAGGGAGTCGGGTTTAATCGCTTCTACCAGATCTGGCTGGAGAACATCGACTACTCTGCCGCCGCCGGCGACCCGAACCAGGAATACCTTGCCTCGCAAGGTATCACGTTGACCAACTACTTCGCCACCACCCACCCCTCCGAACCCAACTACTGTGCTGCAGCTGGCGGTGACAACTTTGGCATGGACAATGATGACTTCCATCAGATCCCCGCCAACGTTTCGACCGTCGTCGACCTGCTTGACACAAAGGGAATCAGCTGGGCCGAGTACCAGGAAGACATCCCGTTCCCTGGCTTCCAGGGCTTCAACTACTCCAACCAGGTCACCTTTGCCAACGACTACGTCCGCAAGCACGATCCGTTGATTCTGTACAACTCGGTGACGAACAATGCCACTCGACGTGCATTGATCAAGGGCTTCGACGCCTTCCACAGCGACCTCGCCAACAAGACCCTGCCTCAGTGGGCCTTCATCACCCCCAACATGACCAACGATGCTCACGACACCAACGTCACCTTTGGCTCGCAGTGGCTGCGCAACTTCATGGACCCGCTCCTGACCAACGAGTACTTTATGAATGACACGTTGGTGCTTCTGACCTTTGACGAGAACGAGTCCTACGGCATCCAGAACAAAGTCTTCTCCATCCTCCTCGGTGGCGCCATCCCCGCGAACTTGAAGGGCAGCGTAGACAACACCTTCTACAACCACTACTCGACCATCGCGACCGTGTCGCAGAACTGGGGTCTGCCGTCCCTCGGACGCTGGGACTGCCACGCCAACGTCTTCGAGGTCGTGGCCAACAAGACGGGCTGGAAGAACGCCAACATCCAAACCGCCAATCTCTTCTTCAACGAGTCGTACCCCGGTCCCCTCTCTGACGCCGAGTATGTCCCTGACTGGCCGATCCCAACCAACGCCTCGACCTGCGCCAATGGAAAGGGTGTCTTGAAATCCGTGGCCAACACTTACAAGGGCATGGTCGCGACCTTGAACTACACCCAGCCATATCCCTATGACGCACTGGTCGGCAACAACGTTCCGTGAAGAAAGGTTTAGCGCCGTGTCCAAAGAGGCGTAGTGTTAGTAAGTGGTAGTGGTATAGCGGGCCTGAAGTATGGGCAAATCAGAGATAGCTAGATAATAAGCACAATAGCTCCGAAATAAGACAACCATTCTTCCCTGCGTGACTGCACTGACTGGTCCCTGATAGCCAGCTTCGACTGATTGCCGATTTCCTCGTACGCTAGAGCGCCGGCTTTTGACCTGACTTTGTCGTCGTCCCACGGGCCATTGTAGCTATCGGGTAGCCAGGAAGCTACTCTCTTCACCTTCTTTGCCACCCTGGATCCCAGACAGCGAGAGCAAAAACTCGGGCGCTGAACGCCGCGCGTGTCTCCGAGAACTACGTACCTTCCAAATCAGTCGGGTACCTTGGACGACCAAGGGAGAGCGGACGAGCCAGCGCTACGATTAGCAACGATTAGAAAGCTGGACATTGGAAAATAACTCATAGTCATTTGTCCGGATAGCAGAGGCTCGGACCCCGTGGGAGGGACCCGTACTATCCGTACTCGGTACCCCGACCCCATCCTGATCGCCTACTTTAACCAACCTCCCCATGTCCCAGTAACTACCATTGTTCGGTGAGTGCTGTACCTTGACCATATGATTGGCTTCTTGCTCAAAACAGCAACTCCTTCCACAGTCCAATGAGAATCCTTCCGACGTGCCAGAACGGCCCAGAGATAACGAAAAACCAATGCAAGCGACTTTTCTGGAATCCTTCCACCAAAGCTAGTTTCAGTCCTAGTTACTGCAACGAGTTGAACAGCCGCACAACGCCCATGGCACAACCTGCTGCTGCACCGCCAATTACCACCATCTGCCCCGCACCCTTGAGATTGCCCTGGACGCATCTCCAACCTCGCCATCCCTCCACCAACCCTGTCTTGACGTAGCCAAAAGCGAACAATGCAACAATCATCACGCTGATGCTCCAGATAAGCCCTTCTGTGACGTGACTGGCGAAGAAGTATGGGAGCAGCGGTACGAAGCCGCCAACGAAATATCCCAACGCGATCGTAATGGCACACACCACCGCGCGACTGGCCGCCGGCTCGGGCGTGTTGTGTTGGAAGTGCATGAGGAAGTCCACCACAGTGTCTGGACTGTTGGATGTAATGAGCTGGTGGGTGAAGTCCTTGAGAAGGGACGGTGAGAGATGGTAGGGTGCAAATATAGATGAAATCTCCGAGGAGAGATTGCCGCTCGACTGGAGTACTCGTGAGCGTGTCGAGCGGTATGTGGCGTTGTATGCGGCCTCTTCACTTTTCGCACCCAGGTAGCCGCCCAAGCCCATTGAGATTGCACCTGCAATGAGCTCAGCCAGACCACCAAAGACAACCACCTTGGTGTCGCCTAGGGCAGAGAGGCCGGCGGTGAGAGCAAAGGGCACCGTCAAGCCGTCTGAGAGACCGATGATAGCATCAGACACTATTCGCGCGTTCATGGGGCTGTGCTCTCTCTCTGATCGTGGTTGAGATCCATCGTACGCAGTCTCTGCCGAGGATTGACTGCCTGTTTCAATCGCATCGTCTCCCTTGGCGAGGCAGGATGCTCGCCCCAGCATGGCGTCTTTCTCGGTGTCGGCAGGCACTGCTGTGTATGATCGCTTCATCATGGCACTGAGCATGGCAGCCATGGCATTGGTATCTTCGAAGCTGTCGATCGACATATTGAAATGAACCTCTAGAGCGTCAATCTTTGGTGGGCAACTCTTTTCACAGTCGAGACAGAGACTTGTATGCCCTTGGCAGCTGCGGAGACTAGGACGGAGAGAATGAGAAAGAGGAACGACCTGTGCTCGAGGAGGAACTCGTGCAACGACGGAGGCTGGGTGCACTCGAGCTATAGGAATTCCTCAACATCCGTATGCCTCACCAGCTTTACCCTGCAAGGAAATGGGTCGTGTCGTGGTACGAATGTAACACAGCTACAGGCTGAAGCCATGAAGCCGAGAAGCAACAGGCCTTGCCTTTCACTTCAACCTTCCTAGTGGAGAATCAATCCAAACTGGCGACATGGGAACGATGCTGGGAGCTTGCCTAGTCGCAGAACAAACGGAATCGCTGTTCAATCAGGCGCCTGTCGACGGGCAACGTGCACAGCTTCGACAGAACAAAATTTCACGGCCCATAGCTTTTAGCGTGGTGGAAGGAACAGAATAGAAGCAGCTCAGGAACATAGCCTGGTGAACCCTCATGCAGCATGGCGATCGGTTGCCCTGGTTGCCCGAGCTCATGGGCAACGTGCCTTGTCAGCTACAAAAGAAAAGAACATGATTGGCGCCTTGTGGACAACACGGCAAATAGCCACAAGGGTCGGGGGCAAGCATGGGCCAAGCTTCCCAAGCTTGCATTTCTGGAATCCATGCAGCTCCCAAGCTCGATGGTGCATGAGTGGGCCATGGACCAAAGCTAATGCACACTCCGCTCCGCTGGGCTCAATAGGTCCCCACAGACGCCACTTGACGAGGCTATCAGCCTGTTTCCTTGTCCTCAATGGCAAGCATTGGCAGCTTTCTTTTGTATCCAACTTCCGAGCAATCAACACTGCGCCCAACCGAAGCCCATTATCCACAAGGGACCATTGCACGAACGCAAACTCTGAACGGGTTGTTATCCCGTTCTCAGAAGGTGACATGCCGGTCTTTGAGCGTCGTCCGAATATCAACAGAAACGTGTCGACGAGGATACACAGCATTGGCTATGGACCTTCTTTGCGGCACTTCCGATGAGACATTTCGGCATATTCGCAACTTCCAGTCGTACAGGTCTGTCCGGAAAGCCGCCGACGAGAAAAAGTCTGCATGTTCAAGGGAAGAGGTATCTAGAGGAGGAAGGCATAAATGTGAACTCCCTGCCTCCTTCACCTTGTCTGGAAGCCGGGACAAGCGCAACCGACAGAACGTAATCCATTGTCCAGAATGGCAGCCCTCCTCTCTTTGCTGGGTGCTTCTGCGCTCATCTCTACCACTGCTGCTGCCCCAGTCAACCGCCAAGCATCAATATGGTCCGGGCTGAGCTCCAAAATCACTCACGTTGTGTACCTGATGATGGAGAACCACTCCTTTGATAACATCGCCGGGTACTGGGACTTTAACGACATTGACAACTTGCGCAACATCACGTTCTGCAATGAGTTCACCAACCCCAACTGGACGGTGTGGAACGAGCCCTTGCTGATCTGCGCTGGTAAGTACGAGGCTGAAGTGCCCCTGGTAGACCCCGACCACAACTTCGCGGGCACCAGCTACGAAATCTACCGCAAATGGCAGCCCACAGCCGACGACGTCCCCGACATGTCTGGCTTCATTGAGAGACAGTCTGAACGCTACAACGCAACGCCGTCAGATTCCTCCTTTGTTATCAAGGCGTACGATCCGTCCATGGCCACCACTCTACAGACATTGGCCCAAAACTATGCTTTCTGGGACACTTACTTCGCCGAGCACCCTGGCCCAACCAACCCCAACAGGCAATTCGCAACCTCGGCCTCGACTTGCGGCTATGTGGACAACACGAACCAAGCGTCCGGCTGGTTTTCGAACACTACGGGGACGGACTGTGCGGTGTCCATCTTCGAATCTCTATCCAACAAGAACATTTCCTGGAAGAACTACTACGAGACGGACATTATCGATGCCTATATGTATAAGTGGGTCCAGGACAACGCCATGGACCGCCTCGTGCACGCGGATCAATTTTATAAAGACCTCGCAAACAACGAGCTCCCCCAGTTCTCTTATATCAACCCGGAATGCTGCACTATCGACTCTATGCACCCCACTAGCAACATGGCCGCTGGAGAAATGATGATCAAGCACTTGTACGACTCTCTCCGCAACTCTTCGTACTGGGATAATCTGTAAGGCTCCCCCCCCTTTCCCCTCTACTCCACGGGATATCATGGCTGACTCATCCGTAATAAAACAGGCTCCTGATCATGTAAGTTCTACCACAAAAGCCCCGTATTGGGCCGTCAGCTCAGTATTCCCCCGTGTGGGGCCCCGGCAACGGCCTGTTGTCTTAATGCTAACTTGAGGGGAATAACAGCAACTTCGACGAGCACGGTGGTTTCGCCGACCACGTCCCTCCGCCCGTGGGAATTCCCGCGCCTGAAGACGGCATCACATTCTCGGGCATGTCGGATGGCCACAACGTCACGTACGACTACACTCGCCTGGGCGTGCGAGTTCCCGCGTTCGCCATCTCGCCGTGGATCCCGCCCAACACGCTCATCCACGACCAGGGCACCATGTACGCCGAGAACTCGCAGTACACGCACTCGTCGTTCCTGCACTTCCTGCAGGAGCTGTGGGGGCTGGAGGGCCTCAACAACCGTGTCCAGTGGGCCAAGACCTTCGAGTACATCTTCGCCGACACTCCGCAGGAGGGCGGCGGCCTCCAGAGCCTGCCCAGCCCCGTCTGGGAGGGCCACTACGGACAGCCTGAGCCCGAGGCTTTCTATCTGCTGAACCAGGACTACAGCTACTACGAGAATCTGGATTGATTGAGTTTTTAATGTCGTCAAAGTTAATGTTAGTCACAACCCATAGCGGTATATAGATACCTTGAGAGCTCGATCTTGCTCGGAAAATAAAAATCCACCATCTGCCTTATAATGCCCCTTCTGGTCTCAGAGCTGTAGTAGAGTGTTCCCACGGTGGTGTCTAAACGTAACACACACGGTCTCAATGTAGCGCATACTGTAATTGTGATGGGCCAACAGAGCTTCCGGTGCTCAGCGTAGAGGCAAGCCAGGGAGTTCGAGTGAAGGCCAGTAAAAGCCACCGTGCTCAGCATAAAGGTAAGGCCAAGCAGGGATATCGGAGTGATGGAGTAGTGCTGCCTGAACCCATACCGTCACGATTTTCCAACCGGGGGCTCTGATGGTTAGCCGCTACCAGACCCAGCGGATCTCTCTTTTTTCCCCCAAAAATTGCGTGACAGAGACCGGCGTGTTAAGTAGTGCGGCCTCTCACCATTCTTCCCCTTCTGCAGGGCCTAGACTTTGGAGCAAGGTCTAAAATTCCAAGATCTCGGTTTCCCCGCAAGGGAGGAGGGCGAATCGAGAGACCCGAGAACAAAGGCCCCCCCCCCTTTGCCCCCTATTGACCGCACTCTCTCTCTCTCTTCCAATCAAGCATTGACCCGGTACCAGACATCCGAACCGCCGAGCAATGCACTAACCGTGCCTGCAGCGCCAACCGTGACAGGATCGAGTCGGAACCAGCCTACCGCGGTACCTGGGATCAGCAAATCACAGCTGTCGATGACCAGTTGCCGGAAGATAGCGCGGCGTTTCGCGGCTGGAGGTTGCCTTGCTTTCGACGGTTCCCGTTCGCGGGGCTGGACCACGCCCTTGTCATTGGTCCCTTCGACAATGGTCGTGGTGGTCCTGCTCTGGTCGGCTGGTTGGTTGTTCCCCGCCGATGCAGGTTCGGAGTAGACAAATAAGAGTTCGTATAGATCCAAAGCGACGGAGACTGACAACGCGTAGAACCAGAATTTCAACGCTTCAGTTTGGGTGGTCACCGCCCAAGGTCTCCAAGTCCCAAGAACTGCATCAACCTAGTGGATCGGATCAAGGTCCTTGAGTCAGCTCTACGCCCCGGGGAAACCTTGTAACGGTTTTGTGGAGGCCACGCACAATTGTAAACATCTCTAAGAACAGGTACATGCCGAGCAAGGACCATTTTGAGACGACGAGGAGAAAATGAAGGCTGCTTTGAGATGATGGTGGCTGAGACTGCTTCGCTGGTTTCCACTGGGCCATCTCGCTTGCAGAAAAGACCTCGTACTGGCTATACGCCATATTCCAGCAGTCGATCCATTTGAAGAGGCGGAGATATCGACGTGCTGGAACCCCCAGTTTGTCAGCCACATATCTTAGGAGGGGACAAAGTCAGATTGAAGTCGGCCAGATAAGGTCTGTATAAGGTAGCCAGCTGTGGTAGAAGCTGCTTACCGAGCGCAAATTGATTCTTGGCTGTTAGCCAGTGGGCAGCCTCGTCCGGCGACAGGTAACCGACCGTTGCGGCTATCTGCGAAGTCGACTGTAAGAACTTAAGGCTCTTCTCAACGCCAACTTTTGTATCCCCAATTATTGCATGTCAGCACCGATGTCTTGTTGCACTGCTATCATTACCACAAGCAAACCGACTCGGCTTGCTCTGGCGACTTTGAAGGTGCGCTCGAGACAGGAAAGTCAGGGAGATTAGGTGCTTACGGGCGTCATTGGAGAATCTCGTTATGGACTGCAGCATCTTGAACAAGTGACCGGGCAATGAGATATTGGCAAATTAAGGAAGTGGCCAAAAGAGAGCGTGATCTATCAAACCTCACCTTGATTCGAAGAGAAACTTGCAGCGTTTGCGCTCCAGTAAAGGGGGGAGATTTGGCTGATTCGGCCAAGTCCGCTACCGGAGTGGCTGGATCAGCCTCGAGCACGCCATCATCATAAGTTGGTGCAGGGAAATCCGCCTAGTAGCTGCAAACCGCCTTGAATGAAGTGTCCATATACTGGCAGAGGGTGACAAGCGTCTCCTAGACGGAAACATGTACAGTGACGTTGAAGGGAAAAGATGATGAGCAGGAAGGCTTTGGGGGTTTAGAGCGGCAATAAATGATACCCACTTAGGTACTAGTGGGATGTTTTTGGCTCCGTAGTTTATCCGGGATTCCAACAACACCTCGTTGCAACTTTCGCAGGGAAAACTACAACGACCAGGCCAATCCAATATGGCGGTAATCTCGCGCCTTCTGGTCCTCGTTGGGATCTTGTCCCTATTCCATGCGTATGTATACTGGGACCCCTGCTTGTCAAGGTTCCCAAGCACTGACGGGTGTGATGCAGAGCCTACTCCGCTCACGAATTCTCGACTCTCACTACCAAACTCCATAAGAACGCCGCTCTCCCGCTGGACATCAAGCTCGAGACTCTGTTCTCAGTCCTCCTTGCATGCGTCGGCCTCGTCTTGGGCTCCGAGCCACTGAAACCCGTCAGCTGGAGCGCATGGGCAGGACAGATTGAGCGAGAAGGTGGAGGATCGAATCCCTTTCGGGGATTGGAGGAGAGGGTTGGGTTTATGGATATCAGGGCTCAGAGGAAAGCGTTCACCGAGTGGGCAAAACAGCAGGGCGCTGGGTTTAAAAGTTGAGATGGTCGCGAGTGCTCTCCATCGTCAATGACAACCGTCCTGCTTTCGCAAGAAGGAAACTCAGGCGTGTTGCTGATGGGCTACTCGAAGAAGCGGAGCTTGAAATATACCACTTCACCATTCCGTACCTTCCAGCAGCCGAGGGCATGCCGATGATGGCCGCTTCAACTAGAGCTATTCGCCGCAACCACATCAGTCCTTCACTGATTTGCCCTCCAGCAACCAATGGAGACTTGTCGCAATGCCCTGTTGCTTTGGATGTGCGAGGAGCCACTAAAACAGCCTCAGGAAACCACGTCCACTGGCCGTGGAAAATCTTATTTCCTTAGTAGTCCCGACGAAGCAGCACGAGGGCCCGCATTTCGGTTTCGGCGGCGAGCGGCAGATTATGGAAAGAAATCGTGAGCCATGGGGTTTGATCTCCTTCAAAGCCAGCGCTGAAGGGACGGTTAGAATGGCCGCCAAATATCGGGAATCTGTACAGACGCAATTGAGAAGCGATACAGGACCTCGATCAGGGTTATAACAAAATCATCCACCACACCAGCAAAAGGAAAATGTAGAGCAAACTTCAGTCTTGAAGAGTTTTCATTCGTTCGATTTGAGACCTTTCTAATGGTCGACATTCTGCTCTATCTAGTGATTCGCCCGAAACACTGTCCATACGGCCCTGTTACGCGCCGGAGCATTTCCCTGTCATGATACAACATTTGATACAATGCATTTCCAAATCGCTGGAAGTCCTGTTTTCCCAATCACATCCTCATAAAAGCCATTCCCGTTCCACTGGCGAGATCAACGCCAAGCTAAAAAATTTTCAATCTTCACCGTTTTGCACTCATTATGCATAAAACCCTTCATCAGTAGAAACGCTTTTTGTCGTAAATATGAGAGTAGTTTCCTCGTCAAAGCAATAACACTTGGAGAGCTCCAAATGCCAGGGGGAATTCATAGAAGAGAGAACCCTAAAGCAGCCACAAGCAAGCCGACACCGGCGCCGGCGACTTTGTTGTTGACAGCAGCACCGGTAACTTCGGCGAATGTGGCCACCGCAGTTGCCGACGAGGTGGTGAAGACGCCATTGTCCGAGGAGGTGTCGACAACCGTGCTGATGGCAAGAGTTGTGGGACCCGACGAGATGCCTTCTCCGGTCGAGGTGGTGGTGGTGCTGGAACCGTTGCCGTACCAGTATCCCGAGTAGCTGGGCAGGGTCGGCGAGATGGGTTGGCTGGTGACGACGGCGGGCTGCGTGGGCTGCGAAGTCACGACCGACGGCATGCCCGTGATGACGCCCAGAGAGTTGGTCATTGACGTGTAGATCGTGAAGGGGTTGTCGTAGGACGATGAGGACCACGACGAAGCCTCTGCCGTGGTGCTCGGTGACCACTCGGACGAAGACTCGTAGGGCCAACTTGTCGAGGCGACCGGACCTTGGGGCTGACCGTCCGATATTTCGGACACGGCTGCCATCGTGATGTCTGCGCGTGCTACTTGGAGCCAAAGGGCGACGGCGAGGGAGAGTGAGGAAAGCGTGGTCTGCGTGGCATACATCGTGGCTGATGTGAAGTCTTTCTTTTTGCGATCGAGTAGTAGATGTAATGTTACTCCTAGATGGTGGGAGATTCAGACAGGCTCGAAGTTGAGTGAATTGTGTTGTGGTGGAGGAGAATGAAACAAACCGTTTGCAGCGGTATGTTCTCCAGTACCCTATATACGTTGCCCCCCCCTTCGCCGCAACCGCCATATACACCAGCCAACCCCCCTTATAGCCTTCCCATTTGTTCTGTAGCCAGGGAGGCTAGAATTGGGAAAAATATGTTGGCGGGGCATCGCATCGGACTATTCTTTGTTTGCAGAGAGGAAAGACGCCAATGACGTGCAGGAAACCGTGGGCCGAGTGGATACGCACTAGCCGAGTCGGGCAAGATGCGTGGCTGGTTGCAGTTTTATTGGAGGTTGGAGGCGTTAGTGCCGTTGGTGCCGTTGCGTGGGTTACGGCTGGGGTTTGTGTGCCGAGTTTCAGGTGGTCGTCCCTGGCCACGCTATCCCTTGCGCCGTATAGACGAGGCACCACAAGAGTTTTCAGGGGCCTCCAGGGTGAAAGCAGGGGTTATGATGGTGACGAGGTACCGACTAGGACACTTCTCATAGGGAGGTTGACATTCCGCCAATGGAAGACATCAGGGTTCCCTCTCATACGAGTACCTAGGCGCCTGACAACACCGGACAACCAATTCGGCGCTGGACGGTAGCTATGTCGGTACCCTTGAGGATTCTGTGACGGGCATTTCTGTACGTTCTATACACACCGAATACACTGTGCTCGGCGCAGTTTATGATGTGTTCTGTCCTCTTGACAGCAAATTCCCCGGCCACATGGAATGGTGGCAATGTGATGTCCCAGCTGCCCGCCAGCCTCCCAAACGGCATACCAACGGCATGACACGCGCCTCCCTTTTACCAATATTCATCCATTTTCGCTTGAACGCTCGGACCAATACAAGGAAGATCTAGAACGACCCGGACATCTTTTCCGTCCCCGCCTCAAAGCCTGCGGATACCTATTCGCGGCAGCTTCCTCTTTCCTGCGCTTGTGGTGGAGACTTTTCGTGCTGCGGTCGATTTCGATGCCAGCGAATTGCACTGCAGATTTGGCTTGTTTTGTGTCATCTCGCCTTGCTCTTCATCTTCTTTCTTGTGTGTCGTGAGGCCATCGGCAATGTTCAAAGGCACTACCTCTGGCTGGTCAGGTGCAGAGGTGCGCTCTGTTCTCGGAGACTTTCTTCTTGCCTCTTCAATTCCCTCAGACCGTTCTTCCATATCATTATCGTCGAGCAATGCTATCTCCGAGAGCGCCCGCTTCTCTTTAGTCCCCGTCGTTGTACCTTTGGCCCCTATGGTCGACTGGCCAGGTACATTCTCTTTCGTATCGTCCTCCAAAGGTTTTGTTCGAGAAGACAACCGTTTCTCCCTTGATCCAAGCTCGGGCTCCTCCCCTCGGCGCTTTGCTTCCTGAACAGCGTCTGACAAGTGCTTCGGAATGCGTGCATGAATTCTCGTCATCAACTGCGCCTGTGCAGAAAACGAGTCGTAGTTTTCTTGGATCAAAGCGCCTGCAGCTGCGTTCAAAGCAGAGTCAGGATTGGGCTGGATCAACAAACACGATATGGTGATCAGGATGTCCTTCAGGGTTAACTTTGGGTCCCAATCTCTTTTTAATGTCTCTAAGCACACTGCTCCTGTCGTAGGATCAACGTTTGGGTGATATATCCGGGTCTGGAAGGTGGCTTTTGGGGGGCATTTGGGGTAGTCGTGGGGCATTTTCAGATGTAGACGCCATAGTCCTTCGGCGTAGGGTGTGCCCTCGGCGCCGGTGATACAGATGACAAGCTGGGTGAGGTCGTCCTGAGCCGACGAAGCATGGTCGGCGTCTGGGAACAGGTAATTTGGAGGTAGTGAAGACCGTAGCGCCGCATGATCTTTGACAAGGCGACGGAGAGAAGCCTTCAATCTTGTTAGACTCGCGACACAAAAACTGCAGAGAAGGGGTGTAATTTGCAAGCGATCTCATTTCAATCTGTGATGCGATAGTTGTGAAAAGTACGTACCATATGATCTATGATGTTTGTACCTGTGGTCCTTCGATGAGTATGCTTGACGTCTCTTTTTCTGAATATTGCTATGTTTACATTCTGTTGCCCGCAGCCACCGACTCTCGAGAACGCGTGATCGCGTTTCATGGTCCTCCACCGGAACAACATTTTTCCTTTCATCGATCGACGTCATGGCGTCCTCCAGTCCAGAGGCGAAGAGGTGCGGTAGTCACCTGGGCAGTATTGCAGTATTTCTCCATACAACAACTCACGAAGGCACGAAGCACATACACACGGCAAAAGACAGCTCATCAAGTCTCGTGGCGATCTCATTGCGCAAGAACGGAACCGGACACACCCTATACTTTTTAAAATGTACACCACTTTCGCAATAATGCAGACCATGAATCAGATAACTGGTAGCCTAACAGGATGATGGGTTTGCTGACTACCGTTGTGCAGTGTTGCCTACGCTTCCTCCTCGTCTTCATCAACCAGCTCGTCACTGATATCTTCTCTAAACTTGGGACTCAAAGGCCCCTCCCTAGTCCAAATATTCAAACCAACCTTCTCCCCCGTAGTCACAACGCTCCCCGAGTGGATAACTCTCTGGTCCCCTCTTCCAGCAACCAGATTCACCCAAAACACCGCATTTCCGGGAATGGGAAGAAATGTCACACCTTCATCAAATGGCATATCACAATCAATATATTCACACCAGCGTTCGTCCTTGGGAGCGTCGAGAAGTGGAAATGTCGTACCACCCCCAGAGATGTCTGCACTTGCTTTCACATATGCGAAGAACGAAGTCAGACGGTTCCCGCCGTGCGAGCGGGTCGTCTGGGCTGGTGATGTGAACCAGTCCGTGTGAAGATCATAAGTTTCGTTGGTATGGTATCGCACTAATTGCAACGGCTCAAGGTGTGAATAAGGTGTGTCATATCCCTGAAAGAGCAGAGCGCGCTCCTCAATGCATCGTGTTACCTCGTCGCGCGAAGCAGTAGCAGATTTGGAGCGTCGAGTGCTACGAAGGGATTGGGTACCGTCCTGGTCGGCTGTTTGGGAGTCGATGAAGGCTGAGGAGCTGCGAACGAAGGATAAGCCTGTGGAAGAGGAAGCCTGGAAAGCATTGGAGTACGTGACCTACCTCGTCTGAAGGAGATGCTCGCGCTCGAAAGGGGTGAGGAAGTCGGCAATGTAAATCACAAGCGGTTCGCGAGAGAGGATATGGACAGTGTAGGGCGGGTGTGCGCAGTCTGGAGTGAGGCGTGCCTGGCTGTCCAATGCGGCAACATGGCCGGCGGTTGACATGAGGCTGGCGATAAGATAACAGGTTCCCAATATCTTCATCTTGAAAGCTATTAACATCAGCGCAAATAATGCCATCCAGCACTCACAACTCGTCGACAAATCCCCGTGTCTGCACTCTGTAAAGAATTCTCGAACGTCGTGCACATAAACGCTCTCCTGACACTGGCACAACTGCGCCATTCTTCCTTCACCATTGCTGCCCCTTGAAGCGTCTCCTTCCCCTCAAGTGTTTCACCATTGCAGCTCAAGATGCCTGTCTCAACGGACATCATGAAAAGTAACAAAATGACGCCCCATGTGTTTTCAATGTCTTCAACTATCTCCCGCATTGAAGATGTACTTTTCTGCTCGCATCATTCTTGCCGGTCTGGCTGCTGCAGTGCACGCACAATGGCAACATGTGTCTGACGTCGAGTTCCACTCTCTTCTCGACTCGAACGACCTCACGCTTACAGCGTTTGTCATGGTATCTATTCTCCCTGCCTAGAGCTTTCGAAGTCTTTCTAACGTGGACCTCAGCCATGGACAGCTCCCTGCAAGACCCTTGCTTCGGAGTGGGCGGCTACGAAGTCTCAACTCACTTACCCGGTCGTGAGCATAGACTGTACTACGAATCAGACCCTTTGCACTGCACACAACGTGCATTCTTATCCTGCCATGCGCCTCTACCGTGGCCCTCATGAATCAGTTCGGTATAGGGGCCCGCGCAAAGCATCTGCAATCGTACCCTTCGTTCGGCGCGCCTCGCTTCCAGCGGTTTCGGTGGTAAATATCAAAAATCTTACGGATTTGACTGGAATAGATCGTGTGACATTCGTGGCGTATGTGAAGGAGGACGACCATGCTATGAGGTCAAGATTCAAAAAGGTTGCAGAGACATTCCGGGACCAATTTGTCTTCGGGATTACGAACGACAAGAGACTGGCAGAAAAAGAGAACATAGCGTTTCCCTCTATCATTGCTTACAAGACGGACGTTGGCGATCAAGAGGTGCTGCAGGGCAGCGTGACCCGATCTGCCATTGAGAAGTTCATTCTTGAGGCAGGGAAGCCACTCATAGATGAGCTGACCAGACGAAATGAAATCAGTTATATGAGTGTAACTTTGACTGTCCCTCCCCTGGTGCCAGATGGATGCTGATACTCGTTGTCAACAGTCCCATAAACTTCTCGCGTATGTTTTCGTCACCAACGAGGCCGACCGCACCCGTTTCCGACGAACGCTACACCCCGTTGCAAAGAAGTATAAGGACTACGTTAACTTCGTCACCGTCGACGGCGATGAATACGGCCACATGGCCGCAAGCCTTGGACTGCATCGGGGGCATTACCCGAGTTTTACTGTGTATAGCGCCTGGAAGGACCAAGTGTTCCCTTATCCAGCAGTGAAACGAATCGAGGCGGACAGCATAGAAGCATTTCTCTTGGAAATTCTGCATGGGAAACGAGCGCCATGGAACCCCACAGGGCCGGAACACGGACAGCATGATGAGCTGTGAACTTTGAGGATATCAAATCGCCCACAACTCGAGGCGCCAGACACAACCTTGATTCGACCTTGAGTGATGGGGCACGTGCCGAGCCCTCGCCCAAGGTACTGACAAATTCTGTATACCTGATTGATGAGTACCTAGAGCATGGACCTCGGCAGCATCATCTCATGTCTTGCGCATATACCATGTCAAGCTGCAGTGAATGATCTAGAGCATCTCTTTGCCTAGCCTCGCGTACACTAGTATTGTCGTTGATACCCGTATGTATATTGGAAAGCTTCGCTGGTGGGCTGAGTCGGAGCCATATCCACTACTCGTACTGCAAGTCCCAGCTCGATCTCGTACCTGTTGGGCCACCGTAGTCAGATGTGTAGAGATAACCGGGAACGAACCCGCAACGAGAATCTCACACATTGCCGTCCACGCACGATGGGAGATCTTAACAAACTGGTCCCTCACGCGATGTGTGCCTCGGATTCTCCTTTCTGACCAATCGCAATGGCCGGGTTCCTGAAGCCTCGCCCCCAGGTTCGATTGCTTGGACGTTCTTTTGTTGCGCGTTGAGGCGCGTGGAAGGGCATGTTCGGTAAAGAAGCGGCATTCAGTCGAGGCTGACTCCGTACACGCTTAGCACGAATATGCTCCCGTAATACGGCAATACGTACGAGTATGCACCTGGGCAGTGATCACTGGTGAGACTTGGTTGCACAGCCGCTCCGCATGGCCGATGCAGGCCAATGGTACGAGCCAGCCAATCAGCAGGGCCGAGAAATGAAGGACCAAGTCGGCCTCTTTCGGAGTCTCCGCAGCTTGGATTTGCACACACGCACCGAGGGACACACACTCACTTTTGCTCTCTCTCCCTCTGTCAGTCTGTCAGTCAGTCTGTCACTCTGTCAGTCAGTCTGCCAGTCTCGCTTCTCCCCCGTCCGTCCCCCCCCGCCAGAAAAAAAGGTCCTTTTGTCTTTTCTCTTCCCAACCTCAACTACTGCACACGCACAGTTACAGCGCACCACCTCCTACCACCAAACTCTTTCGCACCCCCTTTGACGCCCGCCCTATTCAAGCCATTTTGGCCTCGGCCCATTATTCTTATTTTATTGAATTTTCCGTGGCCTGCGGGCCCATCTCCGGGCTCCCCTTCTGTGGCCCCCTACCTGGCCAGCTGGTACCCAGTGATCACCCACAGCTCACTGACAGGTGTCGGCGACACCGCCTAAACCATTGCCATTCCAGGCTCGTGGGCTTGCTCGTCACTACCTGTGCAATTGCCTCTGGCGCATCTGCTGGCTCTTATTGCGTGGTTGAATTCCGGCCCCCCGAGGCTCTTTGCTACAGCTGAGGCTTCGAGGGCTCTGGAGCAGCCTGGCACGGCTATCTCGTCGACAAAGGACCTTCAGAAGTTCGGCCTTGACGTTGACGGCATTTACAGACCCGCCATCATTGGTATATACGTACAATAATTTCCGCAAGCTTGCTTCATCGTAACAGTCCTTGCTTCATCATCCTTCAACCCTCCAGGACCTGCATATCGCGCTCACTCAGACCCCCCCGACACCGCTGCAAAGCCGACCGCTACTGTGCCAATCTCGGCCGCCGCAGATCTGGTTTGCGACTCGCGAGCTTGGACTTCTCCGCTGCCCGCTGTTGGCCACCTGACTGCAAAGTCCGCGACTGGTACCCCTCGTACTTTTGACGCAACTACTTGCTCGCCACCGTTGTTCCAACTTTCCCGCAGCCCGCCATGTGGCCAGAACCTCAAGCTCGCCCCTTCGCTATTCATCTCCCCTCCCACTCGCTTGTTCCACAGTATGTGTCCATGCCTGACCCAGAGCCTGACACCGACCTAGTACTCGCCCTGACTGGCTCCATGCCGGGCAGAGAGGGTGGACGGCAAGCTTCCTCCAATGGCAACTCCTATATCTTGGCGTCGCGAAGGAAAAGGGCTAGCAAACCAAAAGTACGAACCGGATGCAAAACATGCAAGGTCAGTTTCCCCTTCCACCAGCTTTGTCCCCACCCAAACCTGCACTCTCTTGACATTCCCCCAAAATGCACACGGTTCAATGCTCGTATGGCTCCCAGCCACAGTGGTGGGTAGCTGAACGGTCAAACCAGTCCTGCTGTCGAGCCGTGTCTGACTAAACTCGCCTCCTGCCACGCTCTCCTACTGGTCTCATCGCATGCAATTGACATAGAGGACAGATCCGCCGCATAAAGTGTGATGAGACAAAACCCAGCTGTGAGTTTTTCCTGCTTCCCCATCGCCTGGCCCGTGCCATATCCTCTCATTATTGTCCGGATTAGTGCTCACTTGACCTCCCAGGTAAGCGATGTACCTCCACTGGACGTAAATGCGATGGGTACGAGTTTCCCAAAGAGAACTCCAGCGGCTCAACCTCAACCGCTCTGTCGCCACCGCAACAGAGCAGCCCGCCGCCTTTCCAACATCTATTTCAACCCAACTCAATCTCAAAACCCTTTCAAGGCAACACTCAAGAACGCCGTATCTTCCACCGCTTCCAGTATTGCACGGTGCCCGCATTCACCGGTGGCTCCGAATCCGGTTTCTGGACAAAACTCGTACTCAAAGTGGGTCACGAGGAACCCGTGGTTCGGAACGCAATCATTGCCTTGGGGACGTTGCATGAGGACTACCAGGACCGCTGTGGCAAATACAGCCCCCAATTGATCAACGACCAGAGCTACCAATACGCCCTCAGGCTATACGGGGTTGCGTTGCGCGACCTGAACCAGAGACTCAACACCCCCTCCAGCACCAACGCCAAGCTCGCCATCATTTCAAGTATATTATTTGCCTGCTTCGAAGTCCTTCGACGGAATAACATGGCTGCTGTCATCCACTATCAGCAAGGAATGAGGGAACTGACCAGGCAAATGAATCTTCCTCAGGGCGATGACTTCTCCCTTACGCCTTACTCACCAGAGCAAGCGTCCGGCTCACGACCAACCTTCCGCGAAATTCCACAAGACGAGGTCGACGAACTGCTCCGGGTCTTTGCCCGCTACGACATTCAAGCATGCACCTTTTCCAAAGAGAAAGCGGAACCTCTATTAACCAATCTGGGCAAAGTGCCTCGGATACTGCCGACCAACCTCACCCTGAGTCAAGTCCGCAACCATCTCGACAACCTCCTTGTTTCGGTTTACCAATTGGTCAAATCAGATGCTCGTATGTACCGATACTGGAAGAGAGATGTGGTGCCTGTAGAGTGGCAGGCTCGGCGGCAAGAGGCTATCGATGTCTTCGATGCCTGGATGGCAGCCCTAGAGAACTTTTTCTCGACGCAGGGTCCGAGGCTGGGTCGTGCCGACATCAAAAGCCTGCTGGGTCTCCGCTTGCAGATCAAGACCGCAGTCATGATGCTCAAACTGTGCATAGACTGTGGACCCGAAACCACATTTGACGCTTTCAGGGACGACTTTGAGGATATGGTGTCCAAAGTTGAGCAGGTCACCACAGCTCTTAGTTTGACCGAACAAATGCCCTTGGAGGATGAGCTCACACCGTTCACCATGGAGCTGGGCATTATACACCCTCTGTTCTTCACAGCTTGCAAGTGTCGAGACTGGGGAATCCGACGCCGGGCAGTGGCTCAGCTGAAGAAAGCCGGCAAAGAGGGCGTCTGGGAGGGACCCATTATGGCCGTCCTGGCCCAGAGAATCGTGGCTTTGGAGGAAGAAGGCTTGTCTCAAGGAGAATTGGTCCCCGAGGCAAATCGATTCCACGATATTAGAAAGAACGTTGATTATGACAGTCGGCAAATTCTTTTCGAAGCAACCAGGGCTTTGGATGCGGCCTGGGAGAATTTCTCGGTTCACAGGGAAGCAGTTCCGTTCTGAAGCGTTCCATTCACGATCAGCAAGGCGTTTCGGGAGCATTGGTCCAATCAACCAGGAAGCATGAGAGCAAGTTTCAGACCAGGGCATTCAAGATTTGGTCACGACGTAACGATCAATGATAACGACCTGCATGCGGCGCCATCTTCTCGTGGCACAACAAGGAAAATCATTGCAATTGGTGTCTGCGAATTCTGTACATTGGCTGGGGAGTGAAATATATCTGACGCAATGTACTTTGACGAGGATAATGTCGATGTGTAGTAGATATTTGATAGGCAATAGTCCGAGGCGGCCATATAACGGGTCAGGCTGTTCTCGGTACCTAACGCGTGAGGAAAATATCTACACATAAAATGCCGCTCTCCAGAAGAAACACACGATGGCGGGACTTCGCCTGTCAGTGACTGCACGTGATACTGTTTGGTCAGAGACTCGGAGCTCTAGGAAAATCTCTCCTGGAACCTTGGATAGAACTTTACAGTCCTCCAGCTTCAATAGCATCCTCATATTACCTGCTATATCCCTCTCATATCACGTGGCAGCCAGGGCCTGACACTCTCCCTAATGGCAGGTGTGCGTTTCGGAGAATTAAGTCGTAGTGGTGCATCCGCCCTCGGGAGGCTTGCATCCAGCCTGCGACCCTGATCCCTGGCACTTGGAGCGATTCCAGTTTTGACAGCGGACGGCGCCGCTGCTTGGCGGGGCCAAAGCCAATTGGCGACTGCCAGCAGCGGCATTAGGGGTGTTTGGACAGTGCTAAGCCGTAGATCAAGGCCTTTTAGGCACCAAAAGCATGTCCACTATGCCCACTTAGGTGCCACTATAGCGTGTCGCGTCACCGTCACTAATGAGCACCGTTTCTCGATTCCCGGGCTGATTTCCCAATCTCGATCCCTCATCATGCTCTCAGGCAATTTTGACACCTTCAACACCCAACCGAACTTGTTCGTTTTCCCCGTCTATCGTGTTTTCCATGGCGTTGTGCGTGTCTTCCAGTCCCTGTCCTCCTGAAATCGTGCTTCTGAAGATCCTGGGACTTGATTCCTCCTCCTCCGCCTTGCGACCGCGAACCTCAACCTGCCACGACCTCCGTTCATGAACCTCGACGAGCTCAATCACTTCGAGAGTACCCCTTCTGGCAGTCACCGCATCGGCGTCTACCCTTACAGCGACTCTCACGCCTCGCTGCATTCACTGAAAGCACACAGTCTTTCGTCCACTCCTTCAGAAAACGATTGGATCTCTCCTTTTACTCTCCCCCCATTACCGACTTTGCGTCGCGACCGCGATCCGCAAGACTACCGCCAATCTCCAGATTATCCTCGACAGCGAGACGGAAGCGGTGCCTATTACGCCGCTGCTTGGGGCTCACCGTATGCTACCCCAAGCCCGCGAAGAGCACCTCAGCCTTTCGATCCCGCAAGTCAACGCTTGAATATTGAGGCAGGGCCCCCTTTCGGAAGTTCAATCGGTCGACGAACCATCCCCTCAACTCCGGGTGACGACGCTGAGGGCGTCGAATCGCAAAGTCGACGCCGCCTGTACAGAAGAACTCGTCTAGTTTCAAGGAAGGAGTTACGAAATCCACGTTCCGAAAGACCCAATTGGCTGAGCGACTCTGAAGAGAGCGGATCCGAGACAGGTGTCGAAGAGGAGGATAACACACCAACTCGTGTTGCATATCTCGACAGCTGGGGAGCGTCTCCTGTCGAGACGGTGAGCCGCTTGCCCGTACGACACAGAAGCAGCGAAAGTCTTGCTACCATTACCCCATATACCTTCCATGATTCCCGAAGGTTGTCAATAGCGCCAGAACGCCACCGCATGCGGCTTTCGCCGTCTGCACAATACGAGATGGCCGAGCACGATTCGGAGACAGCCCCAGCGGAGGAAAAGCCGCTCCCTGTTCTGCCTCCCCAAACATCGCACGTGGAAGATGATGGGAATGCTCCAGAGAGCCCAACTTCAGTGGTCCGGCCGCGGCCCACCTCAATGCAATCGTATCAACGCCCCAAGAAAAAGGTCATCTGGAAAGGCAAAGCGTGTATTATAGCTCTGCCTCTTACAGATCGAGAAGCCGCCGGGCTACCTCCTCTGCTGACGCCACAACAGGTCAAAGAACGGATAGATGGTTGGATCGCGGCTGGGTACTCGGTGGAAGGCTTTGGGCTTACCGGTACGAGCCCTGGGGCTTCGGGCGAGAGCAGTGGCCAGAGCCGTCCAGTGTACCCGGACGCGACAGAAATTCAGGCAGAGCGCAAGTTACGGGAGTTTCATGTCCGCATACCTGACCAGGCAGAATGGGAATCGTGGGTCAACTACCTCAAGGAGGAGAAACTTCGTGCGTTGGGAGTTAGTCCGAGCAACTCTGAAGCTGCGCCGTCGAGCCGATCACCCTTCTCGCCCGCATTGAGCCGCATCTCATCTGGCTATCCAGCACTTGCGACATCCCCTCCAGGAGATCCCTCCTCTTCATCAGCAAGCAACCCGCTTAGAGCTGCAAGCAATCCCTTCTCCCCGTCGAACATGTCGTCTGCTGCAATCAGTCCTCAGCCTGGATCCCTAGGGGCTTCACAGTTCAACGGAGCGCCAAAGCATATGCACGGATACAAGCCTTCAATTGCGCAGTCGAACTTTCATGGTCGAATCCCATCGCCGTTGGAAGCCTCGCTAACGCATACAAATTCCTTCGGCAACGGGGCGCGACCCAACATTCAACCACTCTCCTCCCGGCAAAACAGTTTCTCGCCAAACCACCCACTGCTTCTTCCGAATATGGGGGAGGTCTTGTCCCAACCACAGGCCATGCATATGCGCAGGGCAACTGCCAACTTCGCTGGCGACCAGGGACGCCAGAATCAAATGCAACAAAGAGGATATTTTCCCGTTCCGCAAAATGCCAATCAACCAACACCAAGCCCCACTCTGCCACAACGGATTGAGAGTCTGGTACACACGCCCCAGTTCAGCGATTCTTCTCGAACTCCTATTGAAATCGCACACCCTACTCCGAAGAGCCACCGTCATAATCTCAGCATCGCTCTGCAAAGGGAGATTGACGAAGCTGAGGCGGCTCTGCACGAGAGAGGGGATGGCATGCATGAAGACCCAGACCTTGTTGACTTGTCCTTGAGAAAAGACTCGGCTCTGGACGAGTCTGTGAACGAAGAGCCTCCGATCCTGAGACGACCGGAGACGATAACGACAGCGGATGAGAAATCAGAAATTGAGACAAATCCAAGCATAGCTGCTACGCCCATGCTGATGGACGACAAGAATCCATTCGTTAATTGGCAAGCATTGAGCGATGCCGCGAAAGCTGAACCCAAGCCTACTCCTGAGACTATTCCGACAACTTCCAAACTCAATGTAGAGGCCAAAGAATTCGACCCGCGAGCTGGCTTCTCGAGCTCCAATTTCTCGTTTGCCGGACCCAGTTCCATACCATTCGGCTTGCCTCCACCAAAGGTAGCACCGTCTGCCGAAAGAGCTGCGTTTAAGAGCAGATTGTCCTTATCGCATCTTAATGCCGACGCCCCTGCTTTCACTCCACGCACGACGCAGCCAGCACCCAAAGACACTCCTTTCACATTCAGTTCTGCGACGTTCAATGTCGAGGCTCCGGTGTTTAATCCTTCTCAGTCTCCTGATACCAACTTCAAAGACAACGTGGCATCTACGGGTACAGGACCATCTGACAATGCGAACAGCATATTCGGCAACGTTGTTATAGACCCAGGCTCAAAGGCCATAAGAAGAGCAAGCAAAGGCATACCAACGGTTGGCCTGAAGTCAAAGGACGTTCAAGAGGAAGGTACAAACAACTTGTGGGATGATGCAGGTCGACCAATGGTCCCCATGGACCGACAAAAGAGAGCACGAAGAAATGACAGTGACGGAGACCGAAGTCCCGTTTTTGCAGATTCTGCACCGTTTCATCATAGGAGGATTCTTTCGGAGATCGTGGATGATGTCGATGCGAACGGACCTAACCCGGAAGTGCCGAAGAAAAGTTTTGACGGTTGGGCCTATATATCTGCAGATGAAAATCAGCTGACTGGCACCGCGGACATGACCAACGCCCAAGAAGAGACCAGCGACGCAGGCGAACCACGTTCGGCGTTTACTTTCAAGAATCACAGCGATGCTGCTTTGTTCAGCGAAGCTCGACCGCCTCTCGAAGCCGACCAAATATTGAACTCTGAGCAGACGGGCGAAGCAACGGGCGAAGCAGAATCTTCAGACAACCTCAAGAAGGAAGAGGAAACTCCAGTCAAACCAACGACTCTGCCGTCCGGACCCACTCGAAAGCCAAAGTCCTCTCTTTCGGCATTAGCTAAGCCTTTCGAGTTCAATACGAGAGTCACGAGTTCATTGGGATCCTCCTCGTTTGCGATGCCACAGAAGACTCCCGGGCTGGAAGACTCCAAATATGCAGAAACATCGAGTCCGCCGTCTGAGCTTAAGGCTAGTCTTTCCTCGCCAGTCACAGACATACCGCACTATGTGGAAAAGGATCATGAATCAGTCAACGAAGTGGAGGACACGGTCGAAGTCTTCGAAGAGAAGAGCTCTGAAGACGAGGTCGTCGAGGTCATTGAAGAGAAATCCGCTGGCGACGAATTCGAGCAGCCTCGACGGCGAAAGTACATCTTGGAGCCAGCTAAAGACTTTGATACAGATCCTGACGCAGGAGCCGATCGGTTTGACAAGACGGAATCCTCATTGCGGCATGGAGACCAACCTGTACCATCATTTGAAGAAATCGATGCTGTTATGAAACACCTCGAGGTTCATCCAGAACTCGGCGTAGAGCGCAATGACACACCCGTCCAGTCTACGCCGCTCGTCGATATGCGCCTGGGAGGACACTTCCGGAGCGACGCTCCAAGCCCGAGCCCAGTCAGACACCAGGACACCAAGGCTGCTCAGAGCGACACCTCCTACCCACCATCATATGGGCTGGGCATTGGGGTGCACAACCTGAATTCAGGCAGGGAGGATGTAAGCGATTGGGGTGACACGTTACCAGCGGCAGAGGCAGCCAAATTGCAACTTCGTTCCCAATTCTTTGATGGGCACGTCAACGACTTGGTGGATGGATTACTTGAGAATCGTCTCGGACCGCTTGAACGCACTCTAAGGACCATTCAACATTCGCTAGCATTGATGGCCACGCAGCAGAACTCGAAGACTGGCGGCCGGGGCGTGTCAGGCCACCAAAAAGACTCAGACGCTGACGACGAGGATGAGTACGATGCCTTTGAAGGTTTCTCATCTTACAGAACACGATCGCCGAATGCCAGAAGGGGGGAGCGGAAACAAGACCTGATCCGCGCGGCCGTCGCTGAAGCATTAGCTGCACATCAACCACCTCCCCTGCCACAGCCTTCGATGGACTTGACAGAGTTCAGTGCCATCCTGCAGGAGATGAGGGAGCTGGCTCAGAAAAACAGCTCTCAAAACACCCAACACGAGTTGAAGACAATAATGGAAGACGTAATCTCCCACCATCCGAGACTACGTGGCTCGAGAGTCCAGCAGGAACATGAAACCGCCGACATTAAATACAAACCCCAGATTGATGGTCTGGAGACAATGCTGAAGATCTCTCAGGAGCACGCCGCCGAGGAAGCCCGCCTCAGACGGACGGCGGAAGAGGAAATCAATGAGCTAAAATTACGACTACGCATTGCCGAAGAGGAAGCCGCACAGTATCGAGAATCCTCTGAAGAGGCCCAGCACACTCTGGAGGCTTTCGTCGAAGAAAAGGACTCGTATAGGAACCTTGAGCGTGAAGTGGAAGGCTTGACCCTCAAGAATACTGCTCTCGAACATACACTAGAAGAATACCGCGTTTCAAGTGATCAGTGGCGAGAAGACATTCGCACGGAACGTGCCTCTAACAAGGAGCTTAAGCGCACCTTGCAAGAACTTCATCAACAATTGGTGGATCAGTCGCAGTCTCGACAAAATCTTCGATCCAAAGTTGAGCGCCTTCAGTCCCATATCGCACAGGTCGTGGAGGACCTGCATTCTGAGCAGCAAGATTGGCGGAATAAAGAACACGACCTACAGAGCAAACTTGCCCGCCTTCAAGACGCCCTTGAGCAAGAGCGGCGACATCGGGAGAAGGCAGAACTCGAACTGGACACCCTGGATAGAGAACACAAGGCTAATATCCACTTGAAGACGGTTCTGGACCAGGCTCAATTGGACGTCTCACGTCTTAACGAATTGGTTGCCTCGCTCCGAGAGGAGAACAGGGCTCTGGATACCAAAGCATTCAACCTGGATCGAGAGCTGGAGCATGTCAAGAACAGCAAGGATGCCGAGCTTGCAACTTCCACGGCCAAATTACAGGCTGAGCTGGAAAGTGCCTTGACCAAACTTCAAAGCATACAGGCAGATTCGACCGCGCAAATTTCACGGTTACAGAGCCGTCTAGACCACGCTGAGTTGGATAACGAAGAGCAAAAGGCGAAGCATGACGCACTCCTTGCCGAAATCATTGAAACGCACAAAGAGGCTCTTCGGGAAGCTAATGAAAAGAAAGAAAATGCTCTGGAGGACCAGCATCAGGTTCACGAGAAGAAACTCAATGAACTGCGAGACCGTCACACAAGGGAACTGCATAATTCGTTCGACACCCGAACGAGACTGGAGCACCAATCTAAGGAGCGGCTCGAGTTGAGCGAGGACAAGGTGAAGCACCTTGAAAGTAAGGTCGCAGATCTGGAGGAGAGGTTAGAGATCACGAAATCCGCCGCCAGAGCAGCCGTGGAAGCTGCGACCGCCAAAGGGGTGAACCTGCCCACTCCGGCTCCGTCCGTCGTGGCATCGCCACCACAGCGTGCGGCAACTGCCTCTATGTCGTTTGCCAAAGGGTCGGATGTTCCAGAAAGGATTTCGCCGCAAGCCCTTCGAGAGTCCATCATGGTGTTACAAGATCAACTGCAGAATCGCGAGCAAAAGATAGAACAGCTGGAGACGGAGCTTGCCGCTGTGGACAAGGATGCTCCCAACAGGCTCAGGGAGCGCGACACCGAAATCGGTTGGCTTCGTGAATTGTTAAGCGTTCGGATCGATGACCTTGAGGATATCATCAACGCTGTTTCTAGGGCTGATTTCGACCGAGACACCGTCAGAGACGCTGCAATTAGGCTGAAGGCCAATCTACAGATGGAACAGCAACTGAAAGAGCGGGGCGCGGCAGGCGGGTTGGCCAGTTCCTTTCCGTCAATCTCGAGCCTGTCAAGCTATGCTCAATCACCCCGTGCACTTCCACTGGCGGCAGCGGCGGCTTGGGGCAACTGGCGAAGAGCTCGTGAGACCTCAATTGGCGCCATATCCGATCTGGCCACCAACCTAGGGAATCAGACACCCTCAAAATCTGCAATCGGCAGTCCTGCAAGTTTCTTATCGGGAATCATTACACCGCCGGGTACAACCCAGAAGACACCGAGCTCAAGCCAGACGCCGACGGCACCACCGCCGAGCATGAGAAACCCCCCTGCGGGTACGATGCAAGCTCGTAAGGCCGGCGGACCCGAAGCCCGGCCTTTGAGGGCCTACAGTTCGCAACCCCGGGCACTGTCGAGCAGGCAGGCAGACAAGCGACCGGAGAATTTGCAACTACAGCCCAACTCTTCGCCAACCTCACAGCTGAAAATCGATCTGCCGCAGACTCCAATTCAAGCCAAGGATGGGGCAAATCTGGATCTCACGGATGATGTGGATGACGATGCCTCGCCGCTGGACGGGAAAAATACCCAGCTTCTTGGAGAGGCAGAGCCGCTCGTTGAATGAACCTTTCCGTCACAGGCGTATACGAGAGGGAACAATACACACTCCACTCCCCCTCCTTGTCGATCATTTGCTTTCCCTGTCATTTATTGATGCCATGCGTCTTGCATGGACAAATGTGTGCGCATAGCTTTCACGTGCGGTGTCAATATGAGGAGGAAGTACATGTGGAAAGTACACAGATTGTTTAAAACGAGAACGAAATGCGGAGCTTTGGAACGAGACCATGGCAATTTCCTCCTCCACATTCATTCTGCTTACTCGTTTGCTGCCCTCTCGCCATGGTGAATTGGATGTGTTGTACAAGAGGAAAAAAAGGAAGAATGATATACCCCCCTGCTCTGTTTTTAGCGTCATTTTGCCATGATACCACTTTTCTTTTGTTTATTCCCCCCGGGACGGTCGCTTGTGGATAGAATGTGGTCAGTCAGGTATATAAACATAGCAAGCATAGCGCTGAGTCATTTCCGTACATATTAGCGTCGATATTGAAAATGTGGCCGACAGGTGCCAGTTCACACACACTCTGTCTCTCTTACTCACTAAAGAGGGGTTTCCTTCTTGATTGTTGCTCGTTGCGGGGGAATGACAAGCACCTCTGTACCCTTGATTCTCCATGGGCGCAGCCTCGCGGACGCAGCCTCGTGCACATATTCCAATATCTTAAGCCTCGCTAGGTAAGTACTACCAAATTACTAGTAACTTGCTTTCTCTCCCGCTATATCCGAGGCCTGGAATTTCCAAATCAGATATTTACGGAGCAAACGACCGTCCTTCCTTCGTTCAGAGTGGATTTGTCCGGTCAGGACCACCCAGGGCATAGCTACCAGTAGGTACAGAGTACTACGTACTAGGAAGTACTTTCCCCTCTTTTCGTCGCCAGGCGCCCCAACGTCATTGGATATTATATCTTTCTTCCCATCTTAAAGGCTGGTGCCTGGGTCAGACCACAAGGTATATCGATCGCCCTGGGCATCATCCCAGAGACTCGTGGGCTTCTTGTCCTGATATATACCCCACATAACACGCGCCTCGCCGCCATGGGTGTTAGATACACGACAGCCACGGTCATTCTGTTGACGGGGTTCAACTTCATCTCCCTCATAAGTGCGACCTGCTATTCACAATCCCCTGTTTTCTTGCCGCCGACGTACAATTCCAAGTCCGATCCGGAGCTTGTTGAAGCATTCCGGCACATCGAGGAGTCTGTATCGTCATTTTTTGCTACAAGGCCAGACCTCAATACATCGTCGTACTCGATCGAGGTTACCTCCCCCGACTCAACGCTCTGGTCCACATTCCACACGGCCGCCGAGAAAGACCCGGAAAGGCCAGGGGCTGAGCAGGTTGACGGGAGCAGCGTCTACCGCGTGGCCAGCATCACCAAGGTCTTCACGGTTCTGGGGATATTGCAACAACATGCCGCGGGAAATCTCAGCCTGGATGATCCCGTGGACATGTACATTCCAGCTCTGACGGCTTCTCGGTTCCAGCAAGGTGGGACTAGGATCCCATGGGGAGACATCACCTTACGGTCACTGGCAAGCCAGCTTTCCGGCATCCCGCGCGACTGGGCGCAGAGCGATTTGATCACATCGCTTCCGGATCCCAGCGTCATTGGACTGCCCCCGCTTCCCCCATCCGCGCCAGAACGGTCGGACCTGCCCAAGTGCGACTCGTACAGGAAGTACAAGCCATGCACGGAGACAGACCTTCTGGACTACCTCTGGGACAAACGGCCCTTGTTCATGCCGAACCAGAAATCCACGTATTCCAATATCGCCTTCGAGTTGTTGGGCATCGTCCTTGCCACCGTCACGGGGAGAAGCTATGAAGACTACATCGAGGCCTCCATCCTGGGGCCCCTGAAAATGACATCTACCTCGTTCCGAAAACCGTCCGACTCCGTCGCCGTTCTCCCCAAGGACAATGCGTGGTACTGGGACGTCGACGAAGGGGTGCAAAACCCCACGGGCGGGTTGTATTCGCCGTCGAGTGACATGTCGGTTTTCCTGCGCCACGTCTTGAAAACCTACCGCAACGTCGCCGGGTCCCGGGTCAGTTGGCTCTTGCCCGTCTCCTTTACGCCTGGGTGGAAGTCGTTTTACGGGATGCCGTGGGAAATTCTCCGCGCGGACGGCATCGTCACGGACAGCCCGGCGAGGACGGTCAGCTTCTTCACGAAAGGCGGCGGCCTGCCGGGCTATCGGACGCTGATTCTGCTCGTGCCCGAGTACGAGCTGGGCATCACCATCTTCACCGCGGGCGACGAAGCCTTCATCGACCAACTCGTCGAAATGGTGACGATTCCCTTGATCCGTGCCGCGGATCGCCTTGCGGGTCGCCAGGCCGAGCACAGATACACGGGTACCTTCGTCGCCGATCCCGGCATGGCCATCAATTCCTCGCTCCAGCTCTCTTATTCGGACGCACACGGTCTGGAGATCACGAAATGGATCTCCAACAGCACGGACATGCTCTCGGTCATACCCTTGCACTTTCACCTCCCGCAGGACCGCGGGTTCCACCTCCAACTGGTGCCTACGTCACTATACCGGAACCAAAAAAGGATGCAGGGCGAACTGTGGAGGGTTATGGTTACTCTGGATCGCTCGGGTCCCCGAACATCAGCATCGCCACCACCACTATTACAACAACAACAACAACTCCGGGAAGTGCAATCATCGTCAGAATCAATAGAGGCCCCGGAATTCAATGTAAAGGGTAAGGGCAGCAGCAAAACAAACAACGACGAATTCCTCGATCATCAACCATCAGGCCCTCTCGGCAGTAATATATGGGAAGATTTCTGCGTCAGCGACGTGGACACGTTGATGTATGCGGGAAAGCCATTCAATGAGATTGTCTTCTGGGACGACCGAGATATATCAGCAGGCGGGGAGGAAGAGGGAGAGGGCGTGGGAGGGAACCGTGGCGACGATGACGAGGAGCAGGAGCAAGATGGGGTGCGGTATGGCACGGTGGAATTGACGGCGTTTCGAATCAATATGACCCGGTGCTGCGGAGGATGAGGAGGGAATGGCCATTTTTCTCACAGCGGCGGCGGCGATGCATCATCATTGCGGTCATATTCATCACTAAGGGAAGATGGATTCTCCCAACCAGATGGTAAAGGACAACAGACAGCCAGCCCATGCATGCATAACCAGTTCCTTTGAACGCTGAATGTTGAGCAGCAAGAACATCCACCACCAAGCATACACCTTCCACTGTCCTCTGCACCGCCTTTGACCTCTGGCATTCGCGCAGCAAGAGGCAGTTGTTCTCCAGGCCCAGCGATCAACTTCGGCCCTCGATCTCCTATCTCCCTGTAGGCAAGTCTACTCTCTCTCCGCGCTCTTGCCGCGGCTGCGGTGGTAGTGATGGCCGAGGTGATAGCTTACTGCGTCGCTTTCATAACCACATTGTAGTCCTGGGTCCTTGGTAGGTATTGGAGATGACTCACAGAGAGACACGAAGGCTGGTTGAAGTGGGACAAGATCCATTACCACTCGACCACAAAGCCATATCCGCTGCCAATCAATTTGACCGTCTACAAACGACGATATGACGGGGACTTGGAGCAAGAATCGACCGCCTGCATGAAACTCTCCGGCGCCGGTGTTTAGCCGCCGAGCCCGCATATCCAGTACGTCCATATTGGGACTAGCGCCCGCGAATCTTGGCGTGGATTTGGAGAGCGCACACTGCACAGAATCTTTGGCGGAGATCGCAAGTCTCGACTCAGGCGACTCTTGATCACCATCTCCCTCAGACACCAGCCCGTTCTCTCTTTGTCTGGATCTTCAAGTCGCCATGGCTGAACAACTTATTCAACGTGGTACTCTTGAAGGCCACAGCGGCTGGGTCACCGCCCTCGCGACCAGCTTGGAGAAGTCAGTAGTGCCCAAGAAAACCACCTCCCATCTGCGACAAGGTCGAACTAACATTGAAAAAATTCTAGCCCCAATATGCTGCTCTCGGCCTCAAGAGATAAGACCCTCATCATCTGGAACCTGACTCGCGACGAGACTGCCTACGGCTACCCGAAGCGGTCACTCCACGGCCACTCGCACATTGTCTCCGACTGTGTCATCTCCTCGGATGGCGCATATGCCCTCTCCTCTTCCTGGGACAAGACCCTGCGCCTGTGGGAGCTGTCCACGGGTAACACGACTCGAACCTTCGTCGGCCACACCAACGATGTCCTCTCCGTTTCCTTCTCTGCAGATAACAGACAGATTGTCTCCGGGTCCCGAGACCGAACCATCAAGCTCTGGAACACCTTGGGAGACTGCAAATATACCATCACGGACAAGTGCCACACCGACTGGATCTCGTGCGTGCGCTTCTCCCCGAACCCTCAGAACCCGGTCATTGTGAGCTGTGGATGGGACAAGTTGGTCAAGGTAAGAACACAAACTTCCCCCCCGAAATCATCCTACCGTTTGCCCAAGATGCTACGCATTTTTCAAAAGTATTTGCTACTTCGGAGCCCCCCTGGGGCGATGAGACAAACCATTCACCGGCGGACTGAGGCCCCAAAAAAAATCCCATCGAAGAATCTATCCTTGCTCGACATGAAATTCGAGTTGGTGGAGGGAAAGTCGTGCTGACCTCGAACTCTTCTGGACAGGTGTGGGAACTGGCGTCGTGCCGCCTTCAAACCGACCACATCGGTCACACGGGCTACATCAACACCGTGACCATCTCCCCCGACGGCTCTCTCTGCGCCTCAGGCGGCAAAGACGGCACCACCATGCTGTGGGACCTGAACGAGTCCAAGCACCTGTACTCGCTGCAAGCCGGCGACGAGATCCACGCGCTCGTCTTCTCCCCGAACCGATACTGGCTCTGCGCCGCCACCACCTCGTCCATCACCATCTTCGATCTCGAGAAGAAGAGCAAAGTCGACGAGCTCAAGCCCGACTTTGTCGAGAAGGGCAAGAAGTCCCAGGAACCCTACTGCGTGAGCCTGGCCTGGAGCGCCGACGGCCAGACCCTGTTCTCCGGCTACACGGACAACAAGATCCGCGCCTGGGGCGTCATGTCTCGAGCATAAGGAAATGGGAAGGGGCCACCAACGTGCGGGTCGGGAGAAAAAAAGGAGTTGACATGACCATACGAGCCATGTGTTTCTTGAAGGAGAAGATCCCCCGAGAGATAGAGAGAGAAAAAACAGGGGGAGGGGAGAGAGACTGTGATGGCGGACACGGAATGGTGAAGTTGGATCTGCTGCCCAAAGGGCAAGAGCAGAGTGACACGCTTGTTCTGCTTTACGGATCTATCAACGCAACTCCAAACAGGAACCAAAATGTAAAGCCCAGACTCGTCGTGGTGGAACATGGTTGAGATACGGCGCACTACATTAGGTGAGGGCGTGCTTCTGTGTCTCTAGAGGATGGGCCTCACGAGAATCACGCACCCAAGCAAAGGAAAAGATCAGTGAAACAGACCAAAGATCCAATTCACGACTGCCTTGAGATTGACTCTTTGAATATTCTTTTTGGCTTCGTACCTGGAAACCCCCCCCCCCCCCCCCTCCCGGTATCTTTTCGCATGCTTCTTCCGTTTTTGGTTCATGGTTTAGGAAGTGGTCTCCTTGACCATATTCCTGGCCCTCACACGCTCCTCGAGCTTCAATTTATCCGCGACCTCGCCGCCCGAGGTGATCAACTCGTCCCACTCCTCCTCGTCCATGTTCATGATCATGCAGATCTGGGTGCAGCGCAAGAAGTGCTCGCGCAGGGCGTACTTGTGTCCCCTGACCACGACCTTGACGATTTCGTTGACGTCGTGCTCCAGCCTCGCGGCGCCGAGCTCGTTGACGCGCCCGTGGTACGTCCACAGACGCTTCTCGAGCATCTTGCTCAGGTGGTTGACCACGGTTCCCAAGAGCTGGTCGAAGGTGCGCTCGGTCATGATGCGGCCGATGGGCCTCGTCAGGGCGTCCCACCCGAGCTGGAATCGCATGCGGACTTGGTCCGACAGGGCCGCCTCGGTCGGGTCGTCCCCGCCCTCGAGGTCCGTCCCCGCGAGGTCCTGCAACTGCTCCCGCGTGAGCTGGTAGTCTGTTTCGCGGAATGCGTCCATCAGGATCGGTCGGAGACGGGGCTTCATGACGTTGTGGAAGACCACGTTGACGCCGTCGGAGATGAGCTCGTTGGTCTTGTCCGAGAAGACGGTCGCGAACGACGTCAGTGCCGCGGCGACTTCGTCGGCCTCGCCCGGCCCGGGGAACAGTTCTGCCAGAGGTCGATGGGGTGAGCCCGCGGCCGCAGGTTCCACTCGAGCACGGGCGATCTGGAAAACGTAGTCCTTGGCTACGTCGAGGTTGTTGATGAGCACGAGGAACGAGACGATGGTCGCTTCGGGCGGGAGTTGGCCCGGAATCGCGGCTTTGGGGTAGCTCTCATCACGCATCTTGCGCTGCTCCATCCCAATGAAGTCGGAGCCGAGGATTCTGCCCAGGGTCGGAACGACGCTCGAGACGACCTGCTTCTGTGACGTTGCCAGGGACTGCTGCAGGACTTTGTTGACGATGTACATGATGTCTTCGATTGCAGAGGTGACGTGAGGAGGATTGGAATTGAGTGGTTTGTGCGGGTTGAGGGACAAATCCGGCGGTTGCTCGTCTAGCTGGAACGCCTTCTCGACTGAGCGTCGGAAGAAGAACGTGGTCATGGTGTTGAACGGGATGAGGACTTTCTCCTGTACCTTTTTGTGGAGATTCGAGTCGAGGAGGAAAGCCGGCATCGGGAGCGATGCATCGAGACCGCCGGCATCGTGACATTTTTCGGCAATGAAACTGGTGTACAGGGACCATTTGCCCAACATGAGGGTCATTTCATTCAACAGGGCGTCGACCTGTTTCATGTCGACCGACTCATCCTCACTCAACCTTCCCGGTGCAGGAGAGCCGGCGCGCGGCGTTCCGCTTGATCCTCGCTGTGCATTCATGAAGCTCTGGACCAAGAAAGTGAAAGCGTATGCTTTGATATCGGTCAGCTGACGGTCGATCTTCCTCTCGTCGCTCCAGGTGTCGAGTATAATCCCTCCTTGGAGATCAGCCTCGACTTGTAGTCGTTCAACGACTCGAGCCATCTTGCCGGCTCCGTAATGGCGCTCGACCAGTCCACCGTGTCCCTCAATAATTTGTGCAATGTGCTCGAACAGTTTTGTCAGGGCATTTGCGTAGAAGAAGCCGTCTTTGCTCTGATTGCCACCGGTGCCTGCATTAAGGTTCGCTCGCGCTCGAGTAGCGACACCCTGACAAACATAGCGACCATAAACGTCGAGGCCAACATCGGACCGGTTGATGAGGGGGAACAATTTGAAGAAACGTGTTATCCTGGCGCCGTCATTGTCCTTGACTGCTTTGTCGAACTCTCTCAGGAACAGGCTACACAATGATTCCGATGCGTTCTCCAAGGTCACGGCCGGCGCATCTGGAACTTCTGCGGTCGGTACGATCCTTGCGGCGAACGGGCCGTTGATGACAGCACTGGGGATCTTCGAGGCTCTGCTGAGATAGCTGGCGGCGGTTTCCCAGTCCTGGGCCGCTCCCATGGACCCAGAGACACCCAGCACACAAGCCTTGAGCTCCCCGACCTGCTCCACGACTGTGAGCGTGGCCTTGACCCTCTCCTGCTCGAGATCGAGCCTTTGGACCGAATTTGAGATGCGTTTGGCGTTGGCGGCTGCGTCCGAGAGCATCCCATTGCTGACGGCTCTTGTCTTGGACGCTTGTGCGGTGGCATTTGCGCGGAACAGATCGAGACGGCCGAGTTCTCGCTGTAGATCTTTCTGTGCGCTCACAAGGGCGTCGAGCTGCGAGGTCACGGTGGCCTCTTTTTGGTGGAGCTCGGCCAGAGCAGCACGGATTTCTACCACGGATTTCGCATTGTAGACGCCGGTGGTTTCATGTTTGTGCTCGGGCTCAGAGACATGGCCATTGGTGTTCATATTTGGGCGAGGAGCCAGCGATATCGTGTGACCCGAGCTGATATAGAGAATGACTTTTCTGTCCGGTTCGGAAAAGGTGATGAGGATAGTGGTCAGTTTCTTTAGATGGTTCTGACAACCAGTGACGACAGACTCACCGTTAATTGATTCCCTTAGAAGTACAAAGTAACGAACTTCATCGATGTGGCATCTTGAACCCGAGCGGCACTATCCGGGCATTAACATACCGAGCAAGTTTTATGCTCGTGATATATTAGGTATCTAGGTATGTCTCTGGCGAAAAACCCATCGTCCGTCTTCTCTTTTTAATTGGTCGCTCGCCGTTTCGCTTACCCTCGGCTCACCTTCCGCTCTCAAAGCAACCCCTAAGCTATTACTAAGCGTTCTATGGGAAAGTGGACCTGCTCGCCCTCGGACCGGATAAATAGATTTTCCAGCCAATGATAGCTGTATACATAGCTGCCAAGCTCTTGGCTAGTCTGACATAGTCATGACTAGTGACTATAGCCACGGCTTCCAGGTGGACTGACTAGTGACTAGTGACTGACTAGTTGACAACGCTGCATACAGTCCGACACTTTGCACGCTGAGAGAATGTGGTTAACTACCATTACTCCATTTTCATTCACTGCGATGCCGAGCTCTTTTGACCTGGAGCTCTTCAAGTGGTGCATCCACTCGATAGCCCATTGTCTTCCGGAGATTTCCCATAAAGAGGCATCCAATGCAAGCGACAGCGCCAACGACGGCAGCAACAATATAAACAACCCTGATCGAGTCCGTGAAGGCTTGTTTAAGGGCGGCATTTCCCAGTTCGATGATGGAAGGCGTGACACCAGGAATGTTGGAAAGTGCTGTTGCGTCGTGAGTGGAGAGGGCTCCTATGAAAGCGGGTAGCGAGGAGGCTGGGAGACCAGCAGGGAGCACAGCCGCAGCGATGTATGCGGGTAGCTTCGTGTCCAGACGTGTCTGGAGGTTGGCCGTATAGATGGCAGTGAAGATTGTGGCTCCAATAGCCCGTGCTGAGACGTTCAATGCTGAAGCTGTGGCGATCAGGTGGTGCGGCGGTGCCAGTTGGACTGCGGCCATGAGGAGGATGACGGGTGCGCCGAACCCTATACCAGCAAGAGAAGCAAAGATGATCAGGTTGACTGAATCACTCGGCTGGACGGTGGCTATGCCCACGATGCCTCCTGTGAAGATCACGAAACCAACGAACAGTACTTCTCGTATCATTCTTAGCTTAGTGCTGACGTAGCCCCAGCCAATTGATGACGCGCAACTGAAGCCCCAGAAGGGGAGGGAGCGGACGACAATGAGAAGAGGGTCTGTTTCGAAAACTGCGGATGTTCTAGTTGTCGTATGTAGTATTAGTATACGGCGAATGATCGAGTCGTACTATAGTGGACCGTCAGAATATGGATAAACTCACAGGATAGGATAGTATATAATGTATGCGAACATTAGAGCGCCTTCGGCGGCCATCAGACCGAGGCAGATAGCGACGGTTCGCCCGTGTTCTGCTCCTCTTTGGAAAAGCTCATGATGTAGGATACCCGTCTGGGTACCCTTCCACTCGTAGATGGAGAATATCACAAGAAAGACTATGCCAATGATCAGTGTCGTCAAGACCTTGACATGTGTCCAAGAGTATAGACTGTCTCCCAGGTTCGCACCGACTAGGAACAGCGTCAAACCCACTGTTAGGAGGGCTGAGCCGAGCAAGTCAAGGCGCTTCACCTTCTGCGTGAACGATAAGTGGTCATATCTTGTGTGTCTCTTTGGTGGCCTGTAACCGAAGAACATGCCAATGGCAGCAACTCCCCACAGGCCCATTTCGATCCACTGAAAGATAGACACGAAGCGTTAGCTGGAGTCGAGGGCTGTAGCAAATATCATCTGTGGGATTCATTACAAAAAAGGTCCGCCACCCTCCCGACGGGTTGGATCTGGTAAGAGCCCCAATGATCAGAGGACCAGAGATAGCACCAAGACCACCACCGGCATTGATCAATGCCTGAGCCACTGATTGAATAAACGCGTCAGTATTTCTTCTTTCTCAACAATGATTCTGTGGGACACTACTTACTAGGCCTCCATTTCCGTGGCAAGATTTCGCTAGGGATGACCTGGGCAAGTGGTATAACCACGAAGCCGAAGCCGACCAAAGTTTGCGCTGCAATGAGTCGATAGATGCTGCTTGACCCAGGTGCGATCGCAGCACCGACGAAAGAGATCAGGCAGAAGCCAACAATCAAACTCTTGCGCAGCTGGAAGGTATCTGCAATGGAGGCAACGACCGGCGCAAATACAGACTGCGGCACCACCAGCGCGTTCTGAATCCATGTCTGAGAAGCTGTATTGTTCAGGTCTTGTGCGATATATGTAAGCTACAAGAAAACTATGTCAGTGCGATTGTGCTCATTTCTCGATGAAAGGCATGGTCTGGAGATCTCAAGTACATACAACAGCCGGGGGACCTTGTAGAGCGAGGAGACCTGCAATAGTGAATACGATGACAGAAAAGACCGCCAAATAGGTGCGAGCATGGAGCTCTGGCTCTTCCTCGTCGTTTTCGTAGTAGAGATTCCCGTCTGTCGTCTCAACATGCTCACTCGTGTATTGGGACACTTGATCAGAACGAGACTTGACGCTTTGGTCAACTGCATCGGGCGTGATAGACGGCACTTTCATCATGTCGTCCATTGTCTTGACAGGGGAAGTATAGGTTGACATCTTGATGGACTGGTGATATGCCACAGTTGGCTGCTTTTGGTGGTTCGAGCGAAATTCCGTAAATGCCGATCAACGGTGTAACCCTTTATAAGATATCAAAGTGCATGGCACTAATCTAACGAGAACCAGATTACTCCCAGAGTTCCCACGACAAGCCCGTTATCCAAGAGAATATTCATCCCCCAAATGGTTTCTTCCCCGGACTTCCTCAAAACTTCCATCATCATCATCCGGGCACTCGGCAAAAGGAGGACGGCGGGGCTTCGACGGGATTCCCGGACAAGGATGGTATTACTCTTCTTGCCCCCAAAGGCATAGAGATTGAGATTGACGGACTAGTCGAGTGATTTTCGCCCACTCACTTTAAGGTAGGGTGCCAAGCAGTGAAGGGGTTGTTTTCAGAACGAAGCCAGTCCTGGAGTACATATCCACCAAGAACGATGGTGCTATACGATTCTCCATCACCGCAATAACTCCGCATAAATTGACCATGTACATGTGTTCCGGTCGGAGATACTGTCCTTGTGTTGCCAAAATTGAGCAAATGCTTCGTTTCTGGTCTTCAACCGGCACATCGCAGCTGGACTCGAAAGTTGCTTCCACAGCTCTCACGTCAGAGTGCTTCACTGTGGGCGGAGGTCCCATGGGCCTAGACGAGGAGCCCTGGCTCTTCTGTGCCATCTAGGAAGCATTCCAAACGCAGTGGACCTTCCGGCATGGACGTTTTGTCTATGAAGATTTCATAGAATAACAAACCACGAAATCCCATTTCAGCTCTTCAGACCCGAAGACATTCCCCTACCCAAACGCATCCCAAGTTTAAGCAGTCTTTTCTTTCTTGATTGCGTCGACATCGACGGACACGTTAGACAATGGGGCCTATTGACTGTTGCCTGCAGGGATTCCACTGGGAGAGCAATCCGACAGGCTACGAAACTCGACTCGCTGGGCGTTCTTGTTATATCACCGGCCACAACAAGAGGGTCGCCATAATGATAATTCATGACCTCTTCGGATGGACATTTCGGAACACTCGACTACTAGCTGATCACTACGCAAAGGAAGCAGACGCTACAGTCTACGTTCCAGACTTGTATGGCCAATCCTTTCGGTGCTGCCGTCGTTTCTGCGACTGCGAAGCTGACAAGCACACTTCTCTAGCTTCGGAGGGGAAGTTCTCCCCGTGGACATTATCCTGGATCCCAAGGAGTGGGACAAACTCGATCTGCCTAACTTTGAGAAACGAAACAGTAAAGCCACGCGAACTCCCGAGATCTTCGAATCTGCGAAAGAGCTGAAGTCGCGACATGAACGGGTGGGTGCGATTGGATTTTGCTTTGGGGGGTGGGGTGCATTCCGCCTTGCTGGACAGGGCAAGGACTTGATTGATTGCATATCCGCAGCCCATCCTACCGATATCGAGAAAGAAGAGATACGCAACGTCAGAGTTCCCGTGCAAATCATTGCACCCGAGTTTGATCCCAAATTCACGCCCGAGTTGAAGGCTTTCAGCAATACGACCATTCCTACGTTGAATGTTCCCTACGACTACCAATTCTTCCCAGGACTAGCTCACGCGTTCGCCATTCGAGGAGACCCACAGAATCCTTCCGAGAGGAAGGGGATGGAACGAGCAAAAGATGCTGCAGTGTACTGGTTTCGTCTATGGTTGCACACGCAATGAATAGTCCCCCATTATCTAGCACACCAGAGATTCTTCGGATACATGGGAGCCTCTGCGAACAATCGTTCCCACAGCGTCTTGACTCCCTGGCCCTGAAGTCTGCACTTATTGGTATGTAATAGCTGGAAGCTAACTCTCCAGTAGTGTCGTTTTGGTCAACACGAACTCAATGTGGCCCTCGGACTCGAGCAGATTTCCACCGTGAGGAGACAATGTCGATGAGGGGTCAGAAAAGTGTCGCCTTATCTCCCTCTCCCTCTAGGTCTCTTCCGCCTTAAATCCGCTGGATGTCATCAGGTAGTCTTGAGTCTGGATCGACCTATCTGTCCAGTGCTCGGCGCCTCCCTCCATTTCTCTCGTAGCTGTATCAACCTGGAGTGTTCAAGCGAGGTGGAGGCTCATGGCACTGTCAACCAATCGATTGCTCCATGACAAATCCACAACCGCCTCCTGGTCAATTGTCGTTCGTGGGGCCCCGGAATCAACCGTGGTCGACAGCTCGCTTCTCAACATTCATCCAGACGAAAGTCGATTGATTCTCGCATCGCCTTCCTTCCAGCTATCCCTGGTTTGTTTGAATCTCTCAAGATCTCTCGTTCCATCATTCGAACTTGAGCGGTTCAGCAATGACGCAGGGCCGAGTACAAAAGCCGTCAAACTTGAGTGGGCAATCAGGCACTATCCACACTTTAAAGAAGTCGGCAGGGCGGAAACGGGCCAGTCTGGCTTGTGAAGAGTGCAGGAGTCGCAAGCGACGATGCAATGGCTTGATACCCTGTGAAGGCTGTGCACAGCGCATGACGGACTGCAAATATGCCTCTGATATCGAAACTCAGCGGTGGCATCAGAGGTAAACATGGGTCTGCCCAGCTCACTTTTCTTCTATTTCCTAACATCCAGCAGCATGATTCACATCTTGAAAGCCAAATTGGAAGAGCTCGAGCACAGTAAGGACCAAGCCCAAGGAGCACATAGGCGTCAACAATTGGATGCTGGCAGAGGTGACAACGCAACAGAGGAGCCAGTGGCCCATACTGGCCCAATGTCAGACAAGACCAGCACCGCCATCACATACTCGGATCCTGCAGTCAACCCGGGGCCGCCACCACCGCCAACACCACCAGTACTTCATCATCCTCCGAGGCAGCAGCATCGTGGAGATTCAACTCAGTCTCCCCAGCATGCGAATACTGAGGATTCCACTACAGTGTCTGTACCCGCGCCATGCGACAGTCCTGCGCTACCCGTCCCTGAGTCAGGACTTGCTCCCTCATGCACCTCTTCTCCATCACGGTGTATCCAGCCAAGCAATTTTGAAAGGATGATGATGCCCATATCGCTTGCCATGGGTAAGATGCACGGGCTCCCCCCCGACACATCGGCCTTACCTGCAACGTCTGCTCCGAGCACGGTACTGCATCACAACTCGAAGGCGGACTGTACGTGCGATCAATCCTTAAGTGAAATGCGGTGTAACCTCCCTCTGCGGAGGTACAGTGACACGCTCGTGGCTCGCTATTTCTCTCGACACAATCGAATCTTCCCGATCCTTCATCGATCGACATTTCTCGCGCAGTACGAGAGACTGTGGGATTCCGACTTCAGCTCCCATTCTACCACTCGGAGTTGTTCTGAATTGTGTACCCAAAAGAGCAAGGGCAAAATGCTCCCGACTATCGTCTATCTGGTCCTGGCGCTTGGGTCCTTGTTTGCTTCTCAGTCTCACCAAGAAAATGCCTCTCGTGCGGAAGGGTTTTATCGTGCAGCGCAGGAAACTAATTTCCTGGAAATGATGGACGACGAAGTTGGAATCGAGCTGGTTCAGGCCGGACTTCTCATGGGAATTTACCTGCAGAGCACAGAAAGATACTCAAAATGTTGGAACATCATCGGGTTTACGATCCGAATGGCTCAGAATATGGGGCTACACTTTACAGCCGCCGAGGTCCGCAAACGAGGACTTCTAGCATGCGAGTCAGACCCTCTCGATGGTGAGATGCGCACACGAGTGTGGTATGGATGTATTCTTCTTGACACGTTAGTTTACCTTCCCTTCTTTCCTTCTTTGCAGGATTTTTTCCTTTGTCTTTCAATTGCTGCATTACATCGAATGGAACCTCTGCGCATTTCTTCGCCACTGGTATGGGTGTGAAAACTATTCGGAAGCTTACATTTCCCAGAGACATCGCGCTATCATTTGGACAACCCTGCATGATCCCAGTCGGTCTCGATTTCGTGAAGCCGCCATTTGAAGCGCTTCATGTCTCTAGATCAACCGAACCTCTGGATGATGCACACGTGGTCCCGCCATCCGATGATGGACCAAGTGTACTAGGCTACTATTATCAGAAGATCAAGTTATATGACCTACTGAGACAAGTCATCCAGCGGGATTCTGCAACAGCAATCACAACCATGGGTCGGGCGGCGGACATAGACGCAAGGATAAGAGAAGTCCTCAAGTTGGATGCTCAAATCCTAGAGTGGCAAAATGACCTACCAAGTTACTTAAGACATCCAACAATAGACGGCCATGAACGAGCGTCACCTTTAAATGCTGGTAAAGGGCCAGGACACTTGGAGACACTGGATATTCCTGCTTTATCCGACCGATTGCACAACAGGTAAGCATGGATATGGGTTTTCTCTTCCCATCTGCAGATACTAATCACTGATGTATGGACAGGTTCCTCCACACCAGGCAGCTGGTTTTACGCCCGGCTCTAGAAATTCTTTTCAAACACCAGCAGGACAAACTCACCGCTGCCACCAATAACAGCAAAAAGTCGCTTGAGGCTGAGCTTCGGGAAACAACACTCCTAGAGGTCGCATCCCATTGCGTTCGCCTCGCGGCTGATATGGTTGAGTTCTTGGGTAGTGGTATCGAGGCAGAGAGCTTCATCTGTTGGTGGTATAACATTAACAGTAAGTATTTTCCTTCAGATCGGCACTAGACCAACAACATTGGCTGCAAGTTAACATGCTTTTGTGTTTTATAGTGCTGTACACATCGGGAACGACACTTTTGATGGGACGATTCTGTCGTCTGAACCGACCAGACCTTGACCGCCAATCCCTTGCCGCCAGCTGGAATCACTGCCTCGTGTGTCTGTCCCGATATCGTGACGTGAGTAGTATTGCTCAAAGATCCTGCAATGTCCTACGCGAGTGCTCCGCACGACTTATCACACATGTACTAGATGAAATGGTAAGATCATGCTGAGAACGACTCCAGCAAACCTTTGCGTTCACTCTTCTAATCTGATGCGTTCTGATGCAGCGTTGCCAGCCGGTCGATGAAGGAGCCCTCATTCCAACCTTGCAACCTGCGCCCGTGGCGAATCTTCAATCTCTGAATAGCTCTTTAGAGCCACCGATTGGAGACGACTTTCCCATGGACTTTTCGACAGGCGTAGCTGCCTCGGAATCAGCCCCAATGCTTTCCTTGTTCGATCCGAATCTCCGCAAAGATCAACCATCAATGTTTCTACCTGACAGCTATTTGACTGACACATCTGCATGGCCATATCTTCCTTTCCTTTCCCAACTTGAGGATCTATCTTCTGGTGACCCCAACATGAATTTTCGGATGGTCTAGAACTTGAAGAGCTTGAGCATAGTTCAAAGACATCTTATTAAGCTGGGAAAGGTTCGTCGTTGGACTACATGCTGGTCCGCGGACGCCAGTGTTTATACACGCAAGGCTGAGGATCCCATGAACTCACGAAGATCGATCCTGGCCCCTGCATTTTGCCAAAAAGGTCGTCCGAGATTGTGAAATTTTCGTCCGTCTATTAAAATCAAGTGAAGATAAGATTGAACACGGTTCAAAGGTTTACCAGATATAATTACAAATCAAAATTCTGCGTTAAGCTGTGGATACTTCGTGAGGCCATTCACTATTGAATGCTCTCTTTTCCCTGGCACCGATGCGTTATATAACACCACGTTCTATGGAGAAAACCAATTCCCTTGATCGTCAATAGTAATCATGACCACGAACGGGCACCGCCATCAGTCTCATTACTTCCCAAGGTATCGAACTGCGTACTGCCATCTCACAACAGATTCAACTACTCCACCTCCTATCGTAAAATCCCGCAGAACGAAGTTCCACTGTTAATTCCGTGCTCCAAAGTCTTCCAGCCCCATGAGAGTGAGGAAAGTGGAAATCCTCGGGAATGGAAGGTTCTCCCGCCATAACCCCGGGCCCTTGTGGTTGCCCAAGAATGCGACTTACAGGTACCTGGACAAACGGGAGGCGAAATGGGCTCAAATGTGGTCTTTCTTGCTCACAAAAGCGTGGCTACTCTGTTGCCACCAATGCGTATAGAAGACCCCCGGGTTGAGCTCGGCTGTCATCCAAGTTCAGCAAGCCCGCAACCGCACTTCGGTAAGTGAGCTTGACCTGGTGTCATCCGTTCTATTTCCGACTCACAAGGGTGTGGCTCGCGGTTGTCAGATTCTGTGTCTCGAGACACACTGCCAGCGAAGTTTACGGCGCTGGAAAATTATTCTCACAGTCCTAAAGCTAGCTCAAGGACTCTGTAGTCACGGCGGACACCCGACATCTTGCTGATGTTATAAGGACTCACATTACAAAAGACGAGGAAGCAAGATCTGCCTATCTCTACGAGGTTTTAGTAACCGCAGGCTGGACCTAAACCTGGTTCGCGGCAGTCAACATGGCTTCATATTCGGTCCCAGAAGAATCGAGAAAGGTCCTGCTCGAGGGCATTCTGAGACATCCTCATCAAGTACTTCCTACTGGCTGTGTCGAGCTACTTGACAAGATCAAGTTTGAGGGTCGCGATGCACCAACCATGGCTATAAATTGGCGTCTTGCCGAGAGCGTGTCCTCGTTGAAAGGCCTTGAAGGAATTCTGCTCAACTTGCTCTTGGAGAAAAAGTACGGCATTGCTCCACAAGAGGTCACCATCAACACCGACCACGCCCAATTATTCTTAATGTCCTTCTTTCTAATCGAACTCAACCCAGAGAGACCAGACGTTCCTGTTAAACAGACAGAACTCCGGGAGCTGAATCGGGTCTATTCCAAGTACTTCCCGAATTGCGACTGTCACCATCAGGTCTCGTCCCAGTACCGCAAATCGGTCCACAATATCTACAAAACTCGTGATGGGCGGTTCTACCACCTTCACCCAAGCCTCAATCCAGATCCATCGCTCAAAGCTTGCGGTCTACCATGGGATATGCCGGAGCTGAAAACCGTCGAGGAATCATGGGCGCCGTTCATTGCGAAAATGGCAGAGAAGGATGCCGCCGAGTGGGATGCTCTTCTTGTTGGGGAATACTGTCAGGCCGGCACCATCTGCTTTGCGCCCGAGGAGTACGGCGAAACTCCGCAGGGCAAAGCTCATGCCAATGTCGGCCTCTATACAATCAACGAATACCCAGATTCCTCGCTGAAGCCTTGTTGGTGGCCCAGTGTCCAAAATACCTCTGTCAAGCGTCCACTAGCAGGCCTAAAAATTGTGGATCTGACCAGGATCGTTGCCGGTCCTTCGATTTCTCGCAGTCTGGCAGAGCTAGGCGCCAGTGTCATGCGAGTAACGGGTCCTCATATTGCAGACTTCTCGGGGCTACATCCGGATTTGAACTGGGGCAAGTGGAATTGCCACCTGGATCTGAGAAAGGAGGACGACCGAGCAAAGCTTCGAGAGCTGATTCTCGAGGCCGATGTTGTCGTCAATGGGTACCGACCTGGAGTTTTGGACAAGTACGGCGCCGATCATACAACTGTCTTCAATCTAGCCAAAGAGCGTGGCCGCGGTATCATCTATGTGCGGGAGAACTGTTTTGGTTGGGAAGGTCCCTGGGCGCATCGGGCAGGATGGCAACCCATTAGTGATGCCTGTACAGGCGTTTCCACCGGCTTTGGACGAGCCATGGGCAACAATGAGCCCGTCACTCCCGTTCTCCCCAATTCAGATTTCTGCGTGGGCATCGCTGGAGCCTGTGCCACTCTTCACGCCCTCCTTCTACGAGCGGAGAAAGGTGGCTCGTACTTATGCAACCTCGCTTTGAACTACTACAACAAGTGGTTGGTTGACAAAGTCGGCGAATATCCTCCTGACGTGTGGGAGGATGTGTGGACCCGGAGCGGGCGACGTGTTTTCCGACACTATCACAATATGAACTATACCGAACCTCCCTATCTCGAGATGTTCCGCCAGCAGGGTTTGTATAACCTCGATTTCTTCGAGGTTCGGGAGACCAAGGCCCTGGGCTTGACCATGCGAGTGCCAAAGCCGGTCTTGCGATTTCCCCCAGGAACGGTGGAACCTGGGTACAACGTGGGGACTCGCGGCAATGGACTGGACCAGCCGTACTGGCCTGCTGACTTGAGTACCGAGGTAGTCAGATAGACGTCTTTCACTTTGTTGTGAGAAGAAGTGGAACGGCACTGGGTCAATTCGTGCGCTGCTTCGCTTGAGTAGGTCTGATGCGTCTGGATTATCGCTAATTACCGATATGACAAATTCGTTTGTTGAAGAGTAGAAATTCTGGGAACATAGGACACAAGGCACAAGGTACACAGACGATTGGCATACTGAAAACTGTTCTCGCCGTAGTTGCTGCATTTTGGAATGGTAAGACCATTACCGAACACACTACGTTTTCCGTTTTGTCAGGACATATGAGAATCAAAAAGATCTTCGCAAGGCTCGTTTTCCTTGCCTGGCACAGGAGGTGACCCCCTGGGTCTACCCCTAGCTACCATACCTGCAGAACTGCTGCATCGATGGCAACGAAGTCAATCTATCAATCCACGATTGTAAATGAGGATACTTCGTCCCGTCATATTCATCCTTTTCCAATATGGTCCCAATCTTCGTCTGCCACGAGATCAAGGCGAGGTCGACAAAGGACAATTTATCCCCAACCACCCATGGGCCACCGCTACCGGGATACTTCTGTTCCTGTTTCGCCAATTGGCTCTCCAAGACAGCCGTAACGCGCTGGACTTCCTGGATGAAGCGTCCTGTCGCGCCGCCGAAGAGTTTCTCCTCGCGAGATTGAGATGTTTTGAACCACTGTGCTTGTCGAAAGACCGGAGCTTGCACCGCCACGTGGAAACACAGCCATTGCTTAGCGAGCCAGAATTCCGGAGTACCTCGGCGGAAAATGACTCGGTGATCTTTGTCATAGTTGGATACCAAGTATTCAAACACGGCGCCGATCTCACCCAAGACGGTCTGGGTGTTGGGGTCTTGAATGCAAGGCTCGCCTCCCTCTGCATTGACGACGAGGTAGTCCAGGTGCTCCTTTTCGTCAGCTGAGGGGGCTTTGGGGCCGTTATAAGCGATTCCAAGTTCCTTCAACAAGATTTGAAGACTTGAGAGATCGGGACTGCTGGTTTGGCCGTAGATCGTGATCGGCTTGCGTTCGGTGGACATGCTGAGGGTTTTGGCGTGCGTTGAAATGGTTGACGTAGAATGCTATGGATATCCTTACACTAAAATGTGTCAAAAGCAGACAACCAGAGCGACTCGAAGGCTGTTCAGGTACAAATGCCATTCATAGCAGCAATCCCTATATATCTTTACTGTGTCAGCCTCGTACCCCTTGACCGAGACTCGGGATTGCGGAGAAAAGGCGGTTGGACCGCGTCAGCTCAGCTCTCTGGAGGCTCGACCCTTTCGCTAAGAATTGGCATGGCCATGGATGAGAACACAGATCCCTTTCAGTATCCACGGCGTCGGATGCGCCAATCAAAAATTGACACTCTTCTGCACAAGGAGCATCTGCAATCAGATCAAGCTCTCTGACCGTAAACTCTTCTCATTTGATATGCCTTTATAGAGCAGATTGTTTCCTGTAAATCGTGCATTACTTCATATTACTATCCTTTAGCCTCTTGCAATTGCGGAGACGAGCTTCTCGAAAGTCTGGGAAGCAGGGAACAACCATGGCAGCAAGGAAACCATGAAAGTTCTGCCTACGGGTGACTCGGCGTTTATTGCATCCCATTGCATTGCTGGTCTGTCGAAAAACGGCCATGAGGCCCTCATCTCAGTACGCCCAGATGACAAAGGTCAACCTCTCTTGGCAGAGCACCTTGAATCATGGCCTGACTGTAAACCCAGCTACGTGATAGTGCCAGACATCGCAAAGGAAGACGCATTCAAGGATGCGATGATTTCAGATCCGCCGTTCGAGGCTGTCATACACACAGATTCAGCTTCTCCTTTCTACTTCAACGTGATTGATCCAAGGAAAGACCTGATCCAGCCGTGAAGGGGACAGCAGGCAATTGAAAAGTAATCCAGCGAAGGGCGCCAACAGTGAAAAGAGTGGTAATCACATCGTCCTTCGTTGCAATTCACGACACTGGCAATGGCCGCAAGACCTCTTACCCGGAAATCGACTGGAACTCCATGAGTTGGGAAGATGCTCTTCAGAGCCCAGCTAATGCGTACCGTGGTAGGAAGCAATTCGCAGAAGCAGCGGCCTGGAAGCTCGTCGAGCAGGAAAGACCGACCTTCGACCTCGCTGTGATCAATCCGCCGCTTGTTTTCGGCCCGATATTGCACCAGCATCGCAAAGGCTTAGACACAATCAACACGTCGAATCAGCGGATTATGACCCTGATTCAAGGCAAATGGAAACAACACGGTATCCCGCCCACAGGTGCATTCATCTGGGTTGATGTCCGCGACGTTGCTCTGGCCCGCGTGAGAGCGATGGAGAGGCCTGCAGCGGGCAGCCAGTGTTCCCTAGTGACCGCGGGCTATTACAGCAATGCAGCTCTTGTGAGCATTGTCAGAGTCTCATTTCCCGACCTGGTGGAGTAATTGCCTCCAGACAGAGCTAGCGACATGCCCGTGGATGTTTACGGCTATGACAACTCCAGAAGCCGTGGTGTATTGGGTTTGAGGTATATTTCGTTGGAGGACAGTATCATCGACACTGTCAAGTCGTTGCGAAATGTCACGTTTCAGGTGGAACATCTCATCCGAGTGTATCCTTGGAAGCATTGTGGTGTGTGTAGCCTGATCACAGACACTGGCTTGCAAGCGTGTCAATGGCTGACGAACATTCGCCCCGCTGCATGTCCTGGGCAGTGGAGTTAAAGCGGGAAGATCGATTCTCTAGATAAAACCAGGTCAGGTGTCGATCAGCCATGCGGTCCCGTCCTTCTAAGCGGAAGTGCCATCGTCAAATTTCCTGATCGCTCACCACAACTACTACGTGGCGTTCTGGACCCGAACTTGCGCATTCCACATGTAACAACCATTGATCACTCTAGGAGCATACTTGTGTTACTTTGCCGAACTGCCCAGTGATGGCGCTGGTGGGAAGAATCGCTGGCTTTCCTGCTCCGATACATGAAAGGGATGGGAGAGAGACTGCGTCAGAGAGTATGGACTGTGGGCATAATTTCCTTTCACGCGATTAGGGCTATGTGACCCCGGTCCTGATGTCGAATCAATGCCACGCCGCCAACAATGGCCTTGACATGCATATCAAGGCCGGTCCAGAACGTTTCGCCGCCTTTGCCGTCCTCCTGATTGGTGAGCCTTTCGGTGCGCAACCGAGTTGAAGCGCTGTAATCGAGATTCAGGCTTCGTCGCCTGTTTGATGGACAGCCATATGTTTGAGGCCGCCCAGGACTCACATATCCCCGTCTACCCACACTCGAGCTGGGTCACTGTTAGTCAAGGACATCCTTTTCACAGGAACCTCCAAGATGCCGATTATGATCGCCTTGCCACTTCCGTCTCCCTGATTATACACCCAGTGGGTGGTCTAGGTGATAAAAACGAAGGCATGTAGCCCGCTAGATCTCATCCAATTGATCGCCGGTGGAAGCGACACCGCTGCCGTAATCTGTCTATGCAAAAACCATCCGATTTTTGACCGAACCCAGAGATTCAATCTTGACCTCTACCAAATCTCCATTCTTGAGCCAGAGTGGATCTCTCATCCCCATGGCGACCCCCGAAGGAGTTCCCGTCATGATGACAGTTCCAGCTTCCAGTGTGGTGCCTTGGCTTACAAACGATATTATGGTTTCGACATTGAACAAGAGGTCGTTGGTATTGGTATCCTGCCGAACTTCCCCATTGACTAGAGTCCTTAGCTGGAGATTCCCAGCATTGCCCACCACTCGAGGGGAAACCAACATTGGTCCCAATGGTGCAAACTTATCAAATCCTTTGCTGAAGCACCATTGAGGAACAACACCAGCGAAAGCGGGATCCCGTTGCCACTTTCGACATGACCCATCGTTGGAGGCGACAAAGCCAGCCACATAGTCGAGGGCTTCTTCTTTTGCTATATCCTTTCCCGTCTTGCCAATGACAATACTCAATTCTCCTTCGTAGTCCAAAGTCTCCTGTGCGAGCTCGGGAATTGCGATATCCTCATGGTAGCCGGCCACTGAAGCTTTGGGTTTGATGAAAACAGAGGGATATGGAGGGGGCTTTCGACCGCCTTCTTGAACTGCACGCTCCAGGGTCAGCTCAAAGATTGATTCTCCATAGCGACGGGGCCATAGCATGACCTACTGTGTTTCATATAGTTCAGCCCAATGCATTTGATGATTGGAATATCGGCGGCAGAGAGGAGGGGCAGAATTTTCTTCACACCGACTATCTTGATGCCTTTGTTGAGGGAGAAGATCGATGTACCAACATACACCTCAGCCCGCAACGCAGGACTCTGGAGAACTTCGTCGATGTCGACGATCGCATCACCGTCAATGACTGGCTCACCAAAGTGAGTTCTGCCCTCGGTGTCCTCAAACCTGATTAATCTTTGCCAAGGCATACTGGATTTAGGAATTCCTCAAGAAGCGGCATTTGGTCTACGGCCCAAGAGGTTGACCTGCCGGGGTATTTGTGCAGGTGCTTGCTTTGGTCGCTAGCGAGCGGTCCGAAATCAGTTTCGGTCTAGCATTTTGTTTTCATGTCGTGCTTGGACGGGCACAGAGTCACAGACCCAGGAAGCGTTGGAAGAGCTTCCGGTGGCTCCATCTCCGCCAAAACTCCGCTTCCACCTTCTTCCGTCGCGTGTCAAGCCTGTCCACTATCTAACGATTGTCTGCGCGACCAGGCATTGTGTCAAATGATCTGAGACCTTCCAAGAGCCCTTGGACTTTCCTCGAAGCGAAAAATTCGGCCTTCGGCTTCAGTTGTGTCAGGCTACCAGAGCAGAATTGTCAGCTTGACCGCGCGGAGGTTTTGATTGACCTACCCTCCCTCTACCAACGAGGTTCGTACGATCCAATGAGATCCTGCGTGATGCATCGGAATTGTCCATAGTGTACAGCCACATCGTCCACAAAAGATCTTGTGCTTCTTTGAGCCACTCAGAGTATCGTTCAAGATCCATGTCTTCATGTGTTCCTCACCCTCCTGGACGTGAACATTCTCTTTGGCGTATTTTGCCATCTGGCAATTGATTAGCTTATCGTTCATTCCTTGTTCAAACTTGTGTCACAATTTGTCCGGGTCCTCCAGCATTCTTGTTGCAGTGGGTACAGTAGCAAATGAAGACGTTTTCGGGGTGCCCCGTCAAGGTGAAACGCACACCCTCGCATAAACAGCGTGCGTCTAATGAGGTCATTTCTCGGATCCAAATGAGAGGTGACAGCAGGAGAGGCTTCGATACTCCATCTTTCGGTGTTCCACTTGCTGACATTATATACGTCCACTTGGCGGCTGGTGAGCTAGTGCTGGTGACGGGCACAGCGGAGAGTGGCAGACCGGAAGAGACTTCGAAAGCGGCTCAGCAAATCCCCTCTTCCCGGACTGGGTTCTGATTTGGTCAACACTCCTCTCCCTCTCTGCTCCGGAGCTAGGGATGTGCAGACATATATGAGATTCCGGAACCTCCCCCCAGGGTTGGGTGAAGAGACAGAGGTTCACTCATCGGATGAACTGACACATACATCATCAATCACACCTCATCCTCCCATGACAAGTAGTTCCCACACAACCGCAGCCGAGCAACACGTGGCACTTCTTAGTCCAATGGGCCCTACCCAAAATACTGCGACTTTACAAGGAGCATATTATGAGAAAATCGCTAGCCAACACGCCGGTGCACTATGGAAGTGCCTGGACAAGATGGTCCCTCCCATGCCTAATCCTACGGCGGCTGTACACTCATGGCCATACGATGAGATGCGTCCCAGTCTCCTTGAGGCTGGAGAATTGGTGACCGCCGAAGAAGCAGAGCGACGGGTGTTGATGCTCGTCAACCCGAATCTAGAAGCCCCTTATACCACGGATACGATCTACGCTGGCCTTCAGCTAATCTTGCCTGGAGAAACTGCGCCGGCCCATCGACACACGGCATTTGCGCTACGTTTCATCATCGAAGGCTCAAAAGGCTTCACCGCCGTCGAAGGCCAGCGACTGCTCATGGAACGCGGGGATGTGATTCTCACTCCCAGCTGGCACTGGCACGACCATGGCAATGACGGGACCGAGCCTATGATCTGGCTCGATGGCCTCGACTTGCCCGTCTTCCGCTTCCTGCGTATGAACTTTGCTGAGAACTATGCGGAGAGTCGATACCCCAGCGAAGCTGCCAGCAATTCAGATCTCAAAATCCCGTGGTCAGTTCCAGCTGCGGAACTCGACGCTTCTCCAGCAATGCCCTACGCGCGATTTGACTACAGGGTCGCCAGTGGAGCACACCTCTCGCACACGCTCTCCGCACAGGCAGAGCGTGTCGCTGTGGGCACGACCTCTCCAGCTTCCCAGGAGACGTGCTCATTCGTGTATCACATCTACCAAGGCAAAGGGTACTCGAAGATCAAGAGCAAGAACGGCGAAGAGCAGACGGTGCCGTGGAAGTCAAGGGACACCTTCAGCGTTCCGGCGTGGAGTGTCATCGAGCATACCGCCCTGGACGCGGATGGACACGGGGCGAGTGTGTATTTATTCGCTGTCAATGATCGGCCAATGGTAGAGAGCCTGGGCCTGTCGCGACGTGCTTAAAGGATTCCACAATCTCCTCGCATCATTCTACCTATACTCCGTACGTATTTGACCAGAGGATGATACATGACACGAAGAAGAAACGTAGTTTCCCTATTTTTTCCCTATTTTTGGTATTTTGGTTTCCTTTCTGCCTCTTAAGTACTCCCAGCAACTTACTAGTGCTGTTCCAATGTCAGACTGACCACAGAGAATCTGATGGATTTTCACATTCCTCTTTCGCGGAACTCCTAGAATCTCCAGATTTCATGGGGCAAGACTATGCCGCCGGATAATCTGGGGCTGAGGGCCGCTTTAACCCCGATGGCGACCACAACACTCCGAGTCGGCCACTCTTCGGCGCACTGAAATCCACAGAACGACTGGCCTTCCCCAGGCCGTTGGTGAGTCTTAGCCCATTAACAGAGTAGCACTAGTAGCAGTCTCTACAAAAGCAGGGCATCGGGGTGCTTCTGTCGAGCGAGGAAGTTTACCCAAGATCACGCCCTCACGCACGCCATGGCCCCAAGTGTCGCGATTGTTGGCGGCGGGCCGTCAGGCCTTGCCTTGGCGGCGATGCTCGAGAAACAGGGCATTGACTACGTTGTCTACGAGCGCGACGCCAAAGGCAACCCCCCTGCAGGTGGATGTCTCGACTTGCACCGAGGCAGCGGGCAGCGCGCTATGAAGGAAGCTGGCTGTTTTGACGAGATGAGGAAGCGTGGTCGACTTGGCGACGCAACCGTGGCCAAGGTATACGACCATCAATTCAACTTCTTCTTCTCGTGGGGAGAAGGGCGCGACGCTCCGGAGCTGGACCGGGTTGATATCCGAGGCTCGTTGTTGACGGTGGTGCCGGAGGAGAAGATTCGTTGGGCGAAACGTGTTCAGCGAGCTCATAGGGATCAAGATGGGCAGATTGTGCTCACCTTCGATGATGGCTCGACTGTCTCGGGATTTAGACTGGTCATTGGCGCAGATGGAAGCTGGAGTAGGCTACGGCAACTGGTAAGAATCTCGATCCTTGTCTCGCCTATCGCAATCTGAATTGCGAGGTATGGCGAGATTGGTTAAAAATGATCTGCTAAACACGATGGAAGGTCACTCCGATTAAACCAGCCTATTCAGGTCAGCTGTTCCTCACGGGCAAAATCGGCCCACCCAACCCACACTATCCCACGATCGAGAAACTCGCCGGTCACGGCCCCATGGTTGTCCAGGGTCGTTCCACGGCCATTTGGTGCCAAAGGCAAGGAAACGGCGAATACCGGATCGACTTGGGCTTGAACGGCGCAGCGGACCTCGACAAAGACGGGACCGTCGACGTCACCGACGACGATGCTGTCAAAACCCTCATGCTCGACCCGCACTTTTTCGGAGGTCACGCGGCCGAGATCCAAGACATGATCCGCGCCATGGAAGGCCCGTTCAAGGCCTGGCCCATGTGGTATTTTCCACCCGAGCACTTGAATTGGAGCACCGCAAAGGGTGTCACGCTCATCGGAGACGCGGCCCATCCGACGTCACCCTGGGCGGGAGACGGGGTGAACTGTGCGCTCCGCGACACCATCATCCTCGCGGCAAAAATCAAAGAGTTTGGCGTGACGCAGAAAGCGTTGGAGGAGTATGAGAAAGAAATGTTTCCATTGGCGATCTCTCTGATCGAGAGGAGTGTTGCGAGCGGGAAGTTGTTCTTTCACTGGAACAGCCCCAAGGCATTCTTGGATGCTATTACAAAGAAGCCACTATTCGGGGATACGGATGACTTCTAGTGTAGTAGTGGTGAGGTAGTAAGTAATAGGTAGAACGGTGTATACAGTAAAACCCTTTTCAACTACGCAAGTGCCTGGGGTATTCATTATTCTGGTGGCTGATTTCCTGTCTTTCAGTAGACTCTAACATGTCTTACACCTTCCGCTCGAGAAGCTGACGAAGATCCCTCTGTATAGCACATTCCACGGCGAAGCCCAGCAGTCGGATATAATAACCCGGTGATTGATGGGAAAATTCAACACAGTGTAGACAGTGTTTCGAGATGGTCGTAGTAACAGCAGGTGCCTTGACAAATCCCGCTCCAAATCGCCTCATTGAGTCATCATTCACCTGCCACAGTTGATCATGTTCTCCCATGTTGTACAGCACTGGGACCGAGACTGACTGAGCATACCGGGCCCAATATACGGGCCAGAGAAACTCGACGTCATATAACTCCTGCAAGTAGATAGGGTTGGCAAGACGTTCAGTCTGTTCGAGTATGGCCGGGTCATATAGATCCGGGACGGGTCCCAACATGGATTGTTCTTGTTGTTGCTTGGGAAATCTGATGGGTGTGGCTGGCCCGACTTCAGCAGTCCTGTGCATGTCGTCAAATATGGCCAGAAAGTCGTGATAGACTGTGTCACATCCGATACCCGCCATCGATAGACCTGAGAGCTTGTATGGGGACGCCCCCTCCTCGTACAGCGACGCAGCGACAATTGCCACTGCACCGCCGATCGAATGACCGTAGAGAACGATTGAGGAAAACTCGTACTTTTGCGCAAATTTCTCCCAAATCGTGGGAAGACCAACATTGTGTAGCCATCGACCGCTCTGCTGGATGAAGGTGCTGCCATCCTTGTCCATGGCCGTAGGCACAGGGACATCGCCGTACCCAGGCCGATTCAAGCCGACCACGGGCACTCCCAGTGCTGTGGCCCACGTGCGCACTGTATGCTTTTCGTCAGCATCGAAGAAGTCCACGGTATAAGTGCCTCCGGGGATGAGGACGAGGAGGGGCCGAGCTCGCACGGGGACCCTGGATTCGGATGGCGAGAAATCTTTGCCGGTGATTGCACTGCCGTCTGGCAGAAGGATGGAAAAGGCTGACATGGAGGGTGTATGGAGTGAACTGAAGTCCCAACGGGGCCGGTTGTTGGTCGAAGCGGGACTTCTTCAGCCCGTAATTTAATTTTGGTGTGACACGCCTCTCGTTCTTCAAGTCTAGTACTTGGATCTAGTCTTGAAGCTTGGAGATATAGACAGGATGCTGAGAAATACCCGGGTGTCTTTCTGGACACGCTCCGCCTTCTCTCCGCCACAACCTCATAGCTGCCGCTCGCAGGACATGCTGTCCGTTGATCTGCTACGAACCCGACACATGCGCACAAACGTTAATGTTACATTTTCATTCATAGCTATGATCTTGTTTCGATTACAACGAGGGCTACGGAGCATTATGGCAGCTCTAGGACACCCTGCTTCTGCGTACTCGTGGAAAACCTGAAGACTAGAGGGTTCATCTTCTAATTGATGCACTCGGTGCACTAGGTACTTGATTCCTCTATCTATCACTTCTCATGTCTCCATTTGCCGTCTGGTTTGAAGTATATAGAGTTCTGCCAACGGGCCAGCCGTGGTCCGATAACCGGTCTCTTCTTGATGCTCGCCTCGTCCTCACCACTTCGGACTCTCTTGACGAACTCTTCTGGCACAAAATCCACACCGATTGGATTTTCCTTGAACTCACTCGTCTCCATAAACTCGTACACGTCCTGGGCCGAGGCAAAGTTGTCGACCTGCATCTCGAACTCGTTCCCGTCCGGGTCAAAGTAGTACATGCTGGTACTGATACCATGATTCACGGGCCAGTGCGGTAGGATCCCATGTGCCTTCTTTTCCTCGTAGCTAGTTGCCAGAGCCTCTAGGCTGTCGAGCGTAAAGGCGATGTGGTAGATGCCGCAGGTCGATCCGGGACTGGGGATGGGCTTGAAGTCGGGATCGTTGATGATGACTAGTCGATGGTGCTCGTGGTCGTAGGTGAGAAATGCCGCTACGTTGTTCTTCAGCACCACTTTGCTACCGAAAAACTTGACGTGCCAATCGATCATAGCTTCGAAGTTCTCAGGTCGTGTGCGCAGGCCGAAATGGCCTACATAAGAAGGGTGTACTGGCTCAGGCATTGCGATTAGGATTGTTGGGATCGGTGCCGGAGTATCTTGGTTGAGCACCTCAAGAGATAGACATGAACAAGGACAGTGCGACATCAAGAGCCCAAGTGTTATTAGATCTCACCAAAAAGCATTTTACTCCCACTGTCCAGCCACCCCACATCAGCAGGTCATTGTTCTCTTGGACTCTTCGACAGATGACCGTTGCCGGAGCGGAGATTAGGCGGCGGAGCGGAGACAATCTGTTCCGAGTTTTGTGTTCTCTCAAATCTCGTCCTGGATCTGCAGGACATGCCGTGCCCATTATACTACTTGATCCATGTTCTCGCTTTCCGTCAAGAAATTTGTGAAAGAGGAGCTTCTATTGACAGGGTGTACATCTCCTCCTTCCTGATGTGGGCTGTGACTTTCTTGGTCTGGACTCGGCACGACGCCTAGTATGCCCTGCTCACTTGTGATGACAGACGGAGGTCTAGCAGGGCCCAGATGGGAGGATTAGACTGATAGAAACACTGGAAGAGGCGAGGTAAGCCCTTTTGATAGATATACTTCCTATTCAAGCGTGCCACTCAGATTCTCCCTCAGAACTGAAGAAATACGTTTTTGGGCACTTCTCCTAGATTAACCATGACGACTCTACATATCGTCGCCGCTAGCACTTTTTTTAGTGCCTGGATATTGTCTCGAGTGCTTCTCCCAGCACTAATAAGCCCTTGGCGCAATGTTCCCGGTCGGTCGAGGGTAAAACTTCCGCCGAGCAGGGCAGAACACAGGCATGAATTTGAAGATTGAAGCATTTCATATTGATTTAGGTCTACTCAAGTGTACCCTAGCTTGCGTCAGATCGTGCACCATCTATTGTAGGTTTAATGAACAAATCATCAACGTATACTAGATTCTATCTATGACTATATGCGCTATAGAAGTCCGGATGCTGTCTCACTGCATCAGGAATACTCTGGCCATTCTTGACTTTTTCCAGAACTGCTTCACTCGCTCGCTTCTGCACAGCCGCCAAGTCAACGACTTTCTCCAGCAGTTCCCGCGGAATGACCACCACAGCTCGATCTTTCTCATCCGCATACAGTATGTCTCCGGGCTGCACGACCATGGCGTCGAAGTGGAGTGGCACATCCACAGCGGAAGGCAGGGCCTCCAGCGTGGGGGATGACGCTGAAAACCCGCGGGACCAGAGATGGAAGATTGAGGAGTTGTTTTCATCGTCATCGTCGTCGTTGATTACACACCTGAGACTGCAAGATTCCACGTCACGAATGCGTCCATTTACTATTGCGCCACGGACACCCCGGACCTTGAGTCGTGTGGTCATAATATCACCCATCAAGGCAGCACGGATCTCGGGTCCGTCTTGCGGTTGTTGAACCAGAGCCACGTTTGACGCTGCTATCATGTCGGTCCAATTTTTGCCTTGAGGTATGTTGAACACGGTAGTTGAAGCGGTGTCTTTGGTGATGGTGGAGCCTTCGTCTCCCACTTTGCGCACAAAAAGGACCGTGCTGACGGGGGCGACGAGTCGACGAGAGCTCCTAGTGTTGTCCCGCTCGGGCCTCGGAATGGGTTGGATATCAGGAAGGTAGCCCGCGGCTGGGACTTTAAGGGTCAAGAGAGCATCTGAAATCTGTGGAAAAGGGGGTGTCAGGACGCTTTCCACAACGCAGTCACATCCTTTTTGTGACGCAACTCCAACTCACATCGGATGCTGAGTATTCACGTTCTATGATCTGACAAAGAGCTTTGAGCTCCTTATCGATACTCAACGGCATGATGGGGGTAGGTTTGCAGTAAGTGTCCGAGGGCAGCGTGAGGACAAACAAGGAATTATACCGTCGAGAACAGCTTTATCTCGCGCCAGAAGAACGTCTCCTACTGTTTCCATGAATATAAAGGTCTCTTCCCCGTCCCCAGCTCTCCTCGAAGACTCAGACGTTGTCGCTAATTGCCTCGCTCACTTTTACACCAGCCAGAACATATCCTGCGTGAGGGCTGCGGAAAGCAAAGCAAGTGGACCGATTCACGCTACTGAAGCTCCGTGTTGTCGCGGGAGTAGGGCGGTAGATGTCCGAGTCACCCACTTACTCAACTGGATTCACTCCTCGGCTCTACAATGTGATTGTTTAGGGTCGAGTCTAGGGTACGTGCTGAGCTCACTGCCACTCCTTGTTATCATTCAACATAGGTAGGACGGTGTAGTGCTACCCACATCACGTGTTCGAAGGCATCAGATCATATGTCCATGGCCATGCGATCAAGGTCGGCGTTATGGCGGAACCCAATCAGTATCTCAACTTCTGTTGGGACCCCATCTTGGAGCTCGAAAGGGCACTTCCAAGCGTTGTGCATGCTTGTCAATGCCCTGATTTGCAGCTATGAGTGACGAATCTAGAGGTGTTTGATGTCTAGATCTCCTCGTGAGTACGCAACTGCTAGGTGAGCTGCCCAGTAGACCTGGAAACAGCCCGCCATCATGGATTCAGACACGACTACAACGGTCATCGACCATCTCACCATTGGCAGAATACGCGGAATCAAATACTCAGAGGCCAGTAATCGATTCCTGGGTATGCAATATGCCACGCTGAAGGACCGATTCTCACGTGCGGAGCTCGTTCGGTACTCGGATCACGACCAGGCTCGCGCAAGCAATGGCATCTTGGATGCAACGAAGTTTGGGTACAGCACCCCATACCCCTAGCCCTTGGTTCGCGGGATATGTCTATTGTGCTTCCTTTCTCATGTGAGTGTTATAAGCTGATGCGAAAGTGTGATAGGCCAGTGGGTTTGATCTCTCCCAATGCCTGCGAGCTTGAACAAGGTCTCGTGCAAAAGGCTCTTCCTTTTGTGCCTTTGCCCATATCGGACACCGAGTGTTTGACATTGAATATCACTGCACCGAGTTTGGCGAGCACGACTTCGCAGGCGTATTTGCTTCCGGTGTTGGCATTTGTCCATGGGGGAGGCTTCACGACGGGCAGTAGCTCGTTTCCACAAAACGAGTTGGCGCGGATCACAGAAGTCAGCATTCAAGCTGGCATGCCCATGATATCAGTGAACATTAAGTGAGTTTGCGAAGTTTTGTCTAAGTCTTGCAGGGGCTGTTTGATCACTTGCAAATACTGATCTGTGTCATTCCTAGCTACCGCGTTGGCGCTCCCGGATTCCTCCATTCTCCTGACATGGCGGCAGTTGGTTACAGATCCAACAATGGTCTCCAGGACCAGCGGCTGGCACTGTATTGGATCCAAGAGCATATCGCTGGATTTGGGGGCGATCCACAGCGTGTCACTTACCTGGGAGAGAGTGCTGGAGCAAGTAAGTTCCCTTCGCTACTCTGGCAGTCCAAAACTTTCACGAGTGTCTAACGTTTGTCCATTTGATCGACTAAATATAGCCTCGGGCTTTTATCACCTCCACAATCCGGGGCCTTACTTTCACCAATTCGTGTCTATGAGTGGCACAGCATTGTTACGCCCACGACCGACAGCCGCGGTCCACATATCCTTCCAACGCATATGTGAGGCGCTGGGTGCCAAAGATGAGGATAGTCCTCGGGTCAAAGTGAACAGACTTGTGAATACACCCAGTGAAGACTTTGTGACAAGGACAGCGCGTCCATATATCTTAGGGCCGATCGTGGATGAGGAGATTATCCCAAGAGTTACGACTTTTGAGTCACTGCGAGAAGAAGCAGAATTTGTGAAGCTGTTCCCGGGGGTACTTCAATGCAAAAGATTGCTGATTGGTGACTGTCAATTTGATGTGAGTTTCACGTACCTGTTTTGCCCTCTTGGGACGATTGCGGTGCTACCAGCGCTTGCGGCGACTTGGTTGATGTTGATGAGGACATGGGAATATAAATTGACGCTACTAAATATCGGATAATCAGGGTATGATATGGGCATCTCGTCTCGCCGGTCGTGAGGATGTCTTTCCCCGAACACTCCTGGGATGTCTGGCCGAGATCTTCGACCCCATCGACCCAAGCGTTGCCGAAAGACTCGCTCGAGCATATCATCTCGACGCCTCGACGCCGATCAACACTCCCGAGACCACGCAATCGGTGCTCGAGTTCGGCAACGACATCACCTTTTTTCTCCCCGCGCGTGAATTCGCCAAAGCATGGGCACGATCCGTGCCTTCATCTGACCAAATTAGCGGCCGAGTCTCTTTTCTCTACCACTTCAACGCCTCGAACCCTTGGCCCGGTCCGTGGACAGGTCAGTCTACCCACGACTTGGACCTCATGTTTGCGCTGCAGAACTATCGAGAGCACCTATCTCCAGGCCAGCAACGATGTGGGGATAAAGTTGCCCTTGACTTGATCCGCTTCGTGCATGGAGAAGATCCTTGGCCTGCCTTCGATGCTAAAGGGTCGAACCGTTGCCAAGCGATGGTGTATTCTGCCCCCACTGACAGGGAGACGGATGAGTCTGAGTATGTGGACGTTCAAAATGAGATTAGGTGTAGGAGTGGAAATGTTGATGGATTCGATCAATTGACAGGGCGGCGAACACTCATTCAGATGACTGTCAAGGAACAATATTTCGACAGGCTTTTTGATGCTTGGAACTTGTTCATGTTAGGACCACGATGAAAATTCTTCAAAACTGAATACTAGATCCAAGTTAATCCAAGTTTAGCAAGTTTAGCAAGTTGGGAACTTTAGTTTTTTGTCTAACAGACCAGAAGCTCTTGTAAGGACGGAATACAATTATACCAATCAAGGAATAGTAGTAGGGGACTTCGCTTGGTGTATCTCCTACATTTTTGTACCCCCAACTATACACTACTCCTACTCGCACACACCCGAGCTAGGCCGACATTAGAGAGGAGGACTTTACGTAGCCGTAGCGCGCCTTCCGCATATAGATGTGCCGATTATAAGACAATCACTGAAATGCTTAACAAGATTACATAGTTCACGAGGGTTAACAACAAGGATTGCTCGTGGGAAGATTATGTTAACTGCCCCCATGGAGACTTCATGCATCATCTGCCCCAATGATTCGAAGTCTATGCTTGATAACTGTCCAATAAACAAGCAATGACGATTGATCTGAGCCTCACTGGATCTATATCACAGTATTGTTCTCCTTCAATGAACACGGACCATATCAGCCAGGCGCTCTCAACGCCTTGAAGTGCTTGCTTTGTTGCAGTAGAGACGCCTGCTGAGACAGCACCGGCCTTCCCACAGACTGGAGAAAGTATGTCAGTTCAACACGTCCAAATCCAATAACAATCTCTTCTTCCTTGGTTGAGTGAACCCACGATCCTCCATGTGCATGTCCGACTCAACCATTTCCGAACTAAGTCGTATCTTTACTGTTCGAATGATCTTGCTTGTCGCCAGGTAGAGTTCTGCCTTGGCCAAGTTCTGCCCAATGCAGTTTCCGGGTCCTAGCGAGAAGGGGGTCAGAGCCGAGGACATGTCCTTGGTTTCGTGGAGCCAGCGGTCGGGCAACCAGGAATCTGGATCAGGGAATAGGAAAGGATCTCTCTGATGCACAAAGTTCTGCATTACCACAAGAGTCCCTTTGGGAAGAACGTGCTTCCCCACAACGATCGGGCAATCCAGTGTACGTGGGACCATCCCCATGAAGCTGGGGTAAAGCCGATGTGTTTCTTTGATGGCGGCGTTCAACACGGGAAGTTGCTGAATTTCACTGAGCGAGGAGCCGGCACCCTGGAGCTCTGCGCGAAGGCGATCCTGAACGTCCTCGTGCTTTGCCAGGCACCAAAGCAGGTAGCTCAGAAGAGTCGAGGTTGTTCCAGATCCCGCGAACACTAGAGCAACAGCTTCTTCAAGGACCTCATCGTGGTTGAGCTTGCGCCCTAGATGAAAGTCGGAATGACTGAGTAGCGGAGTCAAAAGGAATCTCGCCGAGGCGGCATCGCTTTCCAACTCATGTCGGATGAATTTGTCCTGCAGCTCCAGTACCCTCGTTATGAATCGGTTAAGCTGTTTGAAAGACTGGCCCACCGGTCCTGGAATGAGGTGGGCGTAGTGGCGATCAAGGAACGGAAGGGCGCTTCTCGTCGCCAACGCAATGCCGCTTTCCTCCAACGAGGTCAACAACTCCAGGGACTCTTTGTCAGGTGCCTCACTATAGTCGCGGTTGAAGGCACATTTCATCAAGACTTCCAAGCTAAACAAGGCATTGAGTCTAAACACCTCCACAGTATAGCCAGATCCCGAGTCTCTGGAACCTTGGATCATTCGTTGTACGAGGATATTTGCCTTTTCGCTGAGCAGTTCTTCATTTCGTAGCACGACTTGCTGAGAATAGGATTGGTTTTGCAATTTTCGTCGGGCATGATGAGCTTCTTTATTTCGCATGGAGAAAATATTCTCATGGAAACCTGTGAACGTGGCTGTGCTGTATAGCAGCTCTGATTTGGTCGATGTCTTATTCGTGTAGATGGTTTTCAAGGCCGTCCAGTCGGAGATCGACACTTGATTCACGCCTACTCGTACCACTCCCCCGTACTGCCGATGGAGATCGAGCAATTTCTAACATGCGTGTCGCGTTAACGGCGATCACTTGCATACAAAGTGCCCTGACGTACATGACTCCTTTTAAAGGTTGCGATGGCAGGAACAAGGTAGGACTCTAGGACTTTTGCTACCCATGGTCCAGGAACGCCAGAAAGGGGATGTATGTAAATATTGTAGACAGCCTGATATGTTCCCCGTCAGAATCATGAGTCATTGGGCAATGAATATGAAGGGCACACCTTTGCCGAGAGCCATACGAAGATGGCCAGGAAGATGATTGCTCCGAAATTTTCGCGCCCGTATCTGTAAGGAGAAGAACTTTCAATGTTGGCCTTGACGGAGTTAATCCAGTGGTGCGACATAGTTCTCGAGCTCAATCTCAGCGATATCAAATAACATAGCTACTCACTATGCAGCGACTTGACTGTGGCTTATAAACCGTCTACCTTCCGTCTCTATTCCACTCAGTCAGCACTGGCAGGTCTAGGGAGCTATCACCTTCTATTGGCTCCGCTTTAGCAATCCCGCCTCAATTCCACTCGCTCCGCCTTAAGTCCATCACTCCGCCTGGAGATTCTGTGGCGAGCCCACTATGATGGACAAGCAGCCGAGGCTCCACCCTCAGGCCCTCCACTGGATGTTGACACGTGAGCGAGACAGGAGATCTAGCATCAAGTCACAACAACCCTAGATACTATCTCCGCGCGGAAAGCCATTCTGTGCGGTGCAGCGGAATCCTCTGCCGCATCAAATAGGAAAGAGAGACAGCGCCAATACGCGAGAGTTACTCCACCACCTCCAAGTTCTAAATAACTTTAGAATTCGTTGTCTGTTTTACAAGGCTGTGGAATTACAAATTTGTCGTTTCGAGGTTGAGAGTGAATTGATTGGAGCAAGGTAGTAACATCGTGGGCATGGAAGGTGCTTAACTTGCTTCTGTTTCTGCAGTCAGCCTTTGCATTTACAGCAAGAAATATGAATGAAACAGCCACTCTGTAAGTTCCTCCAGCCGTGGTTGCAGAGCTTCCAGATCTCAGCACTAACAACTAGACCTTAGAAACAAGAGGCGGCCGTTCATCGCCCTTGAAGAACATTTTGCCTATGCACCGGAGCTTCTCGACGCAACCGATATCCAAAATCCTTATTACTATATTCTCAAGTATTTGCCTGGGATCAAAGAGCAGCTACTCGATGTTGGACCGGGCCGCATTGAGACCATGGACGAAGGCAACATCACTCTTCAGGTCCTCTCGCACTTACCCGTGTCTCCTAAACTTGATTACCACCAAAGCCGCGCCGTGAACAACAAGATAGCGGAGGCGGTCAAGGCCCATCCCAGCCGCTTTGCTGGCTTTGCCACTCTACCCGTCGGAGATCCAACGCGATGTCCGGAAGAACTGACTCGCGCTGTCAAGGAGCTCGGGTTTCTAGGTGCGTTGATCGAGGGACACACGGACGACAATGCCTACTACGACGGCTATGACTATCTTCCCATGTGGCAGACCGCTCAAGACCTCGATGTACCGATATACCTACACCCAACCTGGCCCACTGATGTTAGTCTTGTTTCACAGTTCCAAGGTAACTTTCCCCCGCTTCATTCGAACTTTCTTTCGAGCTTCATATTCGGCTGGCATTCGGATACTGCGATTCATATTCTCAGGCTATTTGCTTCTGGATTGTTCGATAGGTTGCCTCGTCTGAAGCTCATTATTGGTCATATGGGTGAAACGCTGCCTTTCATGCTTGAACGGATTGCCACTATCACGTCACTCTGGGGCTTAGAGCGCAACTTCACCTCCGTTTGGCAGGAGAATATCTGGATTACCACTAGCGGTTCTTGGAGTCTGAATCCAATGGCGTGTATTCTACGAAATACAGCTCTTGATCATGTTCTTTTCAGCGTGGACTACCCCTTCTCAAGCAACATGGGGGCGCAGAGATTCTTTCGGGAACTGGCTGAGAGTGGCCTAGTGGACGATGCGCAGCTAGATGCGATTGCATACAAGAATGCCGAAAGGCTCCTAGGCATTACGGTGGCAAATACTTGAGTTGTACTTGAGTTGGATACTTAGAGGGCTGGAGAGGTCGGCTCACATTCACTATACAGTAGGGAGCACACCGTGTTGCGCATGAGATAGATCTAGTTCCACCAACGTTTCAGGCATTGCCTGAAACTAACTAGTGCCAGGAGGCCCTACTGCATAGCAGGACTCAGGAGAGCTCTTCCTGTTCCCTAGCATTTTGTACATAGACGATCAGACCGAGCCTGAGAAGAGGCACAAGTAGACAGACCAAGACATAACCTTGCACAGATCCTGCTAGGTCAAAGCGTATCGTCCAGGGGGATTGGCACGCCAGCCGCTGCCGTGGTCAGCAACCCCAATACCTGAATACTCACGTCCATATCTGTTGTTTTCAATTGAGCACGTCGAATTTTCGCATCGATCAAGATCTTCAGCCTGGACCAATGAACACATTTCTTCTCCTCCGAGATGCTCGCTCCTGGTAGGGGGGAGCTGGGTGAGGAGGAGTTGTTATTCATCCCCGGAGTCGATGTGCTGCAGTGATTGCGTTCGTAAAGAGACACTGTCATGAATATTAATTAGGTCGAGATGCAGTTCTGAGCTCGTAAGGTGGGGCAATGATTGGGAATGATGCTAGGACCAAATAGTCAGCCAACAAGCGCTGCTTTTGTAAGGCCCACCCGTGGATCAAGGCGGCATCACGATCGTCCCCAAATGGAACGAACCGCGCGCAGATTTATTCCCACACCTTGGAAAGCCGACAAAAAATGGGAGCAGAAACGACCAGTCTGCACAATGCCGGCACCCAAGCGGCTGAAGAGAGGAGACGAAGGGTATTCACCCACAGAGGTGCTTGAAAAAGATGAGACCGAATTGCGGCTGGAGAAAGCCCTCTTCGGAGACGACGCAGGCTTTCTCGAGTCGTTGAAAAGAGACCAACTCCAGGAGGATCGGTCCTTGGTGCGGCGCAAGCATGGAAAGGACGACGAGTCTGAAGAAGACGAGGCTGCTGATGGAGGACTGAGCGAAGTGGCGGACGGAGACGTTGGTGCTCGATTTTCTCGATTACTCCTCGTGCTAACAATGTTCGCAGTTGTTTTTTCTCGACACCGGCGCCGACCAACTGCCTCTCTCCGTTTCGGAAGAACTCGACCGTACCGAACAGGTGCATACTCATCTACGCCCAGAGGCTGTGTGGCATGATAGCGACGATGACCGGATCACTGTCTCACTCGCCTCGAACACTCGACTGCGCAAACTCCGCGACACGGAAGACGACGATGTGGTTAGCGGGAGAGAATACATCCAGAGACTACGGCGACAGTACGAGAGGCTTCATCCGACGCCGGAGTGGGTTACATATGCCAGAAAGAGGAGGAAGTTGTCTTCTCACTACGGAGAAGACGACGCGGTGTCAGACTCAGACATGTCCATGGACGAGGACAGCCTGCCGTCGGCTCAACCTCTGGCGGAACTTCTACGAACAGCAGGATCTCTGACCCGGACAGATACCAAGCAACAAGGGGCAAAAAGGTCACGGAAATTGCGACCAGAAGTTATTGATATCCAGCGCTGCAAGGACGTAGCTGGCTCCGGCCCTTCGTCAGTCGACACTTTGCAATTCCACCCGTACTATCCTCTGCTTCTTGCCGCCGGTCCTAGTTCAACAGCAACGCTGTACCACATCTCGCCGCAGCCGCCGAACCCCAACCCGATTCTGACCTCACTACATTTGAAGGGCACTCCTCTGCACACTGCAGCATTCTGCCGACCGCGAGCACAACCTGATACGGAAGACGGAAGCGAAGCACATGACCAGACGAGAGTGTTCCTCTCCTCCCGACGCCGTTATTTCCACACCTGGTCGCTCTCCACCGGCACCGTCACCAAAGTGACTCGTGCGCTCTACGGCCAGGCCCGCAAAGAGCAGCGGACGATGGAAGCCTTCAAGCTCTCCCCCTGCGGGCGCTACATGGGACTCGTGGGGTCGTCGAAAAGGGGAGGCGGGAGCATCAACGTGCTGTCGACAGAGACCATGCAATGGCTGTGCAGCTGCCGGATTGATTCGCGCGGCGGGGTGGCGGATTTTGCGTGGTGGCGCAACGGGGACGGGTTCGCGGTTGTGGGCAAGAACGGGGAGGTCAGCGAGTACGACATCGAGGCACGGCGGGTCGTCACGAGGTGGATGGACGAGGGCGCCGTCGGCACCACCGTCATTGCCTTGGGCGGCGATGCCGGGCAGCAGCAGTGCCGGGGCGGAAGCCGTTGGGTCGCAGTGGGCTCTTCGAGCGGCGTTGTCAACCTGTACGATCGGCGCGGGTGGATGACGACTACTGCCGCTGCTGCTTCAAGCGACCCTGACCCTGGTTCTGTCGTCGCAAACAACAAGGAATCGTCCGACAGGCCCAAACCCGCGAGGGTGTTCGACCAACTCACGACCCCGATCTCGCACCTCGAGTTCTCTCACGACGGCCAGATGCTCGTCATGACGTCGCGCTGGAAGAAGAACGCCCTGAAACTCGCCCATCTGCCCAGCTGCACGCTGTACAGGAACTGGCCGACGGACAAGACTCCCTTGGGGCGGATCAGTGCCGCGGCGCTGTCGCCGGACGGGAGCTACCTCGCGGTGGGGAACGAGCAGGGGAAGATCAGATTGTGGGAGATACGCGAGTAGCATTCTCTGAATGAAGAATTACTACCCGTCCTGTCCCACGTCAGTAATGCCCCGAACCTGCGTCGGCCATGTATTGTCAATACATCCACGTATCCATGCATGTACGCATTGGTATAACTTTCTATCTATAACAAGTCCTCCTCTTCTTCTTCTTCCAGACCATCCTGCTCGCCCAGACCCCAGATGTGCTTGTTCCACTTCGGGTGTACGTACTACGTCAAACCGGGGAAGTTCTTGACATCGCGCACGCCCGCGGTATTACCTTCCTTGATCCTCTTGAGCGTCAACGCGGCGATCAGGGCGGCACCGACACCGCTCCCGTCCTCGGCGCTCAGCAAGACGATGGGATCCTTTTTCCCCTTTGGCCAATCCAGAATCTCGCGCAGCGCCAGCGCCCCTCGCTGCTTGAAGTGCGGGTACTTGTTGAAGACAGAGCCGTCGGCGCCGACGTGGCAGCTCTCGATGTTCTTCTTCTTGCAGATGGCGGCGACGCCGCAGGCCGAGAGCCGCGCAGCCCGCGTGCCGATCAGTTCGGCGAGGCGACGGCAGAGTTCGAGCTCGGGCTTTGTGGCGTTGATCTTGAGCTCGTCCTCGAACTTGTCGCGCGTCTCCTGCAGGTTCTCAAAGGGGTCTTCTTCGATGAAGGAGAGGAACGACGCGTCGAGAGTGTAGGGCTTTTTGAGTGCCGAGATGTCCTGCCCTTCAAACAGGAGGTTCTTGTTCTCGTGCAGGTCCACGAGCACCAGCCGGAAGATCTCCCCCAGGTACAGCCCCGCGATCATCTTCTCGAATGCCTGTTGGCCCGGTCGGGGAGAGGTCTCGTCGATGATGGTGTCATACTTTGTGATTGGGAGGACCTTGTGCTCGTTGTCGAACGCGCCGTATTCACAGTTGATCGCCATGGGCATATCATCGGGGAGGTTGAGGTGTTTGATCTTGGGTATCGAGCCGCAGTTCTCCATGTAGGCGGCATTGCAGCCCGTGCCAAAGATGCACCCGATTCTTATGGTCTGGTCCGTATAGGCCGACGCAATCAGTGTGCCGGTGGTGTCGTTAATGATGGCGACGAGTTTGATGGGAAGGTTCTGGTATAATGATCAGTCACCTGGCAAAGGCAGTTGTTTCTTGGGGGGGTTGTCATACCCGTTCTTCAAGCGCTTTTTGGAACTGGGGAACCACATCATGCCCTTCGACGCCTGAGATGTCGAATCCTTTGGTCCATCTCTGGAGCACACCGTGGTCAATGTATTCTTGTGTTGCCGGATAGGAAAACGTGAAGCCAAGGGGCAGATGCGCCAGGTCCTCGTCCTCGTGGTGGTACTCGATGAATTGTTGCAGGCAGTCGGCGATGTAATCCCACAGCTCCTCAGCGGTTCCCGTCTTCAGCTCTTCCGGCATGCGGTATTTGCTCTGGATGATGTCGAACTCGCCCTTCTCTTCCGTGAGGGTGATTTCGCAGACTCGCAGGTTGGTCCCGCCCATGTCCAGCGCGAGGAAAGTGCCCTGTTCGTTGCCGTCCGGGAACCCCATGACCCAGGTCGGGTTCATGGGGATGTTGCCTCCCTCTTTCTCCAGGCCAGCTTGGAGCTCTGACTTGAAGTGGTCGGTGATCTTCTTGAGCCGCTCGGCATCCACGGTAAACAGGTTCTCGAGGTTCGCAATTTCATCCAGCAAGCTCTTTGGCACATCGGCCATCGACCCTGTAAGAAGTCGAGACTTAGCAACGGTTTCCGCTCCAGCTCAAGTCACCCTCAACTTACCCTTGCGGGACGGCTTTCGCTTTGGACCCAGCCCGACCATTTTGGCTATGCTCGACTGTCGACGCAGAGAGGGAAAAGGAGAGGATAGGAAGCTGGAGTAAGAGGCTCGAGGCAACGAGGACGATAAATATGAGCAGATGGGCCCTCAGGTGAGGCGTCTCAGAGGAGCTGTTTACTGGGCAGGTTTGCGGCGAGAAACGGAGGCCAAAATGTTGATACAGCAAAAAGTTTGGCGGGGTAAATAACAGCGGGTCGAGCCAGGGGCTTTGCAGTTTATTACGTAGGACAACGTATGACAGCACCACGGGAGGAAGGGGACGTCCAGGGGAGGGGCATTAATTATTTGGCCAGTACGAGGTATTCCGTCTTTGTCCAAGTCCAGCAGCTCCGTTGATGCTATCTCATTCGGGTATCAGGCACCGCCCATCAGGATCGCCAATCTCATAACACTTTCAGCGGTTTAGAGCATCTTTGATGTGTGCTTCTCCTATTGACCTCCTAATAATTGCTGCCAACGTTTCTCTCAAGCGACGCCTGCAAGTTTCTTCTCATCATGTTTTCTCCCAGCGCGTGACTGACTCTTTCCAATGTCTTCGCAAGCCATGACTAACCTGGCACCGCTGACTCACTATTCTGTTTCCGGGAATCATAGTTGAAGCAATCGAAAGGGTCTTCTGGCAATTACATAGGCCACCTGCAGCTTCCGGGCATACGACTTCTTCCAATGACCCCACGTATCACCATGCCGAAGAACACAAGCCTTGGTTCAGTCGATATCAATGATGTCGGGAGCGTTTGAGGAGGCGCCGACGCTGCGATCATAGTTGGGGTAGTCGACAACCCTCCAGCGGTTGAGCCCAAGTGCAGGGTCCAGAGGGCTCTTGTCCTGCGCAACTTTGGCAAGGGCTTTGAAAAGTTCCCTCCGCAGAGGCCGGTCGCCGTTTGTGAGAAACATTTCAAAATCCGAGTTCTCCTGGACGAAGGCATCGTACCCTCCCTGGTAGATTTCGAACGCAACCTGATCAATGAGGTACTGGATCAACGGGACTGTGCAAACAGCCTCGCCATCACCGACACGTCCAGAGACCCAGAATAGTTCGGCAAACCTGATCGTGTAAGACGCATGATAGTTTCGGAAACAGTCGATCAGATCATCTTGAAGGCCGGACATGCGGTACTGGAGTGCCAGGATGTACGCTTTCAGCAGTATTCTGAATTGGGATCGACTTTGAGGTGTGCTGGGAGGCGTGTTGTACAGGTAATCGACGACGACCTCGAACGCTGCGGGATCGTGTATCAGACTTCGAAGGATGTAAGCCGGCGCCTTGGCAGCATCGCTGGTAGCTGTTGGTGAAGCACCACTGCTTTCAGGCATTTCGTCCTCCATCTCTTGCTCCGCTTTGATTTCATCTCGATCGGGCGTCACAGTGGCCTCACTCGGTGCTGGTGAGTTTAAACAACTCCCTGCACGGGTTGGCTTCGGTGCCGGTGTCGGTGTCGTCGCCGTAGGCAGTTGGGGTGGGCCGTGAACGTTGAAGAAGTCGGTCCGCTCGAGATATGCGTAGTGGACGTGGAACAATTGTTTTGTCCTCCCAACGACGATTTGGATGGTTGGATTCGCATATTTCCCGCCCGATTTGGAGCGAGGAGTTGTTGGTGTCATGGCAAGCAGTAGATGGAGAAATGTCAGGGTAGTTGTCTTGATTGAAACTGAGCCTGTCTGCCCTGGTAGATAGTTAGTAGGCAGGAGAGGTGAGGAGCGGAGAGGAGAGGAGAGAGGAGGAGAGGGTCGCTCACTTAAAACAGAAAGAAATCCTTTGGCTCGGGTATCTCTTGAGGAAAGGCTGAGTGATCTCTGAGATGAAATTCACTTGACCCTGATATTGATTTCAGATGAGCTTGGGTCAGGTACTTCAGCGCGCCAAGCTCGGCTTCATCAACCATCCACTAAAGAGAAGACTTCTCAGGTTTGTCTGCTTTCAGGTGAGGATAAACGTGACTCAGTCCAGAATTGGAAGACGTCGTGGGCGCTGTGGGCGTGTCGGATGAGGGAGCAGAAGACGGTGACGGTTTCTGAGAATCGTGCTGTTCCAGTTCCGCCCTTATCCTCTCATTTGCCTCGGCCGTGATCTTGAGTGAGGCATCGATATCCTTTGTCAACTTCGCGATCTCGTCATCCAACTTTTCATGCTTTTGTTTTGGAGGCACGTCCTGCGCATCCCTCTCTTTCTTATCCGGGTTGGTGCTGGCCCATAGCTCTTCCAACTCATCGCGCCATCCGAGGGCATCTGCGAATTTGCGGACACCTTCATCACAGTCTCCCAGCAGCAGCACGTCGTCTGGCCTTGAACCGAGGGATCCCACCCTCTCCAAGTTGATGAGCACGCGCGGAGTTTCTTCCCTGACGAATGAGGGCAGGCTGGCGAACGGCTGGACCGTCAGACTGGTCCCCATGACAATCGCCAACTCTGCTTTGGCGGGCAGACTTCGGTTGCGGTGGAATGACTCTGGAAGAGCCTCGCCGAAGAAAACGATATCCGGCTTTACCAGCCCGTTGCATGTCTTCCTGATGCAACGCGGTACCTCCATTTTCTGAATCACCTCTTTCATTCGATCATCAGGATATTCCGTTTTGCATTCAATACATCTCTGCGTGGCAAAAGAACCGTGTGCTTCCACAATCTTGTCCCCAGGAACTCCTGCTTCCCTCTCGAGGCAATCGATGTTTTGCGTGAACAATTTGAGCAGTCGCCCCTTCTTGTGGAGCAAGCTGATGAACGAATGGGTCACGGTTGGTCTGTATTTGCCTGGATACAGTTCGTGCGCGAGGGTGTAGAACGGGTAGGGGTTGTTTCGAAAATACGAGATGTCGAACACTGCTTCAGCGTATGGGAGGTTCAGTCGAGCAAGATTGGCATACAGCCCTGTATCAGGAGAGCGGAAATCAGGTATCCCGGCCGAGGTGCTGATTCCTGCGCCGGTCTTCGACACGGTCAGACTCGAAATATCCAAGTTTGTGGAGAGGGATCCTACCATGACTACAATGTTCTTGACATCCTTTTCCTTGATATATTGAGCCACCGCCTCTATGCTCCGGGCATAGAGCGTGGTGGGGGGCGTGGCCTCGTCAACCGGGGTGGAGGATTCGTTGCCCATATCGAAAATATTCCAGCGCCCCGCACGTGGATGGGAATGGCGCTCACGGCGTCGTCGACCTATGATGGCGAGCAGATAGCGAAACACTTTGATTTCTATAGACAGAGGAGACGGTCAGGACTGTGGTGTCTTCAATGTGATGCGGGGTTTAGTTATGGATGAGTCAAAATGAGGCAGAGTGAGGTCGGAAAGGAAAATGATCTTGGGGGCTGCAAAAAGATGTTATCTTCACACTCTCCGCCCTTCTGCCCCACGTCATATTGGGCTCATATCATTGCGGGAACAACGGCCTCGGCAGGGCAACTACCTGGAGATTGGATCTAACTTCATGCAGTAATGTGCCTGTTTGATCCGTCTATATGAGGTACCTAGGTAAATACGAGGTATAGTGCGTACGACTACGCGGGTTTCCTTGGAGAAAACACTGATTGCAAATGATGCTACTTTGGCTAAGTGGTCCATGAGAGGCCTCAAAGCAATCCCCGTTGTCATCTGCCAGCTCGAAAGATGCATAGCATTACATGCGCGCTCATTTCAAGCATCAGACTATCCAATGGTGATACCCAATTCACTCGCAATAATATCCGCAGCTTTTTCTCCAATCGCCAAAGCAGTGTTGTATGTGTTCGCGGCCACATTTGATGGAACAATTGATAGATCTAGGGCCCCGGCGGGACAACATAGTTAGCTTTTTCATCCTTGAATAAGGTTCACAGTGCCAAATATGCAAAGGTTCCAGGGCTTAGACGAGTCGCGAAACGAAAGAGAAGGAGAAAATGCCATACCTGCAACCTTCAGCTTGCTGACACCGTAGACATTGAGGTCTTTGTCCACTACTCCTCCTTGCTCACGTGGCCGCATCTGTGCAGAACCCAGATAATGCCACGCAGTCGCAATGCGCTCCCTGATGCAGACCTTGATCGCTTCGTCGTCCTCAGCCGAGTATTCCAGGTCTTCCAACTGCTTGCCGTGCTTGGCTGCCTCTTCTGTTGCACTGTTGTCAAGAGTTGCCAAAGCCGCCCTCGAAGAAGGGGCGAAATTCGGGTGCCCAACGGGGGTCTCTCCACGATAACAATCTAGCCGGCGAGCGATCTCCCTGGTTCGCTTGTAGGCCCAAACATGTACATCCAAGTCGACATCCCCGGGACCTTCGAAGAAACCAGTACTGATTTCTAGCGGTGCATCGGCGTCCTTCGCGGTAATGTGGACAGAGCCCCTAGAGTGCGGATAGGGGATGTAGTTGCCAATCGTAAAATACTGCCCCGGTGGCACATCGGTAGGAGGACCAAGGTAGCCAGCAAAGGAACCAGTGAGCATCAGTGGTTTTGAGGGATGCGGCTCAAATTCCTCCTGCCAGATTTTGGTCATGGCTGGATTGCTAATTTTCTTTACATCCGAAATTGATGGCCGCCAACGGCCGAAGATTTCCAGGCCATTGGTCCCAAGAACAAGATTCGTTTGAGCCATAAGCTCTGGGATCTTTGCAGGATTACGGAGAAACCAGTCTAGTGTCTCGTGTTCGGGAAGTGAAGACTTGTACGCATAGTGTATGAATGGATGGTCCTGGTATCTTTCACCGACGCCTGGAAGCTCGCTGATGACTTGGATACCCAGCTTCTCGAGATGAGCTCGTCCACCGATGCCTGACCGCTCGAGAATGGCCGGGGAGGCAAGAGCGCCCGCACATACAACGACAAGTTTCTTGGCTCGGACAGCTCCCAGTGTGGGAGTTGTAGGACTTCCAGCATTCCAGGGCGCTGAAGAGATGTACTCAATACCCGTCGCTCGGTTCTGGTCATCAAATAGCACGCGACTGACTTTGGTGTGTAAGAGCACCTTGAGGTTTGGATGAGCGCCGTCATGGAGTAAGGGATGGAGGTAAGTATGAGCTGCGTCTTGTCGCACACCTTCCGGAGAGATAAATTTGTGCATTCGCTCAAAGCCAACCGCGGTTTCCAGGTCTTGTAGGTCGTCCCTTGAAGGCATACCACAGGCAGCAGCAGCCCGCAGGAACTGACAGGAGTATGCAGTCTTGGGCCAAGAACCTAGAGATACACTGATGGGACCAGATGTGCCTTTGAACAACAGCTTGTATTAGTTTTTGCCGGTTCCAAGATGGGTCCACATAGCTTCACCGAACTTACCATGAACACGTTCGTCTGCCTTGGTGGTGCCGGCATGATACGTCTCCAATCTCTTCAGGAGTGGGATCATATCTTTATGAGTCCAGCCTTCCGCCTTCCACTCATCAAAATCGACCGCCTGCGCGCGACAATACATCATGAAGTTGATGGAACTTGCTCCACCCAGAATGGCAGCACGGGGGATGATCAGGGGCCGACCTCCAACCTGTTCGGTAGGCTTGGAAGGCAGAAAAACAGCGGATGTTGAGTCGGGTGCCATGTGAGCCAGAAACAGAGCTGGCGTTCGGACCGTCGGGTCTTCGTAATTGTCTCTGCCTTCCTCGATGATGAGGATCGAGAGAGCGGGGTCTGCCATTTGTAACCTGCCAGCAAGGACACATGCTGCAGTGCCACCTGTCGAGCGAGTGTCAGCTTGAGTTGCTAAAACGTCGTCCTCAAGTCAGAAGTCAAAATACAAACCTCCTGCAACGACAATATCGTACTCTTCCCTGAGTCCTGGTGCTGGCATTCTGTCGGCTTCCAGCTTCTATGTATGTGACCAGAACACCTGAGCTGCAGTGTACAGAAGTCTCTATATTGTAGGTTACAGAGACGTGAGAAAGATCGAGAACTCAAAGGGCGAGACGCGCGACTATATCGCGCTTTCGGTTGCTGGGTATATGTTCCCAACCCCCGGTCAATCTGCTCGACTTGATTTATTCGTGATATTGGATTCGCTGCTCTGGAAGGGAAATCCTTGTCTGATCTGAGCCATCGATGGCGGAGAGGGCTCGATTATATAGCCTTGAATTTCGCTGCTCTGAGTCCAATGGGTCTTGCTGTGACTGTGCGAATTGTCGACAGGGGAGATATAGCTTACGCCAACAACAACTGGGACCTGCGTCTGGATAAAAATTATTCCCGCTCACATCAGCTCGCACCTCCACAAGGACCTTCGAATCTGTGGAAAATTCTCAAGAAATTTGTACTTCCCCATACTTTTGTGGCGTAGTAGGTAATGTACATGCTTCACGACAATTTTCGCCCCCACCTGGAAACATATCTATATGTCTCTCCGTGCGGGCGGCACTGCGGACGATGTGAGACGGGAAACCTACCCGCTGGTTTCCCGACGGAGACAGCGCCATGGTCCAAAGATGCTGCGGCCGAGTCTCGCGCAAGAGATAGTCAAAGCGAATGTTATCCCTGAATGAAACGTTTCGTCCAGCCAGTAAAGCTGGCGCAAAATGGCGGCCGTCGTTCAAAGAAAAGGTAGGTAAGCACTAGGGCACCAATAATGCGGCCGCAAATCTTGTCGCACATAGCTCCAGGGTCCGTGCCGCGTATAGGTATCCAGCGAAATGCTTTGCTGCAGTTGACCATACGATGCCATTGCGAACGAATACGAATTACTCTGCCCAGATGGTCGCGCATAGTAAAAGGGGGCGAGACGAGACTATGCTCGCTCGGGAGATATTCTCGCTGTGCTTTCCACTTCAGGATAGCATTGTGCGCTATCGACTCGATACTTCAGATAAAGCCTGCGGAGAAGTTCCCGCCGGAAGTAACGTGGGTATCGTATTGTATCACCCCATACCTCGATCCACAATGAGCACTCCCCAAGGCGTCAACAATTCGAAGACTTTTCTTACGATCGGCCGTTTCAAGAGCAGCTCACACCAATCGGGCTTATCACTAATCAGGAGTCTGCGCGCGGTGAAGCATCCTACGAGAAGTGCCCATGTACACCAGGTCGGTTTGGCTTCCATTAGCGGAGCCAAGATGCGACTGATGGCAGTGAGCTCGAGCACTCCTGGGCAGCTTGTGGTCGTGATCTTTACGGCGAACCCTTTATGCGGCGCCAATTCCTCTGCGCATCATCTCGGGGCTCGCAACTCGCCCAAGGATTCGTCGGCAGATGCTTGATGCCCAACTCAACGTAGTTTCGGCACGATAGCTCACATGGACACATGGGAAGATCGCCGGAGGTACTTCTATCCGATTCTTCAGGCCTTTAGCCACTTCAGTACTATCTTCAGGGTTGGCAATGATATGGAGAAGCTAGTGAGCAAACCCTTCAGCACAAGGACGACGAGCCGCGTGGTTCTCTGAACCTGTAATACAACGAAACATTGGTTGCGCCCTTAATGATACAGCATTTTCTGGTACCCACCCTGCAGCAGTTTACATCCCAGGTACACGAGGGATGGTAAATATCTGGTATCTCGAATGGAGACGAGGCTGCGGTTCAGCCTTGTGCGGCATCGCAGCCAAGCCGTCGGCCGATGTTTAGCCGACCGCCGACCATGTCAGAAAAAGTTTCTGGCAAAATTGCGGAGTGTGCACCGCAACCACTATCACTATCGTTGAAGCAAACGTTCCTGTCAAACACGACTTCCATCGCTCTTAGAGGGATTTAGTCGTCATGAAACGAAAGCTAGACGTCAATGATGCACCAACGGTCGAGGTCCCTCGAGAACCAGAAGAACATGGGTCGTTCGGTTCCTTTGGCCTTGACCCTCGCCTGATGCAAGCCATTGCAAAATCAGACTTCTCCCATCCTACACCCGTGCAGGCGAAGGCCATTCCTCTGGCGCTCGAGGGGAAAGACGTGCTTGCGAAATCCAAGACAGGTTCTGGAAAGACCGCCGCCTACGTCCTCCCTACTCTGCAAGCGATCCTGCGCCGAAAATCCTCCTCCACAGACCTCAAGGCTACCTCTGCGCTCGTCCTCGTGCCCACGAGAGAATTGGCCGATCAAGTATACAGAGCCTTCAATGCCTTCGCGGCGTTCTGCTCGAAAGATGTACAGACACTGAATTTGACACAAAGAGTGTCGGACACGGTCATGAATGCTGTGCTACAGGATTTCCCAGATATCATTGTCACTACCCCTGGCAGAGCGACTCAATACCTCGGCTCGGGCAGGCTGTCTCTTGAAAACATCCAGCAACTCGTCATTGACGAAGCTGACATTGTACTTTCCTATGGCTATGAAGACGACATCAACGCAATCGCTGCGGCCCTCCCCCGTGGTGTGCAGACATTCTTGGTTAGCGCCACCCTAACGCCAGAGGTCGAAGAGTTGAAAACCATCTTCTGCCGTGACGCGGCGGTGGTCAAGATTGACGAGAAGGAAGAGAAGGGCGAGGGAGTAACTCAGTATGTGGTAAAGTGCGGAGAGGATGAAAAGTTCTTGCTCATATATGTCCTGTTTAAATTGCGCCTCGTCAAGGGAAAATGCTTGGTGTTTGTGGCAGAGGTTGACAGAAGTTATCGGTTAAAGCTCTATCTGGAGCAGTTCGGGATAAAATCGTGCGTGCTGAACGCCGAGTTGCCAGTCAATTCTCGGTTGCACGTGGTCCAGGAGTTCAACAAGGGACTTTACGACATTCTCATCGCAGCCGACGATCAAGAGGTTCTGGGGGGCGTTGTGAAGAGGCAAAGGACACATGAACAGATCGCAGAAGATCCAGCCAATGAAATGAGCGAGGAGGACGAGGACGAGGAGCAACGACCGGCAAAGAAAGCAAAACAGTCAAAGAAACATGAAAAGGACTATGGGGTGTCGAGGGGCATTGACTTTCAAAACGTGGCTTGCGTGATCAACTTCGATCTCCCCCAAACCTCCAAATCCTACACACACCGCATTGGCCGAACAGCCCGAGCCGGGAAAGCAGGAATGGCATTGTCGTTCGTGGTTTCTAAGGAAAAGTTTGGCAAACACAGGGCGACCAGCATTCCCTCGGCGAAGAACGATGAACGTGTTCTGGAGAAGATCATTGCCCGACAGACCAAGAAAGGCAACGAAGTGAAGCCCTATCATTTCGACATGGCACAGGTGGACGCGTTCCGTTATCGCATGAATGATGCACTACGCGCCGTGACGGGCGCTGCTGTGCACGAGGCGCGTGCGAGAGAAATCAAGCAAGAACTGATCAAGTCGGAGAAGTTGCGAAAACATTTCGAAGAGAATCCCGAAGACTTGCGACACCTGAGACATGACGGCGAACACGGGGCCATTGTCCGGCATCAAGTGCACTTGAAGCATGTCCCGGAATACCTGATGCCGGCAGCGGGGAAAAAGGCGCTCGCCGCCGACGAAGTCGGGTTTGTCGGGCTAAGGAGTGATAATAAGCGCAAGGACAGCAAGAAGCGAGGAGGGCGCAAGGCGCGGTTCGGCGGGAGATCTAAGGGGAAGATTGACCCGTTGAAATCCTTCAGCGCGAGGAAGAAGCGTTGAGAAGAGCAGTATTTCTGTGAGGGTGGGCTCTGTGGTGCAGCAATATCATTGTTTCCAATCCAAGGGATAGTTCCAACCACATCCTGGTTCCTATGCCCCTGGATGGATTTTGAAGCCCAGTGTCGAGGCCCTCCAGACGACAGATACCACAAAAAGTGCCGTCCGTGTACTCTCATCAACTTCCACACCTTTTTCTCTCTCCCCTCTCTCGCGTTCCAGTGCTACCTGTCATTGTTGACATAATCGCATTGATTCCCATACACTTAACTTATGACTTTTCCACGCAAGTCCCCTGCCGAGCTAGAGGGGGACCTATGCAGGTGTTGACGGAATCAACCCCATTGCGCCATGCCGGGATTCCATTCTTGGGGGCCTGGGGGGAACCTAGACGTTCTGGCTCCGTATTATGGCCTTGCTGCGCCATTGGCGGGGACTGAGGCACTTAAAGTTGATATGTAAGTAAGTGGTTGCTGACATGTTTTCTGGCGCATCACAACCCACAGTCAGGGCGTCTGATAGGGAGCTAGCCGGTGGGGTAGAGAGTTGTGCGTGGTTGATCAGGTAATATTCGATCCATCGAGGCCATCTACATACATACCTTAGGTAGGTAGCTCATGGGTTTATACTGGTGCAGGCCATAAATAAATACTTGTATATATATATCCAGCGTACCTCCTACTGCTCTTCTCGCAAGACAAAGCCCATCAAGCCAACACCTCACCACCATCATCGTTCTCTTCCGCACGCACCGTAAAAATGCCCACCGCAACCGCCACCGTCGGCTCCAAGATCCTCGCCTCGACCTCCGACTACCAAACCGTCGAAGGGAACGTATACTTCCCGCCCTCGTCGCTGGTGGACCAGTCCGCACTGTCGACGTCGCACACGCACTCGACGTGCCCGTGGAAGGGCAAGGCCAGCTACTACGACATCACCGTGGACGGCAAGACGCTCAAGGATGCAGCCTGGTACTACCCAAGCCCCAAGGACAAGGCGCAGCATATCAAGGACTACGTTGCCTTTTGTGAGTAAACCCTTCCACTGCATTGTAGGGTTTCGGATGGAGGAAGGGTGGACATATAAACAGAAGAAACGTGAAACAGCATGCTGACTTTACTGGCTTCTTTCCGTCTAGATACAACCAAGGTCAACGTCTCCGTGGCATGAATGCGTCGTGGTGTGAGGCCAGGAAGTGGGTGGAGGGGGAGAATTTCCTATCAGAACATCTGTATATGCCGGGTGGTGATGCAGTCTTCGATGGTGATGTGAGGACGGAGGAAAGAGCACAAAATACCACGGCACGAGACAGTTCACTTGACAATCGCAGAGACGCAGAGTGAAAATAGAATTACACTACCACCCCCCACTATTACCATCAATATCAGTATCAGTATCACATTGATTAGCCGCGCCACACCAGACTGACTAGACATTTTCATAATCACCCATTTTTCCCAACCATTAGACTCGTAGAGATCGCAGACTAAGGTTTCCCAGCCAGACGCATATACTGCTCGACGGCAGGGGACTCAGCGATGGAGACGGAGCTGATCGTCGCGGGCCTGCTGCGCTTCTTCCTACGCGTGCTCGAACGATCCGGCACGCCGTCCTCGCGACAGCGCACGTAGAAATGCGGGTGCTGGGTCCGGTCGCGAGGACTCGTCGCTCCCGCCGTCTGCATGTCGACCTGCCACTTCTTGGCCAGCAGGCCGCCGCTGGGACCTGCGCCACAGGTGCCGGACATGGTGTTTGACGGCGGAGAATTGATGGCCAGTGCAAACATGTTTTGGGGTTCTGTGTAGTCGGTCACCCTGCCCAACAGACAAAAGGTCCACAGCAAGTAAACGAGGCTGAAGCTGCTGAGCAAGAACACGGCGACGAGGATGACATAGAAGAGATTCTGCCACGTCTGTGTCCCGCCTGACGCGTAGTCCTTGTAGCTCACCCGCGCCTCGAAATTCTGGTACTGCGGCTCCTCGAGGATCGGCAGCGAGTAGTTCCAAAAATGCACAAAGGGGGAGTTGGACGAAGATAAGAGAGCTGTTTCGGCGGCCAGCACAGCCAAGGCCTCGCCAATCGTGGGCATGTCCGGGGTCAAGATCGTCGGGTTGCTGTCGATGTCGTCGGACCATGCTGGAATCATTTGGCTAAGGAGTCGCGCGCTCGAAGCGTTGGCGTTGTTGACCCCGGCGGTCAGAGAGAGGGACCGGAGCCATTCCGAGCCGACATCTTTCCAATCTTCGTTCCAGTTCCCGATTGGGGCGTTCTTGACCGCGTCGACGTAAGGAAGCGTGTTCCCAGGGCTCTTTTCACACTCGACCGAGAGCTGGCCGCCGGACTGGGCGACGCGGTAGTACGTGGTGCAGTCGCGATACTGGGCAGATCGGATCGAGCACAAGACGTAGTCAGCCGTCGGGACGTACTCTGAACTTTCCACCGGGGGAGGAGCTGCGAGGACATAAATAGCATAATATCCGTAGCTGCTGGAGATGAACCCCAGCGTGTTGTATGCGATTGGCAGTTTCGGGAAGATAGGTGCCTGCTGAAGACCGCCGGCCGAAGTGTTCCCAAACTGGAATATATCATCGACAACAGTGGGATGCGGGAAATAATTGGCCGGGTCCGGGAGATCCGCCGAATTGTGAAGCATGGGCTGCAACTCGGCCGTAGACATGCCTGCACACAGAACATTGATCAGAGGCGCCGGGATGGCAGCCTGGATAAAGTACTCTCCATTCCCCTGAAGATCTTCTGGCTGCAAAATATGGTTCTTCGGATCTCGAGCAGCATTGAACAAATTCGCATGAGGCATCGCCAGTGTGACGTTTTGCACGAGCCTTCCCCAGCGCTTGGAGTCGGCCGTGATGTTTTCACCGCTCGGAGTGATCCACTGTCCATCAACTGTCGTGTTGTCAAACAACGTGGCCACCGGTGCAGGGCGACTATCGATAGAACTAGGGTTTGAGCTGATGTTGCCGACGTCCAATCTCTCGCGCCATTCCGACATGAATGTTTTGAAGTTGTGGAAGCTTTGTCCCGCGTAGTCGATCTGTAGACAAGTATCGCCCTCCGGGTGCGGACCCACGCCTTCTGGGTCAGGATCTTCCGGGACGGGCGTTTCGCAGGTCTGAGCCAGGTAGATGGAGTTGGCGTAAGAGGCGGCCACCTGCCCCCAAAGAGTTCGATCTTCAAGTGGCCCAAATTTGGGCTTGGGCGCCACCAAGGCTTCGGCGGCGGTAGTGTAGAAGGTCGCAGCTAAGACAGCGATCAGGACCATGATGCCGAGGACAGTCGAGGCAGCGTATCGGACCACTATCCAGTTCGTGATAAGTGTGCCTGGTTGCATGACCCACGACCTCATGGTCATTTCAGCGATGCTGATGCCGCTGTTCTTCTCCGTCCTTGCAAATGCGCGGCGGCTCAAGATCTGTCCGAGCAGCGCCACAAAGATGGTAACAAACGATAACTCGACTGTCTTTGACAGGAGGGCCGAGAGAAGAGTGGCGTTACCATAGGAGAGATGTCCGTTGGTCCCGATCCTTTGGTCCCATCGTGGTTTTGCAAAAGCGATGCCGAGAAAAACGCCCGAGAATACCGTCGAGTAAACTGCCAGGGCCAATAAGGATATGGTCCACCAGGACCATGGGCTTGTCAAGATGTCGCCGTGCGTTGGACAATTCTCATCGAACTTGGTGTGAGTATGCAAGAGTCCAACTTCTGGGGAGAAGTCCTGCGAGGTCTGTTGATTGAGTCGGCTATACGATGATTGATGTGACCTAAAGGATTTCGCATCTTCGCCAGGGGAAGGAGTATTTTGATAAGGAGTGCTGCGACTAGAGCCTAACACCAAGGAATCTGGCGCTGCAGCCGTGCTCGTGGAAGCATCTGTGCTTGTGAAAGACTGTCCTTTCGAGCCAACTGGCACACGCTTGACTTGTTTCGACAATCCTGAGATGTTCAATCCAGCGACGGGCTCTTCGCCCCATTCTGTTGAAGGTGCGAGAATCTGGAATTCATGATCATCTTGCGGCGCTTGTTCGTAGCTGTTTCCTGGCAGCATCGATGAGTTCTGACGTCGAAAAGACCGTCTAGCATGGAAAAGGTCATGTTCGTCCCCATCCATCATAAACGGCGTTGGTTTTCAAGCTTGAAGCTTCAAAACACGCCTGGACTTGATTATTCTCTGGAGGTTGAGGAAGCACCGACACTAGCAAAGGTGGGTTTTGTGGCATCGTGGGAACTGCCTCCAAAGTAGTAGGTGTAGATTGTGAGGCTGAAAACCACACGCTGCTTCTGTTGGGACTGGCGCAGATATCGAGTCTGCGATGATAGCAGCTGCTCGTCGTCCTTTCCTCTGGCCCCAGCCGAGGGACGCTAGAAGCTGAATTCGTCGTGTTCTCCCGTGCCATGGTGTTCCGCTAGGTGCCATTGAGTATAGACTTAGCGATGAGGCGCACACCCAGGCAGCCCAGACTCACAGTATGCATGATCGAGCTGGGCCATTGGTTTGCCGCTTGTCAGGGTGGTGCAGGGCGGGTTGGGTGCAACTCTTTGCCTCGAGCCGATGTTGATGGACAAACAAAGGGTGTGCGCATTGGTGCTTGGAAGCTGCAACAGCAACGCTAAAATGGATTCTCTTTGCCTTTGATTGAGCCAGCATTCCACTCCATCTCGATCAAACATATCTGCACATATTGGACTAACACCTATTTGCTCTCTGGTCGCTGCTGCCGAAGAGCCGATGGGGAGATTGGGCAGCCCAGGTTCGCACGGTTGTGGTTGCTGTGTTTGGCATCTCGAGTCCGAAGTGGGCCACGAGCATTGAGCCCTGGGCGCGTGGGTGTATTTTCGGACTACTAATCAATCAATAATCTGCCGCTGGTGCCACCTCTGGCCATATTCGATTGAGTGCCTGGGCGTCGGCTTCAAGGACGATCATCTCGAGCAGTGGTCGGATAAGAAAAAGTCCAGCCTTGGGTGTGATGGTGTTTGCTCCCATGCTTCCACGCTTTCACGCTTTCACGGGTCTACGCGCTAAGACTGTAATTGAATCCCTCGCGCCCCTGGGTCCGTATGGAGAATTGTCTGGTCATCCTGCTGGCCACGCGGTTTCAGGAGCCCAACGGGGCCGTGGAATGGGGCAAACAAAGTCAAGGAGATCCGCCCCCAGGTACACACAGGCGGCTAACCGACGCTTTGTCACAGAGGGTGTTTGTTTACCTAGGTACCTACCCCTGGGTACATGTCGGTGGCCAGAGACAGTCTGACATCGACACGGAAAGACGAGCATGAACAAATGTCTACCGACAGATGCCTCGAGACATCGCCAACAGTACAACAAATCGCTTGTCATTGTTACACCCTTTATCCCGTGGAAAGTTCAGTGCGGATTGTCTGTTAGCCTTAACTCTCTGCTAAGAACACCATGAGGGAGGGCCCGGGCGATCATCTTGCCTTGTTTCGTCCGAGAAGGTGCTTCGGCTGGTGTCTCTTCGTGGAGGAGGGACTTTTGCCAGGACCGTGACGTCCTTGGACGCCTTAATTGCACACATCGTTCCCCGGCAGCTAACAGCTAAGCTTTCTCCATCCACCAATTGGGAGGATGTTGAGGTTGCAGTCCGAACTGTCATTCGGGCGCCGACATCAAGAGCCTTGACTTCTGGTGCAAGTCCCCAACAAGGAACAATAAAATATGTCAGACACAATATATGGCCAGGGCACCTCAGAACTCGCCAGGATCAAGCTTACCTTTTGATCTGGAGGCGCAAATCTGTTTTCTGCCCTACGCTCGCAGTGATGGCCCCGTTCAAGCTCGGCGCCACGAGGCAGAAGGTTTTCACTCACAAGGTCCGCACAGGGTGCATTACATGCAAGTAAGTGCATTCCGTTGTTCTTGCCACCTACTCACACCAAAAAGGCGGCGCAGGGTGAAGTGCGATGAATCGAAACCCGCCTGTTTGAATTGCACGAGAGGGAATCGAGAATGCCTCGGGTATGCAACCCCAGTCGCCAAAATCTTCACGTCCGAGAGTTCCGAATCTACGGCGTCGAAACCGCCATCGTCGAGTCAGTCCCCACAGGCAGCCACCTACGATGATGAACTATTACTGGTCTCCAGGGCTCTCGACCTGTCTTTCGGCACAGAGGACGAAGTACGGTCTCTACAGCACTGGCTTCACCTCACATCACCTATGTTGGCTCAATATGGCCCACAGGGAGATTTCTATACTGTCCTTGTCCCACAGATCGCGCGACAGTCTCCTGCGGTCAAACATATGCTCGTTGCTCTTTCCATGACGCACGAGAAGTTCCATACCGGTATTGCAACTGCCACCCCGAAAATGACCTCGCAGGCTGTTTCCCACTACATTTCAGCCATAGCAGACATCAGGAACAACAGCCCACCCAAGCTCCATGTTGTCGTCGCTTCCCTCATTGCGTGGGTCATAGAGCTATTTGAGAACAACGTCCCGGCAGCCGTAGTCCACCTGCGCGGAACACTCAAACTTCTCCGGGAATACAAGCGATCGAAACCTCCACCGGCAGCAGAAGACGCTCTGCGGAAATCGATTCTGCCGACTTCCAGCCTTGCCAAAGGCTTGACGCAGCTGATGCTTCACACCGGTCCCGTATCAGGAGAGATCGAGCCGGAATACCGGGGTCACATACACTATCCTTGGGGAGGCCCAATGTTTTCGTCCTTTGCCGAAGCGAGGAGTGTCATCTGCCGTTACATCGAGGAAATCGCAGATGCTGAGCATCCCTGCAATATTCGAGACGTTGAGAGACTGTTGGGCCATTGGTTCGAGCGCACCCGACGTTGGAACCAGGAGAATATCCCCACTTCCTCCGTAACCGCACTTCTCTTGCTCTTCAACCTCGCATTAGCCCTTCTCCCGAGCAGTGACGTGGCTGGATTCAGCCATTCCATCAACCCAGCTACCATTGACTTTGTGGTTGATGGAGCCGCCGCGCTCGTGAATATCCACCGCAAGGTTGAGCAGAGCAATGAAGATCTTAAACAAACGCTGATCGCTGTTCTCAGCTTTGTTGTCCGTCTCTTCCCAGATTCTGGCAGTCATGGTCGAGCATCACTGCTATTGAACCAGCTGCGTGGACAAGTATGACCATACGATTGAAGACATTGCAGAGAACCCAACATGCAGAGGTCATGGGACTACACAAGTGCACGAAGGTCCCTCAAACAGTATGTATGGCACTTCGAGTACGCAGATCAAATATTCTTATGTTCGGCCTCCAGTGGGCTCTAAGCGCAACCGCGCGAGTTTCACACTGCTTAGTTCAATTCGACAATGGGAAGATCTACTTTGAAACGATCTTGGGTTGTCTGACGTGGTCCGACTACTGGTTATAAGCCTCCTGTTCCTCAAGCTGTCCCGGAGGTTGATGGTAGCAAGACGCCAAACACTTTAAGAACTGGAGTTGTCCAACTTCTTGTCGATGCAGGTGTTCACGGGTCGTTTCCGTCCTGCGGCACCAGCACAAAATGAACCATGCTGATGGGGATGGTATGAATCTCTGACTCTTCAAGGCCGCTTGACACTATCTTTGAGCACGACAGCAGTTTGATCATGCGAAAGTCTCCGTCGCAGCCACCATAGCCAGACCGCAAACACAACAACAGTCAGGGGTATGGCGGTGGCAGGTAATATCCACCACATCCGGGACACGCTTATATCGGTGCCATCGAAGTTGAACGCCACAGTGCTCAGGAACGACTATGCTATGTGTCAGTCATAAATTGGCATGTATTTTGAAATGTTGGACAGCTCGGCGGCTGGCTGGGGTTCTCTATCCCACATACCGCCACAAACGTTCCGGGAAGGAAGAACATGGTCACCGCCGCGATGGTGATCATAGACGCACTGTCGCGTTGAGTCTGCTGCGCAATCCTGGCCGTGAGTTCTGCAATCTCCTTGTTCTGCGCCGCTATCTCTTTGTTGTCTCGACTTTCAGCCTGATTCGCGAGGTGGAAAAGCTGTCGGCACACATCATCAGCTTCTGCACCTTTTTCCTGTCATGCGAACACCAAGACTGTTGGGTGTCCTCACCAGATTGATCTGCGTTGCTGTGCGGTCCCTGTAGTCCGCGACGAGGTGTCTGAGGGATCGACAGCTCGACACAAGGAACGCCAGAGACTCACCTGACTCTTCCAAAGGCTGAGACTGACCTGTGTTTTGCATTCCCGCAGCGTGCCGGAGAGACACGTATCTGATCCGCACGTCCTGCAAGAAATCGAGATGGGCTTGAAACTCCGAAACTTTGCGAAACAGAATATGCCAACTCCTCGAGAGCCGGTGGAGCTCCCTGATCATTGAGTCCACAGCCTCGTGAGGCTCATTTGCTTCCTATATCTCGAAGTGAGGACTTGTTTATCCTAAATGTCCGCAGAGTGAAGGAATGGATACATACGAATCGCTTCATTCGGCCTCGGATGGTCACCAATTCCTGCTGCCAGAGTCTCAGCGTCTCATCCGCAGCAACCACGTCCAACCTGAACGGAACGCGCAGGTCGTGTGTGGAGAGTCTCGCAACCGCCGAGGAAGGAAAATTCAGGCAGAAATAAGTCGACGTGCCCGTTTTCAGGGACGTCGAGACATGCGTGCACGCACTTGCGGAGGGGGCGTATTCGTACACCACATCTGCACCCCCAGTGTCCTGATGAGTGGTTGATCTCAACCCTTATTGAGAGGGGTTCGAACCAAATGATTGGGCTTTGCCCTGCCCGTCTCGGCCGACAAAGCATCCGTGTTTGACCGTGTACCAGTGTCCCAGGCCGCAGACGGCGGAGATCAGCAGGTCCGAGAGCCCAGCTCGATGGTGGAGCAGTCTGAGGATTGCCGGATTGACCGCAGCAGTCGCCGGGTTCGGTGCCTGTGCAGCCTGAGCCCAGGCTTTCGAGGAAGCTGTATGCACCCAGATTCAGTGTGGTGCGCGCCACAAACCGATGGCGTTGGGAACAAGGAGAGAACAAGGCCGAACAGAGGGACGCACAAGACGCGCAGAAAGCATTCCTCCTGCCGACCTACCGAGTCGTCGTCCTGTGTTCCAATCAATCAACAGTCAGTCAGTCGGACTTCCCTCCCACTACGTGGCGAGTAGCTTACTACTAGCTGCACTCCGAGACTTTCAGAAGCCAGTGCTGCCAGGGTGGTGGATGGACGGTATGTACTGTAGGTGGACAAAGCTCACCGACAAGAACCTCTCCAGGGCATCACTGTCCAGATCGCGGTGCCAGCCTACTCGAGCAAGCTCCATCAGCGGCCCCGAGAAATAAGTATTCATCATGAGAAGAAAACAAACAGATCAACCACACAATGTAGGAGGGGGGAAGAGAACGGCTTGACTCGCGGTAAACTCTTCGCGGATGTTTCAATAGGAGTAGCAATCCTAGCACAAGCACAACCACAGTAGGTAATCGGATCACTCACGAAGACTTCCCCCATCGTGGAGGTCAAGCACATGCACGCCCTTCCACTCGACCGTCCAAGTCTCCCTGGCCGCCAACGCCTGTTCGAGGAGCCCCGCGTCGACAGTCTCCGGACAATGCCGATACCTTTCGAAGGGAGATGCCATTGCTCGACTTGACCGAATTCTGCTCAGTAGATCCAGAACACGAGGAAAACAGGGGCGCGCAATCTCCATCATAGAATGGACGGATCATACATATGAGACTAATATATATAAGTACTACCGTTCGAGTCATCTGTCGTTCATTCTTTTTTAGCCCCCTTACACCCCCCGGGCGCTATATCTCTACGCGTTAGCTAGCATGTAGTCATGGTCGCATTTTCAGCCCGATCTATATTCATGTACTCGCATGATCTGGTATACTAGGAGTAGTCATGAACTACTGGGAGGTGGATACCGGGTACCTTGCGCACCTCCAGTTTGTGACTTGTCAGTACTACGTATGTCTAACGGGACATCGTACATATCGAGACGACCTTAGAACCTTGGTACGCGTCATCGCGTCTGACGCAGCATCGAACCCGCATCGACGCAGTATCTATACGGTATTGACGCAGCGCTGAACTCATCCATGCATAGTATCTATCGACTACATTGATGCAGCTTCATGTACCTAAGATAGCTCGCTCGCTCGGTAGGTATCAAGCCGGGTGCGGTCAATCGGGCGGGCGGGCGCCGGGCATTTCGAGCAGGAATGCCGTCACCGGAACAGAGAATGGGACGAGGTCCGAGAAAAGGCACGGAGACGGTGCACCGGGTATTCGCGGCGGAATCACGTGCTGCCGACTGACTGACTGACTGACTGACTGACTGTTAGTTCCCACACAAGGGGTACGATGATCGGTCACGATACCGTGGGGATATTACTTACACCCTTAATGGCGCCCCTGAAGGGTCAGCCTTGTCGGGGGGTCTGAATCCCTGGTTCGGGCACAATGGTCGTCTAGCGGCTTGGCAGGCATGGATGCCATCGATGGGTGATTCGAGCATGGGATGTTTGGATGGACAATAGACATGACCCCAGCATGGGTCAGGCAGAAAGGTATCGAAACATTGACGCTGATTCATGCACTAGACATTACCAAGTACCATGTACGGGGTGGCCGATGTCCCCTGCAATCTTCGTCCGACTCGCAAGAGACTGAGATATTGTTGAATAGAATATAGGAAGAACGAATGATCAAGGCCAGGATAACCCTGCCTTCAATCCCACATAGACTCCCCCAGCACTTTTTCTAACCACCTCCGCCCTGGCAGGCAGACTGTCTCACCCACTGTGTGTGCCGTTCACGCCATTCGCTTGCCCATTCACATCGGCCGGCTTCCAACATGTATAAACCTTTGCCTCCCAGTGCATCAAGGGCTCATTTCCAACCCACGCCGTCGGCACTGCCCGATTCTGCGTGACCTCTCTCCAGTCATTGCGATCTCTGTCTGGCCAGTTCGGTACGTAGTACTGAGGCCCCGGAGTATCTTGATCAGTGAAGTTGGCGACGACGACGACTGGATTGGTCGTTCCTCGCACCCAAGCCATAATCCTCCCACCACGGCTGTTGTCGACGTGGATGAACGATGTGTCGTCCGTGCCAAGAGCAGGGCAATTTTTGCGCAGGTCAACGAGGGTGGCAACGTAATTGAAGATTCGGGTGCGCCAGTCCTCACTTTTGCGCTCGTAGTTGACGGGATCTGACTGTTTCTGGGAAATATCGAGGTCCATCTGGTCACAAAACTCCTCACCAGCGAAGATCATAGGGATCCCAACAGCAGTGAGAAAGCATGCGAATGCCAGCTTGGCACGTCGTTCGATGTCATAGACTTTGCAGTTGGACAGGAAGTTGTACAATCTTTCTTTTCGTTCCCCTTCGACGTCGTGCGAGGTGATGTAGTTCACGGCTTGGGCTCCATCCGTGTAGCCGTCCAAGGTGCAGTTGATCATCTTCCTGACAGTCCACTCGAAGTCGTCGCCGTCGGCTGCTTGGCCGATTATTGCCGCTCGAAGGCGACCCTGGAAAGGTTCGTTCCACAATGCGTTTAGGGTGCCAGAGGAGAGAAGATCTTTAGGCACACTCAGCTCTTCTCCAATCACGATAAACTTGTCTGTTGAGCCGCCTCTGGCCTGATGCAACTGCCATGCGTAGTCCTTATAGTACTTGATGAAGTCATAGTTGGCGACATTATTTATACTGTCCAGTCTGAACCCAGAGACACCGAAGTTGCTTAGCCAGTGATGAAGGTGAGCCCTATGGAAAGACCACGACGGCGCATGCTGCAGACTCGCTTGACCTGTCTGAGGATCGTACGTCTGCTGGGGATCCTTGATATACCGCCAGAGACTGCCTCCATACGAGTTCCTTGATCCTTGGTTGTGGGACGTATAGCTGTCCGGATTTTTGGGCTCTTCGAATTTTGCCAGCGGGTCATTTGGGTTCACATTGAGGTCGACAAGATGGAACTGCATGAAAGCTGCATATATGTAGGGGTCGTGGCCAAAAGCCATGACAGTGTCCAGAATGAGTCTCGTACTAGGAGTTATGGTTTGAATGAGTTGAATGAGGCTCGCAGTCGAACCAAGGTCAGCATCTGGGGCAAAGTAATGAGCAGTTGAGTATCCCCACTGATCCAGATATTTGGAGTCTGCGATGGGCAAGAGTTCCAGGGCATTGACTCCAAGATCAGCCACAATGGACTCATTCTGAACGGCAGGGATGCTGCTGAATTTGAGGCCTGGACTGTCTTTGTCGAACAAAGCTTGGACGTCAGCGAACGTCCCTCGATCGACCTGCTTCCCATTCGGGCCGGACTTCGCCCACGATGTTGGCAACTCGTAGATGACCATGTGGTTGTTTGCGGGAACTTGGGGTTGAACGGGAGCAGCAATGGGGGTCAGCTCTGTCCCATCGACATCGCTCGGCCAAAGCTTGCCATCACGGAACTTGATGACTGCCGGAGGCTGCATCGAATCGTCCCTTGTTTTATCACCGAACTGCCTGTAGTCCACAGTGTATGCCAGGGGGTCGGTCACAGTGATCTTGGAGCCTGTCTGAGTAGGGAAGGTGTTGTCCACCTCGAACCAGTAATGGTAGACCTTGCCATTCTCGAGCGGTGGGTCTATGGCATCCAGAGAGATTTCCCAGAGACCGTTCTGTGTTTGTGACAGGTTGCCGCTGAACAGACGGGTCACAGCACCCGGACTTGGATTGGCCTTGAACGTGCCGAGAATCAGTCGCGGCGCGGACTGACTGGCTGGATTCCAGAGGACGAATCCTTTCTTGCGGCGTTCAAGCAGATCGAATGTCGTCGCCATGGTGTGAACTGGAGTACTACTATACTATAGTACTTCGTAGCTGAGAGTGAGGGAGGCAAGGAGAGGGAAGAAGGGAGGGAAGCGGGGATGCTTCGTCTCTTTTGAAGATTCAAGGACGAACACGGGACAGGCTGAGAAGGCACAGGCTAGAGTGGTCTTTCTCCGCAGAGGCTGAGGCTGAGGTTCAGCTGGGGAGCTCTGGAGCTCCGAGGACGAAGCAGGTGCTGCGGGTGCTCGCTTTGCCCTGTGGATAAGATGTCAACAGCAGGTCTTGGGAGGTGCAACAGACGCAAACTCGTGAAGTTGCGGTCTGGGCCCGATGAGTGCAGATGGCACAGCTTGCAAGGCCACAGCCACTTGTGCTTGCTGCAGCCGAAGCGAGGCGACGGTCGCCTAACTGGGCAGGAGCGCCTTCGGAGCTGAATACCATCACCTCCACCAGACCAATGAACATGAAGCAATAGACTTCTAGAGCCCATTCTCGAGGACACCTGAGCTAAACATGCATATACGGACGGAGAGAAGCCAGCCAGCCATAATTACCATTGATAAGTCATCCTGAACGGCAGGATGAGTCCATATTCCGGAAAGCTCTAATTCTACCTCGTGGCTATAAGCTAAGCCTAATTTAGCTATCACATGTCACGTGACGGAGTTTTGAGCGTGTCACGATTCCTACCTAATCAGGTAAGTACTATAGAAAAATTCCTACTATATATATATAGTATTATGTTCTAATTAAGTACTAAGTGGCCCACCCCCTAGGTTTTGAACCGGGTCAGACCTAGGCTAGACCCGGGCTGGACTCGATTCAACGATTTAAGCACCACTGACTCGGGCTGGACTCGAGCTAGACTTGGGCTGGACTTAGGCTGACTCGGGCTGACCCAGTCTGAACCAGTCTGACCTGGTCTGAAATCGGTCTGACCTATATGTAGTCTAATCTAGTCTAATCCAGTTCCAGCCCGAGTTGACCTAGTTCCAGCTCGAGTCCAGCCCGAGTCAGTGGTGCTTAAATCGTTGAATCGAGTCCAGCCTCAGTCTAGCCCGGGTCTGACCCGAGTCCAGACTAGATCAGCCTAAGTTAGACCGGGCTGGAACTAGGCTAGAACTGGGCTGGACGCGGGCTGGGACCGGGTTGATACCTAGGGGTAGGGGCAGGATACTAGTAGTATGTAGCTACTCTTAGTCTATGTATATACTATATAACTTAGTATTATATAGCTAATTACTACTATATATATAGTAGCTGTAAAAACTCGAATCTTCTAATTTTGATAAGATCTAATTACTATATAGTAAGAAGAACTGAAAATTACTAAGTAGATAGTATATATTATATACCATAGCATTTCGCCTTTTAGGGGATAAATACTAGCACTAAGTAGGCTAGAGATACTATGTACATACGATATAGAAGTGTTAGGCCTGAGTTACTAGAGCCGTTACCTCAATTTGTAGTGGGTTAGATACGGTCTAGCTTTGATTCAACTCGAAATAGTAGGAAATCTACTTAGTACATAGTAGAATATATTAAGTAAGGTTTCTACTTTGATATATATGTATTTAAGTTCTTAGTCCTATCCGATATATAAATATATCACGAATTCTTCCTAATACCGTTAGTTCATCTTCTTTCGGGAAAACTTTCATCCGGAATAATGTCCAAATTAGGTAATCACGTGAGATTAAGAAGATACTAAGTACTTACGTATATACATAGTTATACTATCTAGATCACTTACTATCAGTACTACAAACATTTATATTTCGCATATAGTACTATGTGTACTATGTACTATGTAGTAATAGATACTAGTACTATGTACATAAGTACTAGCCTAATACTGTATACACAAGTAAGTATGTATGTATCTATACTTTTCTATTCCGAATCAGAATGTACTAAGTACATAAACAAGTATACTAGTAGTACTATGTATGTACTGGTAGCTGAGCTTCCTTTGCGTCTAGACCTTCTATCTCCGGTCGGTTTATTTTCTACTTATAGTACGTCTTGAGAACACATTTCTCTCCCATCCGTCCAATGGACTGACTTCGACTTCTCTCACAAGCTCGTACTTGCCAAGTCGCGGCAGCAGGACAGCCCAGATGAGCCAATAGACTCCTCCAGCAGCAATAATCCCCATGCCGACCACACAGTGCAGGTAATATGGGAGATTCTTATACACGTTTTGCCCATCAGTGGGTGGCACAAACGGAGCTGCGACGAGGTATAGGTTGCTGAGGAAGAAAAGCAGTGTAACGGGCCAGGTGGCCCGGATGGGCGGAGACCATTCCCAACGGTGGGGGTTGACATAGAGATATAGAAGTCCGGCGGCGACAAAGGCATTGACGATGGACAAGGGGTACGAGATGACACTGGTGGTAGAATCAGCCTCGAGCGGTCGGTAGGGAATAGCGGACATACTTCAGGATGAAATTGTACGCCTCTCCAGGGGGAGGTGCAAGCATGATTATCACCGAGACACACCAGTGCTCGAATAGACCAGCAAGGGGTGCGTTGAACGGCTTGTTACTTGCCCACAAACGGGAGAACGGGAGAATCCCCTCACGACCGAGTTCTTGGACCACTATGCAAACACCATCTTGTTAGTACGATTTGCAAAGACGTATCGGTTGACAAGGGGCTATCACGTACGACGACCTTGAGAAAAGATGACGCTGAGGACATTTCCAAAGGCGGACAATGCAACAAACACCGAAAGCGCCCGCTCTGCCCGTTTTCCGAAGACATTGCGAAAAAATGATGCCGCAAGAATACGGCCAGAAGATATGATCTCTTCTTTAGGAACGGCAGCGAAGTAAGCAATCTGCACACCAGTGTATGATTAGCAATGCACCTGCCAGGGCTGCGAGTCAAGGTGTCATGTGACCGTACGTTGACGAGCATGTAGATGATCGAAACAAAGATAATCGCCGTCGGTGCTGCGATCTTGAGGGTGCGAATTGGATTCTTCGTTTCACTCAGGGCGTAGTTTGCGTTGCTATATCCGATGTACGACCATATCACGTTATATAAGGCTGTAACGACTCCATATCTGGTGTAAAAAGTCAGCAAATGACGTCCGCAGACGGTAGCTGTGGCACTGACGCGCTGCCGGTAGTTCCTTCAAATGCATTGTCAAAGTTGTGGGGCTTTGGCACCTTGAGAGCACCCCCAAGGGCAGCCTAAAAGACATGTCAACCAGGTTCATTTGCGGGTAGCTCCCTCGACGACTTTAACTCACCCAGCCAGACACAACAATGAGTAGCACAATGATCAGCTTGATGATACCGAGGAGGTTCTGCAACCTCAATCCCCATTTGAGCGCACATCCATGCATGAGAAATGCGGCAGTGATGCAGCCTAGCCCGACTCCACGTTGGTTCCACCTCGTGACTTCGACCTCAGCAGCGTTGAGAATGTACTCCCCGAAAATGACCGAGTTAGACCCGGCCCATCCAAGAAGAACGACATATCCTGTGTAGAATCCTGTCGCGAGGTATTTGGGATGTCGATAGACAAACTCCAAGTAATTCTTCTCGCCTCCGTTCTTTGGGATGGCAGTGCCAAATTCCAGGTAGACGGCCATACCACACATGGCGATGATCATGCCAGCAACCCAGATGAAGAGGCTAAGACCAACGCTGCCGGACAGCGAGAATATCGTGCTCGGGGTTGCGAAGATGCCGGTTCCAACCATGCGGTTGAAGATGAGGAAAAAAGCGCTGATGACACCAATCTGACGCTTCGTCTCTGTCGTCTCTGTTAGAGTGTGGACGAGGTTGGTGGAATCTGGACGTCTGTCAGTATATATAACGTTGTGATTCCATGGCATTGACGCGTCGCTTGGTACCATCTTTGCTTTCTGATTCGATGTCTATCGACGTTTCGTCTTTTGCACTTTGGAAATGCGGAGCCGCAAGTGTGCGCTTGGGCAAGTAGGAGTGAAGTCTGCTCAGCATGCTGGTAATTCTGAAGATCCTAGAGTGTAGAGTGGTGGGAATCAGGCGTGGGCTCAACTTCTGCCGTTCCCTGCGTATATTTATCAATGCCATCGGACGTCGCCTCTGAGTCGAGCTCTCTGCAAGACCTGGATAGGTCGAAACCGACAGGTCTCGCCATTTTTGACGTCGTATTGACAGGAAAATTTTGAAGCTAGCCTCGAGGCCGAGAGGAGACGTAGTGGTCAGCATTAATTTTCGACACGTATAGGTGGTGTTATTTTGTCGACTGAGCGAGCCAATGACTGTCCCAGCGATCTGTAGACAGCTATACTGCGGGTGCAGGAGGCAGTTTTGCTGGCTAGGAATTGTGATCGCGCCATTCTTGGTGGAAATTCGTCTCGCATGGAGTAGGGGAAAAAAGATCCAGGGTTGTGTTTATTGAGTAAGAAAAACACGATCCCTCGAGGCTGAGAAAGTCCTGAGCGGATAGGATCGGCTCTTTCCAAGGGCGATGACCCACTGTGAACCACCATCAACGGGCGTTTGCGCAGAAAGAGAGGGCAGAAGGGACCCAGTGAGCGATTGCGTGATTGGGAGGAAAAATGATGGATTGAAGGAAATGAAAATGCCTCCCGCCCCAACACCCTTCCATTGCTATCTTGGCATATTGGCGGATGCGGACTCACTTTCGTCTGCTAGGTATAGACGATTTTCTCTGACCTGAACAAAACAATAAGAGCATGCCGTGTGTGTTACAACTTGTCCTTCAGATGAAGGAAGGAAGGTGGTTTAACTGCAGTCGTCGAGTCTGCGCTTTCGCCAAGCGTTGAAATGACGTCGAGACTTCCTTGGCACGCTAGTCCGTATGCAGGCGAAGTCGGAGACTTCAGCCTCGCCACCCTGTGAATCCCAGGTAGGTTTGACTTCCCTAATAATGAGGTTGTGTGTACTGTTGGCCTTTTCAATCACCTTATTTTTGTGGATGGTCACAGCCATGGTTCTCAAAGCCTGAGTGTGATCATACAATAATCAATAGGGTTTGTCACCGTGCCCCATAACGCCTCTTTTCGAATACAAATCGGTCGAATGCGATACACTTCATGGTCGACGTCCAGCACCATCTTCCGCTCCTCGGCCTGGTTCCAAGAGTTATATACTCCTGCGATCAGTAGAAAAAACCATATCAGTCCACGAAAACCCATCGTGAGGACTGCTGCTTGGCGAAATCAAATGTCCAACAGCCAAACAGAATCTTGAAGCGTTGCTTCTTCACCGGTTGGTAAACGTGAGATAGATGGACCGGCAAACAAAAGCATGAGAACAGCGAAGAAGGCCTGCAGTGCAGTGATCACCTGCGGCCCGATTTGTTCCTCTGACACGATTCATTATGCATACACCACCTTGAGGTCGGAAGTAGATCATTCTCCTGTCACCTTCATCATCTCATGGTGAGTAACACTTCAACAACGGTCGTAGTCCTATCGGAGCGACGTTTATGCCTTTAATATGCCTGGCTTCTCACGATTCCTCCCAGAGCCCTGCCTGCGAATGTTTCTTCTTCTTCCTGCGTGGTGGCGTAACTTCAGTGGGTTCTTCCACGGGAGAATACAGGACTTCCTCGATTTTATCTTGGCGTCCCGATGGGCCAGCAGGACTTGGTGAGGGATTGCTTCCACTCTCCTCGAAGGTCCCGTTCCCACCGATCTCGCTTTCTTGTCCATCATCTGTGACTGTGTCTGTTATCACCTGTCTCCTTTCATGGCTGTCCTCGTCTGATGAGTTTTGCACTATTTATTGTATTCAGCATTCTGTGTGGTGTCCTGTTTACATACTGTAGCCTCACCTGATATATTGTGTCGATCGAAGCGCCGAAGCTGACTTAGACCGCTGTTGAGCGTTCTCACCCTCTGCTCCAATCGTTCGCGCTCGACCCTCGACCCCTCATCTTCTTCGGCAATTGCCTTGACTGTTTCATCGGACAGCAGTGAGACGACCCGTGGGCTGAAAATGACCGCCAGTGGCTCCAACAGACATTTTTCGACACCGAGGACGCTGAAATCGTCCACGAATTTCTTTCGCGCAACCTTCGCCGCCGCCTTGTCAGTGAGTGCATTGGAGAAACAAAAACAAGTCTGCCACGGCAAGTACTCGCCTTGTAGTAAGCTAGCATGCAATCGATTGCCTCGGAAGCCGCGAAGCGTTCCATGTTCGCTTCTGTCTGGGTTCCGAGCGCATCGATCAACTTATCCATACTAAAGGTGTATTTTTGTAACCCTGATTCAAAAACTGGGTATTCTTTCCCAAAGAATTCCATCAGTCTGTCCCTCAGATATCGGCGGAGGTGCTCTTCGCGCGCTTGCTGGACGCTTTCTGTGAAATAGTGATTGTAGGTGACCGGATGCCCTGACTGCTGAGGTTGGAGAAGTTCCGTCGTCTTGACGCGTACCGCTTCTTCAATCGTTTCAAGACGAGGATTGATGACGTATTCCAGAAGACCTCTGAGGCTCTTTTCGTCAAGAACCTCCTCCAGCATCGGCATTATGGCCTTTCGGACATCCCCAAGGAGGACGTCAATGCACTCGGTCACGATCCCTTCCCATGGCTTAGTTTGAAGATAGAATAGATCGCCTATGATAAGAGGGTTGTATGTCCCTGGCAACTCTCTTCCTCGACTTCGACGCATTCGCTGTTGGACTTCACTGACAAAGTCAGAGCGGTGGATCTGGTTTTCTCCGGGCTCGATAGTCTCCTCGTCGTCAATTATCCTTCGTTGCATTCCCATTTCATGCACGTAATCTGCAAAATTGGATAATCGGTTCTGGACCACAGCGCGCAGTCTCCTCTCATACCCTTCGTCCTCCATAGGATCTCCGAAGAAGGAGCTGGAGTAGATTCCATTTATGCCGTGGTCAAGAAGGGCAGTGAAACGGTCGCTGCTGTCCAAGAGGTATCGGCGTTGATCGTTCAATGTTTGTCTCGCTTTTCCCAGCCTTTGTAGACCAGACTCTGCGTCTTTGCATGATTGTTGAACTTCAGCAATGAGCCCTGGTAGCTGTGATATGATATGGTCCTTGAGCACATTGCTCAGCCTCGGTCTCAGGGAATCGATACCAGCAAGCGAGCGTGGCATTTTGGCCCATATCCCCTTGGACAGAAATTCGGCCTCAGATTCATCTCGCTGTTTGAGAGAAAAGTGTTGTTCTTTATGCTCCCGGTTTTTGAGGACGTGCCATCCGAGGCGGAACGTGAGCCGAGTGTTCATTGCAAGATCATAGAAGGATCTCTCCATCTCAGAATCCTCGGGTAGGGTGTCTGGTTTGGTGATTATGCCCATTGTTCGATTTCCGAGCGGATCGACTTTTCGAGTGAAATTGGTGACCTTCTGTAACGCAATCTCACTTTTCGCCGAGATGACTGCCAGAATGACACTGCGTTTGTTCTCTATGTAGGATAAGACCAATGACTCCACGAAGTCGACTCCTTCTGCGGTCTGAAACTCGTCGGGCGCATGATAAAGACCAGGGAGGTCAACCAATGTCAAATGAGGCTGTTTGGGGCCCGAAACCTGTACGCGGAGGACGTCCTTGGAAAAAAGCTGGCCATCTTGGCCGATGCCGATGTGTTTTTCAGCCTGTCTCACGATGCTCGCAAATTGTCCAAGGTCGACGGTTGATGCCTTGAACGCTCGGATGCGGTCTTGTTCGGCCGGGGAGCGCTTTTCATCAGCATGGATAGAGGCTCGGACGCCCACGTCTGAGGAGCGCCTTAGAATGAGCTCGGTAGCAAAACGAGTGCAGACGTTGTCCTTGGCTGGGAATGATAAGCCTGAGATGGCCTCCAACACAGAGCTTTTGCCAGATGATTGGTCACCGCACACGATCAGCTGTGGAAGGCTGACATATTGGCTGATGCCTTCCGACCTTAATTGGTCAATGACATTGAGGATCTCTTCATGGTCCTTCGATTGAAACTGTATCAGAGGCGCCAAAGGATCGTCATTGTCCTTGAAGGAGTTATTATCTTTGGTTGCCATTGTTAGTTGGCCCCTGGACCCCAGTATGGGTACCGAATCTCTTGGATGAAGAGTGGAATATGCTTTCAGCACTCTCTGCTGTGAGTGAGAGGTGATCAGAAAAGCAGGATCGAAGCCTTCGGCGAGCTCTCACTCGCTATAAGTCACGAGTATTGGTGCAACGGGAGAGTTGTATGCCAATCTGCCGATTGTCGCTCGACATGCATAAACCCCATGATGATTTTGACGAACTGAGGAGCGACACGTCAATATCTCGCCGAGGCGCAGTTCTAGCAGCCAAACCAGGCGCATGCAAGCAGGGCGCTCCAGAAATTGAAGGAGACGGAGCGGATTTGCTTCTTCAAACCCAATGAAGACACTTCTTCCGCAGGCCGGTGAGTTGACTGCAAATTCAAGAACGGGCATTGGATGGATTTCTTGATGATTGGGATCAGCGGCATGAGCATGATTCTTGGATGGCTTCTCCAATGTACAGCGCAATAACCAATCGACAGGACACATCCATCGTGGTTGGCAAGCTCCGGGATGAGGCTGCCTATGAGGTTCTCCAGAAATTGTCCGTTGTTCCTGCTACGATTCTGTAGCTTATGCGGGCATTGACGGGGTCCATAGAGTCCTGGTGGTAGATTGCCACACCGGTTAGCCGACAGGGAATCTCCCCACAGGCTGAGGGCTCGTGTGCAGTTGATAAAGCAAGTTGTTTGCTTTCGACATTTGACGTCCCCTTGGCCGATCGTTCGAGACTCGCCTATACCCGTCCCGCCTTCATCCCCCCGGCGCTACGACAGGTCGCCCTGGGCCGTACCTAGACTCCTCCGCCGTTGCTGTTGGCTGTGCTTCGTTGTCGCTAGACGCCTTGGGACGGAGCGCTTCGCCGATGGGTGTACGTTTGTATGGCATATCTCCTGCTCCCAATACTAGCTTCGCTATTGACGGCTATAGAGAGCCAGAATTCCCAAGAAATAAGTGGTCATACACACCCAAAACAGCGATATCTTCATTCAATTTCCATATACATTTCGACATATATACACCGTCTCCTTCGTTGGCCACCTCGTCATTATGCGTTAGCGCCAGACTTTACGGGGTGTAGAGCCATCATAGGCGCCCAAAGATTGCCTCCATCTTCACGTAGCATCGAGGGTATATTTGTTGCATCATGATTCATCCATTGTTTGAATGTTCTCCCGGGGTAGCCGGGCACCCACCACCACGTCCCGCCATTGAAAAGCTCGTAAACGCCGTTAGGATCGTACATTGCTTTTCCAAATGAGAGACCATTGTTCTCTCGAGCGTTGTCGGTCGGCGAGCCGCCATTGAACAGTTGTTCCAACTCTTGAACACTCACTTCCCGGGGTGCCTGAGGATGGTGGTACCAAGGATGAGGTGGGAAGACGACTTTGAGTCCGTGGTAGAGCGCAAACGACACGGCCGTCGCCTCTGACGACAAAGACAAACCCTGATGGACCTGGGCGTGATGCATTGCGTTGAGCAGATTCCATGAATATCTCCCTATAGCCACTGGGCTGTAGAATCGCGGGGTGTCTTCCCCCTGCTGAAAACCCTGGATCCAACCCTTGAATGGCCAGTACTTGGTCGTCCTCACATCCGCTAAAGCGTTTGTTAGAATGAGGTCAGCGTCCTCCCCAACACCCCACTCGAAACTGTCCTCGTGAGGATCAGCAACGGGCGGTTGAGGCCCGATGGGATGTTCGATATCGGGGATGCGGATGGGTCCCCAGATGCCGCCACCGCCCAGGCTTTCGTTGATGACTGCTCTGAACTCTTCATAAGATCCATGGATTTGTGGCATATAATAATATGAAGACCGTTCGATTGATTGTTTCCGGGGCTCCTTCCTTGCAAATTTTGCCATGGCGGCCAACCACTGCCCGGAGTTGCCCGTGAATTTCATGTCCATCTCAAGCTGCCAGTAGTGGTCAAAGCCAGGGAAGAGTTGTGCAAACAGTTGAAGAGGCTGGTAGACTTGGAAGAAAGCCGAATGTTCAGAGATTCGCGGATACCACGACTTGAGTAAGTCGAGGTTGAACAGCACGGCGATGTCTCGAAATTCGGCAGGCACCAAATCTTGCAGTGCTGTCTCATAGCTCTGCGAATCATGGAAGATCTGTCGCGTCCCATTCTCGTCCTTAACATCCACCAACAGAAAGACAGCATTGTCCGCATTCAAATCCAGCCCAGCCTCGACGATCAGTGACCGCAAATGGTACAAGTCTAGGGAGGTGTAGTTGTAACCTTCCCAAGTACGAAGCACAATCGCCGACCGGCCTGTGGAATCTGTCCTCGCCTTCAATTCCTCAAAGCCAGTCTTTGTAGGCATGCGAAACCTTCTCGCCGTGGAGATGTTTTCCGGGTTGCGGAAACGACGCAGGTTCGAAGCGAGACATTCATTCTGCAAGTCCGCCCACTTTACCGAGCTCCACTGGACGCGCGTTCGCTCGTAACTCTCCAACTCTTCATTATGACCATAGGCACCGTATCTTGAGTCCGGAGTGTTGAAGGTAAGAGGTAGGTCCAATGCCGCAAACGAGCCGCCCACAGGGTTCGGAAAGGCTATGATACGGTCAGCATGCACAGCAAGCAGGAGCCATCCTCCTGTGACCACGTACGCGAGTCTAACGATCTTGCCCATACTTTGTCATCGAGATTCTTCTGCACGGACCTTCCTCTGGGTCCCACGCACGATTGTCGCGGTGCAATGGGCGGCGGTTGCAATGGGGAGAGAGTGGGCACATCGAGGTCAAGGGGCGCAGTCAAGGGATCGCGCGAAATGTCAGCGTCGCGAGTGAAATCGCGATACAGCAAGACAAGAAAGCAGCTCAGTCCAACGACAGCCAAGATATGGAGACCATACCGTCGCAAAATACCCAACTGTATGGCCATTGCACGGCCCACCGCAGCCAGGGGGAGGGGCAGCTGCGAGACGCAATCACGCAAGGTTCCGTAGTGATGTACAACAACTCTTTTCAGCAGCAGCTTGACGCCGCCTTGGGGGGCTTCAGCCTCATCCGGTGCGTCCGTCAATCATGAGCGACGTCAGCCTCGTGCTGCTTTTCCAAAGCAGCAGTTTCTAACTACTTATAGGTTAGTGGATTCTCGCAAGGCTGGCGTGACCTCTCTACTGGATTGCGTAATGGGCCACATCAGCGAGACGCCTGAATTTGAATTTCCTTCTGCATCTCCTTCTCTGCCTTCCCTAGTAAAGCCACTGAATGAGCATCACGGTATGTCGATGTACTATTGCCATCCACTCTCCTGGGATTTTCCAAGACCGGCAAGTCAGGCGCGAGTATAGCGAGTACTTTCTCCTTTCTTGACTAACGACTCTTCGTCGACCTGATGTCTAGCCCACTGAGCGGAGCCTTGCCTCGATCTCGCCCCTGCTTCGTTCACAATTGGACCGAACCCAACCCCTTCAGCCATGCTGCTTGATTAGATTGCTCTGGTGGTATGTCGTCTCTTTCACAGATGCCATAATCTTTGCTACTCACAGATGCCGAAGTCTTTGCTACCCCGCAATCAATGGCACACCCTCGGGCAGAAGGTTCCATGATTTTGGTTACCACATCAAATGTCGCCCTCTGTCAATTCTCCCTCGCTGACTCGCTGTGCCGTAGGCCTAGGAGCAGCCATGCAGACACTTTCCGCTTTGGGAGCAGATAAGATTTTCTCGCTGCATGCTCCCAAATCCAGGAATCGTGGCACCAAGAGTCATTTCGCGCCGCTTTTAAGGGTTGAAAAGCGACAAGACCTCCCTCGATCTTCCAGTGCTAAGTTGGACATTGTCTCTGCAATTAGTGAAAGCCGAATCCCAACGACACGCGTGGGCCTCCCCCGAAATATGGGTTGGGGACTCATGGCATTCCTGAGTCCCTCTTGACTTACTCAACTGCAACGGTTCAAACCCCGAAGGGTCCAAGTTCCAGGCGCAGCCGCGGAGAACTATGCACGACTGTTCGAACCCTTGATGGGCTGCGGAACGAGTTATTTGTCATGGCAGACAGCCCATACATTTCGCAGCTTACCAGTAGGGTGTTTGTGATTGGACGAGATCTGACTTGTTCCTGACTAGAGAGTCGAGACCAAAGTCTTCCCCGCAAATATTCGTCATTATCAGCCACGACAGATCGACTGCATGGGCACTGGGAACGAGATTCCCTTCCGGCCTTATGGAAGTCGAGGATCTATTGCAGAATGCTGATCGACCCTCTCCGAGAATAAATACCAGTGGGAAACTCAATCCTATCAATGTTCTTCACCATAAGTGACAACTCTGTCTTGCTGCGCGCTGCATTGGTCGCCCATCTCATCCATCATGCCTGACTACATTCAGTGGGACGCTCCTGGTGTGGAGGTTGAGCAGCCTGGCGAACAGGAAAGGATCAAACAGGTGGCAGAGCAGTTCTGCAGATTCCAGATGATGAATTTCGAAGAACATCACCACGCCCTGCGAGGCACTCACCTGAAGACTCAGGGGGTATGTCGACTACATCCCGACTCTCGCAACCTTGCTGACAAACACGGACAGTGCGTCGCTGGTAAATTCATCGTGCACAACAACCTCCCTCCGCATCTCGCTCAGGGAATGTTTGCAAAACCTGGCACATACGATGTCATCATGCGGTACTCTTCCCTGACGCCCAAACTTGTCCCCGACAACGTGCCTGCACCACGTGGCACTGGCATGAAGATCTTTGGCGTCGAAGGCGAGAAGATCTGGGGAGAAGACAAGAAAACCCAGGACTGGACCTTCAACAACTACCCCGTTCTCGAACTTCGCGATGCTCAAACCACGTACGAAATTGCGGACTCACTTGCGAGAAACTGGGACAATATGCCGGAGTTTGAGAATGAGCTGAAGAAGCGTCCGGACGCGGACGTGGCATGTCGGCCAGCGACAATTCCCCCGCAGCACAGTAAGTTGACATGCTTGAATTGAGTTTGACGAACCTGACAACCGTCTTCCAGTGGTGGCGATGCCAGAATATTCGCAATCAGCATATCGATTTGGCGACTATGTGGCCAAATTCGGTCTGTTCCCACTGGGCGAAGAGCAAAAGAAGCTCGAAAACACCTACATCAAGGACACCGACCCCAAGAACATCATTTCGTCAGAGCTTCGCAAGTTCCACCTCAAGAACAAGGTGACGTACTCGTTCTGCGCGCAGCTTCTGCAAAACCTCGATGAGCAGCCGGTTGAGGACATAGGCGTAGAGTGGGACGAGAAGAAGTACCCCTTCGAGCAGATCGCCACCCTTGAGTTCGAGCCACAGGACAGTTGGCTGCCCGAGTTTCGCGTTTGGTGGGACGACAGGATCACCGTCAACAGCTGGCATGGTCTCAAGGCCCATCAACCACTGGGCAGCACCAACCGTGTGAGAAGGGTCGTGTATGCCGAGTCTCGCAAGTTGCGGTTGAAGGTCAACGGCCACAAGGACTATATTGAGCCTGCGAGTTTACAGGAAGTGCCATATCAGGTGGCCACGGAGGCGTAGAAGGGCTCGGTACTCCCACAATATGTGGCAGTTGAACGTCTGCAATCAGCGAACGAACTTATCAGCATGCAATGCGAAGAAGTCCTATGACTTTGAAAATGAGAGTTGTAATTTAACCCCGATAAGATCCCAAGAAGCTTTGTAAGGTTTTGTTGGTGCTCTCAGTTACCTAGGTGGCTGTGACTCCCTCTAGTACTCGAGAACGAAAAATCTAAATGCTAATTACGGCTTGATCCTAAAGTGTGAGTGAAGCCGCCCGCTTTAATGTGAGTTTTAACTGGCGTCGCTGGGTGCTCCATTGCTGGGCAAACACTCCGGGGGGCCTAATCTCACCCCTTGCGATAGGCGACTCCTGCCTCTGCGCTACCAAACGAGGTCTTTTCTCATGTGCTCGTTCTGGTCGCCAAGTAAGCCGCGGGGTCAGGCTGTTTATAACACCATGGCGACATTTCATGTGTGTTGACTCCTTGATTCGAGCGACTCACGTATCATTGACCAGACCAAGCGGGATTGCGGAACACCATGCTGACGATCACTCTGCTTTGTACCGTTGCCGCTGCGTTCGTGATCTACTTTCTCATATCCTCGATTTCTACGAGACGCCGCCATGCTGTAGCCGCAAAGCAGCTCGGCTGTAGGCCAGCACCCACAGAATACACCCCGGATCCACTGGGCCTTGTGAACTTGATCAAGACCCTACGCGCAAACAGCAAGAATGAGGTACTCGAGCACATCCGAGGCGTGTTCGACGACGTGTCGCTACGCATGAACAAGACAGTGTATTCTTATGACACGAACATCCTGGGCGACAGGGTGTTTTTCACCTGCGACCCACGGAACATTCAGGCCATTCTCGCTACTCAGTTCAAAGATTTCGAGCTAGGAAAAATCCGTACAGCCGCGTTTGCGTCACTGTGGGTTGGCTTGAGACCGTATCAACACTGAAAATGGGGCTGACCCGCTGACCGCTTGGAAACAGACTCGGCCACGGCATCTTTTCGGTGGATGGGAAGCAATGGGAACACTCTCGCGCCCTTCTACGGCCCCAGTTCTCTCGCGATCAGGTCAAGGACTTGGATCTGGAAGAGAAGCATGTTCAAAACTTGCTCACAGCACTTCCTGTGGAAGCAGACTCCTGGACGAGCACCACCGACATTCAACCCCTGATATCCCGATTCACCATGGACTCGGCCAGCGAATTCCTCTTTGGAGAGAGCACAAACATTCAGCTCTCTGCACTCTCCGAGGAGGCCGCGGCCAAAAATGCCGAGGCCAAAAATGCCGAAGACCGCGCCTTTGTGCAAGCCTTCGAGGCCTGTCAAGACCGCATGGCCAAGGCCATGTTGCTGAACGAGTTCTACTATCTGGTCCTGACCAAGAAGCATGGAGATGACTGTCGATTGTGCCATCATTACATCGACCGATTTGTGCACAAAGCTCTGGGCCGCGACAGCAAGCAAGATCCAGTCGAGGGCGGCAAAAAAGAAAAGTACGTCTTTCTTGAGAGCCTTGTCAACGAGACGAGGGATCCCATCGAGATACGTAATCAACTTCTGTCAATTCTATTGGCCGGTCGCGACACCACCGCCTCGTTGTTGAGCTTCTTGTTCCTCATGCTGGTCCGGCATCCCGAGGTATTTGACGAGCTACGATCAACCATCATTGAAGATTTTGGAACCTTCAAATCGCCTAAAAATCTCACCTTTGCGAACTTGAAGGCCTGTTCATATTTACAATGGTGTATAAATGAGACCTTGAGGCTTTACCCTAGTGTGCCTCTCAATGGACGGCGGTGCGCAAGGGACACGAGCCTGCCTTTCGGGGGCGGCGAAGACGGCCTTTCGCCTGTTTTCATACCGGCTGGAACAGAGATTGCCTATCTAGTGTATGTAATGCACAGGCAGCCTGACTTCTGGGGCCCAGATGCGGATGCGTTCCGACCAGAGCGGTGGCAGAATCACAAGTATGGCTTCGAGTATCTGCCGTTTAACGGTGGGCCAAGGTATGTGATTCGACTAGAATACCCAACCCGTACTAAAATCGGCCAGAATCTGTCTTGGACAACAATTTGCTCTCACAAAGGCAGCATACGTGACTGTTCGCCTCCTACAGCGCTTTGACAAGCTCGATGGATCAAGCATACCCCCAGGGCCGATCAAATGGGCTGTAACCTTGACTGGTAAGCCCAAAGACGGAGTCAGGCTGCGGCTGCATGTTGCAGCTGAAGACTAGTACGTTTTCGCTGGCGGCAGCGGGATAGAGCACTGCATCAAAGCAGAAGTTGGGAGGAAGGTGAGTCGAAAAAATCGTCCTCGCTAGTAAGGCTGGTGTTCCGTGGCCAGGAGGGTTGGGACTGTGAGGCCAGTTCGACAGGCCAATAGTACTTACAGTCCCAAGGGTGGATGGTATGACAGGTCTTTTTGCACGACAGTACCTAGGTACAATGAATGATGCTGATGATGCTGTTCTCGAAGTCAGCCTCGGCACATGGTGATCCGAGTCTAACCTGCTGTGGCTATAGCGGGGGCCATTGACCCCAAGTCTCTCCACACGGAGGCCATTAGGCTGAGGTTTCACGCGGGGACCTCATCCACCTGGGCACGTCCCGGCGCCCTTCGTACTTGGACTTGTGCAGAGGCAAAGTTCGTGGGTGTGGCCGCGTAAGGGTGCACAAAAAGAGACTCCCATCGGCATCTCCGGGGAAGTCGCTGTGGTTCTACTCCTCTATATGCTCTTCCCCGCTTTGTCTTCTATTGGGTACATGAACTTCAAAGTACTATGTACCTACTAAAGTCCCACAAGTATACTCACTGTCACGTCTTTGATACACGGGATCGAGATCTGGAGAAAATTTATTCCTCCCAGCAAAAGCACAGAAATAAGCCCGGACCAAGGACGGCTTCCTACCGGCCGGAGCAATCAATCCCTATCCAAGGTTTGCCTTGGATTCCGAGAAATCGAGATACGGACCTTGGCGAGGCTTTGCACGGGACCTAGGCTGCATTGACTTTGGTGGTCTCGAAATCTGTCACGGTTAGCTCATCCATCGCGGTTCCGAGATGGAGGCATATTTTGGGGGTTGACATTTTGAGTTTCCTTTTCTATCGCTCCGCGCCCCAAATTGTGGAATGCCTCTCGCACTTTACTTTCTTTCCCACCCAGGCAGATGGCCTGACAGCATTTTTTGCTCTTTGCAATGCGGGGCCCTATAGCGCTTTCCCGAGGGTGTTTTCGGTTGTCGGACACTGACACTGGTGTTCAATGAGTCAGTTGAACTCAGTTGATTCCTTTTATGAGGGAAGCTTTTCTCTCGGCGCTGGATACGAGAAGTTGAGCCAAGTTTGTTTTACCTTTCTTCGAAAGACACCAACATCACGATTAGGTCTCAGCCCTCGTGTTTCGGACAAAGTGTTGTCCCCGGCAGGCTAATCAGGATTAGAATTGCACATCGGTATTGCACGCTCAGTCCGCCATCATGCAGCCCAGAGATTTGAAGTCGAAAGACAAGTTGAACTTGTATACTATCGGCTTGCTCGCTTTTATTGGACTTGGATCATTTACTTTTGGATACCCTGCTGCAGTCATAGGGACTTTGCTTGGTGGGTGTCTCGCAAGGGAATCGAAGATTGAAGAAGGACCAACTTTCATGTTACTGACCTTATAAATCATCCAGGTCAACCGTCATTTTGTACAGCGTTTCCGAGCCATGTTCGACCTGATGACCGACTGACACGATTCATTAGTGGACTACTTCGAGCTGGAGACCCGCTCCAATGGAACAGACCTCATATCCACCATGAACGGTATATTCCAAACGGGGGGTTTTATAGGTACCCTCATTTTGCCCTGGGTGGCAGATAAATGGGGCAGGCGTTGGGCACTTGCAGTTGTGAGTCCGCAGGATCTCCCTAGCATATATACCTCTTTGTTTGCTGATCAGCTGGACAGCCTGCGATCCTTGTCCTTATCTCCGGAGCCGTGATGGCTGGCAGCACCAATGTCGGGGAATTTATTGTATTCCGATTCTTTAGCGGCGCTGGTTCGTGGATGTCGGTCGCAGCAGCCCCGGTACGTAGCTGAATCCCCTGTTCCCAGGCACGGTCAGTTTCTAATCGGATGCAGCTTATGATGAGCGAACTCGTCCCCGTCAATCTGAGAGGTGGTCTTGTGGAGATTCACGGGATATTCTTTCAAATTGGCTACATGTCGTCTGGCTGGATCGGGTTCGGCACCTTCTTCTGGCCCAACAATGGAAACAATTGGCGCCTGCCGGTCGCTATCCAGTGTCTCTCTCCGCTCCTGCTACTGGCCGGCCTTCCCTTTTGCCCAGAAAGCCCAAGGTAACACGAATAATTCCCCGTGTCTCCGATCAAATTGTTGCAGAGCATTGATCTCTTTCCCAGATGGCTTGTTATGCAAAACCGAGACGAAGAGGCCAAGCGCGTGCTCGAGAAGGTTCATTCGCACTCTGATGACGGCCATGATCGGGCCCACGCAGAATTGTACCAGATCCAGAGACAGGTCGCCATCGATCGAGAACTGAAGTGCACCTGGACACAGCTGTTCCGCAAACCCTCGTACAGGAAGAGGGCTATTCTGGCAATCGGGACTACGGGCATTGTCCAGTTTGCTGGCGTGTTGGTCATCAACAGTACGTTGGCGTATTCACTCCGCATTGCATCCTGTTGACGGTGGAACAGATTACGGTCCAGTCATCTACAAGCTTCTGGGCTACGGGTCCGAAAAGCAGCTGCTCTTCCCCGTTGTCTGGCTGACTGTCGGGTTCTGCCTCTTCCTTGTTGCCCCAGGCTTGATCGATCTATTCCCCAGGAACATTCTGTTGGGTTGTGGCATTATCGGTTGTTCCGTTATGTTGATCATCATCTCGGCCCTGATCGCCAACTTCGTCCCGTCAAATAACACCGCCGCCCTCAAGGCGACCGTTGCATGCTTCTATCTCTATCAACCGTTCTATGTCATTGGCCTCGACGGTACTATGCCAGCAGAGCTCCTCTCTTCCTCATTTACTGATTTGTGCTAGGCACTCAATTCACCTTCCTTGGCGAGATTTTCCCTACGCATCTTCGCGCAAAAGGCGTCTGCCTTGGTAGTGCCATGATTGCGTTGATGAACATCATCTGGCTTCAGTCTGCCCCAACGGCATTGGCGTAAGTCCAACCTTCCTACCACGAATCATCGAGTCGTCCTCACCAGAGTGATTTAGGAACATCGGCTGGAAATACTTCCTGGTCTTCATCATCGGTGGAGTCATCGGCGGTGTCTTGATCCTCATATATTGGCCCGACACACGAAACATGCCATTGGAAGAAGTTGCCGCCATCTTCGGTGACGAAGACGAGGTTGCGGTTTATCAGTACGAGCTCGAAATCGACCCCACGACTCATACGGTTCGGGACCATCATCTGGAGGGTAAAGCATTGCAGGTGCACCAGGTCGAGGGCGAGAGAAAAGATGGCCAAGTGGAGGTGATGCCAGAGGCTCGAGCGGAGTGAAGGAGAGACGCATCGTAGTGCAAGTATAGTACCTGGGTACTTGGTATTTCAAGTACCATCGTTTTTATGTAAATAGATAGACAAGAATGACACTTCTATCGGCGGCGGTATGTACAGAATGCTACTGGCACTCCAGTTCCCCTGTACACCTGCAATGCCTTGACGCAGTGGTACAATACTAGTGGCGATATCAAGCCCAGGTGGCCCCAAAAGCCGCACGACATCGATGGACCCGTCCGTCACAACTTCTCCCTCGCCGCGACCCACAGGCCATTCGCTTCGGTCAAGACCCGCCCCTGCTCGTCCTCGAGCGACCCGACCAAGAACCACTTCCGGCCCTGCCTCCTCTCGAGCCTGGACTTCACCACCACAGTGGAGGGATTCATCACGGGCGCGCGGTAGTGCGTCGTGAGATAGGCGGTGTACAAGTTGGAGCGCCTCCCCATGGTCTGCTGGCGGTGGATCTCGACGCAGATGCTCAGGGCCTCGTCCATGAGCGCGCAGAGCACGCCGCCGTGCGTCGTGTCCTTGAAGCCATTCAAGTCGGAGCGCAGATCAAGCAGCCAGATAAAATCCGGCGGTCCTTTGAAGTTCTTCCTGCCATCATCACCATCATCTCCCCGTCGTCCTTGGGATTTCGGCTGCCACAGCGACTGCGACGGCGACGGTTCTTCTGGCGGAGTGACAAAATCCTTCCGGATCAACGTGAGCGCGTTGGGGATGGTGCCGGGGGATCGGATGGTCTTTGCGAAGAACGTGTCGACGCCATCGGACTTTGGGATGCGCGAGAAGGACACGATGGGCCTGTACGCTGGGTCGTCGACGTATTTTCTGGCCCATGTCGCGCGGAAGTGCTCGATCTCGTCCCGGGGCACCGGGGTCGAATTGATGTACTCGAGAAAATCGGCATAGTTTGGTCCCATGGTTGAACCGTCCGCTCGTACGGTCACCTACAACTGCAAGTGGGTGAGTTGCTCTATCTCAAGGTCATGAGGAAGGAAATGTTGACTACTAAGTACCTAGTATCGGAATGTGGGTACCACACTGCTTCCTGTAGGTTGTAGCTGTACATTGCGGTACAATGTAGCTTCTGAGCCTCGGTTCAACTTTGTGGATTCGGAAATGATCGCTCGGTAGGCGGCGCGCGATTTAGTTCCGCACGCCAAGCGCTTGCAGTGGCCGAAATTATCTGGTAAATACATAGTACATATACCTAGGTATGTATCAATCGTTGCGTGACCGCGTTAGAGTCAGAGTCGCAGCTCAGTGCCCTCTTCATGATGGGCGCGAACCACTCCTGGCCCTTGGAAGAAGACAAAGGAGATTCAAAATGCCCTTTTCTGCCAGTTGACCCCGGGGACTGCCTGGCATTTGATGTATTTGGCTGACGATGTGCTGAGGTTAGGTACATAGTAACTATCACTGAATTTCAATGTTCCTCGGACACCTTTGAGCTCTTCTTCACCTGTAGCCAAAAAGGACTGCATTTCGGGAGCCGCGTGAGATGCACTTTCTGAAGAGAGAGTTCGCTTTCGTGAACCTACCCTGCTGTTGGTTTTTTCTACGCGTGCGGCCTCTTTCACTCTCCAAGCTCTTCCAGCGCGGCCTTATGAACAAGCCTTGCTCTGCTAGAGGCTGGCCGCGGCATTGCCGTCGACCCAATCCAAACGCATTGGCATTGTGTCCTTTTCTGGACTGGGTATGGCCTACCTACTCATTAGCACGAATCGCTAATTAAAACGGCTGACGGGACTTGGTAATTATCCATCAGGTCGGGTTTTTAATAAAGATGTCCGGCTCGATCGGATTGTTGGCGTTAAAAGCTCTGTCCAACGGGGCTCAAACCCTTATCGGGTCGGCGTAGGTCCCCAGTCTGCAGTCTAGTTTTATATCTGTCTTTCAATATTACTACATACATATGTATAGTAAGATCGGCGGTATACTTAGTAGCACTATGTACATAGTATAGTACCTAAGGACACGATTGTAGACCCTAAAGTACATAAGAGCGACCCTAAAGTAAGAGCGACCCTAGAGTAAGAGCGACCCTAGAGTAAGAGCGACCCTA